AAGAAGAAGAATCTGTCATTGAGATTGACGATAGTGATGAAGAGGAACCGCCTCAGGCAGCACTGTCACGCCCTTCTGAGGCACCTTCCCCATTACAAAGGTACTTGGCGGCACACCCGTCGCAGCATTCGCCTATTCGTGCCTCAAACTTTCGCCCTACCTTTTCGCACGCCACAATGCGCTCTACTGCGATACCCAAGACACTTTTTAGTGCGAAGCGGTTGAATGTATCTACGCGGGCCCCTCGTCGCACCCTCTCTTCATTAAGCCAACGCCGCAAGGCGCCTCTAGGGATGGATGAATTCAAGGCTGGTGTGCAAGTCCGCCAACAGGCGCGTATTGCAGCGATGATTCGCGAGGCATTCCAAGCCATGGAGCGCGGTACATCATTCTCTTACCAAGACTTCCATGCGTTGGTCCGAAAACGCGCCCATGTACATCAGATTATGGATATGGAGACACTTCGAATGTCCTCCCATGCGCCTATCTCTGATGAGCAAGAGTATACACGGCGCACATTGGAAGCGCTGAAGCAGCGAGAGGTACGTGCGGCGTCACGTTTGCCTCAGCCCAAAGGCTCAATGGAGACGCAAAAGGAGTCACTTCGAGAGGCAAGGGCCAAACGACGAGCGCAACATGGCATTCTAGGACGTGCGCCTCTGCCATCATCCCTCTCGCCAGAGCAAGAAGTGGCCGTGCGTACCGCGTTTGGTCAGTCTGGCGTGATTGCCTCCATGACAGGCGCGCAAGTGGAAGCGCATGACTTGGCCAAGTTGCGGCCAGGAACATGGCTCAATGATGAGGTCATCAACATGTATGGCCACCTCCTTATGCAGCGAGCCAATGCGGACCAAACACGCCAGAAGCAGGGCGAGCCTTGTGAATGTTGGGCCGTCCACTTTTTCACGTCGTTCTTCTGGCAAAATTTAACTACACGTGGCTACGCTGGTGTGCGGCGCTGGTCGCGGCGTGTGGATCTGTTCACCAAGGACATGGTATTGATCCCGATCAATGTTGGGCAAGCGCATTGGGTGTGTGCCGTGATCAACTTGCGACTGCGTCGCTTTGAGTACTATGACAGTATGGGCATGCCCATCCCTAGCGTCTTTGCGCGGTTGAGAGCCTACTTGCTAGAGGAAATGCGCGATAAAAAACAAATGGAATTGGATCTTAGCGACTGGGTCGATTACTTTGCCCAGGACACGTCGCCACAGCAGAGGAATGGGTATGATTGTGGTGTGTTTGCTGTGCAGACATTGGAACAGCTCAGCCGGCGTGATCCATCGTTGCCATATCCACCGCCATTAGAGGCCGAGCAATTCACCAAGCCCGCTGATCCAGACACGCTCGCTTTGTGGCGCGAAGAATATGCGGGCGAGTATATGTGGAACTTCTCGCAGAACGATATGCCATACTTGCGGCGACGTATGGTCTACGAAATCGCCACCAAGCAGTTACTCCCGTAGTGCATAAGAAGAATACCCTTACTCATCGTCGTCTGTCCATGTGACAAGGATGGTTTCCGAGCATCCTGTACAAGGAACCTGTCGGATCCCATCTGCTAGCTGCGCCGGTGTGAGAAGGTACGCTTGCCCACAGCGGCATGGGTATCGAAAATGCATGGATGGCGTATCGACCAGTTCAAAGGCATCCAGGTCGACTTCCTCAGAAATCCGTAAGGTACGTGTAGCATGCTTTCGGAGGAGGTCAGCTCGGCTTTGATCGTAGACGGCGCGCGTGTGCTCATCACGTAGCGTTTCGTATGCGTGATTGATCTCGCGGATACGTTCGTCTTCTGCCGATGTGGTACGACCTGATTGCTTATCAGGATGATGCTGAGGGTCAGAAGAAGACGACGTACGACGCGCGCTAGCTGTAAGTACGCAGCTCGAATCTCTACCAGGCTGGCCGTCGGTGCGACGCCAAGGATGGCATAGGCATCCATTGTCCACCGAAGTGGAGGTAGGAAAAAAAGCGCGAACATAAATTCGCCGAAATTGCCAAGGACAAAAAGGTCTAAGGATGGGAGTGCATTACATAGGAGGGGAGGAGCGCTACCAATCAATCTTGCTGGCATATTCACGGATAGGTGAGAGAATGCGTTCCTCGACGGTATCACCCATGCCGGAGGCGACACGAGTCACGACTTCGTTCAAGTCGTGTGAGCCTAGAATGTCAATGTGATCACCGGACGAAGCGCCGCCACGCAGGTCGAACGCATCTGGGACATGGAAAACTTCGTGTGTTACCACCTTGATGTTCGCTGGGTTGTACCGCTTCTGTTTCCAGCCAGTGACGCACATCGAGCCTAGCGATAAAATCGACACGGTGCCATCGCCCTCGCCCAAGTCGCAGCCTGCATTGACTTTCGGCACAGCCTTCTCGGAGTGAATAGAGGGATCGATGCGGCTCATAGACGGGACCACAGGGCTGGTTCCGTTCACAAACGTGCTTGACGACGAAAAGTTCTGTGAGTCAAATTGGCCCTGCAAATCCACAGGCGGCATCTCACGCATCCAGTAGGAGCGCTCTGTCGGTTGATTCCAGCCGTAGACACAGTAGACTTTCATGTTAGGTGCATTGGGCAGCGCCACTTCCAGCGGGTTGGTCCACTTCGAAGGGTTAGCATTGTTCTTCTTGACCTTCTTGGGATCACGCTCAAAGCCAAACGAGTAGTTCGAGTATAGCATCTCCTGGAACTCTTTCGGCGTGTGCATTAGGATCCATGGGTACGACTCGGCGACCGAGAGAGCACGAACAATCATGGACGAGTTGCGGCCGGCTGGCTCCGTATATTTCATCAACACACCATGGGTCGACGTGGCGTTGGCCGTGTCGTCAGGCGCACTGTCGTGATTGCCCCAGATGACATCGCCACCTTTAAGCATCAAGCTCGCACTGCCGGCCCATGAACGGAAGAGCTGAGCCCGTTCTTGCGAGCTAAGGAATCGCTCCAGCAAGCTGGAGAGCATCGCAGGCACCTGCACAGTGTCGCGCATCTCTCCCGTCATCAAGGCGGCCATAGCTTTGGGCACGCCTAGCATCGGACCAGACAAGTTCACAAACGAATCCACATGCTTGTCGACCCACTTGGCGCCAAGGTGGTACTCGGCCCACTTCAAAAAGTAGAAGGCCACATTGGAGCCCATGCTGTGGGCGACCAGGACGGTCTTTTCCTTGTACACCTCCAGATTGAGCTCCAGCCGCGACTTGAGCTCCGAAAAGTAGTGATCACGCACCTCCAGATTACTTGTGCTCAGTCGCCAGTCGTAGCTGGCCAGATAGATCTGGTTGATATCGTAGCCCACAGCCGCCAAGTTCTCAATAATCTTACTCCAGATCCAGTAACCTGCCGCAAAATAGCTGGCGGCATCCAAGCCTTTGGCAGCCCGAACGCGAACGCCAGCGGGATCCAGTCCCGTCACAGGGTCCAGCATGAGCTGACGCACCCATTCGTCACGGTCGAAGAGCGCACTTCGAAGCATGGACATGGATCCCCACAAACGCTTACGGAAAAACGCAATGTTGCTGTCGGACACAGTCCACGATTCCAGACCCGTACTGATGATACCAGGAATCAGCACCACAGGGTGCTTCGGCTTGGCTCCCTGCGCAGCAAGATTGCGGCCTACCTTGAAGTCCAGCGTCTCTGACCATTTCTTGGTCCGGCTGAGCATACTGTCAATCTGTTCTTGCAGCTCTTTCGGGAAGAGCGAGTCAAACTCGACCTTGTCGAGCTTCAACAGCTCAATAGGATCATCCAGCAAGTCCATCAACGGCTTCATGTGCTTGGTCAGGTGGCCATTGTGCGAGAGAAGGACGACAACCAGACCGATAACAATGGCAAAGATCAGGGCCCATATGCGGCGGGAGTACAGCCACCCATGCGTCGAGGCAGACGCCGTCATCGTAGGGGTTCGGGGTAAAGGTACGTAGGGCTACAAAAAAAAAATTGGAAGTGGAGAGGGATTTTCAGCCTGCATATAAGTGCCAATCGTGCGCATACGTACGAGTGAAAATTGTCACCACATCATCGTTCGCCACAACATGGTTGAGGCCCACTTTTTGGGCGAGCGGGAACCTGCAGGGTTAGCGTGTGTCATAGGGGGTCCGACATACTTGCTCGATTTGCCATATACCATCGCACTGCATGGTTAGTACACGCTATACGTACTAGGCAAACTTATCCACCAACGCCCTATGCACGGCATGACACTAGATGGTGAGCGCAGGCCTTGACATACCACATGCTCAATAGTTGCACCCCGTCGCACCACAATCGGATCTTCCAAGTCAGGATGCTCGCCACGCTTCTTGGTATAAATGCGGTTGAGACCAAGCTCTTCCCAAATGCTGTCAATCAAATAGTCCAAGTTTAAGTTCAGGTTGCAGCTGATCACGACACTGTTCGGCTCATTTGCAAGCCTGTCCATTTCCTCCATACTGATCCCATCGATCTTGTTGTATACATACAAGCATCGGACGTACTTGCGGTTGCCCAGCAATACATCGATGAATTGGTCGACGGTAATATCTTCACGGATCATCACATCACAGTTGTGGATCTTGTAACCCTGCAAAATAGATCGGATCATCTTCTCATCAATCTTCGTCAGCGTCAAGCCCATAGCCTTAGTAACGACAATGCCACCACCTGACTTTTTCTTGAGGACCACATCCGGCTTGGTTTGATTAAGACGAATACCGACATCTTCCAGCTCTTTTTCTAAAAGGGGGCGCTGCTGAGATGACTTTGTCGCGTCCAGCATCATCTAAAAGTGAGAGGCAAAGAGGGACGTACCAATACCAAGTCAGCCGTCTTGGCCACACTGACAACTTGACGACCACGACCACGACCCTGGGCAGCGCCTTCAATAATACCTGGCAAGTCCAAAAGCTGGATACGAGCACCTTCGTACTCCAAGACACCAGGAATCGCTGTCAATGTAGTATACTCATACGCAGCCGTAGCGCTTTCCGTTTCTGTGATCGTCGATAGTAAAGTCGATTTGCCCACAGAGGGGAATCCAATCAACACTACACGCGCATTGCCAGACTTCATGACATCAAAACCCTCACCAGATTTGCTGCTCTTCTTGTCCGGCTCCAGCAGCTGCATACGCAGCTTGGCTAGCTTGGCACGCAAGAGACCAATATGATATTCAGTTGCCTTGTTTTTCTGAGTCCGGGCCATTTCGGCCTCGATCTCCTTGATCTTCTCTACGACACCCATGGTGATTCACACAGCCTGGGAAGAGAAAGACCTGTCCTGGGTTCACAGCGATACACGCTCTCGTTTCAGGAGCCACAAGGGCTCGCCGAGGTGCACACCCAGGGTTCGCCGTGTCCCTCCACCTCACGTGACCCAACGCGCAAGGTGTTTGGGCAACACCGCTCGCGGACGTGGGTGATGGGCTACTGACCATTAGGATGAGCGCGTCGTCACCCTACCGAAGCTCTCCAGTCAGCAATGATACACGCTTGCGTCAGTCGCGTCGTGATGAGGCGATCCGTAAGCGTATCGAGAATGAGCTGAGCAGGAAGGCAGGAAAGCCACTGACGCCACAGCAAAACCGTCGCCGAAACCAGGTGCAAGCCGGCACGGTGTCGGCGCTGCGACCCTCCCCAGCGCTCACAGTTCCTCAGAGTATGAGTATTACTGATGCTAGTCAACTATGTGCCGCAAAGCGTACTGATTGCGTGTTGGTCGTCGATGATGAAGAGCATTTGGCTGGTATCTTTACGGCAAAGGACCTAGCGTACCGAGTACGTACCGCTCATGGCCTAACAGCAGATTGTCGCTGGCGGAATTGATCCACGAATGACGCCTGTAAGTGCCATTATGACCACATCGCCTATGGTGACGCGTGATACGACGAGTGCGACCGAGGCACTCAACACGATGGTCACGCGTGGATTCCGTCACTTGCCTGTGTGTAACGAAGATGGTGATGTGATTGGTTTGCTCGATATTGCGAAAGTGTTCTATGAAGCCCTGGAAAAGTTGGAGCGGGCTCATGGATCTTCACAGCAGCTCTACTCAGCCCTGGAAGGCGTTCACAACGAATGGGGTGGTGGTCCGCAAGATGCCATGATGCAGTATGTCGAGGCACTTCGTCAGCGGATGAACATGCCGGATTTGTCCACAATTCTGGACTCACGTACTATGCCATGCACTGTGGGTGTTCGTACCTCGGTACGCGACGCTGCTCGTCTCATGAAAGAGCACCGCACCACGTCAGTCATTGTGATTGAGAATGTACCGAGCACACATATGGAGCGTGGTACCACCACAGCCAAGATCGCGGGTATTTTTACGTCGAAAGACGTGGTTCTCCGTGTGATTGCAGCTGGATTGGATCCGGAACGATGCAGTGTAGTGCGCGTGATGACGCCCCACCCTGATACCGCGCCGCCCTCCCTTTCGATTCAGGAAGCGCTTCGCAAGATGCACGGTATGTATGAACATGCTAACAGACAGATGGTCGTTATTTAAACTTGCCTGTCGTGGATGTCGATGCGCGCCTCGTAGGCGTCGTGGATGTGCTGAAATTGACGTATGCTACACTTGAGCAGATCAACAGTATGAACGGGGAAAGTGACGATGGTGGTCCAATGTGGAACCGTTTTTGGAACAGCTTCAGCCAGGGCTCCAACTCCATGTTTGGTGAGGATACGAGCGGTGTGAGTGGGTCCCTTCCCGCCCATACATCGCCATCGGCTGCAGGTGGCCTAGACATTAGCTCTGAGGTACATCCGAACGACAGCGCAAGTGCAGTTGGCGCTAGCACGCACGATGGTGGGTCTGCGCTCGATGCGGCACCTCTGGTGGAAGCTGACGATGGCACATACCTGTTCAAATTTGTGACGCCAAGTGGCCGCGTACATCGGTTCCAAGCACGCTACGATTCGTACGAGACTATCCGTGAGATCGTAACGATCAAACTATCTGGAGATCCTTTCTTTTCTCATACAGGTTCGTCTCGAGACAAGCCCGCCGAACCCGTTCCGACGGCGTTCGACGAGGATGGTCGTTTGCCGATACATATCTTTACACCTCCTTTGCCTACAGGTTTCCAGGTGAACCCGCCTGATACAGAAGACTTTACCCTCGCGTACAAGGATGATGATGATGACCTTGTCTTGATCACCGCTGATGGCGATGTACAGGATGCTGTGAAGGTGGCGCAGCACCAAGGACGTGATCGTGTTGTGCTCATTCTCCAGGGCGGCAGGTCTTGGGACGAAGTGATGGCTCGCGACGGTGCACACAGTGCCTATACGTCGGCGACGGCGGGTCAAGGCCGCCAGCATCACCAGCATGCCCAGGACGAGGTAGTTCATCAACCTAAGTCCGAAAAGCGTGGCCATGCAGGTGCCTCGGATTTGCTTTTCGGGTTTCTACCGAGAGACATGGCCTTGCCAGCGGCCATTGGATTTGCGAGTGTCGCCGGCATTGCTGCCGCCTGTATTGTCAAGTTTGGTGGTCGGCCATGATGACGTAGGGGACCTATGCAGTTCGAGTAGTTCTGTCCTAATTTGTTCGCTTGCTATAAGACGGGACCGCGGGAGGATGCAGGTCAATCTAAGGAAAGTGATCTGGGCGGAGTTAAGGTTGAGATAACAACAAGCGAGATGCCGTCGCGGGTGAAAAGACTTTGAGCCTAACCAAAGTAGGGCACCAACACGAAAAAATCGATTGGCAGGCTGATCAGAGAGTGAGAAGTGAAACATTGTATACTGTCAAACAATAGGTTGCAAAGGAAGCGAAGTAAATGCGCCGCAAAAACCCTGTCTGTTTCAACAAGTAGAATAAAAGTTCGATACTTCTGACGTAAGGCACGGTCGACCCAGCGTAGGCGATTGACTACCTTGATTGGCTTAGGCCCACTCAACGTAGGCTTTGCGGGGATATTAACATGTGGAAGAGAAACACTCAAGACGGTCCTAGGAAGAGCAAGGTTGTTTTCGTGTGACAATTCTGTATCTCTGCGTAGCCCGAGAAGGTGGGCCAGAGGATAGGCGGTTGATGGTTCAAGTGCAAAGGGACTGGGGTGCAATTCAATACATGACACAAATGGAAAAACGGCATCAGGAGCGATGGAAACCATACGTGAAACGGTCGTCTGCAACAGCATCGCCAAGACGGGATGTGGCGCACCTCAACAGCTCAGATTCACAGCGGCTTTCTCCTATGTATACCAGCCTTCCCAGCCAAAACGTGTTTATGCATCCCAGCCCTAGTACATTGAACCAGTTCAGCTTAGCCCAAGCCACGTCTTCAAACGGTGCCAACTCTAGTCGTTACATCTTAGCACCTTTCAAGCGTTGTTTAAAGACTGAACCAAAAATACAAGTATCGATGTCTTGTCCCAGCGTTGGCGCTACCTATTTGGATCAAGATACTATCGCACATCGTTCACGACATTCATCCTTACCACCATCTTGCAATGACGAACCTCAAGCGTCAAATGGGCGGGCTTCCTTGCCGCCCTTGAAAATCCCGTCCAAGAACAGTGGTTCCTTTGGGCAAACTACTAGTACGCACCTCTCATCTCCGCATGCATCATCCCCGCATCCTTCTGCATCACCGCAACTACCACCACTAGCTCCTGTACATCTGGCTCCTCATGACTCGCATGTTTCTATGTCATCACACATTGGCCTTTCTGAATTTTCGGTTTTACAAAGCAATCGACGAACGAACGTAATGGCCCGTCTACGCTCGATGGTTTCGACACGACTAAAAGAAAAGCACCGTAACACAGACGAAAGTGAACCGTAAGGTCGCGGTTGTCTGGGCATCACAGTTTGACGAATTCTATCATCACCACTGCCTACTATAGATAATTAAGCATGGAAAGATCTTTAAGCGTTGTAGAGGTCGGCAAGCTGACGCGAGATAACCAGGCGCTGGATCTGCGAGGTACCCTCGTACAGCTCAAAGATCTTGGCGTCACGGTAGAGCTTCTCCACGGCACTCTCCGTGTTGAAGCCGAGACCACCGTAGATCTGGACAGCCTGGTCGGCGTTCGACACCGCCGCACGCGAAGCAGTGCACTTGGCCATACTGGCCAGGAAGCTGTTGCGCATGCCCTGGTCCTTGGCCCAGCACGCCTTCCAGACAAGATTGCGCGAAGCCTCCACAGCCATCTGCATGTCGGCCAGCATGAATGCCACGGCCTGGTGATTAATGATCGGCTGACCCATGGTCTTGCACTCCTTGGCGTAGATAGTAGCCTCATACAGAGCACGCTGAGCAAGACCCACGGCACCCGAGGCAACAAGAGGACGAGTGATATCAAAGGCACCCATGGCAATCTTGAAACCATCGCCAGGCTTGCCCAGCAGGTTCTCCTCCGGCACCTCAACATCCTCGAACGTGATCATACGGGTGTCAGAGCAGCGTTGACCCATGTTGATTTCCTTCTTGCCACGGATGACACCCGGCGCATCACCATCGACAATGAAGCCCGAAAGAGCCTTGTGCGGACGCTCGTTCGGGTTCGTGCGGGCCAGCACAAAGTACCAGTTAGCGTGGCCACCGTTCGTGATCCACATCTTAGTACCGTTAAGAATCCACTTGTTGCCACGCTTCTCAGCACGGGTCTGGATGTTGGCGACATCCGAACCGGCACCCGGCTCAGTGACACCGTACGAAGCCACGAGAGGCTCCTCCGTCATACGGCCAAGGTACTTGGCCTTCTGCTCATCATTACCAGCGACAATCAAAGGAGCCTCCGCCAGACCATTGGCCTCAATGGCAGTCTGGATACCAGTGCAACCATAGGCGAGCTCCTCGGTGATCAAAGAGCACTCCATCAGGCCAAGACCGGGACCACCGAACTTCTCCGGAATGTGTGTGTTAAGAAGACCCACCTCGTGAGCCTTCTTGATAACCTCCCACGGGTACTCCATGGTCTCATCGTAGTGACGAGCAACAGGGATAATGTTGTCGCGAGTGAACTTGCGAGCAAGATCCTGGTACGCCTGCTGGTCCTCACTCAGCTCAAAGCTAACATTCTTGGCCGAGGGAGTCTGGGAAAACAGACGAGCGGCAGCAGGCGAAGCACGCAACGACGAGGACAAGCGACCCAGGCCCTTCGAAGCGGAAACAGCACGGTGAGAAAGGATCGACATCTCGATATACAGTAAAGAAAGGAAGCCGGCGTGCAGCGGGTGTATGGCAGGGGATCTTCGGCCGAAATATGCTCTGCACGCGGGGCCCCCGGTAAGCCCTATCCGTTGCCGGTGGCCTTTGTCACTACGCTTACCTAACCAAAATGGATGGCTAGGCACGGATCATGCGACTCTGCCCTGTATAACAATAGATTAAAAATAGATTTCATAACATAACAGGTTTAAACGTCTATAACAAGGGTCTCAAACAGTCATCAAGGTTCATTTAAACTCCAGACCAGCTGGAACAGGTGAAAGCGATGCGGACATATGATTTTAGTTGATAGAGAACTTCGGAGAGCGATTGCCAGAATCGCCGAAGAGGACGACAATGTAGTCATCACGGCTTTCCACGTTGGGCACGGTAAACGTCACGTTGCCAGTGCGGATCAAAAAGTCTTGCGCCAGAGTGTTGGCGAGGTTCTCACCCTGCTGGCCATCCACCATATGACCGAGGCGGATAGCACCAGTGAGGTTCTTCAGCTCCTTGGGCAAGTTGGAAGCATCCCAAGTGACGTTGACCTGGTCACCAACTTTCCACTGGACGCCTTCAGTAGGGTAGACAATTTCAGGCACGTAAACCAAACGGCTTTCGAGATCGGCGGCCAAAGCAGGCGAAGCGACAGCGACCAGCGCAGTGAAAAGGGCAGCAATGGAAGTGAAGCGAACCATAATAATAGTAGGGAGGAGGTGAGGTGAGGTGAGGTGAGGCTATACCAGTACAGACGCACACCTCTTTAAAAATAGTTCACGAGTGGCGGCAGAGTAGAAATTGCTACTATTAGTATAGCCTTGTGGAGAATTGCCGACCAATCATGCATTATCTATGCAAGGGCCGAGAACACAGTTTGATGCAAGTCTACATTCCACCGATTTGTATTTCCAATTGGAACAAAGATTATGACTGGCACAGCCAATTTTCAAATGCGAAGACTCAGGGAAATTAGGCAGTCCAGTTCACATATTGAATTGGCGCCAACGGAGGGAAAGCGTCACCGAACTACGCCTAAAACTGTGTGGCTGTGACTCGTCCAAACGCGGGTGCAGTATGGCACTTGCACGGTTATCCAGGCCCAAGACATTGACATATTGGGAAGGTGCATGCTATGCACTCTTGCTGATTGTGAGTTGGGGACTGCTTGGCGGCTGGAGCACAAATGAGAATTGGCTGTCCTTTCCCTCTTCCTTAGCTTACTTACTCCCTCTGCTGATACCCTTGACCACCTACGTTGTTATCGCGCGTTTTACTGGGAATGAGATGTACCGATACTCATGACCAACATGAGGAATGGGTCTGTGATGATTTGTTTATTAGGACATGCTCAACTATTGGGCAACTGGATATGAAAATGACTACGTATACGCTACAATGTGATTACAATGTACAGCAAAGTCAGTTCAATTATAGAGTCTTGTACGCCGAGCTGCTCTTAGAGGCAGCGGTGGCTAGAACTGGGATTGCAAAAAGAGATGCGCCAATGGCAGCCCAGAACATCCAAAGAGCGTTGCCATAGTCGATGTCCAGAGCAGACTTGTGACGCATAGTTGACACAAAATAGGTATAAATGATGGCGCCACTGACCAGCAAACAAAAACCAAGGAAGTTGAGGATGGAAGCAATTGTTAGCATGGACATATGCCAGAGAAGAGACACGAGGAAAGCGACACCAACAAGGATGGTGCCGACGAAAAGAAGATAGAAGGCCACTTGAGTGTAGTGGTTGATGGCACCTTGGTTAGAGAACTGACCGATCATCGATGCACTGTTCTGAGAGTTGCTAGAAGGGAGGTCCTCCATAATGGCCTGCGGGATGTCCACGGAATGACCGAAACCGCCTTCGCTGCAAGCAATCTGGTCCGAATCCGGGAAGCCACCACAGTAGTTGTACAGGCCCCATGAGTATTCGGAACGCACACCATTGTGCTGTCCAATAGCCGTAGTCATGGAGCGAGCCATGACATCTGGAGGAACACCAGCACCGACACGGGCAGAGACCATTCTAATGCTGCGGGAAACCACATTGTGAGTCAGCTGACCAATGTTAGCGAACACGACTAGGACAGTGGCACAGAGAAGAAGAAATTGTGCTAATAGAGTCAGGAAAAAGAAACCTTGTTAACGTACCAAGGAGGGTAGTAGCAATACGCATTGGCGTTAGAAGGGCTCACCTATGTGAGAGTGATAAGGGAGGTAAAATTTGCTGTGGCACTTGGGCCGGTATCTCGCTCGCTGCGTTCACGCGAATGTCAATGATATGCACTGCGCGCCCTACATAAGCTGACTAATACGCTGGTATGCATGGCAGAAAAAAAGCGACGCAAACCAAAGGGCCAAAACCCTGAGACTACAGAGAGATACATGTAAATTGCATGAATGGCAGTCGTTTGGAATGACAGGGTCTTAAACTAGACCCAGGCGAGAGAGCAAGGGAAAATAAAAAATGGAGAGTCTCACGTACTGCAATCTGATGACTGGACAAAATAGTAATAAACTTGGGCCTACAAAGAAAAAAGCTCGTGAACGACATTTAGCATCGCCTCCACGATCGTAGTGTGTAAGACGTTGTCGAATGTCTACACCACCTATTCGTTTTCGTGACAACCCTCATGAGGAGGGTGAAGCATCTCCAATTGATATAGGGAGCTCATGGAAAGACCATGATTTGAACGAAGAGGCGCAGCGTGAGCAAGATTTGGAGGCTGCTCGTCTGATGAGCATGGCACGGGAACATACCAGCTCCAGCCACCTTTGGATGGATGGTAATGAGACGAAGCTCAGTACACCAATGGCTGCTATGCCAATGCGTGGCTCGCAGAACTCAGCCGCATTAAAACGTTTCTATCGTCACAATGCTGGATCGACGGCCAGCCTCGATAGCCAACACCACTTTATTGATCATCGCAATCAATCACACTCGCTCTCTGTCAACCCTAACTCACCCCTTGCCATCCGTGCAATGCAAGGTGCGAAGAGTATGCATGACCCGCCAGAGGGTGAAGGAGACGCACACCTGGCTGACGAGACGGCGACGAAGAGAGACCAGCCAACGACAGCTACATCGCCGACAACGCATCCTGACCGTGAGTATGGAGGTTCGTATCAAGAGTCTACCGCTGGCTCTCTACATGGCATGATGCAATCTTCCCACACAACAGCCGGCCGGGATACGCCGCTTGAAGACGATGTGTGCTTCCCGCCACCAAACCATGTCGACGAGCAACCTATGCATGAGAAGCAAGGCTCAGTCTCGCACAATGCTGCGCCACCAGGCTATCCTTATACGTTTGATCTCACGGCTCTCGATTCGTTCGTCCAGGAAGAGCGTGAACGCCAGGGACACATTGGATCCTTTACGCACCTTTCGTCGTTCGGCAGTGGGTCTGGCGCACGAAGTCAGTTTGGCTATTCTCTGACGGGTGGTGATGCGAAGCTATACAGCCGCCGACCCCGTCGTGCGCAGACAGGCTTGTCTGAGGGCGGTGGGAAGTACCAGCGCAAGTTGGCGATGTTTGAGGGAGGTCATTCGTTCGGTCAAGCAAGCGAATCGCCAAAACTCAAGGCGACATCGCCTTTGTCCATGGAGCCAGACGACGCGAACCGTCCGTTGTTGAAGGGCACGTCGCAGCCCACGTATCATGGCATGCCTAGGGACGAGCCGCCTGCGCAACCGTCGCTTACGCGTGCACAGACTGTGCCGAATACGCGCGCCCCACGGTCGAGCGTGCCCATTCCTGGTACAGCGCACGACAAGCCATACCGCTTTACGTTTTATTCAAATGCCCTACCATCTACTATCCATGCGCGGTACTTGTCGGAGCTTCCTGGCCAGGGGCAGAGCTTTGAGGATTTGTTCCGTGGTGTGCCGAGTGAGGCAGACATGCAAGAGATGAAAGAAAAGTCGGCGCCATTGATTCCTGGAGTGCCGATGTTGGGAGGTGAGCAGAGCCATGAACCGGACTCAAAGACGTGGTGGCTGGACGTGCTATGCCCGACGGACCAAGAGATGAAAGTGTTGGCACGCACCTTTGGCATCCATCCCCTTACGACCGAAGATATTTTGATGGAAGAGACACGCGAGAAGATTGAATTGTTCCGCAACTATTACCTCGTGTGTTTCCGTTCGTTTGATCAGGATCCTTACAGTCCGACGTATTTGGAGCCCCTGAACATGTATATTATTGTATTCCGTGAGGGAACGCTATCGTTCCACTTCCGTCAGACGCCTCATCCGCAGAATGTGCGCCGCCGCATCAAGCAGTTGAAAGACTACATCAATGTGACGTCTGACTGGATTTCGTATGCGCTGATCGACGATATCACTGATGCTTTTGCGCCGTTGATTCAGAGCATTGAGTTTGAGGTCGACAGCATTGACGAGTTGGTACTCATTCTGAAGGAAGCCGAGCAAAGTGATATGCTTCGACGTATCGGTACCTGCCGTAAGAAGGTCATGGGTCTGTTGCGTCTGATGGGCAACAAGGCCGATGTGGTGAAAGGTCTGGCGAAGCGCAGTAACGAGTACTGGAGTGTCGCGCCCAAGTCGGACATTGGCATGTATCTCTCGGATATCCAAGATCATTTGATTACGATGACACAGAACTTGAACCACTATGAAATGATTCTCTCGCGCTCGCACAGCAACTACCTCGCTCAAATCAGTATCGAGATGACAGATGCCAACAACCAGATCAACGACGTGCTGAGCAAGCTCACAGCACTGGGTACAGTCATTGTCCCGATGAACGTCATTACCGGTCTTTGGGGTATGAACGTGCAAGTGCCTGGGCAGAATGTGGAAAATCTAAATTGGTTCGGCGGCATTTGCGCGGTCATGGTCGTGATTGCCGTGTCCGGCTACATTACAACGGTGCGCTATTTGAGCGGGCGATAATAGCGATAGACATGCACATACATTATTGCGACTTTTCTACAGCGATGGATTGCCGTGCACGCCAGTCCGACCATGCCTGAACGATATACGTAGCCCCACACACATGCACAAAAAGCAGCGCCAGGCTGCTCAGCCATAAGTACACGAACGTGTCTTTTGCGAGGAATTCAAGTCGGTACGCCTGTGAGAGCCATACCGCTTGGGCCGCGACCCACAGCGCGAGAAGCGTGGCGACATGCCATGTAGAGCGCACATGCATCGTGACGCCCACAATCGGAACAAACCACAGGTACCACAAGAAGTACTGGCTTGTGTACACCTTGTTCCACGCGACAAACACAATGGTCTGCACCATGCAGGCCAGCACAACGTCAAAGCCTCCGAGCCAGAAACCAGATAGGGCCACAGTGACGAGCTGCGGCAAAAAACTGGTCCAGGGAGCGATCCATGCCCACCACGACGAAGTCGAGTCGGTGGTCATCGAAAGGTACGTCGGGAGGAAGTAGATGCTGAAATTGTGTCGATGGTCCAGGCGAGCTAGGTGGTACAGCAAGGCGTGGCGAATGTACGGTTGGCCCCAGACGGCCCAAGCGAAAGTATTGAGAAGAATGTACATAATAGCAGCCAACGCAGTGAATTCCAGGCCGAGAACAAGGACGTCGCTTTGTCGAGGCTTTTCAATCCCGCAAAGCAGCATAATGGCATGACGGCGGTAGTTGATGAGGTGAGCGAGAATGCTAGCGCCGTAAATAATAGGGAACAGTTTAAAGTGCACGGCGAGCGCCAGTAAGAACGCAGCACCGTACCATGCATTGCTGTTCGCTACACGCAGTTCCCGCGGGTCGTGCTTGGCCGCTTTTTCCTTAGGCGGCGTGGGCGTGTGCACGAGTGACATTTCAGGCGTGGCACAAATGAGCAAGTACAGTGTGCCAAGCACTAGCACGCCGATAAGACTGTCGGCGCTGCCGCGCGTCGCGATCTGTGCAGGGAATGGATTCAGGAGCCATAATATGCCGGGTAAGTGGGTCGATAGAGAGGTACGCAGACCTGGGGCCTCGAACGCATGCATAAGGATACGTTCGTCAAGAATGGCCCACATGAGCAACGCACAGCCGACATCGGCAAGCACAAACAACAGCTTCCCACACCATGGCCAAAGTGTATCGAAGCTGTGCGCAGGGCCCATGAGCAGGGCCAAAAAGGGCGTGTAGCGGTATGTCTCGCGTGCAAATGGGTCGCCGAGCGAAGCAAAGAAGCGGAAGAGGGGGCGTGTCATGTAGAACGATAGCGTCAGAGGCCAGGACCACAACGAGTCGCGATCGACCAGCTGGCGGTCTTCTGCCTCGGCATTCCCAGGGTCGTACTGCAGCACAAATCGAGAGACGGCAGGGACAATACCACGCGCACAGTGCACATGCGCAGCGAGCTCAGGCTTGTTGAACAGGTCCTCTTCGTCCTCGTAGTTGTCGGAGTACACCGTCGACGACAGAGGGCATGCCGTCCACAGCGCACGCGCGCCATCGTTGTACACAGCATAGTCAATGTCTGTGTAGGCCAGCGAAGCATGTCGGTCTTGGTACGCGCCCCATCCAAGGAGGAAAAGACGTAGGGCCAAGCCCAACCCAAGGTACAACCACCTCGTGCGGGGCAGCATGGGGTGGAGGAGAAAAGCCAAACAGAGGCGGCCAGCCAATCTGGTAGGCGAACGGGGGGGAAGGGACCCTCCCCTCTATCGACCGAATCGGGTCGTGCATACAGACCACGACACCTTCGTGCGCTTAGACAATGAGGACGACGTATCGACCCCTGTCGCTACCGCGCGTCCCACGCTCACAGCAGCTCACAGTAAACTTGATACCCGACCCAATCACGCCCAATGCGCACGCCTTACTAGCGACGCCCATTTCCTTCCCGTCGCTACTGCGCCGTTCACGTCAAGTACGTGATGGCGCTCATTTTTCGTACGTGTCGCCACTTCCGCTCTCGTTTCCGTACGACATCAAAGTCGACCCGCAAGAAGATGAGTCCATGCAAGTGGAATCGTACTTCCGTGCGTTGGAGCTGCCTACGCCGCCTGCAGGCACATCGCGATGCCAGGCCATCGCCGCTGCGCGGCAGCGGACCGCCACCTACCCGTCAGCGCGACTCGTAGCGTTTTCTCCGCCGACGCACGAAGCATACCTGCCTCACTTGGACGTCGGCGATGCCTATACGTGGATCCAGTCGACATCAGGCACGCCGACCGCGTATAGTTCGGGTCCGGCGCTCGCCACCGAGGGCGATGCACATATGTGGGGCACAGCCTCCGCGGATCCAGCAATGGCACGGCAGGCGGTAAGTGACTGGGCGTCCGGGCGCGCCTACAGTGTCGATATCGAAGAAGGTGTGCGCGTACGTGACGATGATGGCACAGGCGCCGCGTTCCTGGTCCGCGACGAAGAGGCGGCAGCCAATACGAAGAACGCCCTGGCAGCACTGTACCAGCGCACATCGTATGGGCCCTGGTCCCTGCGGTACGGCGGGCACCAGTTTGGCGAGTGGGCGGGCCAGTTGGGCGATGGACGTGCTGTCTCGCTGCTGGAAACGCTGCACCCAGACACACAAGCGCGGTGCGAAGTGCAACTGAAAGGCGCGGGACGTACACCCTATTCGCGCTTTGCCGATGGCCTTGCGACGCTCAAAAGCTCTGTACGTGAATTTCTCGCGTCCGAGTACATGGCTGCCCTGGGCATTCCGACCAGTCGTGCGCTGTGTGTGGTGGCACTGCCGGACGTCCCTGTGGAGCGTGAAACACGTACGAGCGCGGCCGTGACGATGCGGCTGGCTACGTCGTGGCTGCGTATCGGCAACTTTGAGATCCATGCGCGTCGGCAGGAATGGGAGAGTGTGCGTGTCTTGGGCGAGTTTGTGGCGCGTGACTTGTTTGGCTGGGACGATGTCGTGAAAGGGGAGTCGAGCGCCTCGCGACCGCCCTGGGCGAAGCGACTCGTGTACGAAGTGGCACGGCGCAATGCCAAGACCGTGGCCCTGTGGCAAGTGTACGGGTTTATGCATGGCGTGATCAATACAGACAACATGGCGCTCACGGGCGAAACGATCGACTATGGCCCGTATGGGTTTATGGACGTATTTGACGAGCATCGCGCATGCAATCATTCAGACTGGATGCACAGGTACTCGTACGAGAAACAGCCCACAATGCTACTCTATGCGATTGACCGCCTCTGTGATGCCCTGGCGCCTATATGGGGCTGGGAACGTGCTCACAACCAAGCGCCATCGCCGGGCGAATGGGGCGCTCTGCCTGAGAACGAACGGCAGATGTATGCAGACCAGCTGGACGACGAACGCGAGGCACTGCAGACGTGGCTGCGTGAGACGATTTTAGAAGAGTGGGCCGCCGGCTGGTGTCGTCGGTTGGGCGTGGCGATGACGACGCCGACGCACGTCAAGGACGAGTTGGTCGATCCACTCCTCGATGCCATTCATGGCCTGGATATGACGCGGGCATTGCGGGCGTTGTGTGCGTGGAGCGACGAGGGTGACCTCTCCACGTTGGCCTCAGCGATGGTCCAGGCGGCCACGTGCGAGCAAGCGCCGCCCCGCGCGGAGGCACACGAGCGAGTGACGCAGTGGCTCGGGACGTACCGAGCGTGGCGTCAGGCGCACCCTGCGCCTACGCCCATCGATCTGCGGCACACGAATCCGCAGTTTGTGTTGCGCAACTGGATCACCGACGTCGTAGCCGAACGGCTGGAGCAGGCACATGACACGGCGTACTTGGAGCAAGTGCGTGCGATGTGTGCACAGCCATTTGCGGCATGCACGACGCCAGAGACACGTGCATTGTGCGAGATCGGGGCGCTGGTGCAAGATTATATGCCATCTTGCTCGTCGTAAGGCGTACGTACAACCACTATACAAAATAGTCGCTACGGCCCAACGTAAAGTCATGCACTTCCTGGACGCGATCGCCAAAGTGGACTTGGTCCTCGGCCCACGTATCCTGATGGGTCCGTCGGAATTCAGCCGCACACCGTCGCACAGTCGTGCTGACCGGGACAGGACTGTCCGTGTGCGGCGCAATGGTATCCAGCACAAGGCTGGGCATCCAGTCAGGCACGTCGTAAGGGAAGGCGGCGACCAACGCTGTAGCGCCCAGCACACCTGCATGCACATGCGAGAGGGCCTCGTCGAACCCGGGCGTACCGCGCTTCGGCAGGGGCGTCATGGCCATCGCAGCAAAGGTTCGTGAGAGTGGCACGATGTGCGCACGCTGCGAGCAGCGCACCACGCCCGACAAGGTCGTCGCGGCCATATCACGCACCTCCACATGCGGATCGCGCAACAGAGCGACCAGTACGTTGAGGACGCGTTGCCGACTGGCATCGGTCCAGAAAAACAGATTCTGGAAGTAGACAATTTGGAGGAGGGGCAGGGCGTCGGCCCGCGAGTGCCATGAAGTGGACGTCTCAAGTACATGCAGCAGCGTTTCGAGAAGCTGGGCGACGTGCGCCTCGCCAAACGTATGCGATGCAATTTGGATCAGCACATCACTGGCCGTCGCAGAGAGCTCTTCGTGGTCGCGCAGCTGGAACGCATCAAAGAGTGCCGGCATCAGATCCAATACATACGTCGACATAGGCCCCAATCGATGATCGTCCAAGCTGAGACAGATCCACAGCGCCATGGTCGACGCAGCACGATCGTACGTCGACGTGCCATGCACCGACGGCATGCGCTCAGCACGCCATGCCGACAGTTGCGAGCGCAGCTTGGCACACCGTGCTTGCATCGCAGGGTCGTGCGCCAGGAGCGAGCCCGCCTGTGCCTGACTGTGCTGCAGCAAGGCGTCAACGGAGGCAAACGCAGGACGTGCGTGCGCCAATTCCAACTCGACCAGGCCATCGCCCACGGCCTTGCGCACTTCCTGGTAGTCATGCGCAAAGTGCGTGAGGTACACATCGGCCAGCGAATCCGTGCCCCAGGCCATCGCTTTGCCCTGCAAGGCATGCACGGCACTGGCTAGCAGCTGCTGCGTATGCGCCTGCTGCCCAGGGCTCAGCGACGTAGCGGCCAGCGCCTCACGAGCCTGCGTCCAGAGCGACGTGAGCAGGGCAAAGTACCGCCGTGGATCCCGCTGGCTACACACGTACTCCATGCACATCTGCCATGCAGGCTGACTGTCGAGCGTGCACTCGACCATGGTCCGTGGCAGCCACGTTTGCAGCGAGGCGGTCACGGCGTCTTGCGCAGCGAGAGGCCAGTGCTTACTACCCCGCAACACGCCGCCGACCAGCTCGGCCGCCGCGCGATGCGGATGCCGATCACGTTGGGCGACGAGCGCTTGCAGGCATGGCTCTATGCACGTCCATAGCGGCGGGCCCAGCACTTGCACAAGCGACTTGACAAACACTGTCACATCCGCTGCGAGGTAGTCACGCTCCATTTCCTGCGAGGCATGACGGGCCCATACCTCCCACCATGACGCCGTGCCTACCATGGCCGACAATGCATCAAGCGAGGCCTGCGAGGCCGCTTCCCAGGTCGGCATCGTCTCCATGCTCACATAGTACGGCGTCGTAGGCGGCCATACCAGCCACCCTTCCACACTCTTGTCGTGCAGCGGTGTGGCCATAGTCCGTGGCGTCGCGTACGCTTGCATACGTGCCTCTGGATCGCCCACCGGCCCCCTATGTTTGTACGGTGGGGAGGCCTGCTCCAGGTACAGCGCCATGCCCTCGCTGAACGTACGTAGCTTGATCAGGTACAAGCATCGGACGAGCGTCTGCTGGGCATGGTGCCGCAAGTCGAGATTGTCACTGATCGCCAACTGCGCTAGCAACGTCACCAGACGTGTATCGCATGGCCGATCACGGCGTAGCAGCGCACGTATGGTACGCAGAGACAGCAGCGCAAAGGCCCAGTGCGTACGAGGCGAGGCCAGCAGAGCAAGGAGCTCCTTATGCAGCGTCGCATGTGTCTCGTCCACCAGAGTTAGCCAAGCAGGACGATTAGACTCGATAGACAGCGCCGCCATCTGCGCACGCTGCACGGCCTGCGTAAGCGAGCCAGTCGTAGCGTAGGCCACGTGCCAGGTAGGATCCTCTAGCTTGCCAATCAAGTCATGCCATACACCACGCACCAACTTCTGGATCGAGGGCCGCGTACGTGCCTGCAGCCCCGCAAGCGCCATCACAATCGGGCGAAGGCACGAAGGATGCCGCGCCGTGGTACGCTGGAACGACTTGGCCGCTACAACGTACAAGGCGCCCTTCACCTGCTCGTCACTCGCTGTGGGCGACATGGCATCGACCAGCGCAGGAATACACGACAATCGCGTGCCCTCGTACGTAGAGCATACACTCTCCAGCGTCGTCTGAGCCAGGCGGCGTACCGCGACGTAGTGCGACATGCACAGACCGACCAGCTCGCGCAGAAGAGCATCATCACGGTCCGTGCGGCCCGCGTACGCATAGTGCCAGCGTTGGCGCGTCGCATGGTACAGCATCGCACGACGGAGCCACAAGATACGTGGGAATCGCTGCTGCTTCGCCCAGCGCCGCCCGATCGTACGGAAGAACGAGACGGATTTGAGAAGGCCTTGCAGTTCCTCCGTGAGGACACTGTGGGGCACCAGGTAGGTCCGCAGCAGACGGACCAACTGCTTCATCGCATCAACATGGTCCGCCGACAAGTGCGGGATGACATGCGCAGCGCGCGCCAGGGTCGCCCCGACGCGTTCGCGGAACGCCATGACGCGCGCATACCGTGGATCGCTGGACGCAAGCGCATGCCCTGTATCCACAGGGACAGGCCGCACGACCTGCGACGCAGGCACATCGCCCCCGTCCTGCTGGACACGCACGTGGCCGTCCTTGCGCCGCGCCTCTTCAGCGAGGGCGCCTTGGCCGGCCAGCGCATAGCGCACACACAGCAGCGTGCGGCATACGTCATTGTGCCATGCCCTCGTCGCCTCCACCTGCTCGAGCCGCGCGTCCAGGAGAGAGAGCGCTGGCTCGACGACGTGCGTAAGGACATCCAAGGCCATGTCCACTTCCGCCGACGACGGCGTATGCCATGCCATGTCCACCTCGTCACAGCGATACAGCCGCCCGAACAAGCGGTGAGGATGAGCTTGGCGTGTATGTGAGGCCCATTCGGCCGGATTGACAAACCGCTGCTCGGCCACGTACACATTCAGCAGCGTCGTAAGCACACGCTGCACGAGCTTGGCTGTGAGCATGTAGCCACGCTCAGTGTAGCAGGCCTCGACCAGGCGGGCCAGCGTACGCACAAGCACATCCTTGTAGGGCAGCAACGCAGCGCCAGCAAACATCACAGCACTACTTAGGACATTGATGTGCCAATGCAGCGCGGTGTCCTGCGCACGTGGAATGCTCGTGCTGGTCGTTCGGACCGACGAGGCCCCATGCGCCAACTCGCTCTCGATACGCTCGCAGCAGTAGGGCACCACATACTTCAGTACCTGCGCCGCATCCGCACGTGCAAAGCACCCGACGAGGGATCCAATGACTTTGACACCATTCGCTGCCGTCGTCGTACGCACATACTCCCATACAATGTCCCAGCATCGCGCAAAGGCATCTTCGCCAAGCGCGCTGCAAAACACGTCGCATGTAGCAATCAACATATTGAGGACCATCTCTTCATTCTTCTCGCCAATCTTGCCGCTCTTTCCCTCCTCCGGCAGCGCGGTGAACAGCATTAGCACACGGCGTACAAACTCTGTGCTCCAGGCATCCAGCTCAGCCGTAGCTAGGCGCGCAGCGTAATCCTCGGCGCCCAGTGTCGACACGGTATCTTCATCCACCACAGTCGGCGTCTCATCAGGTGTCTCGGCGCCCGCGCCGGATGTCCCATCCACAATACAGATTGAGACAGAGATGCTCAAAATCAGCATACAAGTACTCATCGTCTTCATAGGATCATTGAGGTCGATGCCAGGCAGACAGAGATGCAACAACGGCGCAAGATGCTTGGCGCCTGCTGGATACACCTGCATGGACACAAGTGGCTGCGACGTGGCTGCTAATGTAGCGATCACAGCCGTCGTGCGCTGCGTCGTTTCCAGGGCTTCGAGCGACGTAAAACTACGCTGCAGCACAGCGGGCAAAATCAAGGATGGCTCTAAGAATGCCATGCGCTTCAAGCTAGATTGGGTCGCGAGCGACGTCAGGGGATCTTTCGAAAACATGCTGAGCAAGCACACTGTACGCAGGGTACGCACAAATTCCACGCGAATCGACGACGTAAGTCGCCTGTCGGCGGGCGTACGACACTCCTCCTTGGCTTCATACTGACACCGCCGTGCAAACTCCCACGTCAAGTGCTGCACGAAGTTGGCCAGCTGCACTTGCCATAGTCCCCAGTTCGATGGATGAAAGTACGTTTCGGTTGCTTGCACAAATTTGGCGAGTTGCGTAAGGGCTTTCGAGCCGCCCACCCATGTAGATTCATTGCCATCCTTGGCCATACTGTACACAAGGATCATGGCAAAGGAGTACAGACGGTCACTAGGCTTTTTCATCCGAAGCGTCTTGTGGGAGGCCGAAGCATCTGCCCCTGTACGCACGGAGGACGATTGTGCCATCAACGTCGCATTCGCCGATTTACTGGCTCCAACAGGCAGACCAGCCGAACGAAGACATTTGGTCATAATCAAGCTAAACTGTGCATCGGTAAAAATGCCAGTTTCAGACCATAACGGTGTAGTTTGTGGCTCTGTGGTATGTAGCTCAGCTAGTCGAGCAAGTAGATCAAGCATTTGGTCATCAAATAACGAAGACTTGAACGTCTCCCAAAGCCGGAAAAGAGTAGGCATCCATGCAGTAGGCTCGGTAAGGGGCAGGAAATGCACAAGGAGCGCTTGCGTAGCGATGACAGACTGAGGTTAGAACCACGGAAACATACATTTAAATCATTGCCATCCATATGTGGCAACATGGCTTCTAGCATGGCTGCGGCTTCTGATGCAGGGAAAAAACGCTGGGCACATTCAGCTAGGTCAAGAAGCACGCCACTCACAGTGGACGAACCAATCTTACGTTGCTTGTGGTACACTTCACCAACGAGTACGTCATAAAGAGAGCGCCATGGCAGTTCAAGATCTTCAATATTAATCAACTTTTTCGGTTTTAGGAGCCGCATACAGATTGTGGCGGCAAGATCTGTTAGGTAGGTATCCAGCTTCGGCATCACGGCCAACTCGTAAAATAGATGAGCAACGCGTGCACGGTACGAGCGCGTAAGTGGGTATTTAAGAGAGAGTAGATCCTGTACATAGTGACACCATTGTAGTAGAGAAGCACCCCAGTCCTCTGACTGGATGCAGCCACATACTTGATCTACGCCATGCGTAAGCAGTTGCTCAAATTCAGCTTGTGTCTGACACTGGTACGGTAAATGGCGCGCAATAAGTGGCACATTATCGGAAGGTATAACATAGAGTTCCTCTCCTGCATTCTTCACATCAATATCGTCAATAGGGTCATCAGAAAGCAGATCAAGGTCCATAGTGAGAGCACCTTGGTGTGGCTTTGCAACGACGCGCGTTGCGGGGTATCGTCATCTTCTTGACCGGGATTAGTCAGCTGTTGAAACAGCGAAAAAAAATGTGGCTGGCATTCTTCAGTAATGCTACGACGTTGAAAAGAGAATCTCTAATAAACCATGCGAACATGAATTTACTCATTGTCTCCCCGTTGTACTACAGAAAAAGTACATAAATGGGTCATTTAGGTCTGTGCATTAGACGAATTAGGTGAGAGAGAAATGCACAGAGCATAAAGATAGCCATCTATTGCAAGATAACCACCAAATGGCTTTCAACACCATGTCTTGCCTAATACAATTCGTTCAATTACACCTGAGGACCAGGGTTGGCAGTCGGCGAGGTAATGTCAACATTACCTGTACCCATGCCAACACCCGTGTCAGTGCCGTTGCCAGCACCGGCACCCAAACGCTTCTGGTCACCAAACTCATTGTCGTCAACGTCATACATAAAGTTGCCAGTGTTGATTTCCTCAGGCTTAGTCGGGACCTTGCCGTCCGCCTTCTCCTGCTCACGGTGTTGAAGAACAGCGTCAAGCTCCTCAGGCGAAAGGAAAGGACGAGTGATCGAGAAGTAGGCCGCGTTGGTCATGAAGCGGCTCTTCCTCCAGAAGCCCTCGTGGTAAGCATCCTCGAAGATCAGGTCCATCTCCTCAAGACCACGGTGCTTCGTCTCAGGGTAGAAGCAGTAGACAATCGGAATGAAAAGCAGGTTGAAAGCACCGAACATGGTGAAAGTGTGGTTCTTTAGGCTCTTGAAGGCCGGCGGCGAAATCATCACGACGGTGAAGTTCATGAGCCAGTTCACAATTGTCGACATGGCAGCAGCAGGGGCACGGACACGCATGTTGTTGACCTCAGGCGGGTAGAGCCAAGCCATGCCAAGCCAACCGAGTGACCACGGCACAAAGTAGATGTAGATGAAAGCTTCAGCCACCTTACCGTAGACTTGCGTAGTCGGGTCACCGGCCGGTTTCTGCTGCACCATGTACACCATGCCCGAGATGATGGCGAAGCAAAGCATCATGCCGAATGCACCCCAGATCATCAAGTGACGACGGCCAATAAGATCGATGAAGAACACAGCCGCTGAGGCAGCAAGGAAATACAATACACCACTGCAGCACACCAGGATACGACTAATGATATCGTCGGGTTGCACCATCTTGAACACCGTGTTAGCATAGTACGTCAAGTTGTTAATACCAGTCCACTGCTGCATGCACTGACCACCCATACCCAGGACAGTCCGGTAGAAGTTCTGCGACGGACCAGTCTCAAGCATCTCGCGGTAGCGGAACGGACCAAGCCTCTGCTCGTTGAGTTGGATAGCATCAACAAGCGTATGGAGCTCCTGTTGCACTTCAGGGTCATCGCGCGGCTTGCCGTACACGCGTGCCAGCACACTTTCAGCCTCCTCCACGCGATTCTTCTTGACCAGCCAACGAGGGGACTCAGGCATAATCATGATACCGATGATAATAACAATACAGAACACAATCTGGAAAGCGATGGGAAAGCGCCATTGTACACTGTTCCATCTTAAGAAGTAGAACGCAAAGTCCAACCAGTATGAGATCATGACACCACCGCCAAGTAGGGCACCCTCGATGAATACAAGGAGACCACGGTACCTGGGGTGAGACAGTTCAGACTGCAGCACAGGGATAGTAGCAGTGTTCATTCCGTTGCCAAGACCTGCAACAATACGCCCAACGATGAAGTTGCCCATCGTGTCGTAAAGAACCATAACAACCGTACCAACAATCATAATGGTCGAACCAATCATAACACACCAGCGACGGCCAAGAGCATCACCGCGGAACAAGATAAAGATAGCACCAATCATACAACCAAGCTCGTAGCAACTGACAACAGCACCCTGGATGTTGTCACTAAACAGCCAGGGCTGGAGCTTTACTTGAGTAACATCATGAGCCGTCCGAAGAGCCGTACCAGCACCGTTCGGCTCGTACTTAGCAATTTCAGGCATTGAGGCAGCCAACATAGGCTCCTCGATCAGAGAAGACATGACACCCTGGTCATAACCGAAAAGAAGGAAAGCAGTAGCACATGTAAACGTTGTGATGAACCGAATACTCGTGCCGCTGAGCTTATCCGCACCAGGGAAGTGCGGAATATGGATCATCTTGGGCGATGAACCTGTATGTGGGACGAAGGAAAGGTGTGAACTTAAGGAACCGTCTACAACGCCCCAAGACTCTGTAAAACCGGACTTTAGACGTGTTCATTAGGTTATTTATTTATATGTACATAAATGTGGTATGCATCCCAATTTTTATTCGCAGGGTAATTATTGGATCAGGTGACAATGATGGACAGGGCGTAAATGCAAGCCATAGGATAATAAACCAGAAAATGATAGCCCTATTCAGATGATTCGGCTGAGACACCTGCATCTTCTGAAACCCCGCCGATCTAAACACTCTGAAATAAGGCAAGGAAGGGACTTCGATTGTCAATGGATCATTGTACAGGCTGACAGTCCAATAAAAAATTGACATACCGCTTTTGGATCCAGGGCACCTTGTTGTGTTATATAATGTTTATTAATTGGCGTCTTTTATGAAAGATCACCCTCCGATCACTGTACTGCGGTAAATCTGTCGTTGTTAGTCGTGCTTATGTCGTGTTTTTCGACTCGACCGAAGCAATGGGGGGTGGCACGCATAATTTCTTCAAGAAAAAGAGGCCCTTGCATTGGCACCAGGGCAGTTGCAGCTAGCTTCTACTAACGATGGCGTCGGAACTTGATCAAACCTACTTACATCGTGTCAACGATGCGATCCTTAGTGGCGGCGCTACTTAGTGTATGTGGTGTGGCGGCTTTTTTGAATCCTGAGGAGGTGTCTACGGCACACTTTCACAATGCCACCTTAGAGAGCGCGGAACCGGCTGTGCATTCGCTCAGCAAGCGCTCAGCGTTCTTTGGTACAGCGACATGGTATGATGTCGAGACATGGGTAGCAGGTGCCTGCGGTCAAGATATCGATAATGACATGCACATCGTGGCGCTAAATCAGCCAATGTACGGCGACTTGGACTCTCGTTCCAGTTGGTGTGGTCGACACATTATGATTGCCAATGGGCTCAAAACGGCCAGAGCCGTAATCATGGACGCCTGTCCTGAGACAAGACAGTGTCATTATGGTTCTCTGGATATGAGCATGTCCCTATTTGAGGAGTTCCATGATTTGACACTAGGCGTTTTCCCGATTGCCTGGTGGACCATCGATGGCGATGACCAGGATGGGGGAGACAGCAGCCATGGCAGCGGCGATAGCAACAGTGGTGAATCCAGCAGTGACGGTGGATCGGATAAGAATGGCAACAACGGTGGCAATGATAATGATGGGAATAATAGCAGTGGGAATGGCAACAATAACGGCGGACAACAACAACGGCCGCACTCGTCGCCGTCGAGTTCGCCGGCACCGTCGCCGTCCAAGTCGCCTTCGAACCCGTCGCCAAGCAACTCGCCTTCGACCAACCAGCGTAACAATGATCAAGCAGCACGCGAGTCCAAGGCGCGTGCGGCATCCGTGTCTTCGGCCTCCGCTGTGAGCAAGGCCGCGTCGATTGCTAGTGCACAGTCAGCCGCACGTGCATCTGCAAGCTCGAAGAAGGCTGCCTCGATGGCGAGTGTGAGCAGTGCACGAAGCTCTTCGTCGAGTGTAGCCTCAGCAAGCCAGTCTGCTGTAAATGCAGGTCTTGCTCCCCCTGGTCAGGTTGGCACAGGTGGGGAGAGTTCGCAGACGGATCCTCGAGAGGGCAATCTGCAGAATTTTGTCAAGGTACTCAATGGACTGTCCATGCTGGTTCATGCGGCGGCTCAAGGGTAAATGAAATTCTGGTACGATCGATCGGGCAATATGACATTGTTGTTGGTAGATATACGTTTGTGATATAGCATTTGCACTGTACATTTCTCTAAAAAGGACCCAATTTCATGTGGAGGGCCCACCGAGTGCCTGCCCTCGCCGGTCGCTGACACGTACTACGCCATGCGACGCCCACTGGGTGCATTGGAAGCGCTGCTCACCGCGTACGCCACACGAGCATTGGCGAAATGGGTACGTAGACGGCACGACTCATGACAGATGAGCAGCTCCCCCCTGTTTCTACGTGCCACAGAGCGCGTTTTGCATGAATGGGATCATTTACCGAATCGCTGGCAAGGTCGGGCTGTGCCGCCTTTCGAGCCACGGACACCATCATCGACGGTCGAGCACGACGAACCACACGATATGCCATCACCCTACCCTATCTCCGGCAAGCATTCGATGCCCTCCTTTGGTCAGCGAGCAACACCGCGTCGCCCAACCGTCGCGCAAACACGCGGTTCGCATAAGGGCGACGCGGCTGAGTCTCCACCGAAGCGAAAGCGTGACGTGGATCGCGTGGCCGAGGAAATTCGCGCACTGCAAGAGAAAATTCGGGGCACTCGTGAGCGGTGACTATGTATCTATGCACCAAGCTGCAGAGCGTGCCAGTTGGCCAAGCTGCCACGATGAGGCATGCGCACACGTGCTTGGCGCGCCTCGGATGAGGTGTCGCTGTCTTTGGAGGTCGATGGACCGAAACCACCGCCACCCGGCGTGTGGACGACAATGCGATCGCCTGCACCGAATCGAGCGGTGGCTTTTCCGCCCATGTTGATGACACGAGGCGGCACAGTGCCATCCTCTGCAGCTGCAATCATATCGCCATCTTCTTCACGGCGCCTCTTTACCCAGAGGTTCAAGCCACTCTGAGCGGGCTCACCGCCGCGCAGCCCATAGGGACGATGGACACGGCGCTCCGACAGGATACTGACCTGGATACCAGGCTCAAGGAACTCAATGTCACGCACAACACCATCACCACCGCGGTACTGACCATCGCCACCGGACCCTTCGCGCAAACCAAAGCGGCGCAAAAAGACAGGGTAGCGACGCTCAAAGATCTCCGGATCAGTAATGCGTGTGTTCGTCATATGTGTATGAACACCACTCGTACCGTTCCATGAAGGACCTGCACCCGAACCGCCAGCAATGGTTTCATAGTACCCGAAACCTTCAATCAGCTTGCCATTCTCATCGTTGCCGCCAGTACCGAAGGTCAAGTTGTTGCAATCGCCCTGGCTCGCAGCCACCGCTTCAAAGGCACGGAAGACCACGTCTGTGATACGCTGGCTTGTCAGCACGTTGCCGCCGACGACAGCAGCCGTCTCAGATGGACGCAAGAGCGAGCCGGAAGGCAGGCGAACATCGATGGGGGCCAAGCAGCCCTGGTTCAGGGGGATGTCTTCCGATACCATGCAGCGCAGGGCGTATATAATCGCGCTAAAGGCCACGGAGGGTGGGCAGTTGATGTTGGCATTGACTTCAGGGCCTGTACCCTCAAAGTCAAAGATAGCAGAGCCCGCGTCAGGATCGATCGTTACACGCAGCTCGATCGGCGTGCCATCATCCATGTAATCGACGGCATGCAGTTCAGTCGAGGCGTGCTGCCTGGCGACGCGGCGCAGCAGGTTGCGCACGGCCAGCTCGGCATTGTCACGAATATGCAACATGTAGTCCTGAACCGTCTGCAGACCCCATTCGTCCACGAGATCATTGATCAGCTGAATGCCCTTGTGGTTCGCGGCAATCTGTGCCTTGAGATCGCTCTCCACGTCACGGAAGCAGCGCGTGCCTGAGCAGCCCGGGTACTTTGCCGGCTCATCAACCAGCAGACGAACAAGGCCGTCGCGGTCGTACACGCCCTTTGACACGATCTTGAACGAGCGGATCTGCGCACCTTCCTGAAACAGGCTCTTGCTTGTCGGGGGCATGGAGCCTGGGAGAATACCGCCGATATCCGCATGGTGTCCACGGCTCGCCGTAAAGAAGATAATCTCATCACGGTCTGGAGCAAATACAGGCGTGATACACGTGATATCAGGGAGATGACTTCCGCCAGCCACGGGGTGGTTCGTCAGCACCACATCGCCACGCTGAAAGGCGCCCTGACCAAGCTTCGCGAGGTTCTCCGCCTGCCATTTGACCGCAAAGCTCATGCTGCCCAAGTGGACTGGCAGATGCGGCGCATTCGCAATCAGGGAGCCGTCCGGCGCAAAGATCGCGCAGGAGAAATCCAACCGTTCCTTGATGTTGGTCGAAATGGACGTCTGCTGCAGCGAGCGGCCCATGGACTCTGCCACTGCCATGAAGCGGTTCGCAAATAGCGAAAGCAGGATCGGATCGGCACTAGAGCTTGTCATTGTGTAGGGGGATAGGAAGAAAGATGCACAGCGGGAGAGCGCCAAGGGTGTTTGACGCCTGGAGGTCTCGGGTCGTTCCGAGAAAACGTCACGAGGCACGGCGCGGCACGGTCGAGGTGTGGGGTTGGTCGCCCTCTCCACGCCCGATGCCGATGAGACATGCTTTGTCAGCCGGACACGCGCGCGCCGGTCAGCAAGTTACCCACGCAGGCAGGCAAAATGGCTGCCACGATTGATCGATCCGCCGCTGGATCTACGACGAGCGAGCAGGCACGGCTGGGAACGCGTGGGTATACGACGGAAATCCGTGGCCCCTCACCTCGTCTCCTTGCTGCTACGCCACTCCTACACCCTTCCATTCGCCTTCCATTCGTACGCACTTACGCCAGCTAAGCGTAGTACGCCTATACCACGATGGCTGTGCCGCAGTCACAGCCCTCCTCTTCGCTGCAGCAACAGACGCAGCATTCTCACCAACATACGCTGAATTTACCCACAGGGGATGCAGAGCTCACCTACCAACGAGGTACGCACTACACGCACATACTTACCATACAGTGCGTTCATGGGGCTTGGACGATGTACGCGACTGGCTGTGGGCCAACAACCTGGGTCAGCATGCGGGTCTGTTTCTTTCGAACGACATCCGTGGTGCGGCGCTCCTGCAGCTGGATCATGCTGTCCTTAAAGAAATGGGCATCCCTATTGTCGGCGATCGTCTCCGTCTTCTCTCTGCCATCCGTACGCTTCATAAAAAGTGCGCAGCGAATGCGACCATGGCGCCCGCAGCCTCTACGCCCAGCACGCCCTTGCCGCCGCCCGTGCTAGGCTCTGTGCCGATGCAGTCAAGCCTCTCGTCGCCAACGCAGGCTATATACCATACACCGCCGTCATCGTCCATGCATTTGGCCTCGCCGACCATACTTTCGCCGCCGGCACGGACCCTGTCCCCCAGCAATCTCACGTCCCTGGCTCCCCTACGCACGCAACGTACGGCCAGTGTTGACCGATATACCTCTGAACTAGATGCACGCACGGCGACCATGAACAATGCCACCGCTCTATCGCCGCTGGCGCCCGTGTCCCTCCCTTCCGCCGCACCGTCTGTCACGACACCTGTGCGGCGGCCCAATACGTCTACGGGCGTGAGCCCCGTCTCGCTGAACCGGCCCTCCACGTCGTCCATGGCCCTCACGAGCGGCACAGCGCCTATGCGCAACAGTCCTGCGACCTCGCGTCTACGGCGGCCTGCCTCGTCCAACTCCAGCTCCAGCACGAATCAGGTGGGCTACGCGGTCGGCCGTGGGACGTTTGCGCCAAAGCCACGCGTCGCGCAGATCAGTGCGCCGTACAACCTGCGCCGAGGCGAGTCGTCAGACTCGGAGGAGCCGCGCCTGGGTGAGCGTCTGACGAGTACGAGTACGAGTCTTAGCGCGTCTTCGACGCATTCTACGTCGACGGCCACGACGACGACGAGTTCGGGTCACCAAGTGCCCAGTCTGGAGACGATTCGGAAGCATATTGTCAAGTTCCTGGCGGAAGACGGCACCTCTCGCAGCGTAGACGTCAGTCGATGTCGCCAAGCGAGTGATGTCCTTGCGAAGGTTCTGCACAAATTCGGTGCGCTTACCGAGCCTGATTCGACACAGTACATGCGCCGCTGGGTCGTGGCTATGACCGATGCGGATGCTCAGCGTACGTATACATGTCACTAACCTGTAGTCAAAGTGCTTTCGGAGATGGAGCTGATGACCGTATGCTCGCAGCCCCATATTTACGATCCGGTATGGCGGCATGGACTGTACTTGCTGCGTACCACGGATGAAGCACCTCTTCGTCCAGGCTCGCAGCGGGAAGCGCCGGTGGATACGTTCCGATCCACCGTTCCGATCACGCGACGTGCTTCGACGTTCAGTATCCTGAGCGGCCTGGGCGGCGGTGAACTAAGTGTCGCGTCAGCTTCGACGCAAGAGGAAGGCATTTCGCCTACGCGGTCGACGATGCGCATCAAGCCCAAGACACCGACGGAAGGCGCTCTGCCGAACGTCCGTCGCCGCGTACGCAACTTCTTCGGGCAGCGTCCCAGTTCCGAGCTTATTAGCTCGCACTTGGCGGACTATTTCCCCTCGACGGACAGCCGCGAGCTCCACCGGTACTCTGGGCTGGCTCAGAGTACAAGCACAGATCCGCTCCCACCGGCCACGTCGTCGATACTGGACGTACGCACACCTACCTCGACCATCCGGCCCTACTCTCTCCACCAGAGCGATGCCGATGACAATGCGAGCTTGCTGACCGTGGACGAAATCACGCAGGACCTGGAAGAGCGCCAGACGCTGCATCCTGTGTCGACGCAGCCGTCGTCCGGGCTCCCTGCCTCCGGCAAGAGCGACAGGGAGGCACCTGCTGCGTTGGGCGACACGAATCGTGCGCCTGCCGTGCCGCCGGTCGTGATCCCTGCGGGCCCTGCTGCGGCGTCGGGCCCTGCGCCTCTCTCGGTGGCGAGCACCCCTGGCAAAGCGCCGCTGCGCTGGCACAAGGGTGCGTTGATCGGCGCTGGGTCGTTTGGCAAGGTGTTCCTCGGTATGAATGCCAAGACCGGTCTCTTGATGGCGGTCAAGCAGGTGGAGCTGCCGAAATGCGACGATGAAAACACACGTCGACGGCGGCTTATGGTCGACTCGCTCGAGGCGGAGATTGCCTTGCTCAAGACGATCCAGCATCCGAACATTGTGCAGTACCTTGATTCGAATTCGGATGGCGACTACCTGAACATTTTCCTGGAGTACGTCCCGGGTGGCTCTGTCGTGGCGCTCCTGCGCAATTACGGCGCGTTTGAAGAGCCGTTGGTCCAAAACTTTGTGCGCCAAATCCTGCAAGGCCTGGCGTTCCTGCATGCACGTGACATTGTGCATCGCGATATCAAAGGCGCGAACATTCTTGTGGACAACAAGGGCGGTGTCAAAATCAGTGATTTTGGGATCAGCAAAAAAGTCGAAAGTGGTCTGCTGGTGCCCGCGTCGGCCAAGCGCCCTGTGCTGCAAGGCAGTGTGTTCTGGATGGCGCCTGAGGTCGTGAAGCAGTCGATGTACACGCCCAAGGCCGATATCTGGAGCTTGGGGTGTTGTGTCGTGGAGATGTTTACCGGGACGCATCCCTGGCCGAACCTGGATCAGATGCAGGCGCTCTTCCAGATCGGCATGGTCAAAGCGCCGCCGCTGCCGACGGACATCTCCGCCGAGGCTACGGCGTTCCTGGGCCAGACGTTCGTCCTGCAGCATGAAGAGCGGCCCGCCGCGGCTGTACTTCTTCAGCATACCTTCCTTACACAGGGCAGCGATGATGCCGCAGCGGACGATGAAGTCTCGGATCTAGAGGCGCGGTAGGGCTCGTAGTAACTCGAGTGCTTGTGTAACGTCTCCTATTGTGAACTATACGCTAGTTGGCTTTCTTCGCGGCCCGAGCGCGAACACGCAAGGCCTGGCCCTGCAGAATGAGCGGCTTTGGGCGCACGTCGGCAAACATCTTCCAGAACACCTCGAGGATGTACGAGCCAACAAAGTCAATGACCATCGTCACGACCAAGATCGACTGGTAGTCGCTCGTCATCTTGGTCAGCTGTAGCCATTCATTGAGCTCCGGCACGAGCTCCAGCGCGCCCAGGTACGCCACGGCACTCGCGCCCAGCAGACCATAGTACAGCGCCTTGTTCTCCGGGATGCTCTCACGCCACGGCCGCCCAATGTAGTTCACGGCGAACGTAGACACCGTCTGCGAGAGACCAAGTAGGTACACACCCGAGTTCAACAACGTCGGCGTGTACTTTGCCTCCAAGTTCACTTCGCCAGGGTCCTCAAATCGCACCGAGGTTTGCTGGACGTACATCATCGTGACGACATGCAGCGCGGTCTGCGATAGAATCGAGCCAAACACGTACAGACTGAGAATCGTGTTTACCGGGCGTTCGGGCGCCAGCTTGTCCAGCGGCTTCCCGCGGCTGATGCAGTAGAAGCACACCGAGATCAGCATGCTGCTGACTGCCAGCTGGTAGTCGCCCATCTTGATACCGTCAAGGTACAGCACACTCAGCGAGTACGCCTGGATCAAGCAGTTGAGCGCCAGAATCTTGTACATCTGCACCGTAGCGACCAGCGTGCAGCGTCCCTGCCGGATGATCGAGCACACCGCCTTGACATTGGCCAGCTTGCTGGTGAACGGCGCAGCGACCGACGCATCGCCCAGCCGGATCTGCGGCGGGCCATCGTCCTCGTCCAGCGCATCCATCGAGGAGGTAATCGACGACAGGTCAAACTTGGCCACTGGGTTCGCGGCGCGCTGCACCTGCATCTTGCGGGCGGCCTTCTCACGCGCCTCTTCCAGCTGCGGGAACGCCTCTTTGAGCGCCGGCGGCACCGGTGGCGGCGGCTGGTTCCACCGCGCCATGAGCGCCAGCTGCGCCTCGTAGCTCTTTTTCATGCGCTCCAGCCTCTGGTGCTCGGCAATCTTCTTCAGATCGTCTTCCGAGCCATCCAGCAGTGCCACACCAATGTTCGCCATCTTGAGCGCACCCACGTCGTTGGTCCCGTCGCCCGCCATCAGCGTGACGTAGCCCAACGAACGAAGCACACTGAGAATCAGCTCCTTCTGCGTCGGCGACACACGCGCGTATACCACCGTATTCGCGACCAACTCACGCAGCGCCGCCGGCTTGTCCTCAAACTGACGCAGCGCCACACCCGTCACACAGACATCGTACTCGTCAAACAGGTGACGATGCAGATCCTGCTCGGTATCCTGCTCCCGGACCACCTGGTCATCCGTACCGCGCCACACCAAATCGTGATCCGCACCGCCCTCGCGCTTGTCCAGCACGAGTGGCTCCCGCACCACAATTTCCACTTCCTCCGCCACGTGAATCGCCGTGAGCGCATTGTCACCTGTGATCATCACACAGCGATGCGACGAGTCGTTCAGCTGACGCAGCGATTCCACGGCATCCGGCTTCAGCGGGCAGTGCAGAACCAGGAAACCAGCAAACTGCAACTCCGACTCCACCTGCTCGCGCTTCAGCGAGCGGCCATCGCCCTCCAGCCAGCGGTAGCCCAGCGCAATCACACGGCTGCCACGGCGCGTGTAGTGTCGGTACACCTCATCGTAGTTCGACGGCAGCTCTTTGAACATGGGCTTCAGCACTTCCGGCGCACCCTTCGACGCGGCCAGCAGCTGCTTGTACCCAGCGACTTGACTCACCGTCGACATACGCTTCAGCGCGGAAGAAAAGTGGAAGCGTGTCCGAATCGTCACCGCAGGGCCCATAGCCTTCTCGCCAGGGACCACATGATCTCCTTGCTTCACGACCCAGCCCAGAGCATCCAGCGCACGTCGCTCCATCGGATCACCGACCACTTCATCGTCGACCAGCACCAATGCATGCGCAGCCGCCACGACCAACGTCGTCGCCGGCATGGCCTTCGTCATAGGCAAGAGCTCGTCTGAGAGCGGCTTCGTACCGTCTGTCGCTGTACCGACCACACCTTGCACTTCCAAATCCTCGCCGGTGATCGTGCCTGTCTTGTCGAAGCAGCACACATCCACGCGGCCCGCGTAAGGAATGCGGAACGGCTCCGTACAGAAAATCGCAAACTTGGAGAGAGCCACCAACGAAGCATTGACTGCCATCGAAAGCTCCATCGGCAGCTCCGGCGGGACGACCGACGTAATGATCAGAATGCAGTCCAGCAACAACTTGCCCTTCGGACGCTCCATCTTCAGACCATTCACCCAGACGTACGCACTGGCGGCAATCGCAAAGACCAACAGGAAGGCAATAAACACAAAGCTCTCCAGATTGTTCGCCGTCACCTGGTTCTCGTTTGTGTACACCATCAAACGAATCAGACGGCCCTGCGTCGTGCCAAAGCCCGTACGAAGCACGATGGCCATCGCGCCGCCATCCGGCGCCGCAGGCACACCCGCCATCTTCTCGCCAGGCGTCACCTGCAGCGCCTTGGTACCGCCAAACAGGCAATGCAGCTTATCGCTGCCCTGGTCGTCCAGTGTGTCCGTGCCATTCCGCTGCGTCAGTCCTTCTTTCAGCAATGGCGTGCTTTCACCACTGAGCATCGCTTCGTTCACAATGGCCGAGCCTGACACCAAGACCAAGTCGCACGGCAGCGCCGAATCGGGCTTGGTCCGTGTCACACTCACCAAGTCGCCAGGCAGCAGCTCCGAGGTCATGACTTCCGTCCACTTCTTGTCACGGAACACATGAATCAAGAAAGGCTGGATCGACATCGTACGGAACTCGTTGAGCGTACGCAGGCGCTGGAATACAACCGTGCACTCAAATGCGACCAAGCCAAAGAGCGAGATCAGCGACGAGAACCAGTACTCATCCAGGAGCCAGAGACCCACACAGAAGATTTGGAACACAAAGAATGGCGCAACGGCATGCTCAATAAACAGATCCATGAAACGCGGCACAGGAATGTCAAGCACATTGCCACCGTAAATGCGCTGCGCACGCTCCAGCGCGTCACCGCGCAAACCTGTGCTTTGCTGCACATCCTGCAGCGGCATATGCGCATCGGCCGGGTACAGCACGCGGCGGAACGTACGTTCACGAATGTCTGGCGACGTTGTGACCGACGTCGAAGGCGCTTTCGAGTCGGGGAAGGCCAGCACATACTTGTCAGCTTGGTACACGAACGAGTACTCGTCCTGCTCACCTTGCCGGCGTACCCGCTGGAGCGCGAGCATCGCGCCCTCGCCCTTGTGCGCTAGCGGGAGAATACGCACACAATCTGCAGCGTCCACATCAGAGACACGCGCCGCGGTAATCCATGCCTCTGCGCGCACGTCCCAGTGCGTCACGAGATAACTGAGCGCATGCGAGGCGACCAAGGCCACCGTGTACACAAACGTCCACTCTTCCGACTTGACCCAGTCGTCGTATCGCACATAGTACGTGTACGCCAATACGGGGTACAAGCTGAGGAATGGCAGCATGTACAAATGCGACCATAGTGGACGCTTCCGATACAGCGCCACGCTGGCAATCTCATCCGATTGCACCGCGACACTCCTACTCCGTTAGCGTCTCTTCAAGCTGAGGTACGTACATCGTTGTTGGTACACGTCTCAACGAAGGAACCCTCGCCTCCTTGTACGCGCGGCCGTCTCCAACGTGGCCTCCGCCTCTGCTGTCTGCGGCGCTTTCTCATGCTTAGTCATCGACGCGTGACTATCGCGACGCACGGCGGGCGTCACTGTTGGGCGCCCAGGCACTTGGACTCCTCTTGCTCCTTTTCTCTGTTCGCTTGCGTATCGCCGTGAGGGATGTCAAAATCGACTGCGTCCAGCAGTAATACCACTGTTCTTGTCCCCTCGCATATCAAGACCTCCGCAGTGTCTGTTGAGCAGCCACCTGCCAAGCCTGTGCAGAAAACTCCCAATGTATACCCATTTTGGCTAGGCGGTGTTGCGTCGAGTATTGCCGTATGCTTTACGCATCCCCTTGATCTCGCCAGGGTGCGTCTGCAAAACTCGCCAACCAAGATGTCGACAGGACAGCTGATCTGCTCGACGATCGCCGGTGAAGGTGTGCGTGGTCTGTACATCGGACTGTCGGCCAGCATTCTGCGCCAAATGACATACAGTCTCACTCGGTTCGCAGCGTACGAGGAAATGAAGAACTACGTGCAACGTACTCGCTTTACTGACAAGCCCATCCCGATGTGGATCACCATTAGCGCTGCCAGTCTCGCAGGCGCCGCGGGCGGCATTGCTGGCAACCCCGCTGACTTGGTCTTGGTGCGCATGACCAGCGATTTGTTTCGTGAACCTTCTCAGCGCTTCCAGTACCGTAATTGCTTCGATGGTGTGATGCGCATCATAAAGGATGAGGGTGTTCGTGCGCTCTTCCGTGGCTGGCAGCCGAATACGGTGCGTGCGGCGCTCATGAACGCGAGTCAGCTTGCGTCGTACGATTTTTTCAAGGACTTGCTCCTTTCTACAGGCCTGTTTACCAACGGCACGCTTGCGCACTACCTGACATCGTCTCTTCTTGCTGGAACTGTGGCTACGACGATCACATCTCCCGCTGATGTCGTTCGCTCCCGTTTGATGAACGTGCGTGGCACCGAAAGCGGCGTCCCACAACTCCTCAATGCCATGCGGTCGGAGGGCCCCATGTTCCTGTTCCGTGGCTGGGTTCCTTCGTGGATGCGTTTGGCGCCGCAGACGGTCATTGTGCTTACGCTTCTTGAAGAACTGCGTCATTTGGTCGATTATTGCCGCGGTACATAGTTATGACTATTTTTTTTTTTTTTTTTTCACAATGTCATGTCGGTATGATTACACTATCGTAGGCCTACCCCATCGTTTCGTCCGTCTCAGCAGCAGCGCCTGTAGCTGGGCGTGCGGCCAGCTCCAGTGTATTGCGTGCATGCGTACGTAGCGCTGCGAAGGGGTTGTCACTTTTTTGTAAGTCGGCCAGAATGAAAGGCTGGCGTTGTCGTTCTCGTGTCCTGGTGTTAGTCGTAGGCATACATACAACATCGCTCGGCGTGATTTGGCTGTGGTCCCGGAAGGGACATGCGGTAGTCGCGGATGCGAGCTGGCTTGCGATGGCGAATCTTCCATGGCCTCTTCCATCGAGGTGACCATCTCTGTGAGGGCCTGCATACCCTCTTGATTGCCTGCCAACTGCTCCTTCGCACGTTGCTTCTGACGACGAAGAGCCGATTTAGAGAGCGTACGTGGAAACTTTTGCTCCTTCTGTAGCCGCACCGCTAGAGATGAGCGCGTCTTCTTCGCCTCCCGCGGTGGGAAGGGCGACGCTGTTTCACGTCGGCCCATCGTGCAATCTATCGAGGGAGAGCGGTGCGGTGCGGTGGGCCTTCCTCCACTTGGCTTGAGCCCTGCCTACTTTTTTTTTTCGGTGCGCCGCACCCGATCTACAGGCCCGATCTATGTACATCGTCAAGGCATGGGCCCTGCGGTGTGCGACGGCGTGGAGGCTCGACTGTCCAACGGCCGTGGCGATATGGATGGCGTAGGTGGGCCGACCACCAACCGTCCATTGGCTTGCAATCGTGCCATAGCGGGAGATAGCGTCAGCGACGCATGTCGTGCCGCGCGATGCAAGGTATGCGCGGAGAGTTTGCGGGCGGGGGAGGGTGTCGACGGTGTGGCCGCTCGATCGCGGCGGCCGGCGCTGGAGGGGCGGCGTGGCCCATCGCTGCTCAAGCCCAGTTTGCGTGGTGTGTGGGGCGTAGGGGTTAGGGTCGAGGTACTGGAGCTGCTCTCTGTCGAGATATCAGCCTCAGTGACTAGCGGTGCGACAGGCGTAGATGCAGAATCGCCCTGCTTTGTCATACCTTGCCATGTCTGCCGTAGCACCGAGGGGCCAGGTACTCGTTTTTCCGCGGCTTGAAGGCATGCAGCTAAGCGAGTCCCGTCCTCGTCGAGATCCCGTACATAGCCCAGCACTTGGCGCAAGAGGCCCCACATATGAGCCTGCTCCATTTGTGCTAATACACTCGCAGCACTCTCGATGCTTGTCGCTTCGTCTTCCAAGTCGTTCACCACTACCAAGTACGAGCTGGCCGTCTCCAAATCGTGGCGTTCTAGGCAATGGTGCAGCAATGTGGCGGGACGACCTGCGATCGCGAACAAGTGCGGCCATCGCTTCGCTTCGGTTTTTCGCGCCGCCCGAGCGAGAATGGCCAGTCCTTCAGGGAAATGATCCACAAACCGAAGCACAGTCGGAAGCACTTGGGCGTGGGTTGCGATTGGCGGCTTCGCATCCGCTTCGTCCTCCAGCACGCTGTGGAGTAGCACTTCGAGGATGTGCGAGAAGTAGCGCAGCGACGCGTACGAACTCGCGACATCCAAAGCATCGTACATGCGATGGTCGGTTAACAAAGCCCGCAGGACTTGGTCCACAAAGAGAGTCGTACGCAGCTGCAATCGGAACGTTGCAGTGTCCAGCGTCCGCCGGACCACATCTGTAGCCTCCGCACCGAGAACGATGCCGCGGTCCAGCAGGACCCCAATCGGGTACGCATCCACACGCATATGACGGACGGGCGTCTGCTCGAGCACATCGAGCCACCAACAGAGCTGGCGGCCATCGTAGCCCCATAAGGCATAGGGCCAAGGCCCCTCCGCTTGCGTATGAGTCCAGAACGTCTCCAAGTGCTCGTGCAAGATATGCAAATCGTACGACACTTCGTCCGAGTTTGGCTCACGCACTGGGTGCAGGAGAATCAGCATGCTATCAATCAAGAACAGCAGGCTGGCCGAGCCGATATCTTCTTTCTCGGCCGGTGTCGAGGACGGTGCAGGGAGCCAACCAAAAGCACGAACACGAGCTGGCTCACTAATGATGCCCTCAAACGAGATGCTACCGCATAGACGCAGTCGAATCCGATCCTGCGTCGTTGTGATCATATAGTGCACAAGGGTATTGTCTGCCAGGTACAGAAGCAGACTGGTATCAAACAGTTCCATGGTCACCACAGGCGCCGACTGTACGGCCAAGTCGAGCAAATGCGCATTGTCCAGCGGCTGATCGCGTGAGTACAAACGTATTTGGACCTCGCCATTGCAGTCACACGCCGCAATCAACACATGTTGGAACCACAGCAGGCCTCCTCGCACGTAAAAGGCATGTGCCTGCGCGGGCTGCTCAAACAATTTCCAGTGGCCGGAAGCCGTACTGTAGTGCGCCAAGCCTCGTCGACCCGCCATAGCGATGAAGCGGCCGTCGTCACTTAGAGTCGCGTACCGAATCGGCCACTGCGTCGCGAGATAGGCAGCCGGCATACGGACCGGGCGCCATACATCGCTTTCCGGCGTCAAAAGACCAGCATCGCTCTGCTCACGACCGCGATAAATCCACAGGCTATCGTCGCTCATCAGGAAACTTGCGCTGGCCTCATCGGGGCGCATATGGCATGTCGCGACAGCTTTGAGCATCGGCAGCACAAACACCAACGCATCGTCCTGCGATGCGGTCGTAGCGCTTTTCGGCAACACAAACAGTTCGGTGCCGCCCAGGCCCCAGAACACGCGTTGAATCCCCTTCGCAAAGGTATCGCGAAATACACGCGTAGACGTCGTCCAGTCGTCGCGGAAACTGTGGTAGAGCAAATGCCCCAACGAGCTCCATAACGACCATCCATGCTCCCACCCGACGGCGAGGGCGTAGCCATCGCTGCTCCAGGCCAGCGAAGTGACACGGCCTGTGGTCCACGTAGGCACATGCAGCGTATGCGACAAGGTGGGCGGCTGCGTGGGTGTTGTGCATTCGTACACACGCACATCGCCATCGTCCCCACCCAGCGCGAGCAAGCTGAATCGCGCATTCATGGCTGTCGTCGTGCTCGACGATTCGCACACACACACACCTTCATGAGCTTCTTCCCCGCTCACTAGATAGGTGTGTGTATCTGTGAGCCAAATTGACATATCTGTCGCGTGTGAGTATTCCATATGCGTGACACTGCCAGTGAACGACGACGTGAGCCATGGCAGCGATGACAGCAGGATCGGCTCGAGCGTGTCCGGCGCGTCGTGCCATGGCAAGCGTTGCAGCGCGGGCGGCGTCTGTGTCGCCACAAGCAAGTACGTGTCGGTGGCCGACATGGCCGATACGCCAGACGCAATGTGCCATGCATGCCGGAACGATAAGGCGAGGCCCATGCGAGCGGCCAACGGCTCGCCGCCAGGCGTATGATATCCTTCGCCTGTCCCCGGCTGAAAGGTGGCTAAGAGAGCCGACATGGACGGCGCCATGTCCGGCTCGCCCGGATGTACCAGGGCATGTACATAGGGCGCCTTGGTCGGCTGTACGACATCGTAAAAGAGGAGGGTATGTTGTGTCGTCTACCGGTAAGTGTGCATTCCGTACGTACCTGTACCACAATCACGCTTGCGTCCGGGCACCAAATTGCATGAACATTCGCTCCGTACTCGTCCAAGCTGCGTGGCGTTCGTACTACGGCAGCCAAGAGCTCAGCAGGGCGTGCTCGCCATACAAGGATCGCGGTGCGTGTAAGGACCAGCCAGAGCGTCGCATTCCGCACACTTGTCATATGCAGTGCCTGGGCGGCGGCCGCGTCTGGAAGGCCCGCTGACGCGACACAGAGTCGTCGAGCGCTGCCGCTGGGCCAATACATCAAGGGACGTGACCCACGACGCTTCCAAAACGAAAAAGGCGCGTACCAGCGACGACGACCGGCCGATCGACTGACCGCGACGCATGCGTGCAGCCCGATTCCGTGCAGCCCGATTCGTTTGCGCATGCGTCCCTTTTCCCTCCACACGAGGGACCCAGGGCGGGGCGCGCGCAGTCGTCGTTCGTGGAGTAGGCGCGCCGCCTGCGCCGCCCTCCCCCTCCCTTTTTCATCGTCCATCGCAGGGTGAGCGTGAGACGCGCGCTTCTACCATGGCCTCTGAAGTGCGCGGCCTTGCGCCGTCAGTCACAGGCGTGCCCTCTGGCAGCGATACGGATATGAAGTATTTGCAGAAGCATATGGAGCGCATTCGTACGCACCAGCCGCGGCCTGCTGAGACGCCAGCGCATCTGTCGACTCCCATGGCAGAGCGTGGCGTGCTGGAGCAGATTGCCTCCGATGACGATCCGAAGAAGCGCATGGAGTGGCAGCGTATGCTGCGCTCTGTGTTGGAAAGCGATGTCCTGAGCTCCGAGACGAAGCGCATTACCGCCGCGGAAGCGTCCGCACCGACGCCTGCCGAAGTCATGCATCGTGTATGGCTAAGCTTGCATGCGATGTATGCGGGGCGGCCTGAATACATGGACCAGCCCGAAGGGGAGGAAAGCTACCTTCGCGAGGAACGAGCACGAATCGTGCCCAATGTCATGGACGATGTCTTGCGTTTTCGTGAGTCGGCCACCGAGACGAGTCCCAAGGAGGAGGTGTACAAGGAAGTCGTCACGCTCCTTGACCGTGTCGACTATGTCACGCGTCTCTTCCCATCGCACCGCCAGCTAGCGGAGGCCTATCCTGCCTGGACGCATGAACTCTTCCAGCGCAAACTAGCCGCGATTGTCGCCTGGCACAATGTCGCCCATGAGCTTTCTGCGCAGGTGCGCTTGCTGCAAAAGTGGACCGGTACACTGACGTCGCCGGGCGGCACACTACGCCCCACGATCCAGTCGTCGCAGCCCGGTGACGTGATTGACGATGACTTGACGGTGATTGAGCGTATTTTCCGTGAGAGTACAATGCACCAGACCTTTGAGCAGCGATCGTTGCGGCGTCTGCGGGTCTTGGTCGAGCTTGCGCGTGATGCTCTGCGTGATCACCACGATATGTTTTCGCAGCTGCACCTGCCGTCGCTCGAGTCGGATACACTGCCCCTTGTTCGCTTCCCCATGTGGCTTGCCGAAGGCGCGTTACGGCAGCGGCTGGAATATGCCGATAAGCTCAAGGAGCCTAGTATTTTGCTGGTCGACTCCCTTGCCGACGATCTGCGGTCCGTGTTGGCCCTGGCGTGCCGTATCAAAGATACTTATACCCTACTTACAATTCCCGAGCCGGAGATCGGCTGGAACTTGCCGTTGGAATCGGACGACAGCTTTGATGCGACGATCTGCAGTGCCCTGCACTTTTTCTTCCGTCTGCTGCATTTCCGGCTGAAGAGTGTGCCGTACTTCAAAGAGCTCGATGTCCTCGAGCCTGAGTGGGACTTTTTGTTCGAGGCCGTGCATGTGGTGCCTGGCGCGGATGTGATTGTCGCGCATCGGACGGCCACCCTGGTCAACCGCGTGTTTGCGCGTATCATTGCGTACTTCCAGCGCGAGATTCAAGCGCCTGCGATGGCGCCCAAGGATGCCCACCCTGACGTGATGGCCGCTGCTGCGCTGGCATCCACGCCGCATCCCATGCCGGCGACTGTGGGCCGACTGACGCAGGGCCGTGTCCCGATGAGTGTGGCGGATATGACGCGGTGGATCCATACCGTGTTTACCAACACTCGTGTACGCAGCCGCCATGCCACAGGCTTTGCGCGGCGTATTCGCACGCTGCTTGAGACGTCTGCCGAGTACGATTTGCGTGTTCTGAAGCAGGCTAAGCCGGTGCCGATGTCGCCGCCCACCACGTCGCCAGCCTCGCCAGCCCAGAAGCCGCATGATCTGCACACGTTTTTGCAGACGCTCCTAGCGCATGACTACTTTCTTGTGTACACGTCGGCGTTTGAGGAGCGAGGTGTCTTTGTCTTGGCGGAGCCAGGGCTTGATGATCAGCCCCAAACGATCCAGAACCTGATTTTCCAGTGCGTGCGACCGCACCAGCCATCCATGATGAACGACGCGAATAGCGGTACGCCTGGGACGTCTGCCGCGCCTCATTACTTGCTGTTCCTCACACCGCGGGAGCCGTTCTTATGGACAGGCCGCGTGATGACGCTGCCGTTGCCATGGATTGATATTGATATGAAGGACCAGCGTCTGCGCCTGGTCGCCGATGGCACGGGCGCACGGCTGGAGCAGTGCAAGCGCCACTTTGCGTGGCTGTTTGCGCAGCCTGGCGAGGCAGCCGCGCATGGCAGCAGCTATGCGCCTGCCTCGTTCCCTTTGACGGCCGTGTATGAGCGCATGTCGCATCTGTATCTCATCCAGCATGAGCTGAAGCTCATGACCAAGGCCGGCTACGTCTTGACTGATACCGTCGTACGTGCTGTGCCTGTCGTACGTCGGCAAATGCTGCGCCTGCGGCCGTTGCCCGCGTCCGATCGCGCTGCTTGCGACGAATTGGTGCACAGCTGCTTTGGCATTGCCTTTGACCAGGGCGCTCGTGCGCTGGCGTACATCCAAAGTGTGCGTCTTCATGCCCTACTCTCCACGGCGCTCGTGCAGCTGTCGATGGAATGGATTTCGTTTATATGCGACGACTGTGTCCCGACGGAGCGCCTTACGTTCAAGTGGGCCGTCGCTGCGCTCGAGCAGGCGATGAAGACGACGACAGGGGAGAACATTTTCTTACTGAGTGAGCGCGAATTTGTGCAGCTACGTACGTGTGTATCGAGTTGTATGGCGCTGCTTATCTCGCACTTTGACGTGCTGGGCGCACGCAGCAATGCCCTGCAGGAGCAGGAAGTAAAGCGTGCGCAGCGTCTGGGCGAGCCACGCCGACTGACCGCCTACGATGAGGTCATGGCGTTTGCCAAGACACTCAGTGAGCATCGTCTTGCGGCGCTGGCTGTGCATGACGAGACGCGCGAAGAGCATTTGCGCGAGCGGCGCTTGATTGGCCACGTCCTGGACGATACGCGACTGGAGAACCGCAATTTGCAATTGCTCGCGTCAAAGGGCGTGCAAATGCGCTGGCAGCAAGGTCGGTTTATTGGTGGCGGAACGTTCGGTACTGTGTACCTGGCCGTGAATCTCGATACCGGTGGCCTGATGGCCGTGAAGGAGATTCGGTTCCAGGAGCTGTCGTCGCAGCCGGCACTTTTCCAGCAGATTCACGACGAAATGCAGGTCATGGAAATGCTCCGCCATCCCAACATTGTCGAGTACTATGGCATTGAAGTCCATCGGGATAAGGTGTACATTTTCGAAGAGTACTGCCAGGGCGGCAGCCTCGCACAGCTGCTGGAGCATGGCCGCATTGAAGACGAAATTGTGTTGCAGGTGTACACGCTGCAACTGCTCGACGGGCTGATGTACCTCCACTCCAAGGGTGTAATCCATCGCGATATCAAGCCGGAAAACATTTTGCTGGATCACATGGGCGTCATCAAATTGGTCGACTTTGGCGCTGCGAAAGTGTTCTCGAACAAGTCACGCACCGTCAAACTCCCAGCAGGCGGGCGACGTGCGCCACTCGTCCTGCCAGGCCGCTCCGATCAGCCTGGGCAGAGCTTGCAAGGTACGCCGATGTATATGAGCCCCGAAGTCGTGCGAGGCGAGGACAAGGGACGGCCTGGCGCCTTGGATATCTGGAGCTTGGGCTGCGTCATTCTGGAGTGTGCGCGTGGTCAGCGCCCATGGAGCCATCTCGATAATGAATGGGCCATCATGTTCCACATCGGCATGGCGCAGCAGCATCCCCAGCTGCCTGATCCGTCGCAGCTCAGTGCGCTGGGCATCGACTTTATTCGGCAGTGTCTTACCATCGATCCATTTGAGCGGCCGTCCGCCGTGGAGTTGCGGCAGCATGCATGGATTCGCGACTTGGTCGACGAGCTGAATGCCGAGAACGAGCTCGAAGAAGCGGAAGCCGCAGCGGCCGCCGCCGCTGCGGCTGACACGTCCACGTCCGCCGCGGAGACTACCGTGACCGACCGGCAGGCCGAGGCCACAACGATCGATCCCTCCTCGTCCAGTACTGACGAGGGAGAGACCGACGACGACGCAGCGATCCCTACGGAGTCGGAAGGCCTCTTGCAGGCCAAGCAGGATACGCTAGCGCAAGCCGCTGCGGCTGTAGCTACGCCGCATGACGCGGAGGCATCGGCCACGTTGAAGCCTTCTCCCCCGTCTACGCAGCGTCGTGTCTCGTTCAACGATGCGGTGGATACCAACACGACATCCACGCCACGCTGGGAACCTGGCCACCCAGACCACAGTCACCCAGGCTACGAAGCGCTGGTCGCCGACGTGCAGTACCGTCGGGAAGAAGAGCAGATCAAAGCGATGCTGGAGCCCGATTGATTCATACATACCACTACCTGTACTCCATACCACGACACTCTATCGGTGTCGGCCAATACAATCCTGTCATAATACATGTGTGCCGCGCTGGATCACAGCCTATGCCTGTGCTTGCAGAAAGCGTGAGTGCCTGGCCATTCACCACGCCGCCACGTCCATTCGTTTGGAGCCACGTACGTACGCGCCATCCAGGCGGCGGCGGCATGGAGCGCTGCTGTGTGGGGACAGGCACACCTTCGTCGTCTTTCTCGATACGTGGGCGGCCAGTGTACGCGATCTCCGCGACCCAGCTCGGGGCCAGCGGCGCGGCTTCGCGTTCGTGGATCATGCGCGTCAAGTCACGTAGCGATGGATGGCCAGCGACAAGAATCGAGGCGCCTTGCAATGGGTCATGGTCCGCTGGCGTACCAGTTGCGGGCATCACGTCCATGTTGTCTGGGAAGAACGGCATAGGCACAAACACCCGTTCCTCAAACAGACTGGGCGACGTCCAATTCGGCGTCCCATCGGCCATGTGTGCCTTGATCGGGTACACAAGCACGCCAGGGCCCACAGTCGCAGCGACGACCATGGCGCTGTGCGTCGGCGTGACCTCAATCCCATTGGCAAAGGCAATGTTGCTCGCGATGGCGCGCGTTGTCACGCCCTGTTCCCAGCCTGGCAGGTCGTCCGACGTACGCTCCTCTGTAAACGTCACATGAGCGACCCACCCGAGACCCACAATTTCGTCCAGCCGCTGGAATATGCGCTGCCAGCGTGGATGCATGAGCCATGGGTAGACATACGAGGCCCACGTGGAGCCAAGACGCCCCTCCAATGTGCGTTTGTACCAGGCCTTGGGCGGCGCACGGAGCGCTACGACGTGTGTGTTCGTGATGAGCATAGATGTACGACTCAGTGGCTTAACACTGTTGCCCATATGCGTAGCGAGTGGGTGGGCGACGGTGCGTACATACGTCGCACGCCATGCGCCATCGACGTTGTGCACGTCCAAGACTTCTACGGTCGTAGCGATACCGCGTTGGTTTAGCACAAACAGACGCACATGCTCTGCCTCGTCCACATGCACGCCGAGGCCCAGGGGGTGGAAGTCGGCTTCTGCCGGGAAGCCATCGATAGGCAACGGATGCGGCGCGGAGGGACGATCATAGTGCAAAAGCCATAGTGCGCCATGGTACTCGGGGTGGGCCAACGGGCCCATGAACGTATTCCACTTTATCCGGCCAGGGTCGCAGGAAAGGAAAGCTATGCCATGCGAAGGGACCAATCGAACATCTTCGCACGACTGCGTGGTCTGCGCTGGGCGGCCCGTCAACGGATCACGCAGGTACGCGTACGCATCCTCGACAAACTCACTTTCAATCGGCGTGCAGTGCATGTCCGCCGCAGGTCGGATGTACCAGTCCGGGAGCACATCCTGCGCTGACTGCGTCACGAGGACAAACATCGTCTTAAGGTACGCATACTGGGACAGCAGCAGCCCAAAAAGCACAAGGCTAAGCGATTGCACTACATTGCGTGACACGCGGTGCCCACGTCGAGGTGCGCTCCTCGCGTCCTCTCGCGCACCCATGGTGGTCGGTGGTGGTCCGTGTCGTTCCCTCGTCACGCCACTTTGGCGCGGTAGGGCCATCTGGGGCGGGGCCAGCGGTCCACGCGCTGTGCATGTGGAGGGGGACTAGGGGACCCCGACGAGAGGGCTTGTTTTGGTCTTCCATTGGACCGTCATGTACGTAGCGGAGAGGACTAACCCAGCAGGAAGCTGTGTACGTGGCCAATATTACTGACCTCTAGTCGCTGTGATTCTCTTTGCGAACCAGCCTGGACAGCAGGCCGTGCCCCTGCTTAGTGCATGGGACTTGAACTCGTTTTCGTGGATGCAGCGTGGCACTGTGCAGGACATGATGGCGTTCATGGCGAAGACCGTGTCGGAGCGCACGCAGCCTGGTCAGCGTCAGTCGATCCAGGAAAACAACTTTACTGCGCATGTGCATGCTCGCCCGGCCGTAGATGGTATTAGCGGCGTGATTGTGTCGGACAGCGAGTACCCCGTGCGCGTGGCCTACTCGCTCCTGAACAAGCTGCTGGAAGAGTTCCTAATGAAGGTGCCCAAGTCGCGCTGGAATGCGCAGGCTGCACAGCTAGCCGCTAGTGGCTCGATTCCCTCGAAAGGCGAGGGTATCGTGCGGTCGTCCGACTTCCCACAGGCGCAAGATTACCTTGCGCGGTACCAGGACCCACGCCAGGCCGACACGATCATGCGGGTCCAGCAAGAATTGGACGACACCAAGATTGTGCTGGTACGTGCACGCTATCTGACACACAGCACAACACCATCGACTCGGTTCTCCAGCGTGGCGAGGATCTTGATAAGTTGGTGGAAAAGAGCGGCTCGTTGAGTCAGCAGAGCAAGATGTTCTACAAGTCGGCTCGGAAGGTACGTATCTTTGGTCGGACTCGGCTCACATTCACAGCAAAGTACGTGGCTCTACTGTCCCTTCCTAACTACCAGACTCGTGCTGCGGCGTGATGTAATGCTCCTTAGTTCTCGTAGACACAACCTCTCCTTGGGCGGTGTCCTCTCCTTCCCTTCCTCACCTCCACCTTCGCCGCTCGCCTCGATCACTCCTCCCACCTTTCCTCTGCGTCATGGTCACGACCTTGTCCACCGCCGAGGTCGCGACGCTCGATCCCGATGTGGTGTTCCGAGAGCACTCTATTCGCGAGATCGATGTATTTGCCAAGCAGCTAGAGCAGGAAGCCAAGCAGAAACAGCAAGCAGCGCAGTCGTTGGTCGCCCAAAATTTCCACGACTTGCTGCGTATCGCCGGTACCGTCGACGATATGCAGAAACACTTGCATGCCCTGCATACCGTATTGCAATCCCTACAGACAACAACGCAGCATACATCAGAGCTGTGCATGCGTCTACGCACACCCACGACGTCGACATCGAACGCGGATGCGACGCCGTCGACCCAGAGCGCTGCTGCGATGCTGCTGGTCGCCGAGGCGCCAGAATACGTCCGCTCGTCCCTGGCCTCACAGTCTATGCTTGGCGCCGTATGGGCGCTGGTGTTTGCAACCAAGGCGCATACCTGGCTCGAGACGCATTCGCCTGACGTGCTCACGCGCTTCCCGCTCCTGGCCTCCCAATGGGACGCCTTGGAAGCACAGCGTGAGTGGGTCATGACGCACATCCAAGCGCGTTGGCACGATATTTCGCTGCCTACACAGCAGCTTCTCGATGCGGTCCTTGCCTGGACGTTCTATACCCCTACGACACTCGCCGAGGCCTTAGCCCAGTTCTATGCGCGGCGTGTCGAAGCCATAAGCCGACTTTGCACATCAACGGACATACCTCTTCCGCAGCGTATGGCTGCGATTGTACGTGCCATCACCACGACGCTTCATCAAGCGACGCGGCTCTGGGGCCCCGATGGCGCGCTGATGCGTGCAATGCAGACGTTCGCTCAGTCGCCGAGGTATTGGTACGACTATGGCCGACCTCGTACGCGATCGACCTACACACCCCTTTCTTCGCCCTTGTTTGAGCATGCGCCCCCCGATGTAACGACGTATGAGCCGCCTTCATGCCCGCCCTTGTCGTTGGACACGCCGACGCATCGTCTGGGCGAGCAGGTGTGCGAAGAGGTCGAGGCGCTCACGCAGGCATTGGCGTCCGTCACAGACACAGACACGCTGCATGCATGCCGAGCGGCGATGGAAGCAGGGATGCCGGCCGCCCTCCCGCCCACGTTGGCGATGGTCCAAGCACGGCTACAGGCCCTGCTGGAGACACGCATGCATGCGCTTCTTCAGCATACGCTGACCGATGTCACTATGTCGTTTTCGCAGGCGTTGGGACGCGCCTTGGACGAGGTGCACGATGCGAATGCCTTGCCGTACCTCTTCCCGATATCCTCGGGGTACGTTGCGCCTTCGCATTGGCGGACGTATCGTCCTTCTCACGTAGACGCGTGTGTTCGCTTGGTCGAGACGCGTCTTTCGCGTCTTTCGCTACGGGAGATGCATGTCCAACGGGCCTGGCAAGCCACATGGACAGCGCTGCTGCGGCAGTTGCAGCAGGCCGATGCTACGTCCCTGGCGCAAGTGCAACTGCTCATGCAGCTGTGCACTGCGCTCTATACCAGCAACGTCTTAGCCACAGGCGACGACAGGACGTCGTACCAGGCATCGCTGGCCAATTTGTATACCCAACTCGCTACGCGCTGGATCGATAGGATCCTCGCGCAGGCCACCTCGTCGCAGACGCGCCTGGCCGGTGTGCTATGGCACATCGCCCATGCCATCCCTGCGATCGGACCAAGTCCTTTCCCGATGCCCATGCAGCATGTGGCCGATGCGCTTGAGCGGGCTTTCCCTGCTACGTCGCGCACATCCACGGAGACAGCGATGTACAAGGCCCTGCAGAGCGCCAAGGACGGAGCTCTTCGTGCGCCAGGGCGATGGCGCTCCGCCTTGGCGCCATGGGCGACGCATAGTCCTAGCCCCAGCACCCCGCCGATGCTTGTGCGTGTCGCGCCTCGTTTCTCTATGTAGTATGTACACCCCGGGCGTCGCGCCCACCGCGCCGGCTTTTTTTTGTGGGATTTTTCTTGAATTTTCGGACCGCGTGCGTGCGTGACCGAGGCGAGGCTGGGCGGGGTCTATCTCCACCACCACCACCACCCACGTGTCTGTCGTACGTACGTACGGTCGGTGGGCTGGACACGCGGAACCTATGGACGGACCGGCTTCCGATATAGATACCCCTGTGTCCGAGGATGCCCCTCGTTCCTCGTCGCGCGCATCGACGCCCATCGTCCCCACGGCGCCTGGCGCTGGGCCGCACGAGCGTGCGAAGCACCGAGGCGGTGGGATGGCCACGTTGCCAGCGACAGAAATCCTTCCCTCCACGGGCCTGGCCCTGCCGAATGTAGCGCCTGCGCCTGCGACGTCGAAGCGTAGTACACGGCCGTCACGCAAACGCAGTCGCACGGAACCTGCTCACGTCGCGTCGCAACAACGTGAGACGCAGCGTGACTTGGAAATGCTCGGCGTGCCGATGGACGTGGATGAGGACGAGTTGGAAGAGCTCAATAATGACTATTGTGAGACGTGTCATGGACACGGCCGGTTTCTGTGCTGCGATGGATGCCCCCGCAGCTTCCATTTCATGTGTGTATGTCCCCCCCTGGACGTCGACGAGATGCCCTTTCCCAACGGTACACTCCTTCCTCGCAAGTCTCTGCCTACGTCCAGCAGCACAACACCCCATGACCTGCGCGCCCAGCGAGCGTTGGCCGACGATAGCTGGTTTTGCCAGGTGTGCTTTGCCCAGCGTCTCCCGCCACGAGTGCCGAAAGGCTGCGGACCGTTTGGTGTGCTGTTGCAGCGTCTCGCCTGTGAAAACCCACGCATTTTTGAGCTGCCAGCCGATATACGTACGTACTACAAGGGCGTAGGTACGGCGCCCGATGGAACGTACGTGGATACCACAGCGCAGCGTCCCTTGAAACTCTCACGGACCGGGTTCCTGGAAGAGCGCGATCCATACATCCTACGTGACAAGCGCGGCGAGCCCGTTTTGTGTTTCCGCTGCGGCGAGAGTGCCTTGCCGCCCGACGCCGTCCTTCGACGGCCTCATGAATCGCGCGAGATGGCAGAACGGCGTGCAATCCACGCATGCCATGAAGCAGGCACCAAGCTCACGCATGGCCGGCGTATGCTCAGCTGCGATTTCTGTACATTGCACTGGCACTTGGACTGTGTCGATCCGCCGCTGACCGGTATGCCCCCTGCGACGAGGCGGTGGCGTTGCCCGGCGCACAGCGAGCCTGGGCGGCCTCGTATGCGCATTCCTCGCGCTCCGCAGCTCACGCGGACCATCACGATAGTGCGGTCCCAACCTCTTCCGCATATTCGCCGCGACGCCTTGGTCGATATTGTGCCGGATCCCCAGGACCGGTACTTTGATTTAGATACAGGCGCAGGGCATGCGCGCGAGCCACCGTGGGACGACGTGACATTGGATACAGGAGAGGCGCGTGTCCGATACCGTCTCCCAGAAAAGTCAATTCGTTTGGCGTTTTGGCAGGCGATCCGTCGTCGCGATGATGACGACGACGTGGCGCGCTCGTCCACACCGGCCGCATCGACGTCGACCCATCCGCCGTACATTCCTACGTTATGGGAGCAGTTGGTGGACGTAGCAACGCATGCAGAGCCTGTGCGGACGTTGGTGTCGACACCGCAAGGCGCCGTGCGCGAGGAATTTGCTGCCGCAGCACGCGCTTCTCTCACGCCCAATGCTCAGCCATTTGCGCCTGCTCAGCGCACGTCGTACCGCCCTGAAGAAGCCGAGCCGTTGGTGCCCCCTGCGACGGAGCCGGACGATGTGCCTGGGCCGCCGACAAACGTCCCGATCACGTACCTGTATCCGCAAGAAATTGCCGAGCTACGCGCGCTCAAGCACTGGCTCACGCACCAAGGCGGCTACGCCGCGGTCCGCGCCGCTACCTCGGCCCCCGCCGTGACATGGGACTAGTCGGCGCAGGGCGACACCAGTCGTCTTGTAGTTCTTCTCCGTCACTCGTAGGCACGCATTCCATACCCATGGCATCGGACTCGTGATCGCTGCTGTCGCTCGTCGCGACGTACCCTGTAGCACGCGGTAGGATATAGTGCGTGGTGGGCTGTACTTCGCGCCCAAGTCGGTCCCATGCCTCGTACAAACGGTGCCATTCCGTATCGCCATGCGCCGCATCGTACATTCTCGCTCGGCGTCGGCGACGAGGAGGCGGTGCATGTGTCGTAGATGCCTCACAGAGTCGTGCTAGCACAGCACGGCCGCGCGCATGCGCGGCCTGGAGCTGCGCAGGGGTATCCTGCACACACTCTGCCTCACAGTGCGGCCCGATCGCAGCGGACAGCCGTGCGACACGGGGCGAGAGCGCTACAGGCTTGCCAAGCATATGCGCAAAAAGCGTCTGCGCCGCCTGCTCTGCCCGGTGCTGCTGCCGCGCTTCCTGCAGGACGTGCGCGCCGGCCGTACGTATGCGCTCGGTAAGCTGGGCCGAGGTACACCCCCGCAGTTCAGCACACGCCTCCATGTGCTGACGGCGCTTGGCTGCGGATAGCTTTGGCTTGAAATATGCATCACATAGGCAGCATCGTTCCAACGCACGGATAGTCACATCCATCGACCAGGCCTAGGTCGCGGCGCGCCACGACCAACGCAGGGCGGCGGTCGACGTGGGGGACCGAGCGAAGGTGGTGTGCGTGTCTATCACGTGGCCCAAAACAGGACGACGCGTCGGCGCGTAGCCGTGTTGGGACGCTGGCCATCATGTCTACGGAAGCCGACGCATGGCCAGCGATGGCCGAGAAGGCGCGAGCGTACGTATCCATGCGCTGACTGACTAGGCAGCTTCTTGGACGAGCAGTCTCGCGCAACGCTGGGGGTGCATGCCCTCCAGGCGAGTATGTTGCATATGCACGAGCCGCCCAGTGAAGACAAGGAACTCCAGTTGGACTGGGACTTGTACCGTGAAGTGCCGGCCTCGATGGAGCAGGAAGAGGCATTGCTCCTCGTATGTATCTGACTATACTAACCGCAGGACTATTTCCGCAAACTGAAATTCATATACTTGGAACAGGAAACGAAGCTGCGTTTCCTGGCCGACTTGCAAGACGATCCAGAGACGGGCCAGGAGCCTCAGATCTTGTCTACCGCCGACGTCGCTCAGCGCGAGCAGGAGTGCAAACGGGTCAAGCAACAGCTTGTCGAAGCCAAGACGCGTGTTCGCGACTTGCGCACAGAAATTGATACCGCCGCCGAGGCGCTCGCCGGTCCGTACCTCGCCGTGGAAGAGGGCACAGCGGAAGCGTCGCAACTCCTCTCGTCGATCACAGATATGGAGCTGGAGCTGGCCAAGATAAAGGCAGCGGAAGGTACGCATGGCGCCATGACCACCGAGGAGGCGGAAGCATACTGCGACGAACAGATTGTCAGTATGCAAACCCTGGACGACGAAACCACCCACACGATGCACCAACTAGAAAGCGCTAAGCGTGAGCTCCAGGACGCGCTACGCACCCTGGACCGCCTGAAATCTGAACGTATCGCTGCCGAGAAGCGCGCGAATGAGGCCAAATTGGGCCGTGGGCGTGATAAGGGCCGCGATTGGGAGCTGGAGCGGCTGTGCGCCAAGCACACCTCCATGCTCGAGACGCTGCAAAACGCCCTGGGCTTGGCGGCTATGGAGGCCCCAACGCCGGACGAATTGCGGCTGACATTTGTCGCACCTTCAGCCACCTCTCGTTCATCTCGACGATCCACACGGTCGTCGCGTCACGACGACGATCCCGAGGCACGCATTCTCGTACTGCAATGGGACGAGCCGGGTGGCCGCTTAATCCATGCCTCCCTACAAACATTGCAGGGCGAGGCACTTTCTCTGCCAAACGAAACATGGCCTGCCTATACCAAGAACGCATTTCACACGAACGATGCTGCAGGCCTTGTCCAAGCTATCTGGGCTACCTGTGTATAGTTCAGCCCCTGTCACCAGAGCCGGGATGTAGAAAAGACAGGTCTACATTACAAGAGCATGCTAGGCATGTCCTCAATGTACTGCTTAAGCTTGACCAGGAACGTCACAGCCTCACGACCGTCGAGCAGACGGTGGTCGTACGTCAGCGCCACGACCATGATCGGGCGGATCTCAATCTTGCCGTCCACAACGTACGGCTGTTGCTTCACAGCGTGCATACCGAGGATGGCCGAGCCAGGCAGGTTGAGGATCGGCGTACCGAAGAGCGAGCCAAACACACCACCATTGGAGATCGTGAAGGTGCTACCGGTCATCTCTTCCAGCGAGAGCTTGTTGTCACGCGCCTTGAGACCAAGCGCATGGATCTCGTCCTCGATCTCCAAAATGCTCAGCGACTCGGCGTTGCGCACGACAGGCGTCACGAGACCCTTTTCCGTGCTCACAGCCACACCCACATCGACATAGTCGCGGTAGACAATGGTGTCACCCAGACCCTCGCCCTCAATGCTCGCGTTGGCGGCCGGGATATCCTTCATGGCCATGGCACACGCCTTGGTAAAGGCACCCATAAAGCCAATCTTCGTACCACGCTCCTTCAGGATACGGTCCTTGTGGCGCTTACGGAACTCCATCAGGTTGGTCATATCGATCTCGTTAAACGTCGTGAGCGACGCAGCCGTGTTCTGCGACTCCTTGAGACGCTCCGCAATGCGCTTGCGCATGCGGTTCATCTTCACACGGTTCTCGTTACGTGAACCAGCCGCAGGCTTGGGCTGGTCGTTCTTAGCCTCCTTCTTGGGCTCCGACTTCTTGGGCTCCGACTTCTTTGGCTCTTCCTTCTTAGGCGCCTCCCGAGGCTCCTCCTTCTTCGAGTCGTCCTTCTTAGGCTCCTCCTTCTTCGACTCATCCTTCTTGGGCTCCTCCTTCTTCGAGTCATCCTTCTTGGGCTCCTCCTTCTTCGAGTCGTCCTCCTTGGACTCCTCCTTCGGAGAGTCCGACTTCTTGCCATCGTCCTTTGGCGGCTCACCAGGCTCGATCTTGAAGAGGTCCTTGCCAACCTCGACCGTGTCCTCCTCCTGGGCAAACACCTCCGCTAGGACACCAGCTTCAGGCGAGTTCACAGCAACATCGATCTTGTCGGTCTCAATCGTAGCAACCTCCTCATCGGCGTTGATGTAGTCACCCACCTTCTTGTGCCACTCCTTGAGCGTACCCTCGGTAATCGACTCGGCCATCTCAGGCACCTTGATCACGCCAAGAGCGCGAGTAGTCATCGAGAAGTTACGGCGGGCTGACATGGTCAAAGCGGCCGTGTAGGCCGGCGCACTGCGCGCCACCAAGCGGGCTGACAAGGAAGCAGCAAGAGACAGCATAAAGATCCACGTCAAGATCGAGTGGGCGGGCTTACCCCCTTCAAAACGTTGGGACTATGTCACGTGGCGTTAACACCGAGACGCCACCTCGCTTGTGTCGATGAGCGACACGGCGCGTGGGAAGGCAGCGCCAGCATGGAAGACGCTCAGTGTCGGTGGCATGGCTGGCCTGACGTCTTGCGTGCTGTTGCAGCCTATGGACCTGCTTAAAACTCGGATGCAACAAGAACGGTCGCCCACCGTGTCTTCCCTGTCTGCCACGCAGCGGCTCGTGCGCGCCTTCCGGTCGGTGGTAGACACGTCAGGTACGCTTGGACTATGGCGTGGCACAGTGCCCACGATCGTACGAAACGTACCAGGTGTCGCAGCCTATTTCTATACACTCAACGAGCTGCGCTGGCTCGTAGCTACTTGGCAAATTCCTGTCCTTTCCTCTCGCCCTGGACCTGCACGAACACAGGACTCATCGACAATGGCCCGCCTCTCCAGCACAGGGAATATCCTCACAGGCGCAGTTGCACGTGTATCAATTGGCCTTGTTCTTAACCCCATATCCATTGTCAAAGCACGTTACGAGTCCAGTCATTATGCTAAGGATGCCTACCCTACCATCACCGCATCGCTACGAAGCCTGTATCATGATGGCGGTTTCCGTGGGTTTTTCCGCGGGTTCTCAGCTACAGCTCTACGTGACGCGCCCTACGCTGGTCTGTACCTTGCCGTGTACGAGCAATACAAAGTATGGCTCGGCCAATGGACACGGGCTGGGACAGGAGCCTGGTGGGTCGTGGGCATGAGTGGCATGTGTGCAGGCGCGATCGCTACGGTGCTAACGCATCCCTTTGATATTTTAAAAACTCGCATGCAGACTACCCCAAAATCCATGCTGGAGCCACACTTGGCCTCGGCAGGCCAGCGCAGTATCTGGGGCACGACACGACACATTCTTGCAACGGATGGCGTTCGTGCTTTTGCCGATGGCTTGGGCCTGCGATGCGCACGAAAAGCAGCCAGTAGCATGATTGGCTGGTCCATCTTTGAATTAGGTCATCGGTGGGTGTCATGAAGGAGCTACATACCAATATACACACGTAAAACATCCTACTTAGCAAGCTCATCTTCTCGTACAAGGTGCTTTTTCAAGGACCTGCCTTGTTATTGTTTATTTGATGTCGAATCGGCGTTGGAATAGATCTCGAACGCTGCGCGTTTCACTGCTTCTGGTTGAGGTGGTCGGACTGGATGGTCCACTATCCATCGTTGAGAACGAGGAACTACGCCATGCTTGAAGCGTGCGCGTCATAACACTCGAGCTGCGCGTACGTTTAGGGGGCAAAGGCCACGTTTCCCGGGGTTCTAATTGCAGGCTCCGTTGGTATAATTGCTCAGCTGCGAGACCATAATCCGACGTCGTCTCCGCCCCACCATTCTTTCGAACGCGAGATAGGAAGGCTTGGATTTGCGGTACTCGCTGGAAGAGATAGGGTTGCTGGAACCGTTGCAGGTCTTCAACCATACGTCCCAGCTTTTGACAGCGCACAAAGTTGTACATAGGCGCATCAAACTCGGGAAACGTACGCTCCACGGGGTTGCCCCCCTTCCCGAACGTCATATCAGTCAACATCAGACCGAGGAAGGGCAACGTCGGCCCGACCGACGAACGCAGCCGTGCACGGTACGTCGCAAAGTTGCGTGGATGCTCCATTACATGAACCAACTCTGCGTACTGTGCATGTACATGTGAAGACAAGCCTGCCCACGTCTTCTTCAAGCGGAGAATCGTCGAGGAATTCAACGCGCCTAGTACTGCCATGAGCAGATTGTAGTTCTGCAGCGTCAAACTAGCTTGGCCCAGCTGAATAAAAAAATTCAACTTCTCAGACCGACGAGACAACTCGGGCTCGCGCAAGATGCACTCACCAAACCAGTTGGTTAGCTGCGTCGTGATCAAACTCATCTCCTTGACGTTGACCGATTTGGAGACGTATTCACTGCCTTTGTATTTCTCGGGTCGATTGAGGAGTTCGTGCGGCGTAATGGCACAGTAAAGCTCACTTTCCATCAATGTAATTTGGCGGGCTAGTTCCATGGGGTGGAACTTGGCCACGTCCACATCCCACATATCCTTAGCCTCGTCCAAAGCATTGAATAGTTCACAGGATACCATGGGCTTCAACTCAGCTTCCACACTAGGCGGGTTGTATAGGCTCATGAATTCCATGAGTGGATCGGTCGTTATATTAGAAAGAACATCAAGGTCTACCGCTGGGCGGTTCATATTTTCATCTTGATGAAGCTGCTCCTCTGCACCGGCCTGCCGGCGCCAAACAAGAAGCTGCATTAGCACTTCCAAATATGCCTTGTCCATCTCCTCAGGCGCATTACCAAGAAACTCGTCCAAAATGGGGAGCGCCTCCGTGTCCAGAGGCGCATACCAATAGCCATCAAGCCACAATGCCAAGAAACGAGCAACGCACGTAAAGTGGAGGTTTACGTGGAATGTGTGGGCCAATGACTGTAGCGTCAAAGCGAGTTCCCTAGGCGTGGCAAACCAGCGGAAGGTCAAAAGAAAGTGCTTCACGCGCTGTGTGTGCTCCAAGTCATTCAAGTCGTGACATAATGCATGTACCAAGCCTGGCAGATCACCACCCAGCAGTCGGCCTTCTTTTTGATGCACCAACATGCCATGGTGGAGCGTAGCTTCTTGCAGTTTAGAGGCCGACATCGTCGAGGTGTCCCATAGTCCACTATCCATAGACGAGCGCGGTGACGAAGCCATCGAAGCACCGCCCCATATAAATGAGGAGAGGGCTTGAGCCAATTCCTCTACGTCGTCCTCGACCGAAGCTTGTCGTGCGACATCCACAGGACGTGGTGGCAGCGGCGCTGAAGGTGGTGCAGGTGGTACAGCCACAGTGGGTATATCAATACGAAGCGTGGGTAAACGCGGTGAAGAGACTTTAGAGAATGGTGGAGAATTAGACAACTTGGGTTGTTGAATCCTACGCTCCCGCAGCGCTAGCGGCACCGATGAGCGGGCCACTGGAGGTGGCCATGGCATACTTGTAGGCCGCCAAATTTGCAAGGACAAGCCAGGTGGCGCCATCTCGAGCACGGCGTTCACAGCTACTAGGCTTTCATTGCCTGCATCCATCAACGCTGAAGCAAGTCCCATGAGCTGAGCTCGATGCTGGCTCGGGGTATTGTCACTGCTCAGGGACGACTGACCTGAAATGTTCTGCGCCTGGCCAAATTGGGCAATGGCTTTATCCAAGCTGGTCTTAGCCTGAAGCACACGTGTCATGGCCAAAGGTCGTACCCAGGGTGCAGGACTCAGGGCCGCAATGCTATGCACCACCGAAGAAAGATTGTGGGCGTGGGCTAGAAGCTCATGAGCAATGTCCACAAGACGCTGGAAGGCTGAAGAAAAAGCTACATCTTCGAAGGTGGACAAGCATCCCATGAACGCTGCAAGCTCGCCACGCATCAAATCGTAGAGCACTGTGACACACATTGTCGTTTGACTCGCATCCATAGGCACAAGACCAGGTCGTGCCGTTAAGGAAGAATGGGTCTCAGCGCTTCTTGGTGAGGCATGTTTTTTGGCCATCAGCTGAACTAGATATTCTGAAGGGGCCTGCACATCGGTCGTCGCTGGTGCCGATGTTAGCGACGAATGAGAAGACGGTGACGGCGAGCCAGACAAGGCCGAGTCGTCACTTCCCGACGATACAGAAAGTGTCGTGCCATCATCAGACGTGCCATGGTATGTATTTGCATCATACTGAGGCCAGCCACGTTTCGCACTGATACACGAGGATGGTACCCAGCCACGTTTGCCTTGGCATTCCACGTCGCTCCAGCCCGAGGGGTCAGTGTTATGCAACAGCATCTTCTGGCCCTGAGAGATAGTGATACAGAAAGCTGCCGACGATGCATCGAAGGACTTTCTGGCTACTACGACACTGGGTGCCACTTGCCGATCTTCATGCATACTTAAGAACAATGGCAAGCCATTCGAGTGCCGCCGCAAACGTATTGGGGCATCAGGCGCCTGCAATAAGCTGCCAGTGCTAAGAGTAGAGCTCTGTAGCAGCTGGCCTGTGGCTGCCTGTGGCGGCATAGCTCAGACACACGGGAACTCTGGCGGTGGAACCACAAAGAGAACCGGAAGGGAATCGATAAAGGCAGCCCCACACGTCGCGCAGGCCCCACGCAAGCAATTCTTGCAATGTTCTATCGCCGTGTTAGAGGTCCTCTATTTTTAGATACGCACGTGGCCTGTACCCTCGACCAACGAAACTTGGAGCAACTTTTTGGGTAGAGGTCAGCTGTGGGCACAAAAGGCAGGACAATTACTCTACGCGGGGCCAACGCGTACCTATCAAATCTGAATTTCACAGTTTAAATTTGATGTGACGTTTGGTTACAAGCTATGCTAAAAATATACCACTACTGATAACCCAACTTCCATAGCCAAGCAACCAAGTCCACATGACTACGCTCACTCTCTATGATAAAGGGGTGCATGCGCAGTTCCATAGGGGTGGGACGTGTGACAGGATCTTTTCGTAAACAAAGTCCCACAAAATCGATCATGGACGCAGGAAATCCACCTTCTGGATTCAGCTGAGGCGGTGGCTCGTATACAATGTGCTGTAGCAGTTCCAAAATGCTGAGAGAGCGCACATCCTGCGCGGAGGGCGCTGCACGTGTCGTCGCATCAGGATCATCCTCCATATCAATCGCAAATGGAAAGCTGCCATGGGCCAACTCAATGATAGTAATACCCAAAGACCACACATCCGACTTGATACTGTATTGATCGCCCTGGATGCGTTCGGGACTCATATACGTACTTGTACCCACGAATGTATCGGCAATGCTGTTGATCAGCTCGCCAGAGACGCCAAAGTCGCACAGCTTGATCTGTCCTCGTCGATTGACCAGGATATTGCTGGGCTTGACATCACGGTGAATGATTCGGAACGATTCATACAGATAGGAGAGGCCCTTTACCACCGTCTCCACAATTTTCCCGCACACTCCCACTTCAATGGCCCCGTGCTTGGTATAGATTGCATCCAACGAGCCCACATCCATGTACTCCATGCACATGTATATATGAATATCACTGAGGCAAGCGCCATAGAACCCAACAATGTATTCAGAGTGGCACTCGTGTAAAATCTGCAGTTCACGTAGGATCTGTTTACGAATTTCTGGGCGTGCATCAATAAAGACCACCTTCTTCGCCATGAGGAGGCCCGTGGGTATATGCTCGACTTTGGTCACAGTGCCACCGTTCCCAGCGCCGAGTTCAGAAATGGTGCGTAAGTTTGCATTGCTGAGATCCAAGTGCACATCCGACTTCGCACCAATATCCATGCGGTTGATATGTTGGGAAATATCATCGTGCTCCCGTTCCGGAGGCTTGGCATAGGGTACATAAGGCGGATCCGCATGCCGCCGCTCTGTTATGCTAGAGCTTATGGGGGTGCTTGCATCATTGGACAGCGGCGGAGATACGCCAGGCTGTCGATTCAGCTGTGTTGCGAGCCCACTCAGGCCAAACCGCCCCCCTAGCCCATTACGACTCTCTTGACTGCTGTGACTGTCATCGGATCGAATAAACCGGGCAAATGGAGCAGCCCTATCATCATAAACGGGCTCAGGAGCCGGTGTCTCTTTTAAAAGTAGGCCTTTAAAGTTGCGCGTTTTGCGCTTGGGCGACATTGCTCCAGGTAGCATCCTACCTAGAGTTACTCAAAGTACACGTATGTATGTAAGGTATGCGTGTTCTACACTATGGCAGTGCGAGCCTCCACAATAAGCGCGTGACCCTCTTGATTGGGTTATGTCATGCTATGAGTGGACCAAGTCACTTTGTCTGCTTAGAAACGGTGTCGTCGTGCAGCGAGCCACATATACCAAGGCAGAAGCCAATCTTTACGCTGGAACGCTGTATCGTATGGGTTAAAGTCCAGCGCTTCGAGTTTCTTTAAGAACTGCGAAATGTGTACCTTGTGGTTAGTCCAAGACTGTACATACTGTCAATAGGGTTGGGCCAACGATACGATCAGGCACGCGATCAGAGAATTCATTTCGCAACTGCGTCCGTGCGGTAATCAAATAGTCGTTGGCACGAGTGGCCGTGTGGAAAATGGCATCACGGAGACCTTTCGCATGAATGCCATTGCGGAAAACATCTTCTTGAACGACCCCTTCGTCCATTAAGTATTCGAGTGGAAGTGGCAGTGTCGGCGTCCGAGGCACACCATCTGCCTGCGGCGCATACCGTGAGCCTGGCATGCCAGGTGCGCCACCACCACCAGTTCGTGGGCGAGGGGCTGGGTGGGTGTGATGCGGCAAACCAGCTACAAGGATGCTTAGACCCATGGCTTTCCCAAGATGGGAAAAAAGCTCGTCTACAGCGCCATTGGAGACGCCGAGCAAATTGAGAAGGAGATATAACATGCGTGAAGAGGTCGATTCTGCATACTGCTCGAGCTCGGCCAGGGTCGGTGGGGAAAGAGGATCTGCTAGGTCGGCTTCACGTGCATCGATGATGCTCAGGAAATGCTCCTTGACGAGGGAGCCCTGTTTCATGACAACTGGATCGAAGATCGCTGCATGCAACCCTTGCACAATAGGATGCTTTGGCACACGGTTTTGGTATATGCCTTCAATAGCATCGCGCCACCATTGCATACGTACGCGCCCCACAAGCTCGTTGCTCACTACATCTTTCAGCGAAGCAAGCTCGATATGGAAGGCACGCAACGCAAAAAAATGTGGTTGAAGGGCGCGTGGATAAGCGACGTGCGTCAAGTAGGCAGGATAATCACGTTCGCGCACCATCGTTCGCAGGTAGGCAGAAGGATCTGGTCCATTTGTCGCTGCCTGTGTGGTGTAGCATCGTGTGTATAGAGAAGAGAGCCGATAGCGCTCCGGACCTCTGAGGATCACCGTGCGCATGACGGAGGGAACGATCGCATGCAAAATTCGACCGAATTGGAAAGATGGCCACCCTCCACTTTCCCACACGCTGGCTGGACCACACTGTCGACACGTCGATGAGCCACGCCGCCGCTGGGGTACACAACACTAGCACGTTTGACGATGGGGAGGCGGATACCTTCTCAGATGATATGCCATCACCTATTGTGGAAATTGAGCTAGATCAGGAGGATGTCATGGAGGAAGAGATGGAGGAGGAGGCGGCCCCGGTGAAAGAAGACGAGCCTCTCTCTACTGATGGATCAAAAGGAGCTACGGTCCGACGGCCTGCACCAGCCTTTACACGTACTGCATTTGTCCGTGCGACATCCTCTGATGCCTGGTTCCTGTCCAACTCGTACCGCCGCAATTTTGCTTCGCGTAAATTGGGTCGAGATATCCTGCGTGGTACGTCAGCCAAGCGCATTTCACAGCGTTTGCGACCGCTGGATGGTGCGTGTTTGCCACATTTAGCACAAATTGCGAACGAGCTCACAGGCTCCTATGCCTACCCATCACGCACGCCACACTCACAACTAGCTCTTTCACTGCATATGCAAACAGATCGCATTTCCATGCTCCTGACGCAACTCTTCCATGACTCTCACCTCTTGCTCTATGGCGTAGGAGATAAAGTGCAGATCTTACGTACAATTATCGAGCGAGCTACGAAAGAGTATAGTAGCGCTGGTGTCCTGATCCAAGGGACCACAGGCCGTGTATGGCAGCCTGACAAGGTGCTTGACGCCATCGAGCAGGCATTGGGCATGTCGACGGTGGTGTGGCCTATACCCCCTGAGCCTGCTTCTGGCAAGCTCTCGCGTGCCATGCAGCGTGTTCGTCGTATTGCTGAATTCTTGGCGTATGCAGCCAACGGTTCCTCGGAACCTCTTCCACAACGACTGGTCCTTGGATTGGTGTCGTTTGACAGCCCTCTCTTTCTTTCTACACGTCTGCAACCGTTGATGCATGCCTTGGCACAGTGTGAGCGCGTGCACATCGTGGCCAGTGTCTCCCATGTGAATGCAGGTCTCCTGTTTGATGGCATGCATGGCATGTTTGGCCATGGCGTAGCTGGCCAAGCGGAAGTACCCTTGTCACGTATGCTGGGCGAAGATGCGCCTGTTCGATCTCTTCGTGCTCCGTGGCTATGGCACGCTACTTCCACGTATATCCCACCCATCGCCGAGTTGGTACAAGCACGTGGCGCAGCGGCTGGTGTCCCAGCGCTGTCTGGCCTTGCTGCGTTGAAATTGCCTGCGGCGGTGGATTTGGCAGGTGGGCGAGCACGCGCAGCGCCTGGTGCTTCAATTGCTACGGCTGTTGCTCAGCCGATTTCCGAGACGGCAGCGATCCAGGTCTTGAGTACGATTACATCGCGGGCTCGCAGTCTATTTTCGCAATTGGCGGCCCTACAGCTGGTCGAAATGTCGACCTTGAACGACGAATCTACGCCTGCACGTATTCCGTACTCGTCGCTGGTTCGTGAGGCGCTGCGTGAGTTTGTTGCGTCGTCCGACGAGGGTGTGCGTCAGCTGCTTGGTGAGATGGTCGATCACGGTTTGGTGATTGTCACACGCGGCGCGGCTACCGTCACGAGCAGTCACGCGATTGCCGTCGGCGACGAGCTATTTATACCCCTCCCTGTGCCGGCCCTGGAGCAAGTCCTGGCACAGGTTGCCTAATGCGTATGTAGAAATATCATAGTTCCATTATTGGTGTCCTATGGGTCGATCAAGAATCAAGGGAGGGGGAGAGACCAAGCAAGGTCCTCTTCTTCAATACAGAGTTCAGATAGGGCCATTAACGAGTCGTCCACCATTGGTGGAGCTTCTGCCAGTACGACTTTTGGCACGACGACATGACCCACTGCTTCGTCTCCAGGGCGTACTTGTGCAAGTACTCCTGCCACGTCAGCGTGCCATGGTGCTTCCACAGCCAAATCAACTTAGACTCTCCCCTCCCTAAAAAAACAGGTAGGTGATCGCAAATACACCCACGGCGATGGCCGCCACAATGTGAACCGGCACGCCAGTGCTGACGGCCTTCTGAGTCGCGACACGCGCCGTCGAGGCAGTACCACCCATGACGGAGCCATTGGACACGCTCCACTTCTCCTGTGCAGCAAGCTGTGTACGAAGACGGAGGATCTCCGCCTCCATCTCTTGCGTCGTGCGCGGGGTGGACATAGACACAGACTGGGCTGCGACCGGCACAGCCGAGCCCGACGAGGACGTGGTGGTCGAGCGCGTCACGGGCACCGCCGCGGCGTTGCCACTCAGCGACGCAATCGACACAGGCGGCTCAGCACCCACGCTCGTGTTGCTGGGCGAGCTGCTAGCCATGTAGCCAGCACCCGCGCCAGCGCCAGCACCGACCATCGAGGCACCAGACACATCCTCGTTCTCCTCCGGTACCGTAGCGCTACTGGCCGGGAGGTAGGCGCAGCGGATCTTGTGCTCCGAGATGCCCGACTTGTTGCCCTCCTGCATCGACCAGAATTCAGCAATCGGCAGGGTCTCCTTGTCCGCCGAGATCACGGTGCTCTGGATCAAGAACTTATCACGGCACTTGGCATTCATCGGCGGCTCCTCCTTGAGCGGCTGGAGCAGCACCTGCACTTCAACGCGCTCACCAGGCTCAATGCGGCCAGAGTTGGGGCGCACGCAGTACTGCTTGGGAGCGGTCGTCTTGACCTTGAAAGCCACAGGCTGCGAGTTCGAGTTGGTGATATGCAGCGAGCGCTTCACTACCTTCGTCAGCGGACGCGCGAAGCCGAGTTGGGCACTAGGGCTAATTTCGACAGACATTCTGGTCCGACGTCAACCACGCAATATGATGTGTACGTTGCCTAATCCCCGTGGCCGTGACCAGACGTACGGGGGGGTGGGTTGGCATTATTTTTCCCCCATACAGCCCTATGGGATTCGGCCGGGGTGTGGCCGGCCCAATGGCGCGCCAATGCTTCTCCAATCGTAGAGAGTGTTCAACGCGTCCCATGCGATCTCAGCGCCCGATTCCACGTGATCTTTCCCCTGCAACCCGGTGGTTTTAGCCGTGCAAAGCTTGTCGATCAAGTGGAGGCTCTTCTCCACGGATGTGTGCAACGTGGAGCCTATAGACAGGTAGGGTTGCCGGCGGCCCCCAAGCTCGATCCCATCATCACCATGTCGTCCAACATTCCCCCCTTTCTACAAATGATAGGTCTGCAAAAGACCGAGGACCCATGGGTGTTTGAAGGCACATCCCTGCCTCTCCCTCTGGGCAATTTGCGTCCTATTGCTTACGGCGGTTTTGCGATTGCGACGGCGATCAATGCAGCAGGGCAGACCATGCCCAAAGACGGTCACTTTGTGCCGTACTCTCTGACTGGCCACTTCTTGGGTCCTGCGTCGCTCAAAACGCCCTATGTATGCGAAGTGCAGCCTGTGCGGGACACACGCACGTTCTGCACGCGTTTTGTTACAGTGAAGCAACGGTCATCCAAGGGCGATCTGCGTAGCGTGCTCAGCATCACCCTTGACTTGATCAACTCGCCTGACTCCACGAAAGAGGCGCTACAGAAGGCCAAGGAAGCAGGTATAGAGCCTGCTTGCAAGGGATCGCTACTTCGGTACGGGGCATCTCCACCCTGGGTCGTCGAGCATGCTAACGATTTGCTGCCCTTTGACAAGATTAGTGCGCAGCTTGTCAAGTCTGGCGAGATAGATGCGTCTGTGGTCAAGATGCAATCAGATTTTCTCGACTTGTGGAACAAGCTCTTTGAAATGCGGCCTGTGCCGCACAGTGTCCTCTTTCAAAACTCGATGGGCATGTCCGACCAGCCCACGACGCAGGACAAACTCGCCATTACCCAGCGTCGTTCGTTTGATTGGATGCACATGAATCACCGCTTACCTGCGGTGGATGGTAGTGAAGGACCCGTACCTGCTGGACCGAATGGCACGCTGCCTGTCCCTGCAGTGATTGCCCACATAGCGGTGATGGCCTTTGCGTTGGATGGCGCGATTGCTTTTGCTCCCCTGTCTTTGGCGAACAAAAGCATCTTTGATGCAGAGGCTGCGTCTACGTTGGAATTTGCACAGCGATTCCACACCGATGTGCCGGATATGAACCAATGGCTCCTTCGTGAAATCCTGCCGATCAATGCAGGCTGGCAGCGTACCTATTCGGAGGCACGGCTCTTTGATCACGATGGACATCACATCGCAACGTGTTCACAGCAATGTGTTCTTCGCCCAGCCGATGGCGACGTCGTTGCGGAGCCATGGCCTGCACCCAAACCGATGCCGACCCCTGCCTCCAAGCTATAGATCTTGTTTGCCTGTACTACCACACCCACATTCTCCAAAGCAATGCATACAGACCTATACGAGGTCGTGTCTATGTACGAAAATCGTGCTGCCTACAATGGCACCATCTCTTATGCCTCCTGATCAATCAAGCTCGGCTTGTTGGCCGACTCAGACTCTTCCTCATTTGGCTTGGATGTCTTGCGGGAGTAGTACTCCTTGATGATCTTCGGGCTGATACGGTTGAGCATCTCCTTCGGCATGATACGCAAGAGCGACCAACCGATGTCGAGCGAGTCGAAGATCGTACGTGTTTCGTAGGCACCCTGCGTGACAAACTCCTTCTCGAAGCGTTCCATGAACTCGAGCGTAAGCTTGTCTTCCTGGCTCAGCGCCTCCTCACCGACGACAGCCTTCATCGAGGCAGCGTCACGGCCCGTAGCGTAGGCAGCGTACATCTGGTTCGACACATCACTGTGGTCGGCACGCGTGTGCTTTGCACCAATAGCGCTTTTCATCAGACGCGACAACGACGGGAGCACGTTGATCGGCGGGTACACCTGACGGTTGTGCAAGTGACGGTCGACGTAGATCTGACCCTCGGTAATATAACCTGTCAAGTCAGGAATAGGGTGTGTCATATCATCGTTCGGCATGGTCAGAATCGGGATCTGCGTAATCGAACCGTTACGGCCAGCCACACGACCAGCACGCTCGTAAATGGTCGACAAGTCCGTATACATGTAACCCGGGTAACCACGACGACCCGGCACTTCCTCACGCGCGGCCGACACCTCACGCAGCGCATCAGCGTACGACGTCATGTCCGTCAGCACGACCAACACGTGCTTCTCCAGCTGGTAGGCGAAGTACTCCGCCGTAGTCAGCGCAAGACGCGGCGTAATGATACGCTCAATCGTAGGGTCGTTGGCCAAGTTCAGGAAGAGCGTCACACGGTCCAGCGAACCATTCTCCTCAAAGTCTTGCTTGAAGAAGCGCGCGGTCTCCATGTTGACACCCATCGCGGCGAACACGATACTGAAGTTGTCCTCGTGGTCGTCGTGCACACCCTTGCCAGGCTTCTTGACCAGGCCAGCTTGACGGCAGATCTGCGCGGCAATCTCGTTGTGAGGCAGACCGGACGCCGAGAAAATAGGGATCTTTTGACCACGAGCGATCGAGTTCATAGTGTCGATCGTGGAAATACCCGTCTGGATCATCTCCTCGGGGTACGCACGCGAATACGGGTTGATCGGCGAACCGTTGATGTCCAAGTAGTCCTCCGCAAACACGCGCGGACCCTTGTCGACAGGCGCACCCGAACCGTTAAACACACGACCCAGCATGTCTTCCGACACGGGCAGTTTCATCGACGACTTGGTCAGCTCAATATGTGTCTCCTTCACATCGATACCCGATGTGCCCTCGAACACTTGGACAATCGCCTTGTTGCCCGACACTTCCAGGACCTGACCACCACGGTGCGATCCGTCCGGCAGAGTGAGCGACACAATCTCATTGTACGACGGGAACTTGACATTCTCCAGCACTACCAGGGGCCTGTATTGTCAGTGCACCGATCACATCGTCACATACCCATTGATAGCCGACACCGTACGGTAATCAAGACGGGGGTCGACATTATAATTCTTCACACTGCATGGTTAGCCTGTCTATGGTACGTACGCAGCCTTTGCATTGAGCTCGAACAGCTCCTTGTCCGATAAACGTGCCTCGGCCATCGTTAAGCTCGCAAGAGAAAGAGGACCGTCCGCCCCAAGGCGGCCCGTTCCGTGCGCATGTGCGCGTGGCTTTGGTCAGAAATAATTACAAAGATACACCGAAGTGAGAGGCGTGCCTCCTTGCGAAGAGGGCCAGGGTCCAAGCGCACGGCACGCGTGGCACGCACGACGCATGGTGGTGGGGCTCGCCTGTCGAGCGCTACATCGTATCAGACAGGGACGATCATCCCATTCGGATGCTGCTGTGTTCGACTGGGAGCATGGCCCTTCAAGACGTGCGTGGCTCAGTGCCTTTGAGGCTCGAGCTCTGCAAGCGAGTGAGTTTGTTGTCTTTGGCTGCTGACCTGGCCTCTAGAGGATGCCACCATCTCGTTCGCACGCAGCTCCGGCCCTGGTGGTCAGAATGTCAATAAAGGTACGGCTCCATTTACTTACCATAGTCAATACCAAGGTCCTGGCCCGTCTTCCTTTAGGGGCCCACTCTAGCGTGGCTCTTCCTCCGCCGCTGATCAAGTCCCTGGCCACACAATCTGTACGTCCAGGGGATACCTGACCCTACTCAGCCTCTCTACATTCAAGCGACACACGCCTTGCAAGTCACTAGCGATCGATACAGGTCTCAGTCACAAAATATCCAAGATGCTCTCTACAAGGTATGTATGTGCTATGCTTCCGTCGTCTCATACCTGCACAGTTGCAGGCTGAAATAGTCCGTGTCGCTTCCATCGGATTACAGGGCGAGACATCCGTGGAGCAGAAAAAGCGCGTGGAGATGCTCCAGCATCGTGAGCGAGAAAAGAAACGCAAAGCCAAGCAAATGCGTAGTATGACAAAAAGCAATCGGCGTGCGAAGCCTTAGCAACATGGAAAGTGTAGATAGATAAATGATGCATTTTGTTATGGTCCATAGTCCTGATGCTTCACGCCTCGTTCATAAGGCGCTTGTCCCTCAGCGCCCGAGCTACACGTTCCCGCAACGTCCGACCAAACTCACCAAGGTGCGTATCCTTTGTCTGAGCCAAGTACTGATCCAAGCCGCCATGCTTCCGAATTGAGCGCATGGCCGACGTAGCAACACGAGTCGAGACCCACTGTTGCAGCGTTTCGCTCCACAGCGTCTTGCGCTGCACATTTGGTTCCCACCGTCGCGCTGTCTTGTGACGCGAGTTGGGGATGGTATTGCCGAACTGCAAAATACGACCATCATACAAACCACGCTGGGCACGCTTGAATGTACGGCCGGCATGTGCAGCCGCCACGTCTGTCGGCCGCGAGGCGGACGAGGAGCGAGAATCGGTCTTCCCCGAGCGACCTGCACCGGATCCACGAGCGCCACGATACGTCGTTCGCGACCAACGCACTAGCGACGCAAACATTGTATAGGAACGTGGAGTGCCTTCTCTTTCTTGTGGCCTGGCGTGCGCGGTGGTACTCGCCTGGCCGTCTCGCTCGTCTTCCTGCACGTGACCGAAAATTTTGTCGATCGTCGCCCCTGGACGCAAGCCTTTTGCTGTACGAGACACGATGGTATGTAGGCGTACTAGCTGACCGATAAAGTTTCGTCGACAGGCTCGTGAGCGGCGTGAATATGTGTACAAAAAGGCCCTAGAATCAAAACAACGCCAAATCTATGAGCGCAAGCAAAAGATCCGTGAGGCGCTGGCTAGCGGCAAGCCCTTGCCGCCGGAGCTGCGTGGCCCTGAGGCAGAAGAGCTCGCTAAGAACTTGGCGCTGGATGCTGCCCAAGCTGAGCCGACCATGTCTATTGATGATGAATACTCACGTGCTGGGCAGTACGATCCACGCATCCTGATCACCACGTCGCGTAGTCCTTCGAGTCGCCTCTCGCAATTCGCCAAGGAGTTGCGTCTTGTGTTCCCCAACTCGACACGCCTGAACCGTGGTGCCTATACCATGAACGAGTTGGCCTCTGCAGCACGTGCAAATGGGATGACAGATATGATTGTGGTACACGAGCATCGTGGTGTGCCCGATGCGATGGTCGTCTCGCACTTTCCGCACGGACCTACTGTGATGTTTACACTACACAATGTGACGCTGCGTCATGAGGTCGCCAGTCACAGTAATAGTACTGTGAGTGAGCAGTATCCTCATCTGATTTTTGACGGCTTCGGTGGTCACTTGGGTGAGCGTGTGAAAAGTGCTCTTCGTTTCCTTTTCCCGGTGCCCAAAGAAGATGCACGTCGTGTCATGACGTTTGCCAACAAGAATGACTTCATTAGTTTCCGTCACCATGTATTTGTGGCGACGCACCGCGAAGTGCACCTGGCCGAGGTCGGTCCGCGCTTTGATATGCGACCATACGAAATCCGCTTGGGTACGCTCGAACAGAGCGAAGCGGACGTCGAATGGGTCCTGCGCCCGTACATGAACACGGCGCGCAAGCGCAGTCAGCTGGGTGGCGCCTCAGCCTCTTCATAATGTACTATAGCCAGATATTGGATAACGAAGTAGTTTGCTTCATTCATGCTCGCAACACTATATTTCACAAAAGAGAGCGAATGATTTACGGCATGGGGGGGATGTTGGGCAGGTTGGGCAGGTTTGCGGCCGGCATCGTCTGCACAGGCGGCACAGGCGTACCCGAGGTGAGGTTCGGCATCGCGGGGCTCACCTGACGAGGGGACGACAGATCCTTCCAGCGACGTGCCTCCACGAGGCTGTGCTTGGCGAGCTCGGCCACACGCGAAGGCTCCACACCCATCGACGAGAGGAAGAGGATACCTTCCTGGAACTCGGTCTGCTTGCGCGTCTCCGACCAGTCAAGCTCTTCACCCATAATATCGATGATGCGCGGAAGGGCCTCGATCGTAGCCTCCGTATTCAGGAACGACATACGCGAACGGCGGGCAATAAAGTCGGCAGCCTTGGTGGCGTACTCACAGCGCGTAGCGTAACGCACTTCTGCCTCAATATACGGCAGCTGTGAGTCGAGACGCACACCATGGACGGGGTAACGCTTACCAGTGTGCTCGGCAATGGCACACACACTCCATGCACGATCACCGTACGAGTCCGAGAGGTGCTTGGCGACCTCCGTCTCGAGACCAAACTCTTGCAGCAGACGCACGTACATCGTGTGTGACCACGAGTGACTACCGATCAGGCGCACCTGCTTCGAGACACAGCTACGCAGCGGCTGGAGGTTGTATGCCTTGATCGCGGTGTTGATCGTCTCCTCGGCCATCTCACGGTAGGTCGTCCACTTACCACCGGCAATGGTCAAGAGACCGCTGTCGCTCACATTGATCATGTGGTTGCGCACCAAGCTCTGCGTGTCACGCGCAGCTGGGTCCTTGACCAGCGGACGAAGACCGCTCCAAGCGCTCATGACATCCGTGCGCTTCACAGTGACGTCGGCGTTCAGGTAGTTACGGACCTCATCCAAGATCCACGAAATTTCCTGCTCACCCGGCAGTGGGTGAGCCTCGACCTTGGCGGCCGTATCCGTGGTACCGGCGATCGTCGAGCCCTGCCACGGCAGGAAGAAAATAACACGGCCGTCGCTGGTAGCCGGGTCCAGCAAACCCATACCACGCGGACTAAAGTAGCCAGGGAACGTGATGTGCGCACCAGAGGAAGGCGCGACGATATCAGGCGACGAGGGATCGTCCATCTTGCGAAGTGAGTCGCAGAAGGGACCAGTGGCGTTGACCACACCCTTGGCCTTCACGTCGAACTCATCACCGGTGAGCAGGTCACGCAGGCGCGCACCAATAATCTTGCCTGGCTGGCCGTTCACCGACGGCGCCTTGTTCAGCGCCACCACTTCTGTGTGGTTCGCCGCCACGGCACCGTGCTGAATGGCCGTGAGAATCAGCGCAATGTTCATACGCGTGTCGTTCTGCTGGCCATCGTAGTACACGACACCACCGGCCAGGTTGTGCGAGCGAAGCATAGGGAAGAGCTCCAGTGCCTTCTCGCGGCCCACGATGTACGAGTTGCCCATGTTCTCCCTACCGGCAATCATGTCGTACAGTTTGGTACCCGCGTAGTAGTACGGGATAAGCCACCACGAGTACGCCGGAATGAGGATTGGCAGCGGGTTGCTCAAGTACGGCGCAATGTGCAGGAAAGTCTTGCGCTCGTGCAGAGCCTCCTTGACCATCTTGTACTGCTCATAGTCGAGCTGCATCACGGCCTTCTGCAGGTAACGCACACCACCGTGTACCAGCTTGGTCGACTTGGACGAGGTACCTGCGCCGTAATCGTCGCGCTCCACAATGGCGACCTTGAGACCACGCGTAGCGGCATCCACAGCGCAACCAGCACCGGTGGCACCACCACCCACGATAAGGAGATCAAAACCTTCGTCGTCGTCTTCATTTCGGTCCACATACGCGTGCTCCACCTCGGGAATAGGACTGTGGCCTACGGCCTGGTGCGAGGGCAGTAGCAGCGACTTCTTCTGCTCCAGACTGCCGTCGTCACGCAGACCCTGTCGCGACGACTTCTTGAGGGCCTCTATCATCTGCGAACGCGTCGGCGGCGACCAAAACTGCGCGGGGCTCACGTCGTGGGATGGTGCAAAGTCATCCCAATCGCCCTTGCGCGTCAACGCGAACACCGTACCAGCACTAACAACGGCCGCCGTCGCAAGGACAGCAGCACGGCCGCGTGGTGTATTTATATTAGCAGCCACACCGGCCTTTTGAGAAAGCCTGCGAACCGCGGAGCGGAACATATTCAATGAGAGGTATGAGATAGAGAGTGAGGTAGGTAGTGAGAGTCACTTGGCTCGAGTACGTGCGTCTTTTTTCGGAAGAAGAAGGCCTTGGATCAGCATGCAGCGCTCTTGGGATCTACACACATCTACCAATCACACTTATCTACCCGGGCCGGTGCAGGCATCCGTAGCTGAATTCTACCGGCCCGATTTATTCGAGGGATTCCAATTCGTCCGATAAGCCCCCATCGTCGTCGGCCGGGGGACTCGCCTCCGATGCGCGCCTGCACGTGTGGAGAAAAAAGGCGGGGGAGGACGGTGCGTACGTCTGAGGCACCGGCCTGGGCCGCGGCTCGAGCTCAGCGTCGAGATCATCGTGCGGCGCTTCCTCGTGCGGGTTGTGCGTCGAGTGCCATGCGAGAAGCGGCGCAGCAAGGACCGTCCATGGCGTGTACCAGGGAGCCGTCTGTGGTAGGATTTCCGTAGCCAGAGTAGCTGCACGACAACGCTGGAGACTCGAGATGTCCCTGTGTCTCATGGGATCGGTCGGGAGCATGCGTACTTGAGCCACCACCTCTTCACATTGCTCACGACGTTCACGCCAGGCCCAGTGTGCTGGCTTTGTGAGTGTTTGGCCCCGGCGTGGGACTGGCGACGGCAGCGCGCCGAGGACACCTCGCGTCGTCACATGAAAGAGGTACGGCGCAGCGGCCGCCTCGGCGCGAGGGTGGGACGGGGTATAATAGGCATCAGCATCGCTGAGTGCATCGAGCGCATGCATCATCTCGTCTACCTCATTGGTAAACGCAGGCATATTGTGGTATAAATACAGTTGAAAAGTCGATGCATCCACAGGCAATTGACCCCACATCTCATTTACGTCGACCAACGAGGGACGGTACGTGGGCCGCCATGGCTGCGACTGTGCCATCACCTGTACGATCCGCTCTGCTTGCTCGCATTGCTGAATTTGGGACACTGACAATGTCTCTTTATCTCTCGAGGGATCGTGCCATCGTTTGTTGTACAGGACACGTCCTAGCGCATGAAACATAGCCAAGGCCGATTCGCGCCGCGCCAACGCATCTGATGATGTTCCTGCTGCCCCCCATAGGGCTACTTGGTTCATGGCACTGCGAATGTCGCCGGAGGCAGCGGCAGCCATATCTGCGACAATGTGCTTGGGTATAGACGGCGCCATAGGCGTTAATGCCGTTTGAATCATACGTGTTGTCAGTGGATTGAATCGAATTTCCGCAAACGCAGGATGCTGCCGCACAGCGAGGGGTACAGCGACACGCACATCCATCTGCGCGGCTCGTCGTTGCGAGGCCTGTGAATCGTCCCACGCCTCCATTTCTGCACGGGGCACACTATCCGACACAATCAACACCAGAGGGGCGCCATGTTGGGTCAGGAAGCGTTCCAATGCATGATGCACTCCGTCACGAGTGCCTGGGTGAAACAAATTGGGCCAGTCTTCCACGAGAATCACTTGGCGTGGAGAAGCGGAGGACGTTTGTGTATGTCGTGTACGCAAGGGCAATCGTGTGTAGCGCGAAGCCGATTGAAGGAACGCACTAAAGCGCTCTACAGCCGATTGTGACTCCCCTACATCGTAGTATGCATCACGATTGTCCCATTCCACGAGACTAAAGTGCAACGCATCGTCCTTCGCTAACGCACGAAGCGTTGCCGTCTTTCCAGCGCCGCTAGGACCGGTCAGAGCTAAGATACGCTGGGGGTCAGTACTCAGGCACGTACACGGTACTTGGATACAGTAGCAGGACCATCGAGTGCCTCTGTGAGCCATGCCCGCACATCACCGACTTTGCGTTTATGCACTGCCAGCGTCGCGAGGCTCTCGCCTTGGCTGACCGTGTGCGATATCCTCGCCTGGCTTGAAGCCGATCTCGCACTCACACGTACATCTCTTTCTTCTCTCGTTGCAGAGGTTCGCGAAGAGCGACGGGCCGACGATGCCCCCACGTCACGCGCGACAAAGCTCAGCCTGCCAGGTGCATCGCGTGTCGATCGTGGCATGAACGTTCGAGCCACCCTGCGTGCATGTCACGTGGGCGTGCGTCCCAACAGGCAGGCGGCTGTAGGAAAAAAAAATTAGACAAGGCAGGGACAGGCGGCCGTGCCACGCCGTGCGTGCCTTGTCTTGCTTTTGGTGAGAGAGTTTGGGTGTGGGACGACCATGGAGACATTGCTGAGTCTGTTCCCATCTACGCTCAGGTATGTCATGTGTCTAAGCTTCTACTTACACACAGTCCGGATGTCAACGTCCGACGTGCGTCAGAGCTGGAGCTGCGTCGGATGGAAGCCCAGCCTGGTATGCTGGCTGCGTCTGTCCAAATTGTAGCGTCGTCGGAGGTCGACACGTCCATCCGTCAGGCCGCAGCGATTTACGTCAAGAACCGCATTGCTCGGGCTTGGGATACATCGATCCCGCGTGGCGCGAATGAGTCCCCGCACGTCTCGGAGGAGGACAAGACCGTCGTCCGTGCTGCGTTGCTCCCTACCATTGCCTCGGTCCCGCCCACGCTGCGTGTCCATGTGGCTAGCGCCCTGTACTCTGTGGTGCGCTGTGATTTCCCTACCCAGTGGCCATCGTTGCTGGATGACATTGTCAAGCTCTTGACGTCGCAGGAAGAGACGCAGATGTATGCCGGCGTCCGGGCTTTGGTCGAAGTAGTGCGTGCTTTCCGTTTCACCGATACGGATACCAAACTGGAAGAAATTGTCTCGCGCACGTTCCCACCTCTGCTGCAGACAACGCAGGCGCTTATTGATTCCGAGCACGTCGCGCTGCCGGCTGTGGGCGAGATTGTGTACTATGCCCTGAAGGCGTACAAGACCAGTATGATTATGGTGCTGACAAAGCACCAGCAGTCTCATGAGAGTATTGTGCCATGGGGTACACTTCTTCTGCGCGTTGTGCAACTGCCTGTGCAGGCAGAGGGTAACGATGACGAAACGAAGGCCAAGACGCCATGGTGGAAGGCGAAGAAGTGGGCCTTTTATTCTCTGAACAAGCTCTTCTCTCGTTACGGTATTCCAACGCAGCTTCCTCCTAGCCTCAAGTCGTACAAACCCTTTGCGGAGACGTTCCTGAACAACTTTGCACCGGAAATCCTCAAAGCCTATCTGCACACCACTGATGCCATCGTGTCGCAGAATCAGTGGGTGAGCCCAGCCGTAGCACGCCACATTCTTATGTTCTTTACGGAGAGCATCAAGCCGAAGTCGATGTGGATACAGTTGCGTCCGCACATGGTCCAAATTATCGAGTCGTTTGTGTATCCTCGTTTGTGCTTCTCGGATGCGGACGAGGAGCTATGGGAGTTGGACCCTGTGGACTTTGTGCGTATGAGCAACGATCCTCTGGAGGAGCTCGGCACGCCGACTAGTGCTGCTGGCGTGCTCTTGAACACCGCCATTGCTCGCCGCACCAAGTCGATGTTTGAGCCGACTTTGGCGTTCATTACAAAGGTGCTCAATGCGTACCCTAACCAATGCACGCCACGCCAGTTTGACGGTGCACTGCGTATGTGCATCACGATCAGTCAGACCATGGTGCAGAATGAAGCTGTGCGTGACAGTCTGGATTCGTTCTTTGTCCAACATGTGCTTCCGTCGTTGAAGAGTGAACGTCCTTTCCTTCGTTTGCGAGCCTGCGCCATGGTGCAAACGTTCGACCAGGCCGGCATGAAATGGCAATCCAGCCAGAGTCTTGAGGCTGCTTTCCGTGGTGTCATGGACTGCATTATGGACACGGAGCTGCCCGTGCGTGTCCAGGCGGCTGAGGCTATGGGCGAATTGGTCGCTCACGATGAAGTACACAATGCGATTGCGCCCAACGCTGGCCGTCTGATGCAGGAGCTGCTGAAGCTCTCCGATGAAACTGATTTGGATGTGCTCATGATGACGCAGGAAAAGATTGTCAACAACTTTGCCGAAGAGCTGCTGCCGTTCTCTGTGCAGCTGACGCAGCAAATGGCGAACAGCTACATGCGCCTTGTGCAGGACAATCTAGCTGGCGGCGACCCAAATGCTGATGGCGTCCATGCCTTCAACATGGAGCAGGGTGAAGAGGACAAGTACTTTGCGGCGCTGGGCTGCTTGAGCACCATGTACCAAATGGTCACGACTGCCGAGTCGCGGCCCGAGATTCTTGCAGAGCTGGAGAATGTGCTGCTGCCGATCGTCGCGTACACTATCGAGACAGAGACGATCGATTTGTACGACGACTGTTTCCAGCTCACGGATGTGTTGACATACTACCAAAAGCGCATCTCGCCTGCGATGTGGAACATTTTCACGCTGATGTACAAATCGTTCAAGTCCTCGGGTATTGATTACCTCTCTGAGATGATCGGCACATTCGACAACTGTGCGTCGTATGGCACGGCGATGCTGCAAGAAAACGCTGAGTACCGTCACATGCTTTTGGACATTTTCCACACGGCCATGTCCAGCGATCAACTTGTTGTTGGCGACCGTATCTCTGCTTGCCAAATCGCCGAGGTTGTCCTTCTCCTGCTCAAGGGGTATGTGGACGAAGCCGTGCCTGGTATCGTCACTACGCTGCTGCCCCACGTGCAGAAGAATGCCGAATCACCTTCGTTCCTTCTGCGCAAGTGGGCAACGATGGTGATTTTGGAGGCCATTTATTACAACCCAACGCTGGCCCTTCAGGTGCTCGAGTCGCAAGGTGCTACGGCTGGGTTCTTTTCGGAGGCTCTGCCTATGCTGACCAAGTTCCGCCGAGTCCATGAATGCAAGGTGGCGATTGTCTCTCTTCTTTCGCTTCTCTCGCTGGATCCAGCGTCAATTCCTGAAGCTATGAAAAGTGGCTACCCTCACCTATTCCAGGCTCTGTTGACACAGCTCAAGGTGCTTCCTAAGCTGGTATCGCAGCGTCAGGAGCTGCACAAGGCGTTGGACGAAGGCTTCGAGCCCGAAGACGACGATGGCGTACTTGATGAGTTTGACGATGATGCCGATGTGCAAGAAGACGACAATGACTACCTGGAGCTACTCGCACAGGAAGCTGCTCGCCTACGGGCACGTGTTGCTAGTATTGATGGTGGCGCTGACAATGATGATGACGATGAGGTCGATTTGGACGACTTTGATGATGACGATGTCGTCTACGAATCTCCACTGGAACACGTGCCAGTGTACGAGCCTTTCCGCACCGTCGTTACACAGCTGCGTACACAGCAAGGGGCACTGTTTGAAAGCCTGACACAGTCGCTGAACGAGCAGCAGCAACAAGATCTACAACAGGTGTACGATCTACAGGACACGGAAGAAAATGGCACGACGCCCAAGGCAGCCTAAATGTAGAGATGAGTGATAAGATAGGCTGTACATAGTCTTTATGCTACCTTGCTAAGTTTCTGAGCTGTTGCTAGTCAGTCTGGATATCACGATGCAATGGAGGAAGACGGCGTACTGTGCGCTGATCGTTGCGCGTGTGCATTCGAAGTCGGTGACCCAAGCGCCCCTGTGTCGCAAACGATTCCGCCCAAGGTTCCGGCACAGGCTTCCGGTCTGTGCACCAATAGAAAATATCCCAGTCTGGCTCATCCAGCAATGCATCCAATTCCCGCAGCTCATCCATGGGGAGCGACGGTAGTTCTTCCAGGGCAAAGGTGCTGAGAATCAAATCCGTTTCCAGTGTGCCACGCTTGCGGCATTGGTATTGAAGTCGTGCGATCATACGTGCACGAGACTCGTCATCACGGTTAGGGACACGGATGGGGACGTCCACACCTTCCACGCGCTGTCCTTTGCTGGCCAAGTTGATGCCATCTGCACGCTGCGCAGGGTCCATCTCGGGGGAGAAAGGGAGTGGAAACGGGTCGGAAAAGTCTTGCTGTGGAGTATCACTTCTATTTTTTTTCTCTTCATTGGTATCTCTCCAGGCGTTTACAGATGTACGGAGCGCACAAGTTCGCACGGCTACTGGGCCTCGCGCGACGGCCAGCGCGGCGGGCCTTGACGCCCGTGCTGCTCGGATCCACATGGCGGAGTGGAGAAGTCACCTTCCACCTCCACATTAACACACCACGGGGTATCACGTGTGGTAACTATATTTTCTCACGTGATACGAAAGCGGACGTCGTGCACGCCGTTCAGTTCTTTGGTGGTCCTACCCCTTCTTCTGGCATAGCAAGAGATGGTATGTATGCTTGTGCTAGGGAGTGCGCGTAAACGTGCGGACCATATGAGCGATACATTGATACTCGGATTATGACGGTGCTGAGGATACTGTCGTGTTTTTTTCGTCTCGATGTTCTGTCGTTTCTTCGCTACATTCTTAACCCTACACATGATACTATGACGACAGATGTACTAACACAATACAGTCTAAGCGCACGGTTAAGGTTGGAATTACCGGCAAGTACGGTACGCGCTACGGCTCGTCGCTCCGTCGTCAGATCAAGAAGATCGAAATTTCGCAGCACAGCCGCTACACTTGCTCGTTCTGCGGTAAGGACACTGTGAAGCGCACTGCTGTTGGTATCTGGGACTGCAGCGCCTGCAAGAAGGTTGTTGCCGGTGGTGCCTGGTCGATGAACACTACTGCTGCCGCTACTGTGCGCAGGTATGTTCTCCTTTCATGATGTATGTCTAACATAACAGTACCATCCGTCGTCTGCGTGAGCTGAGCGAGGCGTAAAGTGAAGGTATCTTTGTACCTCTTTTTGCCTTTCAAAAACCGTTCCACGGCCTACCCCAGCACCATATTGGCTATGTTATATGGACCGATGCGTTGTGGATAAACCGTAGCCATACGGGATATAGTCTGGTGGCTGGTGAATACCTACATGTATGCCAAATTTTTGTGTGTGTGTTTTGCATTGCTTTGTATTTGAAGGATCCAATGGACGGTGCAACGTGCCATTTCGTCTTTGGGTTGTGGCACGAAGCTTTTTGTACTATCGATAAGGGCGAAGGGACATGGTCAGCAGGTATGAGTGGCATTGCATATCCTACAGTCAGTATGCCTATTTAGCGAGACGTTGTGCGTTCAAGTAGATCTTTGGCCTCGTTGATTTCTAGATGTCAGAAAAGTAACAACGTACTGCTTGCGAGGTATGGCGATCCACCACGGTCTGGGTGGTTCGCAATCATCATGCGACGATGCGCATCCTTAATACGGTTGCGCGAGACACTGGCCTCTCTGTGGTATAAGCAATATGGTTGTTATACATACCGCAAGCCTAGGATCTGAATAGCCTCCTTGCGGTCCATCTTGGCCTGGAATCCACCCTTGACCCACTTGCCACCAGCCGAACTGGTCGGCCGCATCATCATAGCAATCAAACCACTGTGTATAAGTAAGTATGAACAGTAACAACATACGCTCCAATAAGCCCACAGCCCACAATGACAGGCATCCCCATCAGCTGCGGCTGCGTCGCCTGAAGTAGCAGAGGGCTACTTGGCCGGAAAGGCGACGTCGACATCATGCGAGTGGATGGCACAGCCAAAGCCACACTCGACCTAGCACTGGTGCGCCACAGCGGCATACTGCGCACGGCAGAACGGACAGGCAACAACATCAAGTGACAACGCAGAGACGCAGGTGCGACGATGGATGCAGCACACAGTAGGAACGTGTGCGAGGCTTCGCTGCAGCATAAATCCCATGTCCTTGCGACTCTCCAGAGGTGGAGCTGCTTTGGTGCATGGACGCTCTGCTCGTGGCGCAGTATGCCGACGAAAGGAGCCCATCGTGCTCTGCTTCTCTTTCATCATATCCGCTCCTCCAAGAAAATTCGTGACATTCATGCATGGTCGGAGGAATTGGATTTGCAAGGCCTCTTGCATATTGGCTACCCAGGTGTTTTGCTTGTGTGTGACAGGCGCCATGCTGACACCTCTCTCGTCCCGGAGTACGTCCGACGTATAAAGCGACTTCCCTGGCAATCATGTGAACTGCGAAGCATGGAGCGTGTTGAACATCCAGCATCGCTCGATGCGCTACATTCTACCTTGTCTACCTATTCGACACCAACAAGCCTTCTTCGTCGTTCTGGCCTCGTCCAGCTAGACAGACTTAAGGACATCACAGCATTTACAAGGGAAGCCGATCGCATTTGCATCGGTATGGGGCTTCCTCCTGCTTGGGAGGCGCTGTATCGCAATGCAATGCTTGCTTCGTAGCTCCATTGCGCATGGACGCACGCGTTTTGGATTGTGGAGGTACGCGCGTACCTTTCTCTTCCACGGCATGAATACGCAGCGAGCGACGCATTTGTTTCAGTCCGATGCCGCGTTGGCAATCGGGCAAGAACGCGCTGCGAAAGCAGCAAGGACGGCCCAAGGAGAAGAGTACGGTCATCCCATTTGGCTGGGCGTAGGACCTAGTCCGTTGCCTAGCGAAGATCGCGACGCGTCTGACGCGCCGAGTTCTGCGCCGCGTGACTTTGCGTCGCTTGCAGAGCGAGCAGCGGGGGCCGATGGTGGATTGACAAAAGTTATTGCGGCTACCATGCCTCGGCCTGACCAACCCCAAGTATGGACTGCCGAAAGTGGGCGTATGGCTCGGCACACGCATTTGGAGGTACGTATGCCGCTCTCTGATCTTTCAGTCTGGCGATGCTATGCACCAATTAAAAGGGCACGGTGGCCCTGTCTCCGGTGTAGCTTCCCTTGTGGTATCTAGGTCGCGGACCTTGCTATTTACTGCGTCATGGGACAAGCATATCCGTATCTGGGCTATCGGACAGCATGCCAAGCCATCGCCGTTGGCGACCATCGAACATGCGGGGACGGATTTGCTCAAGTCGCTGCATGTTGACCCTATGCACCGCATCCTTCTCAGTGGCGGTAGTGACAAAATGGTGCGTGTATGGGACCTAGGGCCTTTGATGACATGGGCGCAGTCCTTGTCGGATGCAGACTGGCCATACTCTGTGACGACTCCCGCACCGCTGCCTTCGTTGCGGGCTACGCTGCGTGCGCATACACGTCCTGTCGTAGTACTCACATCCTTACCACCTGCCCCGAGCGATGCGATTCTTCCTGACGTGCCTACATCCTGCACCTTTTTCTCGGCAGATTCCATGGGCCGCATTTTGCAAGTCTCAGTGGAGGAAAACCGTTGTGAAGTGCTTCGCGAACTCAACGGTCATGAGACCAACATTCACGCTATGTGCCCTGTGTGGCGTGAAACGGAAGATGGGCGGTATACGGCAGACATATGGACCGTCTCATCGGACAAGACGGTGCGTCGCTTCCCTTTGTCGGCGTGGGCACGTGGGCCTGTGCTACCAGGCCGTGTCTCGCAGGCGGGCGGGGTGCTTGGCACGCAGCCTGCTGTCTATGCCGATGTTCAACTGATATTGCCGTCGGGCGCCCGCTCAGTGCTGCCATTGGAACCTTTGCATGCGTCTCTTCGAGACCAAGTGCTTATTGGTGCGGCGGATGGCTCTTTGCAAGTATGGCATCTGTCCGCGCCCTCGCATGCCCTACACGCTCTCGATGGACACTGGCACGAAGTCACTTTCCTTGGCGTTTGGTACCGCCACCAAGCGCCATGGATTGTATCGTGTTCCTTGGACGGCACCATCCGTCGTTGGCCTCTCACACGTGTCTTAGAGCCTGCCTCCACGCCTAGTGCACCGCCAGCGACTACGTCCACGTCGATGCTCACCGCCGAGGAAGAGGCAGAGTTGGCCGATCTTCTGTCAAGTGATGACGACGATATCACAGTGTAACGAAACCAGTGTTCTTTGTCTATAGCATGTTATCCACTGTTGGCACCCACCGCCAAGCGCTTCAAATGCTCCATAAACACCTGCAAACTGACATCGTCGGTGAAAATCGCAGCGCCCTGACCTCCAGCGCCGCCCGTCATGTGAGTCGTGGATGGGTTCAGCTTCGAGAGAAGGAAACGGGCTTGCGAGCCATTCTGGTCGCATACAATGTATCGCGGCACAGGGAAACGCTCCATGAGCAGTTCCTGCGCATCGGCCTGCGGTGTATCGAGGATCTCCTTGAAGTTTTCATAGCCCTCTTGGTCTTGGTAGCCTGCCTTGCGCCATTGCGCAATGGTCTCACCATGGAAGATAAGGAGGTGGAAGAAGGTATCCAGCAGCAATACGACATCGGGGCGAATCGACATCGAGTCCAGGAGCACAGGTTGAGGAGGACCTTCGAAGCCGTACGACATGAGCGTCGGTTGAATCATAATCAACGAGTTGTTCACGTCCTCGCAGTTCAGCACGTGGCGGTAGTAGGCGGTCTCGTCAGGCGAGTTGTTAAACACCTGCAAGAATTGACTGCGGCGCAAGTGGAACATGAACTGCGGATAAATATTGAAGTTTTCGTTGAGGCGGAAACTGGTAGGATCGTCCTTGCGGTACTCGGCAAACTTTTGGCATAGGCGAATCAGCATACGATCCAGCCAGCGAAGCACGTCGGGGCTGTCATCAATCTCCGCCTTGAACACAGCAATGCGCGCCATGAGCACAGCTGCCGCTTCTTGGTCGAATGACATACCCACATGGCCCGATTCGCCATCGGCAAAGTTACGCGCAATCGTCGTTACGCGCAAACGGAACTGGCCTGAGGAGTGCTGATAGTGTGTCCCAAACTGGATCAGGCCACGAGCACCGGGCTGTAGCGGCTGGCCTGCTGGTGTTGCCACTTCAAAGTACACACCCGCACTTGTGCGAGGTGTGAGCGAGCACAGCTTCCACGCCGACGTCTGGCCAATACCAATCTCCGTCTCACCCACACACGCGGTTTTTTTGTTCGCTGAGACGGCATGGCCAATGAGACCGCTGACTTTGAGCTCCTTGGTACACTGCACTTCGAGCGTCGCATTGAAGCCCATCTGCAAGTGACCATCTTCGTCCTTGTCAAAGATCTTGTTGAAGCTCTGCTTGAAAATGCCCATCTGGAAACTATCCACCAACAATTGGTGGCCGTTTGTCAGGTTGCACAGCGAATGCATCTCCAACAAACCAACTTGATCCAAGCAACCAGAGAACACATCAATAATGTGGCCATTGTGGGCCGCACGACGTCCAATGTTCTCATAGAACCGCGACGCACGCTTGAAATACTTCACGTGATCCTTCTCGATGTCGTGGTGCGAACGGATACGCTCACGCAAATCCGTCGACACAACTTGGCCAGGACCCTCGGTACACGGACCACCGCAGAACAACATCACACGGGCACCCGTGTTCTGGAACGTGCTTTCCAGCAGACCCACAGCCACGCTCAGTGCCGCACCCGTGCAGCGCTGCGGACGCTTGTCGTTTGCGACAGGCCAAGGGTCGCGCTGCAGCTGCTCGAGGATGCTCGTCAGCTGGTACTCACACTGCGATACAGGCAGGAGGAAACGCGTAGCACCAATCTGGCCACTAGTGGTTTGGCGTGGCTGAGAAGGACCACTACCAGGCGTAGGACGCGCTCCAGGCGTAAGACCCAGCATATCCTGGATACACTTCGGCGAGTAGTCCTTGTTGCCGCGGAATACGTAGCTCTTCGGGCAGTTCTCATAGCCAAGTTCGTGCACTTGCACCACTGTGCCAAACGTAACAAGACCTACCAGTGCATGGGGAGGAAGCAAGCTGAGACTGACGACCAGCGATTCACACAGCGACTTGAGGTCATCAGGTTCCATACAAGTGTCCACGACAAACATAAAGATGGGTGGAATCTGTGACGTACGGTTGAGTGTGTACTCAATGGTCGTGTATTTCGGAAGCAGTTCCGCCGGCAGGTTCGTCGTGCTTATGTCCTTGTAGTGCGGGGGGAACGGGTTGCGTGAAAGACAGAACGGACAAATCCATAGCTTTCCACGAACATCCACCTGGCAATAGGGGTTCAGCACAGCGCGACAAGGTGGCTTGCACATCACTGGCTCATACAGCACAGGCGGGAGATCCGCACGCTCTTTCAACGGCGTGTACAGAGCGGCTACTGGCACCACAGTCCGGGTGGCTTCGAGCTTCGACGAAGGCCAGACGTTCCACGATAGCCGCACACCATCGCGGTCCTCAACCTCGTCCACATCTGTATGTGTCAGTATCCTCTCCCTCTTGTATGCAGCGAGCGTCTCTCACTGCCATTCTCTTTCACGTACTCATTGTCTTGTTTGTCGTGTCGTGCGTGTTGGCTGCGCTGGGAAGGCAAGGAACGAAACATGGCTGGCCGGCCCGGCCGAAATCCACGTGGCGCTGACACGGTAGGTAGAGAGACGAGCCACGCCCACCAGTGTGGAGTCTGCCGTGGAGGCTGAGAGAGGCCAGCGCGCAGACGCATCTCCACCCCTCCACCTACGTACGCTGGGTCAGCGAGCGTCTGCAACGAGGAGCAACATCGGGGCCTGCGTGGATATTGTCGCCTACGCCAGTGTCTGACAGGTCATACTATACTGGCTGGCATAGGATACCTGTACTATGCGTAGGCGCAACGCAGCATCGCCTTCAGGCGGTGCACATCGACGTAACATGCACGATGGTGGATCTTTGCATGATAGCGTGACATCGCGCGTTCTCACTTTATGGACTCACCAACCACCCAACTTCTCACGGCATGACTTTGTCATGAATCCTTCCTATGGCCTACCACAAATTTCTGATGCTGAGCTTCTTATGGTACTGCGTGCTTCTGATAGTGAGGCTTTGCACGTGGCCAAACATGGCAATGGTGATGTATGGCCTTTACTACAACGTGCCATTGTTTTTACGCCTATTCAAGCTCTTGCCGATCAAGAAGTGATTCATCGACAACAACAATTGCAACTGTCTATGTCGCAGCAGGTTGCCTCGTTGGCTGATCTAACGAATCGAACACAAATCGTGCTCAGTCGAACGCCTCGGAGTCAGCACCAACTGACACATATGGAACTCTACTTTAAGGGCCAGTATTTGGGACGTGCAGATATGTGGCGTCTGTCTCTTTCGTTACTAGAGACATGCATATATGTTGGACAAACAGTCAAGCTCCCTACCGGGTTGCGCGCCAAAGTGGGTCGTTTGTTCATCCACGAGCACTCTGTGGCCTCTGGCTTTGTTTCTGCGTCTGTAAAACCCATTTTTCGAACTGAATCCGCGCGAGCACGTATCATGGTGCAAATGTCGCGCGAGATGTGGGAGTTTGACGAAGGCGGGGAGATCTACTACGAAAAGGTGCTACAAGGTTTTCTTCCTGCACTGCTGCGTAAATGGGATGTGGTTGGCACGAGTCACCGTGTATCTGTGGTACTATTTACCCGAGTACTCTACGAAGAGTCAGAGAGAGCTCATTTGGAAGGCTTGCCTGTCCAACGTACAGACAATGGTCAGTACTATGTGGATTATTACAAGGTGGTCATGGAATTGGACTCCATGCGGAACTGGCCCCATGTCATGCGCCGACTCAAAGAAGAGTTTTTCCGATTTCAGCATGATATTTTGCTGCAGGCACGCTGGTCGCAGGGTCGTGTCGTTCCTACACAATTGGAGGATGAGGACATTCGACAAGACTCAGCTGTGGGTGGTCGTGTATTGCTAGGTCGGTTCGCACCTGCCTATGAGGGCAATATCCTTGAATCTATCAATTTGGCTTTGAATAGTGCCGAGCGACACTATATCGATCGAGATCTGTCTCATACCGGGTTTATGCTAATCGTCGTCACGGCCGGTACTGGCCATTTCTATGTCGACAAAACATTGTTGCGTCTCACAACACAACGTGTATTTGATTTGGGTCTGGCTGTGGATCTAGTATGCATGTCGCAAATGCCATTGCATGTTGTACCTGTTTTCCACTACATGTCCACCGTGACCTCCGATGCGTCCGGGTCCCGTTTGGTTCGGGGATCTACAGATCCGTTGTTCTTTGACAATATGTCTCATGCACCTCGCGAGATGTTCCACAACATGCCATTCTGGGTCAACTGCAGCTTCTATAACATGGAGCAGGATAGGCCATACTGGGAGTCGCAATTTGTTTCGCGCTGCCGAATGGATGGTGTTGGTGTATCAGAACTTCTTAGTGCGGGACAACAAGAACTTGCGCTACCGTATATGAATTTGGGTGCAGGCTCTAGTGGTCTTTCAACATTTTTACGTGAGCAACACGATCGTGATATATTCGCCTTAGAGCCACGTTCAATGCCCAACACAGCACCGACTACACCGCATTTGTCTACCAACGGGGGACCGACATGGTCAACGCAACCGTCGTGTGTTTCTTCCCAGACCTCTACACCTACACGGGTTGCACCTTTGCTAGCACACGCATCCCCAGCGTTGTCGACAGCGAGCGATATGACACACAAGATTACCTCTACGGTACCAAGCCATCGCTCGCCCTGGCGTATTTCTGCGGCGCAGTTGGCGTCGACGACAAGGGCACCATCAATTGCTTCCTCACGCCGTTCTACACGGACTATTACATTGGATGATCCTGGTAAAGCACTTGCTATGGTAGGTGAGACCGTTACATCGTTGGTGGCTGTGCCACAGGGCTCCGTGTCACAAGCTACTCGACCCGCACGTGGATCGACGACGTCGCTTTGGCGAAAGTTGTTTTCCTTCCCACGTCCAGACCGTCGTCATGTGATTACACAGGCTACGGCTGGCGATGCATCACGCTTGCTTTGCGAGGCGTTAGGCCGTTCGTCGCCTGCCTCTACAGCGACAACGCAAGAGTCTGTGCTGGTGGTTCACTCAACAGTGGATGAGACGCGTTTTGATGCTACAGCAGAGCATTACGATACGGGGGATGCCATGGCATCGCCTGTGGTTTCCACCTATGTGGCGGACTCACCCAGCCACAGTCTTTCACCTGTGAGCAAGATGACAGCGACCATGGCTACTGCTACGGCGATGACGGGGGCAAATACCACGGCATCTGGACTTCCTGGTCCCATGACCGCACAGGAGGGTGGGGACTGGGATACATCCACAGAAACACCTCGACTTGACCCAAGCAATTTGCGGCAAGCCTTTTCGGAGCACAATGCCATGCTTCTTCGTTGGCAATACGTCTTTTTGGAGAGGTCGAATCACCATGCTGTCAAATGGTGGAGTATGACAATGCCAGCCTCTCTCCCTTTAACCACCCGCTATCTACCAACGGAGCACGAACTTGCGACGTCTTGGCATGAATATCCTTATACTGTATCTGTGCACTCTGACACTCGCTCCATTATGTTACGCCGTGGCTCGTCTACCTCGCCAGCCCTCGCCATGCTCCGCGAAATGTGTGCACAACGCCTTGCTCAAGGGTTCCAATTAGTAGAACGTGCTGTGCTTCGACCAGGCGTGGCACCAGGCACACGTGATGCCAAGCAGTACGTGATTCGGCATCCCAGTGAGCTGTTGCGACCTGGTAATTTTGCTGATGGTGATCCATTGTATCTAAGTACAATGAATCAGGTACACTGCATTTCGTATCACCGACCAACGGGTATGATTCATGTTACACGATACGTGAAGAAAGTGCCTTATTCCACTGCGCCGTACTCGTACCGCTGCTGCATTTGGCCGCGATTGCAGGCTGGATTCAAGGTGGCTTCCACACCCTTCTCTTACCCAGATCCGCATGCATACAACTGGACTTACCTTGATTCCATGATTGCGGGGTATGAAGATACATTTACTGAATCCTTGCGATATTGGCGAGCTCGATTTGTGGTCGTGCCTAGTGAGGGCTCACCTTCGCCGTACCTGACGAGCTCAGGAGAGCCCTTGAACGATGAAGAGACTCGTTTGCTTGGTATGGACCGTCTCGCCGACTTGTTTGCACGCGCTGAGTACCATGCGCCGGGTCAACCTCATCGTTCGAGAGCTCTACCGTTGCGATTCCTTCCTACGACGCTCGATCCATCGTGTAGTTTGCACGACACCGCCTTCCTCGATGCGCTCACGGCCCTCAACCAGGAAATTTCGCGGCATGGAATCTCGCTAGATACCAATCGACCCCAGCAAAAGGCGCACGATCTCTCCCTCAAGGCATTGGCAGAGGCAATGCATCATGCCCGTGCTGCACTCAAAGTCCACGATCGGGTATGGCACCGTGTACGATACCCTGACACATTTACGGGTGCAGACCTCGTATCGTGGCTTTGCCGGTCGTATGCTGATATTCATACCCGTGAAGATGCTGTACAATGGGGCCGCAAGTTGTTGGAAGCACACTTGATTGAGCATGTGACAGCATCACACAGCTTTATGGATGGCCACTACTTCTACCGCCTTCTCGAGGTGGAACGGGGATGGCATTCCTCAGAACCAACAAGTGGCTTGTCTTCTTCCACTACGGCCCCCCCACTGGCGAATATTTCGTCTTCCACGCCTACCTCTACTTCGAACGCGGCACGCTCTTCCCATCCCAAGCGACGGCGTATCCAGCTCTCCCGCTCTATGTTGATTGATGTCGACCCAGGTCGACGCAGTAATCGCGCAGAAGTGGCTATGCTTCATCATGATCTCTCGCACAATGCAGAAAACGGGTTTAACTTCCAGATTCATTGGTTAGGTACTACGGCACGTCTCATTGACGATCTTGTACAAACATGGATGCGTACTGTAGAGCGGTACGGATTACGACTCGTGGAGGCGCCTATTGCGCAGATCAAAGACTCCCACCATCACAACCCGTTCCTCTCTGCCTTTCCTATTGGTCTCGCTTTAGCACCGCCCAAGAAGTCGTCATATCTGGCATTATGCGAGCAGGTAAAACAAATTCACACGATTGCTGCCTACGAGTCCAACAACGATCTTGAATCATGGGTTGTGCGGTATGTGCTATCGCGCGATGTTTTGCAAATTGAGGTCCTCTTTGAGACTGCCCTCGTGCGCCAATTTGGATTTGTGCTGGACCAAGAGGCTCAAGCCAACTACCCAGAGCAGATTGACCTGCACTACTCGTCACGTCCAAATAATTTCGATTATTCACAGTATGTGCACCGCTCTGGTATCGCTTTTATTCAGGTAATTGGCGGTCGTGATGGATACCTGTGGCTGAACAATCGTTTGCTCAATTCTCATGTGCACATGTCACGCTCGCATACGTCTAAGCCTATACCACCACCTGAAGGCGATTTCGAACGACGCGCTTTCCAACGCATGTGCCACGACAAAGATGCTCTTGCCTCGTTTTACGAGACAGTATGGGATATTTTAAAGCGCGCTGCGAACGGTCCCGATAATATATAATAGTCTCTCGTATGTCTTTACCTTGTTTATACAAAGGATCCTTACCAGCGACGACCCATCTAGTACTGTTAGCGAGCGTGGCGTTGTGCCTGGTCACATACCTGTTTTTCTACGCATGCCTTGAAAGCACGAAATTCGGCTGCACATGCATCACGACGAATCTCTTGGTAGTTGGCTAGCATACATTGTCCGTATTGCTCGGCCTGAGTGGCACATTGGCCGGCAGCCCGTGCTAGGCCCTTAAGTGGCTCCAGCGTTCGGCGGTGGGTCATGTACGTAGTGAGAAGCGAACCGACACTCCACGTGACTTCCGCTCCTTTTTTTCGTCGTCGCCCTCCATGTCGACAGCGCCCGCAGCCGTGCTGCCGCCGCGAGGAGGCATGGTGGCGCAGGTCGCCGCCGCCGTGAAAGCTGCCGTGGGGCGTTTAACATTGAGTGTCTCACCGCGCGACAATATTATAAAGTTTCGCGCGTACGAGATGTCGCGAGCAGAAAAGTTTAAGTATGGTGTCATGTTTCTCATCGCGCTCTTCTCCATTGTCGTGATGCAGGTGCCACCATTTCCTTATAAACTGATTATCCCCTTGTTATATATTGTGGCCATTTTAGTGCCACTCACATCTCAACTTATATTGCCTGCCTCGCCCATCCTATTATGGCTCCTACTCTTCTACTCATGTCGCTTCATTGACGTGTCAGCGCGGCCTCATATTTGGGTCTCTGTATTACCGACGCTGGAGACAATTTGGTACGGAGCCAACATTAGTGATATCCTGACACGCTTTGGACATCCTGTCCTGGATGTCCTGGCATGGATCCCCTATGGTGTCGTGCACTTTGTCGCGCCGTTTGTTGTGGCTGTCCTCGTATTTGTTTTTGCACCTGAAGGGAGTGTGAAGGTATTCGCAAATGCATTTGGCTTTATGAACCTCACTGGTGTCCTGATTCAAATTGCGTTCCCATGTGCCCCGCCATGGTATGAGCTACGTGAAGGCTTGTCCCCTGCAAACTATGGTATGCGTGGCTCTCCCGCTGGTCTAGCTCGCATTGATGCTATTTTTGGTGGTATTGGTTATACCATGGCATTCAGCGGCGCGCCTGTCGTGTTTGGTGCCTTCCCCTCCTTGCACGCTGCCACAGCTACATGTGAGTCGCTGTTTATGAGCTACTTTTTCCCCTACAAAATTCGCGTAGGACGCTGGCGCTTTGATGTTCGCATTCTTTACTGGGCTTACAGTTTTTGGCTGTACTGGTGTACCATGTACCTTATGCATCATTACCTTATCGACCTGGTGGCCGGCGGTTGTCTGGCTACCTTCTCTTTCTACTTCTTCCGTACTGAAGAGGTGCGTGATGCTCAAGAGCGACGTCTGGCAATGCTGGAGCGTCAAGAGTATGCCGAGCGTGCCGAGCGTGGCGAGGCCGATGACGAAGACGGTCTGGCCCTTGATACCATCGACTTCAAGCCTGAGGATGTAGAGGACGGGGAGCCAGCTGATGCTGTATTTGCCCTGGATGATGATGAAGAGGAGACTATCAAACCTTTTCCTTCTACGAGCTCAGCCCCTAGCAGTGAGCCGCAAGTACTGGCCACAGCGCGCCGAACGTCTCTCCCGTCACAGCGTCTGGCAGCATAACTCCACGCTGACTAAAGGTTAGTCTCCGTTAGCTGGACTCTCCTCCGCTGCCTTACCACTGTCTTGTAACGCACATACATACATTCATTCATTTCCTATTTTAATTTGACTATAGATGGCTTCGTTTGTTGGGACTACGGTCAGACTGACGTTGCGATCCGGTGATTCGTACGTCGGTACGATTCTTTCAATTGATCCGGCTACTGCCACTCTCAAGGTGCAGCGTACCGACAATGGTGAGATGATCGCGGTGCGTCGAGAAGAGTTGCAGGATGTGAGCACCGTCACAGAAACGTCTCAATCGTCATCAGCTCCTAGCAACAGCGTATCGACACCCAAGCAAAGCCACAAGGCGTTGGCTGACCCTATGGCACGTTCTGCGTCGCCTGCGGACAGCCGCAAAAAGCGTAACCGCCGCAAGGGCGAACGGGCCGATGCTGGCAATACCACCACAGCCCCAGCTGGTCCTGCATCCATGTTTGACGAGGAATTTGACTTCACCAAGAGTACTCAAAACTTTGATAAGAAAAAGATTTGGGAGGAGATTCGCGTATGTATGGCTCTATGTATTCACACTCGCAGAACCAAGAGGCTAACCCCAACCCTCATCTCCTTGTAAACATCAACCGAAACCCTCTGCTTCAACAAAGTGCAGGTTCGAAACAGCCCATGCTAGCACCTACTGAGATGGTACTTGACGAACCGTCGGAACCTATCGCTGCTCCTACTTCGAATCTCGGGGAAGTACAAGTGCTTCGATCTGAAGTGGACACACTCTCTGGAGCTCTGGCAGAAGCCCGTTCTGAGATTCAACGTCTCCGCAGCCAGGTCGCTTTGAGTGAAGCGCTTACAGGATTACACATTGAAGACCTCGGGGATGGTACCTATGTTTGTGGTGTATACAAAGACGCCAAGACGTCGGCCGCTCACTGGCGTCACAAGCACCAGCAATCAGAGCCGGTGGGAACAGATGGTGCACTCCGATACCTTGTTCGGGCGCCTGGTATAGGCAATACAGACGCTGTATCGCTGGGCTATGGCGGCCCTCACCGGGATCACAGCGACGCGGAGGTTTTGGAGAAGCTGCCTGATCACTTCCAAAGCGATATCAATATCAAACTTGATAATGCGCCTTTGTTCCAGCGCCGTTTGACTGATCTTATGCAAGGTTTGTAACTGGTATAGACGATAGTTTGTGCAATGCCGGTGGCATCCATTGGGGATGGGGGTACAAGCGCGCCATTACACGTCCTTTTACCAATGCGAGAGGCACGGGGCCGTAGTGACGACTGTCTGTGCTGTTCGCAAGGTTGTCACCAGCTAGCCAAACATGACCAGGCGGCACTGTGACTGTCCTGGCTGAATGCATACGCATTAAAGTGGATACAGCTGGGTTCACATCGTGATGCGCTATAGCCAACTCATCATTGGCATGACCTTCGCGGGGATCTACGAGGACTGTATCGCCTGGCATCCCAAGAACACGCTTGCAAATGGTTCGCGATGGATCTGCTGGAGAAATGGCCACGACAATGTCACCCAATTGCAGACCCATTCCTGCGCTGGGGTCACGTTTCGACGACGGTAGGCCACGAATATTCGTGGGAAATCTACTGCGCAAATCTTCACCAGCGAAAGGAAGCGTGCTTAAGAATCGGAGGAATGGTAACCGTGCATGTAACACGAGATCACCTGAGGGCGAAAGCGTGGGCAGCATAGAGGCGCCTTTACACTGGCGTGTCAGTTTTGAACGTGCTCACTCACCATTCGTACTTCGAACAAGTTCTGATTGATAATATGAACAAGGCACAAAAGCTGTAATGTGGTGACACTAATACGTCCCACCTGACTTATGGTCCGCTGCCATGCCATTGTAGTGCCCTGGGACGATGGGCCAAGAATGAAGGCTTGTGGAGAATCCTGTGATGGCGAAAGATGACGGCTCGCCCTTGCGATTCGCCCATTATGGGATTTAATCTTCTAGTGGAGGCAATTCGGCGCGGGCTAAAAGTAACTATCAAAGCCCGACCGGTTTTCGGTCGCAAATTTCTCTAGCTGACATCGACGAGTGGACAGTGGCCTCGGCCTGGCATGTCGAAGGAGAAGGTCGATCGCCATCGAACCGAAGTACGGAATTCAGCTATATCTGGAGCCTGTGCTGGTTTCGTGTCTAGTATTGTGACATGCCCTCTGGACGTCGTCAAGACGCGCTTGCAGGTACAAACCAATGAGTTCCAGCGGGGATTACGCCACAGGGGTGCCTTGCATGCTATATCCAGTGTTTGCAGTAAAATATGGAAAGAAGACGGATTCCGGGGATTCTACCGTGGCTTAGGCCCCACTGTTATTGGATACCTACCCACTTGGGCCATCTACTTCTGTGTGTATGATGCTGGAAAGACATTCTTGTCAGACAACGCTCCTTCATTGAAGGCACATCCTTTCACCATCCATATTGCCAGTGCTATGTTTGCAGGTGCTACCAGTACGACTTGTACCAGCCCTATGTGGGTTGTTAAAACACGCTGCATGTTGCAGACGTCCGACGTACCCGAACAGTTGCGGTATCGCAACACACTCGATGCCGTAATCAAAATCTACCGGAATGAAGGCATACCAGCCTTTTACAAGGGTTTGTTGCCTAGCTTACTCGGCGTGTTCCATGTTATTGTACAATTTCCCCTATACGAGCACTTCAAAAGCATGACATCCGAGGGGAAGCGTGGCGATCCATTGTCTCCGGGCTCCATTCTTTTGTGTAGTGGCGCTTCAAAAATGCTGGCTTCGCTAGCTACATACCCCCATGAAGTGCTTCGTACACGAATGCAAATGCAACAGCCAACAGGAACTACTGGTGAAAAGTATACTGGGTTCCTTCAAACGATTACATCGATTGCACGAAAGGAAGGTTTCCGTGGCTTTTACCGTGGTATGAGCGTAAACCTCGTTCGTACAGTACCGAATTCTGGGTTGACTATTCTGACGTACGTGTATCTAAATCTATTCTCACATCCAGCTATGAACTTCTCATGCATTATTTCGCAGCCCATACTTCTACATGAGTTGTAGGTCCATTTGTTAGTATACTCCTGTAAAGATAGCTGGTAACTCATGTTCTTAGAACTTTCTCCACCTTCTCCACATACTACGACTCTATGAATGGACCTTCATGAGTACCTACGCGGATTACTTCAATGCACAATACCGTGGTGACATGCCGTCTGGTCCTGTACGCCTAACCATTTCCAAAAATGAATCAGACATGCAGGATGACATGTGGGGGCAAGAACAGAATACGGAGCATCTCATAATGGAGGAACTTATGGACCAAGAAGACGATGTGGAATCTGGCGATGCTACTGCATATTCGTCCAGCACCGCTCATCGATCGCACCCTGTGTCATCTGATTTAAATCCTGGCATCCTTCCTTACATGGAATGGATTCCTACTCAGTCTCTTGTTTGGGTGATCGATACGTATGTGACTGGGTGAGGCTTACATGCAGTAATGTCTTGTTACGATTTCTCCCTTTACTTCAATCGCTTTGCGAGGCGATCCTTCGGCTTCAATGGAATGATAAAACAGCCATGCCGCGAGTCTATATGGTGGTTCCTCTTGTGGTGTTGGAAGAGCTTGACCAACTCAAACAATCTACTCGCATGGAGGGCGGTTCTACAATCGGTGCTTCTTCACGACAAGCAAGCCATTGGATTCTCGACACAGTTCAACGCCAAAAATATGTACATGATTTTCAGGGTGCCCTCCTTGCACCAGCAAGATGGGTTCTCCATGTACAGACAGCGTCCACCCGTACTACAAAAACAGATCAGGTACGCCCATGCTATCCATTAACGACAAGACCAATGATCAAGCCATTGTGTCTCTATGTACAGATTTAACTAAACGTTGTTCTGCACCTATCATTCTAGTATCGGATGATACTAATGCACGAACCATGGCAGAAATTGAAGGCCTAGCTTCTTTGTCACTTGTTCAGCTTGTGGGTCAACTTCATGGCTTGACAAGATCTTCTGCTTCCCATGAGGCGGATGCCGAATATATATACCATATATCTGCACCAGAATTGCGGCATCTACTTTTGCAACCTAATGCGTTGCACTCCCTTTCACGAGAGGCTATTTCTCAAATTCTCCCTGGGGCCCATGTTAGATAATATACACACCTACATACATCCACATGTTTATCACATACCGCCATGCGTATGATTGAAGTGCTTGCGAATGACCGTCTTGGTCGCAAAGGTATGCGTTTATGTGCCTAATAAACAGTTCGGGTCAAGTGCAGTCCTGATGATACTGTTGGTGATCTGAAAAAGCTCATTGCAGCTCAGACGGGGACAGCTCCTGAAAAGGTATGTCATGATTGCTTCTTGGCTCACTCACGTAGATTATTCTCAAAAAGGGCTACTCTGCCTTCAAGGACCACATAACGTTGGCTGATTGTGTGTATTTGATATGCTTACATGCAGACGAAATTCACGATGGTGACTCTTTAGAGCTGCATTAGGCAGTAAGAGCTTGCGATTTATAGTTCTATATATCGATATACACATAAAAATGAGCGCATAACTTCAGGTATACTCGCTTTTCAAGCTGTAGCTGGTTTTGCGGTCTTACTTCCAAAGTATCTCATATGGTCTGTTGGATGCAAAGTAGCATCACTTTCCAACCATGACTCCAACGCTGGCTCAGATGTATGTACATCAATTTCAGTAGACTGCGATTTGCCGCCCAAATGCTGTTTTATATAGCCAGGGTCCTTAGAGCCAAAGTTTACACCAAACTCCAATTGCGCACTAGGCTCATTCTCAAGCTCTAGCAGCTGTAAAAGTTTTTTTCCAAGCTTATTTAACTCATCCACCGGCTCTTTCGCTCGCGTCCAAAGCGCAATACGGTCGCCTTTTCCTCGCAGTGAACATACAGCACCAGTCACTAGACCATCATCATCCAACGTTTCGCCAATCAAAGCCAGCACAAGCCACATCCAGCTTCGGTCTACCAGCGCTTCATGTGCCGCCCGACTGCCCGCAGTTTGGGCGCGATCTCGTAGCGTAATAACCCACCGCCCACCTTCTGCGTTAGCCGGATCTTCCCACATGGGTTTTACACCACTTTTGAAGAGATGATAATTCGCATTTTTTTCCAAACGACTAGGACGATGAAGTGTTGCGAAGGTATCAAAGAACGATTCAAGCGTAGTAAATTCGCCGACGCATTTAAGAGTAGCCTCGTATTGATCACTGCTAGACTGCCCATGGTGACGCTGTAAATCATAGTAAAGAGTCCATGCATGCTCCAATGGGTGCTTCTTACCGTTCTTTGCGGCAAAGCCTTCTTCACGACCAGAGAGCAAAGGGCCATCGTAAGATACTGGCGTTTCTTCTGTCAGCTTGTTAGTCTCCGACTCCGTTTTTCGAGTTAACTCCGAAGCAACTTGCGAGCTTTTGCTGATCTCATTAAGCTCCTCGGAAGCATCCTGTTCAACCAAAACGTTGTCTGCAGGTTCGTCTGATGAAGAAGGCGCAATGTTGGTATCTTTGAGTGCTTCATCTGACAGGGGTTTGGAGAGATTAACTGGTTCAGGATCAATAGGTGATGCTTCCGGCGATTGGTTTTCAGGTGAGCCGGAATTCCGTTTACTCCATTTGGACGATGTCACATCAACTCCACGCTGGTTGAGACGAGCTCGAATATCGCTAAGACTTGGCATGGAGCCTGCTTTGGACCATGGTAAAGAGCCAGATTTACTAGCGGACTCTGCTGCCGATTCCAGGCGTCCGGCAAGCCCTAACCGCTTCAGACTTTGTGCTTTCATGGTTAGATTCGAGTGATACATACGCGCGCTGGTGGACTCCTTCGTTGTACCCTCCGACACCGGCATATTAAACCTCGAGGCAATTTCTTTCAGTGTTAGGGGATTTGTTTTGACAGGACTTCGACGATCCTTTTCCCCAGGCGGTTTGGCCTCTTCTGGTCTGTCAGCGCTCATGGAGACGCAAACGTTGGGTGTTGAGGTTTCGCACAGGTGCTGAATTTCATGATTTGGTCCTCTCCACGTGGGATGCTGTGCCACCTCCACAAATGTTTATCAATTCTGGGCTACAAATCCGGAGATGTATGTACATGCATTCAGGCGCGTCAGGGATTACAGAATTTAAGGGGCGTCACTTTTTCGACGTCGTTTCCACCGTCCGAAAAATCCACTTCCAGACACAGGAGAAGAGGAAAGCCTTTTAGGCATTGAGGTATTTGTCGAGACGCTCGAAAGAGAAGTGGAAGCCTCACTGGCCACATCAGTATGCTGGATTCCAGATCGAGACACTGTTGCTGCAGAATATTCGGGTTGATGTAAGGGGTTTGTGTGGCCTGTCATTGGAACAGCATGTACCTGCTTGCTACTGTCTTGTAGTTTACTCGGTTGGTCCATAGGTGTTGAAAATCTTTCCTCATGGCGAGTGGGGATACGGTCTTGTTTAGTAACTTCTTCCAAAGAAGTCGAAGTTCGAGGTTCATCGACATGCTCAAGGCGTGGCTCTTGGATGCCACCACGCGGGATAGTGACCGAAGTTTGATTGGAACGAGACGGTTCATTTGATGTCCCAAGTGCGCTATCACTAGCAAGATTCTGATCAATGGATGTTTGATTGTTGGCCACTTGCGCCCCGTCACGTTGAATGGATTCTTGCGCTTGAGGCTCATCCTTGTCATCTTGTACAAGGGGTTTGGAAGCATCCCTTGGAGCAAATCGCTTGCGGGAAACTCTCGTACTTTCTCGATGACCTACCATTTCGGAGGTCGACTGGGGCATAGAAGGGGTTTCGTGCATGTTATTAGCACTGAGCGCCTCTTCCTGAAGCTCTGCTAATTCGGATAGGAGTTCCTCGTTCACAGACATCTTTGGCTCGAATGCGTCACTATACCGCTTGCCCAAAGAGGCTGATCGCTTCTCACGTTCTGCATTGATCTTTTCTTCTTCCTGGCGACGATCCCATAAGCTAGCCTTATGCCGAAGTTCGTCGCTCGTCATGGCCTGCTGTTGCTGGAGTAAATGTAGTTGTGCACTGAGAATCGATGCTTCTCGCTTCCATGACTCCAATTCCATGGACTTAAATTCACTTTGCGTTTGAGCCACTGTCCTCATTTGTTGCTTCAGCCTATCGTTCTCTTTCAGAACCACTTCTAGTTCTTGTCCTGCCTTGGATGCTGCCAAGGATGCCTCTCGATACATCTCTTTCGTAAATTGCAGCTCTTCTTTCAGACCACTTATTTTATCGTTCAAACTGGAGAGTTTCTCGTCATTATTACTGGTCTCTGACGGAGGAGGTCGGATAACACGGCCCGACCTACTCGTCCGTACTGGTGCGGATGGAGGCGTATCATTCTGCACTTCACTTGGCTTCTCTGTCGGTGCTTGAGGCAACTCAGATGACGATAAAGTCTCCTTTACATTAGTAGTTGTACTTTCCTCTGCGATGCTAGTATTCATTTCAGGTGCCCTGTCTTCCGTAGGAGGTGGCATGGTAACGGGAACCACATCTTCCCGTATCACTTCTTTCACAACAGGGTTCTCGGGCACCATAGGATCAGGTACTGTACTCGAATCAGCAACATTGGTGTTTTTCAACGGTGTTTGGGGTAAAAATTGTACCGAGGACAAGGGTATTGAATCATTCGAAGGATGCGCACTAAGCAAAGCCGACAAGGGAAGTGGTGAAGTCGCATTGATTTGGTTTTCAACAGTAGCAGCAGGTACATTTGTTTCTCCCATGGAAGCAGCTTTAGTACTGCTTTCGCTTTCTAAGGGCACAGTCGCAGTGGACATGTCATGGGATATGGGCGCCGATGACTCTGCCTGGGGTGCGAGTTTAGGAAGGTCATACGCTGTGGACTTCGTTGGCTCATGGGAAGAGCTTGAGTCCGTCAATTTTGTAGCCAATGGCTCTTCTGATAGCTTCTCCTGCTTCAAACGACTGTTTTTGAACGCGATGCGCTCTTGACGGAATTGACGCCATGTTGATACCAAGTTTGGAGGAACATGAGACTTGGGCACCCATTCAGGTTCACGCGTGGGACTATTTTGGTGCGTAGTATATCTACTCAAATAAGACACCTTATAGAACCCAGGCTTTGATCCAATAATGCGCACAGGGCGCGTCGCTGGAGGATTTGGTGCACCCTCCATGTAATGATGTATCTTATTGCAACTTGAAATGGAGTTCGTGGAGATCGCTTATAAAAAGCAGCCACGTGCGAAGCCATAGCTTACACGCTACGCACTGACCTCGATGCATTCACATCACTCGCATTCTGGCGAGTTTTGCAAGCATGCTAAGTCGACGTTAGATGAGGTTTTGGAACAGGCGTACAAACTGAAGTTTTCACACTTTCATTTATCTGAGCATGTGCCACGGGCAAAGCCAGAAGAGTTGTACCCTGAAGAAATTGAAGCAGGTCTTACTCCAGATGGCTTGGTGTCTCAGTTTCAAGACTACCTGGCCAAAGCACGCGTCAAGCAACGCGAATATACCGAGAAAAGCCCATCCATGACTGTACTAGTTGGGTGTGAGACGGAGAATATTGTCTCACCGGATACGCTTGATTATTTGGTCACTTTGCTCGGTCCTAGCAATAGTAAATCGCTACCTCCTTCTTATGTCGGACTTGGTACCGTTGACTACATTGTTGGTTCTGTGCATCATACCCATGGTATCCCTATTGACTTTGATAAGCCTACATATGAAAAGGCGGTATCTTCCCGCGATGGCGGGCGTGTGGCGCTGCTTCTCTCTTACCTTGATGCCCAATTTGAGGTCCTGCAACGACTTCGCCCAGAGGTTATTGGCCACATGGATTTATACCGCTTGTTTGAGCCCACGGAGACGTGGTACCCAGATGTGGATTCTGTGGATGGCGCCTTAATTCATGAGAAGCTCCGCAGGAATATCGCGTTTGCAGCCAGTTATGGCGCTTTGTTTGAAGCGAATTCTGCGGCCTTTCGGAAAGGATGGAACGGTGAAACGTACCCTGGCCGCGATATACTTTGTCTCATTCTTCAGGCGCACGGGCGTATAGCTCTATCTGATGACTCGCATGGCGTTGCACAGGTTGGTTTAAATTTCGCTAGACTACGGACGTATTTAATGGAGATGGGTGTGACGACTGTGTGGTGTCTCACACGAGGGACCAGCAAGAACGAATCTATCGAGGAGGCACACCACTCCTTTGAGAAAGAAGAACAAGCTAGATTGATACGTGAAGTGTCTTCCGCACCCGGTGATGGCGCCCCAGACCGATTTCCTAGAGGTACGCGCGCTATTCCTATGCGCGAGTGGGCCTCGGATCCATTTTGGGACGCGTTGCCGGCTGGCTTACAAACGGCGGCTCCATAGTTTGTTAGCTCCACCTCAAGCATTTTGTTCCCCCAGACCACACATCACCCTGCAGCTTAGGTCATCAGTGCCGCGCTAGACAACTCGGGCGCTTGTTGGCAGGCAGGGCCAATCAGAGCCTGTTAGTTTCCAATGTCTCAAATTCCGCGTTGACCCGAGTAGGGGTGCCCCTAGAGAGCCCTTCTTGCTGTTCCCATCTTCAGTCCAAAATGATGGTGTCGCTGCCGAGCACGATCCGTGTTGCCTCGCGCCTTGCTGCGCCGCGTTCGATGGCTGCTGCCTTCTCTACCTCTGCCGTCAGTGCTATGGCTACACCTGCGCATGAGCGTCCCCCGAAGATGAAGACGTTCAAAATCTACCGTTGGGTATGTATGGCTATAAACGATCCATGGTGTGCTAACCTCACTAGGACCCGGAGAACCCGTCAGTGAAGCCCCACATGCAGAGCTACGAGATTGATTTGAACAAGACCGGCCCCATGGTTCTCGATGCTCTTCTGAAGATCAAGAACGAGTTTGACTCGACCCTCGCTTTCCGCCGTTCGTGCCGTGAGGGTATTTGCGGTAGCTGCGCCATGAACATTGATGGTGTCAACACCCTCGCCTGCTTGTGCCGTATCGACCGTGACAGCAGCAACAGCAAGATTTACCCGCTCCCGCACATGCATATTGTGAAGGACCTGATCCCCGACTTGACGCTGTTCTACAAGCAGTACCGCAGCATTGAGCCATACCTGAAGCCTGCTGGTCCTCCTCCGGGTGGTCGCGAGTACCTGCAAAGCCCTGAGGAGCGCCGCCACCTCGACGGTCTGTACGAGTGCATTCTCTGCGCTTGCTGCTCGACTTCATGCCCGTCGTACTGGTGGAACCAGGATGCCTACCTCGGCCCGGCTGTCCTTATGCAGGCCTACCGCTGGATGGCTGACTCGCGTGATGCTCACGGTGATGAGCGTCGTGCTAAGCTGGAGAACACGTTCTCACTGTACCGCTGCCACACTATTTTCAACTGCACCCGGACGTGCCCCAAGGGTCTGAACCCGGCCCGTGCGATCGCTCAGATCAAGAGGGATATGGCTTTCGGTGCTCCGAAGAGCGCCGCGAGTCGCCCTCTGCAGACCCCGTAGACGCCTATGGATATATAATGCCAATGGTTCATGATTAAAAATGGATAGGTAGATACTTGCTTTGTTTCTCTATACATCAGCGCGGACGCCGTGGTATCTTGGGAACCTAGGAAGGCCTTGAGAGCCGATTCCACCGTATTGATACGTGATAATGGTACCGATAGAGGGAGGGTGTTTCCGCAGATGCTCTGTGAGGCCAGACCCGACACGAAAGCGGCGTGGTGATTCTTCCAGAGTCTCACATACAAGCGATCCAACGAGACCGGTAATGCCATGCTGTCCCTCTTCGTAGCCGACCACACGTGCTTCCCCATCGTGTACAGGCTTCAGCTTATATAGAGTCGTACTGCGATTTTTTTCATACAGAGACTCGGGACGGCGAAGCATGACGCTAGGTTAAGACGATAGGAAACGTACCCTTCTCCACCCAGAGAAAGAACATGGTCAAGCAGGTCGTTCAGGTGGTTCACACATGTGCATCTTGTGTGTTTGACAAGGTATGGGCCAGCCTATACTTAGTCATGCCCCCACATACCTTTAGTGAGCGCCATTGGTCACTCTCTGCCACGGGAAAGACGCGTTCTAGACGAGCCCAGCGCTCCTCTACACGCTCTGTCTGCCATCCAGGGGTATCAAAGATCATGTATTTTATATGATGCCATTCATCTGATGTCTTATTAAGGATAAGATAGCTTGCCACGTACCGTAGATCGACATACACTCGAGGTGTGTTCAAACAGCCCACGTCCAATCCATAATTCGCCATCGAGTGGCATATCAGCTGGGAGTTCTATTGTCAACAGAAAACAACATACGTTCCGTGAACCAAGTGGGCGCGGACCATGGCTTCCCCCGCCTAGACCATAAACATCGGCCATCCCATAAGGCACGTACGCCATCAAGCTGATGGTGAGTGACCTTTTGCGTACCTTTTCACTGATCCACCATCCTGTTGGATCTTTGGTAGTAGCACTGTGCCCATCAGGTAAACTTGGCCATGTATTCGCCAATAGGAGAAACAATTTTACGTCGACACGACCGATCAATTGCGGTGGCTCTTCCCCACCTTGGACCATAATAGCCGTGTGATCCTGTTCTGCACGAGCAACAGAAGAGGAGGGTGATAGCTGCACAGACTTCGTGGGAGTTGTTTTCTGTCGCTTAGATGGTGATGATTCGGGCGACAAATACTTGACGAGCTTCGCCCTAGCCATATGGGCGCTGCCTCGCTTGGTCGGCGTTCGAGGAAGCCACACATGGCCTGGATGCGCCACCTAGCGTAAGCCAACGTTATACTTACTTCCTCTTTTGTACGTTCCTTTTCATACAATGCCCCCAGCACGTCCGCCAAATGGTCGCAAGTGCGTTTCGACACAGCTACATCGGCTGCATATCGCCATGCAGGACAAGTGCACGCGTAATGTTCAGAAAACCGGCGCACTTCAAAGCCATCCACGACGACACATTCTCCAAGGGGTATATATGTGGCTGGGTAAATCGTACACTCCTCTCCTTCAGGTCCTACTGTAATCGACGCATTGCTAGGATGGAGGCGCATGCTACCTAAACCAGGCAGGCGGTTGGACCACGTCCTGAGAAAGCCTCCACCTGGACAATCCCACGTGGGCTCGTAATGAACGACATGTTTGTTTCGTTTCACGCTACGATGCTTCCGCTCGTTAGGCGATCTGTGTATGCGTCATGGCCCCGTGGCTCTGTGCCTTTACGTTGTGTGGGAATGCGGGGCATGCACTCTAATCCACCTTCGTATAGCATCAGCGTACTGGATCCATTGGCGAAGCACATGATGTCCTTGCCAGAAATGGCGGGTCTAACAGAACTAGGTCTAGCATACCCATACACACTTTCTGTCATTGCACTGACCCTATCCCTTCGTTCCTTAATATCTGTTCCACTTACTTTATGGCAGAGGAAACGGAATGACCGACTTACAAAGATTGTCATGCCAGAATGGCAAGTATGGCAGAAACAGATTCCCGCCTCGATTTGGCAGCGGCAGAACTTGTCAACGGCACCGACGCCCGAGCAAGAACGTCATGTAGTGCGCCAAATTCAGAAAAGTCTGTCGCAGAAATGGAGGCATCTTATATCGTTGTACAAGTGCTCGCCCATGAAAACCACATTGACATCGCTGGCCATTCATGTTCCGCTTTTTGTTGTGGTCTCTCTGTTACTGCGCCAAGGCGCCATTCTGCCGGATACACCCCTGGTACAAGAACTTGTTCCATGGTGGTCGCCCAATGAAGAGTTTGCTGCGCAATCCGCTGCTACTCGTCAAGTTCTTATGGACAAGGGATTGGATCCCAGCCTGGCAGATCGCCTGACAAAGATTGGTGGGCCAACATTAGCCGATCGCGACCCGACATTCATTATGCCATTGACTTGTGGCTCAATCAACATGATCAATGTGGAATTGTCCACCTGGACAAGACTGCGTAGGCGAGCGATGGAGGCCGCTATGGGGCTCGCGCCTGGCCAAAACGATGTGGAAGAGCCGCCTCGCGCTCGCATTCTCTCGAATATGATGCGTGTCGGTGCAATTGCTTCGATTCCTATTGCGGCACAAATGCCGTCCGTACTTCTTGTGTACTGGTGCACATCCTCGTTGGTCACGCTCGTCCAAAATGTGTACTTTGCACGCATCGATGCCAACGCGTAAAGTTGCTCTATACCAATACATATGTTATGAACGGAGTGTTTTTTCTAATTTCTTTCGCTCCTCCGCGTTCTTTTGCCGCATACTTGCAAGACGTTGCTCTATCCGCTCACGCATAGTGTCAAGTAGATAGGTCTGTTGTTGAGTAACCCATTCCAGAACAGTGACTTGATGAGGATCCGGCATAGGCGGCACATCAATGCTGCTATGTCTGTGGGGAAACGGAATCGGGAGATATTCCTCGATGCGAGGAAGGGATAACGCTGGCTTGGTAGGGGGTAATGGCGAAGTCACTAGATTCTCGACCATAGCTTCATCATCAGATTCGTTGGTCGACATCGCAACCGATTGGGACAAAGACTTTGTTGATGGTGGGGTATCCGAGGTTGAATTTTGTACAGGAGCAGGAATCGTACTGACAGCTTCTAGGGTCGGCGACGACCTGGTAGGAGGAGGCAATGCACTTGAATGGACGAATTCCAAGTCAGCCATGGAATGATCTTGCGTATCTGTCTTTTTTGGTGAAGGCGTAGAGTGGCGTGGCTCTTCAACAGGCATGGATTCTGGGGGGGTTGAGGGCATCGTCAGAATAGCCTGCGACTCGTCTTTATCGATCGATGGAGCCTGAGGTACTTCATGTGACGTCTGTTCAACCACATCATCTTCATTCATATGTGACAGCGAAAATTCCAATGGCACCTCTTCCTCTGCGCTTACGGGCTCCGCCGCCGCGACAGTCCGACCGCGGGCACTAACAGAACGTGTGGTGCGCTTCTTTCGGGGTAGAATTTCCATAGATATATCATCGAGACTGTCTTCCTCTTTATACGATCCTTTCTTCCCCTTCCTAACTTCGCCAGAGGCACTTCGCTTGTGCGACGTATCCCCCTCATGTTGACTTTGTTCGTCCTCATCCAGGGCTGTTGCAATAATGCAGTGAAAGAAGGGACAGTCAGGTCGACGCCGCTGGTGTTCATGACTGCGGTAAGCAATACGAATACATACATAGGGTCGTCTGTCTTTTCCCATCCACCAAGTTCAACACCACAATAGATGCAAGCACATCCATCTTCTTCATCGTCCGTGGGCGTGTAATGAAATCCAGCTTCACTAAGCTTGTTGCTGGTAGGCCGCCAACCACGACGGCCAGTGTACGGCCAGCGATCATCAAATGTAGCCTTTCGCGCGGCTGTCATAGCGCTTCCATTGGGCAGGAGCTCCTCCTCGTCCCATACCCATAGGGTGTCGTCATCGTCCCCAGGTCCATCAGGACCGAAGCTCAATCGCGCTACGCCGCCTTTTACAGTGTGTTTACGACCAGCCTCTTTGCTTTTCTGAATAGCCTCAAAGGCTGTTTCCTTCTTCCATCGCGAACGATTCGACACCGTCCGTGCCCTGGGACCGCGCACGCTACCCATGTCGTGGGGATGGAAATAAACAACACCACCAAAAAATGGTAGTGGAGCTGTCACGTGGGGTGCACAGAGCAGCGAGAGACACAATGGCACGGTGCAAGCCAATGAATAGGCGGATTGGGTATCTATGATGATTTCGTATGTGACGAAGATGTGCTGGATTTAGCTGAGTTGCGCGTGGTGCTGGTAGATAGGAAAAGCGAGAAGGGCCATCGTGAACGGTAGGTCACAGAAGCAAGTCGTTGCGCCTCGAGCTTTTCTCGACGTTTTCGTTCAAACGCATTCCGGTAGCGCTCGTATCCCTCGCGAAACTCGGTATCTACACGTGAAGAGAAAATGATCTCACCACGGTCGTTCCGTGTAGGTGGGACCTTGGGCATGGTAGCCCGACGTTGAAACGTATGAGTGGAGCGTGTGCCTGAGGTATTGTATGGGCCGCGTGCTGGCCGTTCGTCTGTCGACGTGGAAGAGGTGGCTTTAGAACCACGTAGAAAAGAGATCCAGGTTATCCAAGAGGGCCATGATCGCACAGTTCGCATATTTAGGTACATGTTGAATGTGCGCAGGGATCGATTCGCTTGAGGGATAAATCTAGTGTGAGTACATCAGCGTGACAACATACTTGTGCGACGCTGAAATCTTGTCTGCATACAGTCCACTCGCAAAAAACAGGACCAACGTCATACATCCAATCAATAAAAAACCAATGCAGAGGTAGTACAAGAAAAAGTTCTTTTTTCATTAGGCATACGTGACATACCTGAGGCGTGGCAAACAGAAACAGATAGGTGAGCCATACAATGAAAAGACAAAGTACAATTAAAAATGCTGACAGTTAACACCACTGTACCACGTACTTTGGTATTTATTCTTGCGCTCTTTCATTCGCGCAGCATTCTGCTTGAGCCTCTCCTCGAAAATTAATAGATCACGAAACGCCGCTGTGTTAGGCATTGGCGTATAAAAGTCAGGTGCTAGCAAACTGGGCACTTCTTTATTAGGTAGGCCTGCCATGACGGGCGATTGCAGACTCAAAGCATGCAAAGAACCTAGGCATACAACGCCGCCCTTAGCGTGGACCCAAAAAGAGGACGACGGCAAAACTGTCTCCGCGTCAAGCAAGCGCCCTAGTACGACCGTGCACGACGTTTTGTATTATATAAGCATCAGCAACGCCAGGTAGGTTGCTTCAGAGATCGCTGGGCGTCGGTCGTCACGAAGTCCATTTGGTACCATGGATGATGCGGAGGAAGGACTAGATATTCGCCTAGATCCTGCCTCTGAGCAGGCAGAATGCAAGTCGCATCTCCCGGATCGTATCCTTCGCCAGATTTTCGACTACGTACCGATGGCCGATCTGGCCGCGGTAGCCGCTACATGCCGTGCTTTCAAAGCTATGGTAGACGATGAGACACTGTGGAAGTGGCGTTGGCACAGGTTGGGATGGAAACCGATGACATGTCTGCCTGACCCTCTTTTGGATGCACCAGTGAAGGCGCGACAGCCAGCGCCGCCAGCTCGTCTGACAATGCCGGCAGCCAAGCCCAAAGCGATAGACTTACTGTCCGACCTGGAGTGGGATACGCCCCTCTCGTCTGCCTTGGACAGCAAGGTGCCGCTTACAAGTCACGTCAATGCAGAAGAAAGGCCTTATTTTGCACGTATGCAACGTGCGTTTTACGTGCTGCGACCCATGGTTGTCTCGCTTCTACAGGCACCGTCGACGTCCTCCTGTTCTCTGTTTACAGCTTCGGACCAGCTCTCGGAGCAATGCAAATTGATGTGCATTGTAGCCCGTTTTATATCCCCTGTGGTCCAAGGCATTCCTGGGCCGGGCATGGCAGACGATGCATTGATTCGGGCAAAGTTTGTTCAAGCTATGGTGTACTTTGATACACAACTGCGCACAGCTTATACCTCAGAAGAAGCACGCTGGGTTGAGGCCCATGCTTCGCAGGATGAGAAAGCATGTATGGCAGCAGAGAAGACTATGCATCAGCATGCGATGACAGCGTGGGAATTGCGCGCAGTCGCCCATGACCTGGGCCCTGTGTCGGATGCACGGCCTGTACTGCCCCATGCAGCTGCTCTGCGAGCTCTGGGTGGAAGTGTCATAGCCGAGGTGCATATCTCTACACGCCCTGTGTTGCATGCGCGGCTGCCGTACAACCCATGCGATGCGCTGCCCCAAGAGGCCACGCCTGTGGTGCGAACCGAGCCATTGGACGAGTTTGCCAAGCATCTGAAAGGAGTGCTACGTGAGGAATTCGCGCTCATCGACCGTATTTTCCCGGCAGCCCAGCCTGTGAAGATCTGTCTGTTGGAGGTCGTGGTCGATAGCTTGGTGACGGATTACGTGTCAACGCTCTTGCAGCAGGCACGAGGACGATCGGTGGAGTGGTACTTGAATGCGTACGTGCAGTCGCTCTCGAGTCTTTTGAGTATGACTGATCTGCCGGAGGATGATGTGGATCGAATGCGCGGCGTAGTCATGCAGGTTTGGCGGCAATCGCTGGAAGAGTATTTGGATACAGAGCATACATGGCTCACTCAACAACTCAAACGAATCTGTGATCGATGGCTAGGTGACTTGGAAATGATGGTCAAGGAATGGCACGACGAGTCCAATGTGCTGTCAGCACCGCATTCCTCTGCACAGAAACGTTCGTTCCTAACTACATTTAAAGACGCCATGCTTACGCCGGCTGTCAGTATGCCACGCTCTGCCAGCTCAGGGCTTTCCTCGCTGACCTCCAAATGGACTGGATCGTCGCCTGCTGCATCGTCTGAGTCGCTTCCCCCTTCCTCATCGCCAGCGGAAGGCTATGGCGGTCTCCAAGATACGCCAGCCACATGGGAAGACGAGGATGAGGAGCCTCGTACGGTGTCAACATCTATACCTACGCCGCCCCCAGCAGCAGACATATCGGTGCCCATGATTATCACATCCAAACCTATGCAGATGTCGTCCTTGCTGAATTTGGAGACGGCCATGGAATTGATTACCGTCACGCGGTTGACGATTCAGCGTTTGGACACCCTTCGTCAGGCGCATACGACGTTCCAAGCACGTGCGCAACGTGCCATCATTGATGCAGTCGTGTGCTTGTTTGCTTCGCTGAACGATGCGCATATGACACCGGGTTTTGCCACAGCACGTGAGCAGATATTGACGTACGATCCTGCCAAGCACGATCAGCCCAAAGGTCGCGATGCAGCTGATCATGTTGGCCCGCTTCTTCTGTTCTTTGAGCTGGTGCATATTGGCGACACCATCCAGCAGATGATGCAGGTATTTTTCGACCGTCTTGGTCCTAGTTTGCTGGGCAAGCTGGACTTTACCAATGCGGCCGTACGAGAGAAAAAGCGCTTTGAAAATGAGCTGGATGAACAAGTTGCGGCTGGCTTGAATGCAGGAGTAGAACTGTTGGTCCAGCAGATTGAGCACATTGTGTTCACGCATCAAAACCCACTGGACTTTTACCCACCGACCGATGCGGCCTTTGACGTATCGCAGCCGACACATGCCTGCGCCGAGTGCTGTGCGACACTGCGGACGTACTGCGATATGCTGGCTAGCTGCGCTGATAAAGCCATCTTGGACGTGTTTTACCAGGAGATTGGGTTCCGATTGTATTCGTACGTATGCGATGCACTAACAGCAGGGTCCTTTGTAAGCATTTGAAGCGACAGATTATCTCGATTCCCGGCGGATTCCAAGTGATCTCCGACCTAAACTGCTACTTCCATTTCATCGAGTCACTTAAGCAGCCATCCCTTACTACCTTATTTGGCGCATTGAAACGGATTGGAAGCCTGTACATTGTGGAAGAGCCTAAAGAACTGGCGAAGTTGGTGCAGGATACCACGCTCAGCAGCGGTACACTGCGCCCAGAAGAAATGTACGAGTTCCTTCGTGCGCGCTGCGACTTTAAAACCATCGAAAAGAACATCGATGCGGAAATGTATGGCATTAAGATCCGCGAAGATTGTGTCATAGTCTAGATACCCTGTCCTTGCCAAGAAGGCTTTATTATATCCTCATGTATATTTACAATGTGTCCGAGGCCATTTTTTCCGCGTCGATCTTGTCAGCAGCATGCTGCATCTGCGCATCGTACTTGATATCCCAACGCATATATCGGCCCACAAACAGGGCAACCCAGCTTAGAATAAGCAATACAGGCACTTCGACCAAAGGCCCGATGGTCGCAGCCAACGCTTGCGGCGAGGAAGCGCCGTACAAAGCGACGCAGACTGCAATGGCCAACTCAAAGTTGTTGGAGCTGGCGGTAAATGCTTGCACCACGGCCATTTGGTAGCCCCAATTGTGCTTGCCATAGCGACGCGAAACAAACCACATCATTAGGAAGGTCGCGGTCCACATGATCGCAAAGTAGGCCACCAACGGGGCAATGGTGCGGAAGACGGGGCCCAAGTTGTGCAAAATTTGCCGTGCTTGCGATGCAAAAATGATAATGATTGTATAGAGCAAGGCAATCAGACTCAAAGGCCCAAAGAACGGCATGAATCGTTTCTGGAATTTCTCGCGGCCCAGTAGCGAGAGCATAATGAAACGCGTCACGATACCAGCGCCGAGAGGAATACCGAGGTAGATGCCGACGGCAATGGCCGTCTCTCTGTACTCCAGCCTGAACGATTCGTCGCCTGAGATGATGTTGATGAACCAGATGGCATACGGCGCATACAACACCATTTGCAAAAGCGAATTCACAATGACAATAATGGCACACGTATCGCTATCACCACGCGCAATACGATTCCAGATCATGACCATGGCAATACACCTTGCCAGGCCGACCATGATGATACCGATACGGTACTCGTCCAAATCAGGCAGTGTTGCCCAGGCCAGCGCCAGCATGACAAATGGGCCAAGAATCCAGTTGATGATGATGGCCACAAAAAGCTGCAGCCAAATACGACTCTCACTGAAGATCTTCGGGAGGCGTTCATATTGTACATTGGTTAGAATAGGCCACATCATCACAATGAGACCCACAACCATGGGAGCGGAGACACCGCGGAAGTTGCCCTTCTCGAGGTTTTCCTTCGCGTGATCGGCAAACTCGCCGATCACAACACCAATGATCATCGCAATAATAATAAAGAAGGATAAAAGACGATCGAGCCAGCCAAGGGACAGAAGTACGCCTTTGGCCACACCTTTGTGATCCGACTGACGTGCCTGCTCCAGCGCGGAGATGGCGTGTGGCACACCACCGTGCGGATCAAGAACAAGACCCTCATAGTTCGCTTCACGCGCCAATAGCGAAGAAGTCTCCTCCTCTTTGGTACGTGTTTGTGACGCCCCCCACGGCACTGCCTCAGTGGGCACAGGGGGATCCACCAGCGCCACTTGCTTCATGGTAGTGTGGAGAGATGCTTCCCACTATCACACTTTGTAGCCTCTGTCAAAATAAAAAAAAAATAAAAGAATAAAATAAAATAGAAGCGAGGAACCTACGCACGCAAATTGCGCGCACGTGGGTAACGCCAAGTGAGAGGCGACGGCGTGCGCCGGCGGACGTCCGGAAATTAAAAAGGGAAACAACATTTACGTACACATTACAACAACAAATACGCTTTCTCTACGAACGAGCGGCCTCAAATCGGGCCATGCGCCGCCGCAGCGATTCGCTCAGCGCGGAGGGTTGATACGCATGGGTTCGTGTCGGGGCCACATTCTCAGGGGTGGACACAGAGTCTTTGGAGGGCGAGGCAGACACCTTTTCCACATTGTCCAGGTATTTCTGCGCACGAGCACGTAGGCCCGTAGATGCATTCTTGTTGGTCGTCGTCATCGTGTTACCGACACTGGCGAAAGGCGCGCGTGGAGTAGAAGCACGGACTTGGTCCTTCTCCAGTTGGCCGGTAGGCACGCTGTTCTCTGACTCTGCTTCGTTGCCATGAGACGAAGGAGGTGGCGGTGTACGGGCACGCATATCAGCACGCTGCAACGAGGCGAGCAGACTGCTGCGAGCACGCACCACAGGCTTGACCGGCGTCGGCGCACGGAAGTTATTCTCGTCGACGGGCTCCTCAGTTGGCTTCTTGGCTGGCTCCTCGACGGGTTCCTCGACGGGCTCCTCGACGGGCGTCTCGGCTGGCGTCTCCGTAGACGCCTCCTCAGCCGGCCCGTCAACAGGCATGTCCACGGGTGCCTCGACGAGCATCTCCACGGCCTGCATAGGGGGCGTCGGCAAGGCACGCGGAGTCGATGGCAGCGTCGGCGTAGCGCCAGGTGAAGACGAGGCTTGGGCCAAGGCCAGCGCCTCTTGCATCATCGGCGAGCCTGGGACAATGGGCGAGGACGATGTCATCAACGTAGCCAGCGCAGGGGGTCCCTGTGGCGTAGGCAAACGGCGCCGATGCATCGAGGAGGGCGTACTGGGCGCCACAGGCTCTTCGGATGTGGGCAGGGCGATCACTGTACCGGTGCTTTGCACACTGCTCACCGAGGATACACGACTGGACGACGCCTGCGTCGATGAGGAAAGGAGGCGCTTGTTCGGACCACGCACACTCGATGGGCGTTTCCGCTTGGCCTCCTCCGGTACAGTGGTCGCAATCTTCTGTACATGCAGGCGACACTCGTTGAGCATCTTGGCGCCCATCATGAGTGAGCGTACTTCCCGACGAACTTCGCTCGTGACGCGCGCCACGGCATCCTTGTTCCACGCAGGCTGTACATCCATCGCATCCGGATCAAGAAGGGACCAATGTTCCAAGGCCACGAGGCGGTGATCCAATTCACGCAAAATCGGGATCGAATGACGCTCATAGAAGTAGAAGCGCAACATGAGCTCCTTGATCGCTTCACGTAGAGGTGTGTTGTCATCCACGCCGGCGCCTTCACCAGCGTCCAACATAACATCCACATGCATACCCTTTGCCTCGAGCTGTGCCATGACGGAACGCGACGTCGGCATGAGCGGCTCCGCAGGCTGCGGCACAGTCGGTGTAGGCGCTGTATCTTTGGGCAGCGGTAATGGCTCAGGCGCCCCTGGCACGGGCACAGCTGGTACCTGCGCTGCCGAGAAGGGCTGCATACTGCTGTGAGAAGCTGACGATGTCATAGACTGGATATACTTTGCCGCTGCCTCCGCCATTTCCGGCGTCCATGTCATGCGGCCTACACTGCCCTGCAAGCTTTGCGGCGTGGTATACACTTCCGGCGCAATATGGAAGTGCGATGCGCGGCCATCGGCTGGCAGGGAGCGCGTGTGTGAGAGCGTCGCAGCACGCGCCAATGAAGGCGAGCGGGCTAAGCCAGAGGTAGGCCGTGTTATCATTGTACCAGCACGGACAATCCCTTGCGAGCCAGGCTGCGGCGAGGGAGTCAACCGAGATTCTTCCACCTTGCCGCCATTCGCGCCAAGTGGCATGTGCACAGAAAGAGCGGTAGGCGCACGACCATCCTCCGGATGGAAATCCGTGCGCATGGACTGCACTTGCGGGGCTTTGGGTGTCATGACAACCTCGGTCGAAGGCACAGGTGTTGTAGCGCGCTCATCGACGTCCGGCGTAGCAGACGCCTCACTGCGGTTGCTCGCCTCGTCGTTCACAAGCACTAGGCCACCAAAGCCATCCGACTTGTACTTACGTCCATCCTCCATGATGATCGAGCTATCCGACTCATCCACAGGGGGTAAGATCGGGGGAATGCTGGACTTGACCGGCATTGTGGCCGCCGAGACACTGGGAGTTGTCGGCTTCAAGATAGGCTCAAGAGGCTCCGTGGGCGTCGATACCGAGGCAGACATTGTCGGTGCGACGGCCGGCGGTGCAGGTTGCGAGCCTGGCAAGGCTTTGCGGCGTACTTGGTGAACAGGCGAAGTATTTGAAGCCGACGCCTGTTCACGCTGCCAGGGACCATCGGGATGGTGCCATCCTTCTTTCGGTGCCTCCCATTGGTGGTTGCCATGATAGCTGATATCCGGCATGGGCTCCGTGTTGGCTTGCAAATAGACATGATGAGGATGCCACGACGTGGAATCGGCCGAGGGCATGGTGGATGCAGCGCCTTCATAGCCCTGTTCCATAGCGGGCCATGCTTCCTGGTACTGCGCCTGCCATGCATTGTACTGGCCTTCGTAAGCATTGTACGCGTCCTGATGCTGGTCATTATAGTAGGCAGCGTGGCCTTCGTAGTAAAACGCTTGTTGGCCATCGTAGTAGGCTTGGCCGTCGGGCATCTCATACGAGCCTTGGTAGGTCATTTGCTGCTGCTCGGCGGCCCAGTCAGCCTGTGCGTTAGGGGCGGCCCAGTCAGCGGGTGTGGGAGCACGAGGCTCTGTAGGTGCCGCCACGGCAGGCGAGGCGGCAGCCGGTACAGGCGACGGTGCCACGGCAGGCGATGCGGCAGCTGGTACAGGCGACGGTGCCACGGCAGGCGACGCGGCAGCTGGTACAGGCGACGGTGCCACGGCAGGCGACGCGGCAGCCGGCACAGGCGAGGGAGTAGCAGCATCCCTGGGCGACGATGGAGCAGTCGAAGAGGGTAGCGGCGGTAGCGGCAGATCCACGCTTAGCATGGGCGTAGCTGTGGATGTAGTGGGGCCCAGCACCTGCTCACGGAAATCGCCCGACATGCCACGCTCGCGCTCCTCCTCCAAGATCTGGCGCGCTTGCATGTGCGACGCACGACGACGCTCAAACGCTTCACGCTCATCGTCGCTGGGCTGGGTAGACGCCCGCGATGCCGTGCCACGGACCAAGCCCTGCTCCGGCAGCTCACGTGCCTCAGAGTCAACGAGCCCTGTCACAGGCTCGTCGGCCAGCGACGCCTGGTCATCGAAGCGCTCCATGGATTGGTTGCTGTAAATCGAGGGGCTCACATCTGCACCACGGAAAATCACACCCTCACCATCCTGGGATTGCGAGACAGAACGGGAAGAAGGCGCTTGCGAGGCGCCAGATACTTGACGAGTCCAGAGGCCTTTCAACCAGCTCTGGCGCTCGGGCTTGACGACACGGTTCATAAGGTCTGTCAGACCCGCACCTTCGGGTGCTTTCTGCATGGCGTCCAGAATTCGCTGCTGCTTGTCGCCAGGCGACATAGCACGCTCCGTCTCAGAGGCCGTCGTGGCGGGTGTAGCACCATTGCGAGCGACAAGACCCTGCTCGGACACATCCACGTCGTTGTCGTCGTCCTCATACTCACTTGCATCCGTGTCGTACGTACGCCATGCCGTGCCATCGTTGGGTACCGTAGGCTCATACCGGTTGGTGCGCTCTGTCGGCACGTCATGCTCAATCACGGTATTGTTTCCTGTCTCAGTCGCACCGACCGTCGTATCCGCGTAGGCATTCACAATATCCACCTCAGCACGGCCATCCTGCCAGTCAGAGATATCGCCCTGCGTCGTCGAGGCAGAGACGGGCGCTACAGGCTGTGTCGGAGGAGGCACAGGCGCCATGTTCGAGGTTGGTGCCATGCCCAGACTTACGCGGCCGGACCGTGTGCGTGGCGCCGTATGCCCGAAAAGCGGCGCATCCTCTCCTTGCGGCACCCAAGAAGGCTTTTCTGCCTGTGCTGGCATGGCATGAGCCTCAAGGTGCACATCATGCGGCGGCACAGGCGGCGGCATCTCGTCCTCGACTGGCTCCTTGAAGTGGGTTGATGGCGGCTGTGCGTACGCATCGTACAACGCACCATGAGACACATCTTCTGTGACATACTGCGCATCATAGGGAGCGGCATCTATGCTGGCATACTGTGCTTCGTATTGCTCCGTGTACGCCGCCTCGATGGCGCCGCCCGTACCAGGCGCACCAAAGTCATGGGCCGGGACTGTCGCCGTCGGTGTAGCCCGACTTGTCATGGGCGATATAACTGAGGTCGGCACCACCTGCCCTGGCTGGAAGTGCATATGTGCAGCCACATGCTCTGGTTGCATAGGGAGCATTGGCGAAGGGGGTTTAGGGGATTCAGAAGGGAGCTCGTATACTTCTTTGCTATTGCCCATTCCGACGAGATCCATCGGAACACTGGTACCATCGTACAGCTGCCAGTCAGGCAAATCTGGCACTTCGTATTCAGGGGCGGTATAACTGTACACCACATCGCTGTTGCGATGCGATGTAGGTGTCGGGGTAGGCGAGGCACTGCGAGCAAAGTCCATCGACTTGCGGAACAACTTTCCAAGACTCTTAGTCGGACTAGGAGATTCTGATGTGTGAGGGCTTGTAGGAACGGGGCTCGTGGAGCGGCCGCGAGCACGATGCAGGGTATCCGACATACGTGCTCGGAACGAGCGACGTGGAGATCGGTTATTTCCTGCCAGCTCGGCCGCTGATGAGGGGTCCATCATAGCATCAAGCTGCGGCGACGGAGGCGCGACATGCTTGAACGGCATGACCACGTCGAGGCCTCGCATTCGGTCGTGGAGAAAACAGTGCCGCTGTTGTGAGGCCTCGACGGACGTCCCCCTCCATGCAACATCTACATACACTAAAGTGTTGATCTCTCGTGTTGTATCACGTGATAGTGCCCAACCTCCGTACAAACCTCCACCTGTACCGACAGCGAGGCGCGCGCTGGGATCCGTCAGGCACGCAAGCAGGAGCTGCGAGCCGGTGCTGCGATGGAACTGAGTGCCAAAGAGGACCTTGGCTCTTATGGTACGTCAAACAACTCTGACGATAGACTATCTGTTAAAGACCATTGTACTAGGTACGTGCCTCTTTCACTCATTCGCAGGCGAGTCAGGCACAGGCAAAAGCTGCCTGACGCATGCTTTTGTGCATGGCAAGCGTACGTGGACCTCTTCTGACCCATCCAGCCAAGACGCGTACCACACATACGATCGGAGTAGATTGTATGAGTCGCCTTATTGAGGTCGGATCGACGAATATCAAGTTGCAGATATGGGATACGGCCGGCCAAGAACGGTTTAGGTCAGTGACGCGTGGGTACTATCGCGGCACAGCGATTGTCTTGTTGGTGTACGATATCACGAAGTACGTGCTATGGGCGCTTCTTACGTGACAGACGGGATACCTTTACGTCTCTCACGACATGGTTCGACGATGTGCATGCACTCACATCGCGGCATACGGTCGTCGTGCTTGTTGGCACCAAATTGGATCGGGAGATGGACGAACGTGAAGTGGATTTTCTGGAAGCGAGTCATTGGGCCGCACAGCATGGAGCACTGTTTACAGAAGTATCGTCGTTCACAGGCGAAAATGTACAAGTGCCATTTGAGCTTGCCGCGCGTTCGCTCCTTCTAGGCATTGAGGCAGGTCGAATCAACCCTGATGAGGCTGATACAGGCATCTTTTATGGCGGACCATCTACCTCGCGAGGTAGGAGCCACTTTAGTTTGGCGGATACCAGTCTGGCGTCGGACGATTGGCGCAGTAGCGATCTCACTGCGACGCCCAAGACACGGCGTGGCTGCTGTACATGATACCCTACTCGACCTTGCAGTTCATACATACATATACATTTCGTACGTACTATACACCTTGGGCCTTTATTGCAGGCGGAACACAAGCGCGACGCCTTCATCGCCTGCGCCGATCAGCTTGTAGCCCTTCGACTGCGAAGGGTCCACGTACGCGCCAATACCGCCCGATTCCATGCCCTGCGTAATGCCATCGTCAATGCCTACAGCGACATCGAGAACGCCATCGGTGAAGCCATGCTGCGTAGCGAGGAGCTGCATGGTACGTGCGTCCCACGTGCGAAGACGGTGGTCCATCGAGCTGGTGGTGAACAGCGGTGTATTGGGATGGACAATCAGCTTGGTCACAGCCGACTCATGACGTGCCTCGCCACGCATTTTGCCCTGCGTCAAGTCCCAGGCAATCACGCGACCATCCGTGCAGGCAGTCACAACGTGCGTCGACGTGCGCGAAGTAGGACCGGCGAACGTACCAGGTGTGTTAGCTGGCACAAGATCAATGAATTCCACCGTCTCAATGCTCTCGCCTTCGTCATGGCCATCCAAGGCAGCAACCACTTGGGCCGGCGCGCCGTTGTCAATGTTGGCAATGCTCACCACACGCACACCACCAGCGGCACCACCAACGACGACCAGCTTGTTGTCAGGACTGATGCACAGCGACGTAATTCCCCCATCCAGAGCAAACCGGGCATCCGTATCCTTGAGCTTCGCCAAGGGCGCAGCCGTGGCAGGATCCCATACAATCAGCGAGCCATCATCGCTGCCTGTGACGAGCTTTCGGCCATCCGGCGTGAAGCGGCCACAGGTCACAGAGCCGGTATGGCCATTGAATACATTCATTTCGGCTCCCGATGGCAACTTCCACATCCAGATCGTCGTGTCGGAGGAGCCAGCCACGAGCACAGGGCCGCGTGGATGCCATGTCAGCCACACAATCTCCGAGGGACCCTCGAGGTTGGTTAGAAATTCCCAGTGGAACCATTCATGGCCCGATCCATGGCGGCGCCATAGACGCACACGACCATCCAGGCCACCTGTCGCGACCATCTCGCCATCGTGACTGAACGCCACCGCAATGACACTGTCTGCGTGGCCCGTCAGGTGGGCTACCTCTGTGCCATCAATCGTATTCCAAATCCAGGCAGCATCGTCTTCACCGCCACTCACGGAGAGAGGCGGGTTAGGGAACTTAGGATGAAGCGCGACACAGAACACAGACTTGCGGTGCGAGTAAAATGCCGCGATGGAATCGTCCTGAAACTCTTCTTCCGGGTCGTGCGTCTCAGCCTCTTCTCCCTCGTCCATAGGAACCTCGTTCACACCTTCTGTCACGTCCACATCAATGTCCTGCGGCGTGATTTTCAGATCCTCTTGCGGAGCCAAGTCGTCCGTACGCCACTCGTCCTCCATGACCGTGCGCCTTTGGGAAAGCAAGAAAAAAAGTGGAACGCACCTCGAGCGCCTCTCGCGGACCTATCCACGCAACGCTGAGTCAGCAAGCCTCAGGGCAGCGATGATTCAGCCGAAAGAGCGACGGTGGCCTCTCCCTTGCGTTTCGGATCCCACCTCGCCTTCGACATCGTGCTTGCAACCAAACTTTTTCGCACGTTGACTACAGCAGCACACACGATGGCCTCCTCAACTGCACAAACCTTGTCGCCCATTGAAGCAGCGAAGCGCGCAGCTGCCTTTGCCGCGGTGAATGACTATGTCAAACCCGAGCACAAGTACATTGGTATTGGCTCTGGCTCGACAGTCGTATACGTGGTCGAACGCTTTATTGAGCTCGGTGCAGAGGCGAACCAGCATCGCTGGTTCGTTCCCACCAGCTTCCAGGCGACCAACCTGATCAAGGAAGGCGGCCTGCGCCTCGGAGATATCGAGCAGATTCCTGCCCTGGACGTCACCATCGATGGTGCGGATGAAGTCGATGCAGCAATGAACCTTATCAAGGGAGGTGGCGCTTGCCATCTGCGTGAGAAGGTCGTGGCAGAGTCGGCGAAGGATTTTATCGTCGTGGCTGACTACCGCAAGATTTCCCAGGTGCTGGGCGACAACTGGAAGAAGGGTGTCCCAATTGAGGTTGTGCCGTTTGCAGTTACCCATGTCCTCACCGCCCTGAAGAAACTCGGCAGCACAGATGCCAAGCTCCGTATGGCGGTTGCGAAGGCTGGTCCTGTCGTGACAGACAACGGCAACTTGTGCATTGACGCTGTATTCCCACAGACGCTCATGCGTACGCCCGATGTGCTTCTGCAGCAGATTAAGCATCTCACGGGTGTAGTAGAAGTGGGCATCTTTACTCATATTTGCAAGGCGGCGTACTTCGGCATGGAAGATGGCACCATCACACATCAACTGCCGGACGGCAGCATGAACAAGCTGGAACCCCAGGTGTAGGTTTCGTAGGCTGCGGACGAATGTGGAGAAATTGGTCTCTTTTTTTCTCCGGCGGCGCGTTTTCATTGCGTATCGCTACGATGGTGCACGACGCTACGTCAGTGACCTCGCACGCACCCCGCAAGAAGAACAAGCTCATCCGCCCACGCGGGAAGCGTGGAGGTGTGAAGCATAGGCCCAAAGGCAAGAAGGCGTCCCATACACCTACGAAGCATGCTGAGTTAATTGCGAAATATCACACGCTCGAGAAGCAAATTGCTCGTGCATCGCCTAGAGAACGAGCAGCTTTGCTCGCTGAGCAGCAGGCGCTAGGCGGATTACAGGTGTATCAAGACCAAAGCACCACAGGCGGCGCACCGATTCGTGGTGGTGAGTCGGGGAAATGGTGCGTGAAAATCCTGAAACAGATTTGGCCTCTTGCTAGACCTGTCCGTCTTCTAGATGTAGGGGCCATTGCAGGGACAGCGTACGCCAAGTGGCCTACCTTTGTGCATGTGACGAGCATAGATCTACACCCACGCGCCGACCATGTGATCCAAAGTGATTTTTTCGAGTATCCTATCCCTAGCTCCCCAGAAGATTGTTTCGATCTGGTGGGATTATCTTTGGTCATCAACTTTGTGGGTGATCTGCATAAAAGAGGTAGGTGCTTTCCTGCTACTGACGTCCTAGGCCAAATGCTTCTACATGCGCACAGGTACCTTCGCCCCGGTGGCTATTTGTACGTGGTTCTCCCGCTAGCGTGCGTCACAAATAGCCGGTATATGACTCATGATCATTTCCGGAAGATTGTACATGCATGTGGCTACGATGTGGTGGAGAACGAAGATAGTGTGCGTCTCACACGCTGGCTTCTGCAGCAGCGTGAGCGCCCAGATGGGAAAACGTTTTCTTCGTCTCTTACCGACGTATCGCCTTTTTGGGATGGCACCGTCTTCAAAAAGCGTGAACTGCAGGCAGGTGCGCGTCGCAACAACTTTTGTATTCTAGTGCCGTAGTCGTTCCTTCCCAACGTTGTTGCGTCTGTGCGCCGCTGCCTAGGTCATCACGTGCACCTGCATCCTGGTAGGCCACGCGTCTCGCCCACCGTGGCGGGCGTCCATTAGAACCACCATGGCTGCCAAGCAGGTCGCTGACGTAGGTGAAGCCAGGAGATGCACCACTGACATGGCAGAAACTCATCTCAGAGCACCTTGTTGCTGTCTTCAGCAAGTCGTACTGCCCGTACTGCAAGCGTGCCAAGCAAGTGATTGCGGGCCTCAACCTGGAGTCGAACAAGATCGGTCTGCTCGAGCTGGATGAGATGAAGGAGGGCCCGGATGTGCAGGTATGTTTCTTTGAGGGAGCTGACCGCGTAGGACTACCTGTTGCAGAAGACCGGCCAGCGTACTGTCCCGAACATCTTCATCAACGGTAAGCACCTCGGTGGCTGCGACGATATTCTCCGTGCGCAGCAAAGCGGCGAGCTGGAGAAGCTCGTTGGCAAGCTGTAAAGGAGCCGATGTACGTAGTCTATCGTATCATTATCCATACACAATTATCTATGCAGTAGGGCATAGGCTGTACAGCGTCAGTGAATCGTGCCATACGTACTCTTTGTCAGGCGGCATTCGCCGCCTCGTTCCAAGTCCAAGTCATACGTGTACAAGTGTCCATCATGCGAAAGTACCATGACGATCGGGAGCGTATTGTTGATCGCAGCCACAGCACGCTGGCTGGGCGATGGCAGCTTGAGCCACGCAAAATCGCGCGACGGTTCCCACATGTCCTGCCAAGTTGAGGGCAAGTACGTCCCTAACGCCCCCGCCATCGCTGTGCTCTGCTTGCGCCATTGCGAGAAAAGCGATAAGCGCTGCTTAGCCTCCAAAGCTGCTTCCGGGCTATCGTTCTTTGTCGTGGGTGTGAGGCGGAAGATATGGACCGTGCCTGAGTCGGACGTGACACACAGCAGTGTGTTGGCCGCATTGAATGTCATTTGGTAGATACGTGCCGCGTACGAACCACGTCGAAATTGGTACATGGGACGACCATCTGGCACGGAAAATACACGGATGATCGTCCCTTTCTCACTGGCAGTGGCCAGCATAGTGCCGGATGCATTCATGGCAACGCACGCAATGCGAGACCGATGTGCTTCAAAGACATGAGCCACACTGAGCGTCATAAGGTTGTAGATGAGGACATGGCCTCTAGTTCCATGGTCCACATCATGCGCCGTAGAGGGCGCCCCTTGCGCTGCGTATGCCAAGTACGATGCGTCTGAAGTGGCGGCCAGGGAACACACCGCCAAAGGATTGGGCCCTGTCTCGATTGTATGCAGGAGTTTCATATTGCTAATGTCGTACACATACAGTGAATCTTCCAGTACTACGACCAGACGCCGTCGATTCAGATGTACATCCAAGATACGGGATGGAAAGGAAAGCTCACAAATGACCGACTGCCGCTTGGTATTCAGCACTTGCAATCGACGATCTGCCGCTTGGTTGCGGGCCTCTGGGCCACTAACAAGCGTCACTAAGCTTGTGCTAAACAGCATACGGAGCAGGGTCGTAGGTCCTTGCACTGCGGTAAGTCATCAAGCATATACGTACACTTGGCATGCACTTGTGCATAGGGCTCACAATTCGCAATGAGGTAGCCTGCGGTGGTGCCGACGGCTACACAGCTAAAGTCTTGATTAAATTGGGCGCTTAGTACCTGCTCACGCGCCCGGCTCGGCGCAGCGATCGACATCTCGCCCTGCCACACAGACCACAGCGGAGGTGGGCAATGGGACTGTGCGTGGACCTGGCGGCTGGCGCCGCCGCCGCCGCCGGTCAGACTACCTCCACATGTAGGTATGCTGTACCTGTCTGTCTGTGTGTCTATGATAGCCACAATGGCACTACCAAGGCGCCATTCTGCGCTTGCGGAACGTCGATCCAGCGATCAGCACGTGGTTCTGAGCCGAGGCCTACAATGAGAAGGGGCGCAATGCTTTCCTTGTGGCCAAGGACACGTCCCTCCTGCGTCGTTTGAATGCCTGCGCGACGTGTGGTGCGTTTGGACTGTGTCCCGTCGACGGTCAGCCCCTTTGTCTGGCTTGGCATGAGCGGCGCATCAAGACCACCACGACGACGCCACTGCGACGGTACGACAGGGTAGTCGTCCATGTGTTCGATGGCTGGCGTAACAAGCTGCAAGCTGTTTACGATACCAGGTGCACGTACGTCACACAGCCAACGGAACGAACGTAGGCCATCATCGAGTGCCCATACACGTACCACGCCATCCCATGAGCCTGACACAAAGATATCACCGTAGGGCAGGCAAGCCACGCTCGTAATGTAGCGCGGTGTACGTTGCACCCCTTCCGTCTCGCTGTACCGCTCGTCCATGCCGTGTGCGGCCTGTACACTAAACAGCGGCTTCTTTTTCGCAACAGACCACAAGGAGAGGTTTCCATTATCGCTACCACTCACGAAATGGTGGTCATCAATCATTGCGACGCAGTCTACACTGCCTTCTTGCACCTCGTTTTTCTTCATGGGGGTATCAACAAGGTCGCCACCTTCCAGTAGCGCATGCACTTTGCTGCGTGTACCGCCACGGAAGACCAATTGACTCTCTTCACGGATCTTCCACAGTCGGCACGTACGCTCGCGCCCGCCTGCCGTGACGGCACGCTCTGCCTTGAGGCACGACAAGTCCTGAATCGATTCCTGGTGGCCAAAGAGCGTTTCGATATAGCTAAGTTGCGCTGCATCAAATAGCTTCACGGTCCGATCGTACGACGCACTAAACAGCTCGGCACTCCCGCCTCGGAAGGCCACAGAGCGCACGGCGTCCTTGTGACCCAACAATGCTTTCCGCCACGTCAGACGACCGTCAGGGCCCACCGACCAGACGCCAATACGCTTGTCCTTGCCTGCCGTCGCAAGGTACTGTCCATCGTCACTCACAGCGAGCGCCAGGACACTGCTTGTATGCCCTTCGCCAGGCCGCAGCTCGGTAACGCCCAAGAACGCGCCATGTCCTCGCTCTGCGAGGCGCGCACGCGCACGTCGTCGGGCAGCGCCGCTGGTAGCAGAGTGCATCGTATCTGTCTCAGCTTCGTAGCCACGCTGACGCGGCACGAGGCCCACTTGAGCGCCATCCCGCAAGCGCCACTGGAGAATACGGCCGTCCTTGTCGGACGTGTACAGAAAGCCAGCGCCGTCACTGGTACGTGCATAGGTCACACACGCACGATGACCACGCACAGCGAGGATATCTTCGTCTACGGGCGCCGCGACACGCGCCGCGACACGAATGTGCATACGCCCACCGGTCTCTTCCACATCCTTGCGCAATCGCGCAGCAATGTTATCACGATCGACCGCCGCGGCGTCAATGCCGTCGACATCATCTTCCTCTTTTTCTCTAAGCCCTTCCAAATACAGCTTGGCTAAGCGCACTTTGGCTTCCGCAGGCGTCTCATGATGCGTGTCGTTCACAGGCTCGTCAAAGTCGTGCCGCAAATCCATATCGTCCACGGCGCCGGTGCCCAGGCCATCCTCTGAATCGGAGTCGCGCGCAGACTTGCGTCCCGCACGCCCCTTGGCCTGTGCATCGCTCCGCTTGCGCTTTTTCTGGAAGAACGGATCCGACATGAGCGTCAGCGACGTGCCTGTCCACCAGTGCCGCTGGACAATGTCGTTGTCCAGCTAAAAAAAAGGTATCACGTGCATTGTGGAGGAACGTGGCTGGCGAGCCACGTACGGCGCCCCCTTGGCCCTCCCTGTCCCCCGCTATACGCCGCGCCACGGTGATTCGTACGACGCGTCAACCAGCCGAACGATCATGACGGCGGGGGCGTGCTCGTGTACAGCTGATGCGGAGGCAGCCACCCTACGAAAAGAAGCTCGTGAGCACAAGGAACAGCTGGAAGATGTCCTGCAGGCGACCAGCACAGGCACACCGCGCTCGATCGCACGGCCATGGGACACAGATGTGGCGGCAGCGCGATCCGCGCTTCGTGCGTCCTATGTTGCCCTGCTTCTTTCCTGTACCTTTACACGAGCTGCTCAGCTAGTGGATACGATGATATGGTCTGATACCACGTACTGCTTCATCTCGACAATGCGGGCCTCTCTCGCACGGCTCGAGCGTCAGGCACAGCAGGCACCTACCTCGAAAGGCGATGCCCCCAAACAGGACCGCAAAAGTGCCAAGCTCAAGGCCTACCAGACGACTATGGATGACCTTTTGCGATTCATCGATGACGAGTCGGCGTTCTATGCAGCGCTCCTGATGCAAATCACTCGTCTCTTCCAACTGGATGAATTGCAGGATATGCTTACGACGCTGCGTTTGCAAGACGTTTCCGGCGTGCAAGCTTCGGATCTCACGACACCTAGCACACTTCGGCCCGATATGCTGGAAGCAGCGCACATGCCGGCCTATCGTCACCAGCTCTACGAAACGTTGCAGCGCTTGCTTATTTATCTCGGCGACTTGGCGCGCTACCGAGAAATGCATGCTGTGCTTCCTCCGATTCTGGCACCTCGTCGCCGGGGTGGCGAGCCACGCTCGCCTGATTTTGCACGCGCCGTCCAATTGTACCACAAAGCGCACCTGCTTCTTCCTGATCATGGCAATCCGTCCAATCAGCTAGCCGTGATCGCTACCTTTGTGGGTGACACATTTGGCGCGACCTATCAGTACTACCGTGCCCTATGTGTACGTATGCCGTTCGACAAGGCCCGTCACAATTTGCATCGCCTCTTGGACAAGGCCTTTGCGGCCTGGTCGGCCTCAGCGCTGCGTGACGAAGTGCTTACCGCTTGGCGTCAAGCGGCGTTGGAAGACAGCCCAGGTCGCCGTGTGCCTGTGCCGACAATCAGTGCACGTTGGTCCTCCACAGCAGACTGGTTTGAATCCGTGGTCCAATTCCACAGCCTGTGTGCTTTGCGGGCCGATTTGGATGCGGCCTGGGTACTGAACGACGCTTTGCTTAAGCACGTTCTCACGATGACAGAAGTGCATGAACTTCGTGCTGTGGACTACTTACGTCTCGTCGTGACAGGTATTTGTGCCTCGTGGCTGGCGCGATTGTGGCGCGCGCCCCCGCATGCGAAGCTCGCTTTCGCGGTGGGCGAGCCTTACTCGGCGCATATTCCGAGTGATACCATTGACGAGCATGTACGGCATGCATGGGAATCGCTGCTGGTGTGCCATGTGCTGGGCCTCCTAGCAGCGCTTCTCGCGGTGAATCGACATACCCTCGTAAGCACACTGCGTGCGCAGCCCACGTCGCTGAGTGAGCCGCAGCTGCTTTCTGTCTCGCGCGGCCTACGGCGGACCTTGCCAGCGATCCGAATGGGTCTCAAGTGGGTTAAGGGCCACGTCGCGTACATGGCACAGTGCCGTACGCAGGCGGCCGCCGCGGCTACCGAGCTGCAGCAGGCCGTCGACACCGACGAGGCTGCCTCACGTCTGGCCACCGATGCTGTGGCGCGATTGGCCTGCATGCAGCGGAGTGTGGATGCCCGCATGACCTCGTTTTGGAGTGCGTTGATCGACTTTTGCAATCTGCTGCGCGCGGCGTACCCCTTTGATCTCTTGCCGACCGTGCATGAGGCCAGTCAGGACGTCGGTCGGATCCGTGTGCATGTGGCGGAAGACGATGACTTGCGGTACTTGGGTCCCATCCGTCGCGCCATGCAGCATGGTGAGGAGTCGCAGTATGCGCTTCCTGTGCAAGAGCCGACGGACTGCGCTAGTGCAGGATCGGACTACGCGCGCATCACCGATATCCTGATCGACGCCAAGGTCATGAGCGAGTCGCCCTCAGTCGATATGGCCTTCGACGATACACGTGCCATGTTTGTAGCCCGTGCGTCATTGTGGGCGGTGGACGACCAGGAGGACGATCCGTTGGAGTTGGCCATGCGTGCGCTCAACGCTGGCGCTGCGCCCACGGTCCCTGCGCCTTCGTTGTGGAACGCCATGGACCCTACAGCTGCATCCCCGCCACCAGCAAGTACCGCTAGCGCCACGGATCCCTCGTCGATTTGGTCGACGCCTACGACGCCGTGGAAGACGTGATAGGTGTCGCAGAGGCTCGGCCCACAACTACGCCCTGCCTCGACAGTTGGTACGCCCATACCATTCGTTCCCGCATCGCCTGCGATGCTTGCATGTGCTGGAGCACCTCGCACGGAGGGCGCGCCGTAGTACTTGCGGCCCAGACTTGCGCCTCCCAATCGATGCGGCCCTGGCACACCGAAGCGAGATCGACGAGCCAGGCACATACGTCAGCGCCGAACGTGGCGCGCAAGGTGGACAACGATACGCGTTCAAAAGCGCTCAGGTAACATGCCAGCAGACGGCGCCCCAGGATCGGCACGAGCGCTTGGCTTCGTTCGATGCCCAACACGGGGTCCATCGCCCATGCGGAGGCCGCCGTCTCTTGGATAAGTTGCCAGCATGTGACAAAGTCAGAGCGCACATAGGCCGTGAGGATACGCCGCGGCGTATCCTCAACGGCTGTATGGGCTTGAAAAGTGGGCATCGCGAGGATGTGCGATGCTCGTTGCCGCTGTGCGGCGGGCTCACAACCCAACGCATAGATCACAGTGTACCATACCCACTGCTGTGGTGCGAGCACATCACTGTATGCAGTCCAGAGGCTAGCATCATACACATCCGGCCATGCCTCGTCATAGATGGAACATAATGACCATTGTGCAAGGAATCGAAACGCTTCCAGCCGTGCACGAATCATCGGAAGCGATGCGACGGACGCTTCGCGTGCGCCAACATACAGCGATGCCATCTCTGCACACCCTGGCGTCGTCGTCGGGACATCCGAAGTCGGGAGCGTCGTGGCTCCTGTGCCCTGCTGCAGAGCCTTGGTCCATGCATCCGGATCCGCTGGGCCTTTCCATAGTCGCTCTAGCATCTGCAACACAATCATCGCCTGATCCACATAGGTTAACACCCGCGTGGGCTCGTGCGCATGCCAAGCGGCTTCCAAAGCGTTCATGTACATGCTCAGCATATGCTCGTTGGTCGTACTGTATTCGCATGCCTTGTCGTAGTACGTGACAGCCTCATGGAACGCGCCGCACCGCATGGAAAAATCACCGAGGTTCAAATACGCGAGACGCCATGGCTCATGCACACCCTGAGCTTCGCACGTTGCTAGCGCAGCGGTCAGGCGAGCATGCTCCTGCTCACACCACGTCTTTGTTGCCTTGTACCAGGCTTTTTCCTCGTCTGTCATGGGCCGGTGCCGGCCCAGGCACAAGCGGTCCAACGTATCTGTGGACCACGTTGTCGTCTGGATAAGGCGACTCGCTTCGTCGTCTGCCGATGGCTGCTGTGCCGTGGGTCCATGCTGGGCTATGTAGCATAGCGAATGGATACGTGTCCATCCACGGCACGTCTCACTACTTGGTCAGCTCACAAGCACGTACACTATGTCGTCGTCCATCATCACGTCGCGTTCGAGACCTGTGACGGTCGTGGAGGGCGTGGCCTAGAGTACCTCGGCCGATGTGAACCAATAGCCATGCCGCTTCGCAACGCACGGACGGTCGACTTTCTTCTACGTTCATGTCATCGTCATCATGGACAGTGCAACTTGATGACGCTGCAGGGCTTCACCAAGCAGCGGACCGCGCAGACGCGTACGAGGCACTACTGCATTCCATCTTGCAGCACGAGGTAGCCTCCTCGCTGCCTTCTGCCATTCACAAATACCTCCAAGCTGCTGCGCTTGATAAGCGTAACGCAGCTGGCGCAGGATTGCTGGTGGGCCGACGTGTGGTGAAGCATATGATCACGAACATAATAGACGCATCTATAAGACCAGACCATCCCTTGCATGACACTACATGCTTCCAGGCTGTACTAGCACAGATTCTGACATCTTGCGCATCTTCCTCTGTGTACGATGACGAATTGGTGCCTGCTCGATTGGCTCTAGCGAACGCATATGAACGTCAACATGCTTATGCACAGGCTGCACAGACTCTCCAATCCATCTCCCCTGACGCAGCTCAGCATGCAACCGAGACATCTTGGGCCGCGCTGTGTGTGCATAGTCTGCGCCTCTTTTGGTTGGCACAGGATTTACCTGCCGCTGATCAGGCTTTGCGTCGCGCGAATTCTGCGATTCACTCAGTGCGTGATGATATCAACCTTGTTCATACCTACAAACTGTACCAAGCGCACACGTATGCAGCCCAACAGCGTTACATGGAGGCAGCTTCGCGATTTTATGACTTGGCGCTCTCCTCTGACGATGCGCACGCACAACGGGCAGCACTATGTGCCATGCTGGCTACTCCTAGCATCCAGCGCACAGAGTTGCTCACCAAGTGCCACGCATGGCCCTCATCACACTCGTGGCCTTTCCACACAGCGCTGGAGAAAGCAATGCACAGTCGACTATGGACATCGGAAGACCAAGCATCCCTGGTACCTTTCTTGACAATCTATGATCACATGTTGGTCCATCATGATGTGGAAGCTTGGAAGTGGGCTATTGCTATGCACAATATATTCGCTGCCAGTCGCACATTCACGTCCATTCCATTTCAGCGTCTCGCTACGCTGGCGGGTGTAGATATAACGGCCTGTGTGAAGATTCTGGCACAGTTACGCCTGCAAAACCAACTCTCAACCAACTGCACTATCGATCAGCGAACACAAGGTGTGTACTTCACGTCATCCTTAGCGGCTTCCGAACGCTTAAAACGGAGCGATGCTCGTATTGGTGCAGCATTGCAAGCACTAGATACAGCACATTCACGCTTATCTACGTAGTCGGCTTCATTCCTCCATATCGTCCACAAAGCCTTCTTCCCCGTCGGATTCATCCTCGTGCGTCCATTTCTCACGCTCTTCACGCGTATACTTGCTGAAGTCCACCTCCTTGACGGCTTCATCTGCGACTTTCTCTTCCTCAACGCCTGTTCCTGGCTTCGAGAAGAGTTCGCGTCCAGTTGGTTTGGCCTTCATACGCTTGTACTCTTCCTTCTCTTTATTGGAGAGTGTGGCCATAAACGCCTCCTCTTTTTGCGCTTTGAGTTCTGCTTGCTTCTTCATGAACTCTTCACGCCAAACGCGGAACCGCTCAACAGTAACAGCTGTACCACGGAATTTTTCTTCTTCTGCCCGAAGTTCTGCCTCTCGTTTCTCATTTGCTTCCTTCTCCGCCTCTTGCGCTTTACGCGTCATATAGTCTGTTAATGATTCTCGCAAGTGCGACGCTAGCGTGAATACCATAGGCAGACCCAAAGATTCATTGGCCACTTCTTCGAGCTCAGTATACAGCTTCTGTACTCCCTCACGTTTGTCTGTTTCCATGCTCTCCTCACTAGGCTCGTTGGCGTCTTCCGGTGCGGGACCGAGTACTTGTCGTTCATCTTCAAGTACGCAAATGGAGAGATGAGGCACTTCGTCAGGGTATTTGTCTGTGTATCGAACATCAAGGAGCAGTACGGGATCTGTCGATAAAGTAAGACAAGTAGTGACAACCTACCTTTTTTGGATTCGTCATACTCCTCCGGTGTGACGCGAATGCGCAAATGATCGTCGGTGATTTCTGATGTAAGTTACTACGATCGTATGGTAACACTTACTCTCCAACTCATCAATATAAATACTCTCAAGAACTTCAATTTCCTCAGCCAACGTTTGGCTCTGCTCCTCCGCGGTCACCATGGCCAAAACGCTATGAGAGGAAGTGGAGAGGTTCGCATGGGCGAATGAAATGTTTCGATTTTTTGTTCAGATTAAATGAGCAAAAACCTACGCGAGCGGTGATACTTGGGTCTACTGGCGCAATGGTAGCGTATCAGCCTTCTATAGGGTCAGCCATATAGGGGCGAGCTGAGGGTTGCGGGTTCGAGCCCCGCGTGGACCTTTCCTTTTACAAATCCGATCGAATTCTGGTTTGGTCTATAGTTTTTCCGTTGCCAGCAAATTACTTGCTGGATTTATGCATGGTTCAGGGTCCTACACATATAATACGAATTTAATCCCCACATATCTAATGCTGTGACATGTCATGCGAGCTAAAAGAGGGCGCTCTCGAATAAAAATAAAGCAGTGTTGAAGCCCGCCTATCACTCTACTTTTAGATGCAAGATACACGTTATGTCATCGCTGAAAATGCCCCTACTTTCACCAATAAATTCCCTCTCGTGTGCCTATACCAACGGCCATATAGCATTTCAGAAGATTCCTGCTGTTTACGCTGCTTGACTTTTTCTCCATTACTCATTTTTATTGGCCAGGAACATTCTAATTAAGTTTCCCGAACTGCACTATCACCGCTGGTGCTTATGCAAAAGGTGTGTACAGCCTATAGCCGCTGGCATTTTCCTTAAATGTCAAACTACGCCCAATAGCGTAGAATAAAACTTTTACCCTTAAGGGAAACCACGCCCTTTCTCGCCCGAGGAAATAGATCGTCTCAGGGAGAATGTATTTTGAACGTCAAATGATGTGCACGTGAAATATTATTGGTTATGAAAGTAGACATCGATTTTAATGCCCCGGGAAGCCCCTAGGGTGCAGCTTGACAACTCATTTCAATCTCGAACGAAGGTTATTGTGGCACAAACAAAGTCCTTCCACTGTTTGACAACTCACATTATTGTTTGTGCGACAACACAGAAGGATAGACTAGGTCTGACTTGTCAGTCTAAGTTGACTTTTGAGAGGGTCCAGTTACCCATTCAGAGCCAAGGGCCCTATTCTATTCCTTTTGTATTGACACCTGAGCCTATTCTAGAGCTAAGTGTGTATGCAATTGGATTGTCAAAACTCTAGAGAGAAATCTGTTAATTCATCTACTTCAGCACAATACACGGGTGCTGCTTGTAACGAGTCTACAGGTACGAAAATATTTATTTGAGTGTATACTAACATTTTGCCACAGACGCACAAAAGCCCTCTACCCAACAGGCAGACAATGCAAGTATCGGATCTACGAGTCGTGATAAGTCTACGGACGGGTCCAATCGCATTCGCCAAAATTCAAAAGATACCAGTGGCAGTCCTGTTCCTGGACGGCGGGGTGAGCGAGGATCACGATTGAGACGACATGGTTCTGCTGTATATTCCTCCTCTACGCACCCCAATCCCACATCTCCTGATGCCACCAACTATTCTTTGTACGATCATGGGTATCAGCATCCAGCATCAGGCGAATTCCCCTATAACCGTTATTACTATTATGGCTATTATCCAAACGATCAACCCATGGGATACCCACCACCACTTCCCTCTGATACCGCGTCTTATTCACGTTCGGACGACAGTGCCTCTGGAGATAAGGAAGAATTAAGCACCTCTCCAACAGATATGGGAGGAGGCCATTCTGCGATGCTTGCTCCTATGCCAATGGGTGTTTATTATTCAATGCCATTCTACCAGAGACCCATCTGCTACCCCAATCCCTCTAATACACCGATGGTGGGATATCCATACAATCCTTCCATGCAGGGCGCCATTTCACCTGGCTATGTAACAGAGGGCGAGCCTTTATCCTTCCCAGCAGATGGTATACCCCCGTCTCCTTCATATGGATATGAACCTCGTTCCCCTCATGAACCCGTATATATCAATGGGGCATCGTCTATGTATCGTGCTATTCCGTCACCTCCTGGCGGCGATGCGTATCGGCCATTCATCTACCATGATTCGCGACCGTATTTCAGCTATTCTCCTTCTGGACCACCGATCCCTGGCACCCCACTTATGCGCCCTGGTGTTCCAATGCCCCCCGGGTACCCAATGTCACAGTATGAATGGACCTCATATGCTGAAAATCCATCTATGATGCAACGGATGAGCAGTACAATTGGTCGTCGCCGTCGTTCTACTCCGTCGCAACGCCGTCGCTCCAGTATTAGCACTTCACCAGAAAACCCTACGCCTCGGAAGCCGGAGGAAAAGGGTGCATCACTCAAAACATCTCCTTCATTGAAACCAACCCTTGAACCTACAGCTACGGCCTACGCTGGTCGCAAGGACGCTGATGAGCAGGTTCCTCAGGAAGAGGAGTCTACCACAAAGACAAATGGGGCTATGTCGGAGAATCAACGTCAAGGAACTCGATCTAATTATGTCATGTGGTGTGGCAATGTACCTTCTGATGCCACATTGGAAGAACTTTGGTCTTTCTTTAGTAGCATTCCAGAAGAAATCACGGACGTTGCAGCGAAAGACCAAGCCAGCAAAGCGTCGGACACGCCAGAGCTGGGGGAGAATGTCAACTCTGCCGGAATTCTATCTATTTTTATTATATCTCGATCAAGTTGCGCATTTGTGAATTACGCATCGCAAGAGGCTTTGTCAAGAGCCTGTTCTTATTTCCACGGAATGCCATTACGCACAAAACCTTCTTGTCCTCGTCTTGTTTGCAGACCTAGGAAGCTGGAAGATGCTGAATATGCTGGTGTAGCGGCACAACGTGGCAAAGGTGTTCATACAAACTGGTACAGGCAGCAAATTGCTGCGCAGCGCGACGCGGCGCGAAGTGCTGATGATAAAAATGAAGAGCTTGATATGGAGGACGCAAGGTCCTTTTCGTCCACAAATTCCTCTTTGCTTCGCCAGCCACTCTTTGCTAACCGTTTTTTCATACTCAAGTCACGCAGCAGCGAAGCATTGGAGACTGCTTTAAGAACCAATATCTGGTCTACGCAGCCACATAATGAGCCTGTACTGGACCAGGCTTTCCGGAACAGTGAAAGCGTCACGCTTCTGTTCAGTGAAAACTTCAGTGGGCAGTTCTTTGGCTATGCCGTAATGGCAAGTCGGCCAGGTGGAGCTCTTGCCACAGAGGATGTCATTTCTTCCTTGATATCACGAACGAACAGTCCCTCTTTACAGCCAGATGAAGTACCTAGCGCAGAGCCAGGTTTGGACTCCGAAAGTACTACGTTGACTGGCGAAAGGCAAGAAATGGCTTCCCGTCCTAATCAAGATGGCATTAATGAGTCGAGCGCTGCATCAACTGTATCGGAAACGCCTAGCCTTAGGGCTGAACGCCAAACGGAAAAAGAGCTTGCGTTAGAGGCCCAGGCCCGCAACCTGCAGCTGGATCATCAATCAGATACATCCGAAGCAGAAGGTCAGGGAACGGCCACTACTGGATCATCATCAGAGCCTTTGGGTTCTAGCATACACGAGCCACGTTCGCTACAGGTCGGTCAACCGTTTTACATTGATTGGAGAATTGCCAGTCCTCTTCCTTTCTCTGAAATTCAGGGCCTGCGCAACCCTTGGCGTGACAACCGCCTTATTAAAGTTTCACGTGATGGAACAGAGATTGAGCCTAATGTTGGCAAGATGCTTCTCAAGGCATGGGAAATGTATCTCTCGAAAGAAGACAAATGAAAAACTATCTAAGGATTTGCCTAAATGATATTTATATATATATATATATTCTGCTACATTATAGGTGAAGTGTCTTATACATAGCGGGAACACTGGTGAAGGCATTGCATAATGCACATTATACAAGAGACTAATGTCTATTGTCTAAAGGTGTATATAGCCTGTCATTATTACACAAATAACATGTAAGCAATATGCCGATGGGATCACCTAGCTGTCCAGTTTGTAACATGTTTTTTGCCTCAGAAGTATCTGTTACATCTCTAGGTTGGGCCTAGGTATCATTCGATCGTGGTTACCACGTCCGTTACTATAGTATAATATGTTCATCCAGGCAAATATGTACAATGGACGCTACGATGTATCATGGGACGTACCATAGCTCCGTGCACGGAAGTTCAGGCGTGGGCGCGCTATAGTCGCGAAGCCCCAGCCTAGATGTGGAGTCCCACGACTTCTACTAACGGCCACGTGTCATTCACGTGGAGGCGGAAGGCTGCGGAAGGCGAAAGAAGTCGGGGTTTCGGAAGGTGCATGTGGACAAGAAAGAGTACAAGTAGTACACTTGCATTCTTCGTTTGCCACACTGCATTGTGAATTGTAGAGATCTACCTTTCAGAATGATTGGCGCACTCTCCCGTGGTATTCGGATGGCGCCCACTTCGGGCAGGTTTCTGTCCCAGTCGCTCCGTGCTTCGTCGGTGACTGGCGCTCGCTTCAACTCGGGTGGCAAGGTGAATGGCCCTGTTATTGGTATTGACTTGGGTACTACCAACTCGTGTGTTTCGATCATGGAGGGTCAGCAAGCCCGTGTGATTGAGAACTCGGAGGGTGGTCGTACTACGCCTTCGGTGGTCGCTTTCACCAAGGACGGTGAGCGCCTGGTTGGTCTGCCGGCCAAGCGTCAGGCCGTGGTGAACCCTGAGGCTACTTTGTTTGCCACCAAGCGTCTGATCGGTCGCAAGTTCACGGACCGTGAGGTGCAGAAGGACCTTGACAATGTGCCCTTCAAGATTGTGGCGCACACTAACGGTGACGCCTGGCTCGAGGCTCGTGGCCAGAAGTACTCGCCGTCGCAAATTGGTGCTTTCATTGTGAGCAAGCTTAAGGACACTGCGTCTGGCTACCTTGGCAAGTCGGTGAAGCACGCCGTCATCACTGTGCCTGCCTACTTCAACGACTCTCAGCGTCAGGCTACCAAGGATGCTGGTACTATTGCCGGTCTTGAAGTGCTGCGTGTGATCAACGAGCCGACTGCTGCTGCGCTTGCCTACGGTCTGGACCGTCAGGAGAACGCTACTATTGCCGTGTTCGACTTGGGTGGTGGTACGTTCGATGTTTCGATTCTGGAGATGTCCAAGGGTGTGTTCGAGGTCAAGTCGACCAACGGTGACACCCACCTCGGTGGTGAGGACTTTGATATTGTCATCGTGGAGCACCTCGTCAAGGAGTTCGAGAAGGAGAACGGTATTGACCTGAGCAAGGACCGCATGGCCATCCAGCGTATCCGTGAGGCTGCCGAGAAGGCCAAGATTGAGCTTTCGAGCACCGCCTCGACCGACATTAGCCTGCCGTACATTACGGCTGACGCTTCGGGCCCTAAGCACATCAACACTAAGATGACTCGTTCTCAGCTCGAGGGCATGATTGCCAAGCTGATCCAACGCACTGTCGAGCCTTGCAACAAGGCTCTGGCTGACGCCGGTATCAAGGCCAGCGACGTGAACGAGGTTATCATGGTCGGTGGTATGAGCCGTATGCCCAAGGTTCTTGAGACTGTGAAGAACATCTTCAAGCGCGAGCCTTCGAAGGGTGTGAACCCCGATGAGGCTGTGGCCATCGGTGCCTCGATCCAGGGTGGTGTTCTGGCTGGTCATGTGACCGACATTCTGCTGCTCGATGTGACCCCACTGTCGCTTGGTATTCAGACGCTGGGTGGTGTGTTCACCCGTCTGATCAACCGTAACACGACGATCCCGACCAAGAAGAGCCAGGTCTTCTCGACGGCTGCGGATGGTCAGACCGCTGTCGACATCCAGGTGTACCAGGGTGAGCGTGAGCTTGTGAAGGACAACAAGCTCCTGGGCAACTTCCAGCTCACTGGTATTCCCCCGGCCCCCAAGGGTGTGCCGCAGATCGAGGTCACCTTCGATATTGACGCTGACGGTATCGTGAACGTGAGCGCCAAGGATAAGGCCACCAACAAGGACCAGAGCATGACCATTGCTGCCGGCTCGGGTCTTTCGGACCAGGAGATTGAGCGTATGGTCAACGATGCTGAGCAGCACGCTGAGGCCGACAAGGCCCGCCGTGTGGTGATCGAGGAGGCCAACCGCGCTCAGAGCGTGGCCAGCGAGACGAACAAGGCCATGGCTGAGTTTAAGGACCAGATTGAGAAGGACGAGGCTGAGAAGGTTCAGAAGCTTGTGGAGGAGCTTGAGGCTCTGGCCAGCCGCGGTATCTCGGGTGACGAGTCGCTCCAGGTTGACGAGATCAAGACCAAGATTGACGAGACGCAGCAGGCTTCGCTTGGTCTCTTCAAGAAGGTGTACGAGAGCCGTGCCCAGAACGACAGCGGCAACGCTGGCTCGTCCCAGGAGGGCGAGAAGAAGTAATAGACTTAAAAAGTCATTGGATGTCCTAGTATGTGTAGTCTGTGTAGCTAGTCTACCTTGCTATCGATGAATTGTACGTTCGGTGTACAGGTTACAATGAGGGTGTAAGCATGACGCATGTGTATGGTTCTTAGCTTACACCAACTTGGGCAACAAGATGGCACGGAACGCAGGAAGCATAGTGCGAATGGCGTCCGTGCGAGGAGGTTCGTTCGAAGAGGCTGCGCGTGTAGCTGTGCCCTTGGCCTCGGCCTGGGGTCGGTACACACGAGCGTCTGCGTCTTCAGGTCCTTCCTCTGAATCGCTGGAATGAGTCGAAGAAGCTGAATCGTCCTCGTCATCATCTCCCAATTCCTCAATTTCATCGTTGAGCGCCGATCCAAATCCAAAATTGTTCGACATGGTCTTAATAAACTGATCATCTTCATACAAATTGTTGTCCGACCCAGTAGCAGCAACATGGGCCATCTTGCGTCGCCGTCGAATTTCCCGTCTTAGCTTGACACGGTACGCTTGCTGTATCACCTCTTGCGTCTCGGCGATGACACGCTGATACATGCCAGGATCTGTAGGCAGACAGCGATCCAAATTAATCCAACCTAAGCCACAAGATTCTGGCTCTCGTGGATCACGCACATAATTGATAAATAGCTGAATCCATTGTACCAATCGTTCAAACAACGCTGACCCTTTCGTATGCACTTGATGCACAAAGTTGTAGAACAATTGTTGATGGCGTTGGACTAAATTTACAAACGCATCCACCAACAATTCGGGCCGCGTAGCCGAGAGCGATTCGTGGTCGTCCACGGTCTTGATCAAATCCGTGATAAACATTTGCAGGTCACCGAGCATATCGGCAATGTTGGCCGCACGATATACCTCTGCCAAAGGCGCATAGAAGATCGTAATCATATCCCTGATCAGGTCGGTCGTAGCACTGTCAGATATGAGACCAATGAGCTGCTCTTTTTCACGCATGGCCACGCATAGGTTGTAATATACATGCAGGTCTTCAAGAAGCCACGCATCCTCGTTGTCAGGCTCCGGCTCAGGCAGGCCGTGTGCTTGGGCGCGCCGTCGCTCTCGCTTTAGTTTTTGCTGTTCAGCCGTTGCACGACTGAGTTGACGTTGCTGCCGTTCAGACAGCTCACCTCCTAGGGGCGAGCGAAGTACGACGCATAAAAGCTCGGATCGTTCTGCCCGAGCCTGCTCACAAAACAAATTCTGCATGTCTTGCGGCATGGCAACGAACTCTGCCACCTTTTTCCACCACAATGGATCAGGGATCCTGGACATTACGTTCTCGGCTAGCTCTTTCATCTCAGCAATCTCATCTTGCAATCGGCCGGTAAACATCCGCTGCAGTAAGCTCTTTTGCCCAAAGGGCTGCGCCAAAAACAAATCCAAAAAGGAACGCATCATTGCCACAGGGTTGGAAATGCGCAGGATACTACGCACCATGAAGTAAGGCATCATGCCGTGCACAGATTTCAACTGGGCAAATGCACTTGACGACGAGTCGCGGCCCACAAACATGGTAAAAAGGCCGGAAGCCATAGACACCGTGGCCCAGTTCATCAATTCCATATACTCTGGTGGCAAATCCGACACATGTGGGCAGCGCCGGATGGTGGCCAGCATACGACTTAGTCCATCAGGCTCCATCAGATGCTTTTTGAACGTCCCGAGATGCAGCTGCAATTGTAGTACGCGATCTGTAATCTTGTCGGAAAACTCTTTGAATTCAGTCTCACGTAGGGCATCGGCACGTTTGCGCACATCCATATCGGCCTTGTCTGCACTGGTAAGGGTTGTAGGTTCATCCATCAGGAAGCTGCGCATGATCTCACTATCAGCCACATCTGGGATGGCGAGCAGGCTTCGCAGGAAAGCGCGAAGTGTATGCCTATTCCTCTCGCGAATGAGCATACTGGGTGTAGTCGCTGTCATATCGGTCCACTCGTCTGTTTCTTCCGCAGGCAGTGTCCCGTCGATGGTGGTCGCCGACTCGTCCTTAGCGGGCATATCAGGGATATCTTCCATGGGGAAACGCGCTACTAGGAGTTTGTGCATCTCCTCGAAACCGCGATAGGTGTGTCCCACATAGACTTCATGTGAATGAATCTTTGTCGACACAAGAAACTCGTCCTGGACCTTGGTACGCAGACGACCTCGCAGAATAGTACGTCGTACGCCCACAATGTCCACCTCAAAGTGATCTGATACCGATCTATTGCGAGCTGCACGCTGTTGTGCATCAATAGCAGCTAGGCGTTGTTGATCCTGTTCATTGATCCGAACGACATCTTCTTCCACACCCATCACCCGCATAGAAGAGCTGACCAGCATACACAAGTACCGTTGCATCTTGCCAGTTACATTCGATACGCCTGTCAGTCCGCCATTTTCGTCGTGGATGGTAATAATATTCCGCTCGAGCAGTCGTTCCATAAACAGCTGCACCTTGTCGGAAAAAAAGTTGGGCGGTGCTTTGGCAAAGAATGGGAACGTAAGTACGAACCGATGTAGCAAATGGCGGAGCAATGGGAGCTGCTTGGGATCCAGTGGCTTTGAACTGCGAAAGGGTGGGCCAAGCAGCTCGAGGGCATCCGCTCTGTGCAGCTGAGCCAGTTCCTCCTGGAGCTGAAGCCCCACCAAAGTCTTTTTCAGGTAATGGGCCTGCAAAGGCGAGAGAGAGGACACTGTAGGGCCATTAGCAGCTGGAACCGTGGATACAGCTTCTATCTTGGCTGCAGGTATAGACTCCCGCGCAGCTGCGCGGCGCAGAAACGGATTTGTATCCGCCCCCATGGAAGGCGTACGTAGCCAGCGCAGCTAGGCGTTGACAGGTCGTAAGATGGGTGGCCTAAGCACCATCACGTGATAGGCGGGGATGGACTACGCGGCGCCTACGGCCATCGCAGGGTCCTACTTAGCCACCATGAAGATTACGACAGCCGTCTCTGCATCGGCCGCGGCCTTGGCTGCCTTTGCTCTTGGGTACGCTGTGTATTTTGACTACAAGCGACGGAACGACCCTATTTTCCGCAAGAAGCTTCGCAAGCAGTCGAAGCAGTCTGCCAAAGTAGCCAAGAAGGAGCAAAAGGCCGCAGCACAGCAAGAGACCATGATGATTGAAAAGGCTGTCAAGGATGTCGCTGAGCCCGGTGTTCTCCCTGATGGTGTCCAGGAGCGCGAGGCGTTCTTTATGGAGCAGGTGGCTACCGGTGAGGCGTTGTTTGCGCAGGGCCCTACGTACCATGTGCCTGCAGCCATTGCTTTCTTCAAGGCGCTCAAGGTGTACCCGGCCCCAGTAGAGCTGGTGATGATCTACCAGAAGGCTGTGCCGAAGGAAGTGTTTGACCTGATTATGAAGCTGGTGACGCGCGATGCTGCTGTCAATGGCACGGGTGCCTCCAAGTCGGCCGGCCTCGACGAGGTGGACGATGATGTGGACGGCAAGAAGTCAGGAGAGCCGAAGAAGGAAGAGACGGACGCGGACACGGACGCGAAGACCAAGCCTACATCGGATCAGACCGCTACTACGACGTCTACGACGGACGGCGAGACGAACGCAGCGGACGCTCCTGCCACCGAGTCGACCGCTGAGACCGCCGAGGCGAAGGCGGAGGAGATTAAGGATGTGTTCAAGGAGGCCGTGCAAGAGGCCGCAGAGGCTGCAACGGAGGCATCCACCACCGAGAAATAGGCTATAGCCCACGTTTCGCATCCTCCTTCCAAAACCTATATGCTGGCTTACTTACTCATAGTTCTTTAGACGTCAACTTTGTGACTCCTATAATTATGACAGCTGTACATGGGCCTAAAGCAAGTGTTCATGTCACTTGGCCCCCACCTGGATATGACGTATGCGTAGATCCTCACGGAATTGCTCGATATGGCTGAGGCCAAAACGCAAATTATCAAACCCTTCCAAGCTGGGGTCGTTAGCCAAGGCGGTGTCGCATGCATCGCGATCCAGACGTGGGCCGGTGGATGTGACGCGAATATGACGCTTTATCCGATCGATCAAGACTGCAATATCGTCACGGGCTATCACAATCCCCCACAGACCCCAAACGGCATGCACCGCTGGTGTCCAAAGCGCCACTTCAAAATCTAGCCGATCGATTTCCGCTTGAATACTGCGATGAGGCGACATCGGTGAGCTGGTCTCCGAGGACGCGTGACCTTGCGACGATCCATCCGAGGTTGGCTGCTGTGTGACGGCTGGCGGCAGAGCAATGTCCGACACGGCAGAGAGACTGTCGGGCGTACTAAGTTTCGCCGATCGGCTACGACGTGCCATTGCGCGGCCTTGCATGACGTACGCATGGAGCCATTTCTGTCGTTCTTCCTTCGTGGGGTATGCCCCATGTGTGGACATACACCACGCCGATATAGGGTCATCGTAGTTGGCCCGCCATTCGTAAAAGTGATTCGCAATATCGTACGCTCGTGGGTTCGGCGTAGCGTACTCAAAGTCAATCACGACCAACCGATGATGAGGCGGCTGTGATCGAGAACGTGAGCGTGACCGACGGCGGAACTGTGTTTCAGGGGACGTGCCTAAAGAGGCAGGCGGACTGTTTACCGAGGACGTGGGCGACGTACCTGCGACGTAGCGCGGCATGCCAGAGGCCATTAAAGGCAGCTCGCCCTGTTCGTTCAAACGCAACATAAGTAAGTTGCCATACTGGGAATCATTGTGACAAAATACACGTTGGCTTTTCCCCTCCATTCGCTCCACCCGACGCACCGCGCGTTTGAAAGCCACAATTTCCAAGCACAGTGTTGGTAGGTCGATGGCATGAAGGCATGCCATCATATCGACAAACGAGCGTCGCGTCGCTTGTAAACTATCGACACTCGTATGCGTGGTGCGCAAATGCGCTTGGTCGGCATGCACGGGCAAGGGATCCACATGGTACGCAGCTCTCACCGCCTGTCCTTCCGGTGATTGCAAATAAGCATTAACCATTTCAATGACTTTGCTGGCTTCGCGCGTCCATCGCTTGAGACGACGCCATACGCCTAGATACGGCTGTCGAGCACTAGACGTCGGGCCCGGCGCGGGCGATGGTGCCGAGGAGGGCCCGAGGGCGAGCGGGCTCATAGTTAGCGTATCTGCCGTGCCAAGTTTCCCGCTAGGAGGCGACATGAGCAGACTGCGTGGACTCGCGAGAGAATCGTAGCTAGTTGCCAAAGAATCAAAGGACATGGTGGACACATTCGCGCCGCTGGGAAACAGACCTGGCGACGGATGCGCAAAGTAGCTGTAGCTCTGGAACGGGGGCGACGTGGCATCCGGTGCACGCCGACGACTCCGACGTGGCCGATGGCTTGCCGCCATGATATGGTTCTCAATCCCACGGCCGAAGCCCTTGCTGGGCGACTTAAGATCGCCTTGTTCCAACACGGTACGGACGACATCAAGCGGCACTTCGTGCAGCTCACGCATACGCCGAGCGACCCAAATGGCCGGGCCTTCGTGCTCCGCCGTACCAAAGTCTCGCATACCCGCCGGTCCAATCGATTCGCATTCGTAAAATTCTGACGTGAGTGCGACAAGAACCTACCTTCAATACGGCCATTCGCAAACGTGCCCAGGATGTGCGGCCCAATTTCGTAGAGACTGGAGAGCGTATGAAGGATCAACAGCTCGGTACGTCGTGATAGCAATGCTTCACTGCCTGCGCCATAGACACGCATCAGCACTGTGGGCGGCGCAGGGACAACGCCGCCGGCCTCGTAGCCCACAAAGAACACGGCATTGGTCAGCGCACTGCTATTCCGCTTCAGCGTCAAGTACTTGGGCTGCAATGGCAGGAGAGCCGGCGAGAGATCCATATCGACCCACCCACGCAATGCAAGAACCTGCGTAAACATTTCTAAGACTTGCGCTTTAAACGCCAGTGTATCCGACTGACTGCATGGTGTAAGCGCAGTTGTGTACTTACTGGATGTCCAAGCGCCACCCACGCGCTGCTGGGATGCCATAGGCATGCATATCTTCTTCGTCCACATCTTCTGGGTCATCCAAATCGTCTTCCGAGTCATCCGGTAAGGCTTCCATCTCGGGGGACCATGCTACGGGACTGGCCTGGTCGGGATCATCCTCCAGATGAAGACCTTCCATTTCCAGCTCATCCAGATCCTCGCCAACCGACTCGTAAAATGTCGGTGTCGGTGGACGGTACCATCGTGACGCAACCCCCGCGCCGGGCTCCGACATCGTGGGGAGATGGAGGCAACCACGCACCGCTGCTTTCCCAGCCCTCATCGGGCAAAGCGCATCGGACTTCCTGTCCCTGTATGAACGGGCCTCCACCAACTACAGCACGCCTACAACTACAGCATCGTTTCTTCCAGCAGACCGAGGTGACGGCGCTGACGCGGCGCATTGCTCTTTTGCGAGGATGGAGGAGGGGCAGTGCGTGTACGACCCACAATAGACTCGTTGCCTTCCAGTACCACGCTCATGACCTTCTCAAAGAGCTCTTGGTCCTCAAAGCGAGTCCACGCCTCGCTCGGCGGCATCTTCTTCGCATGCGGATCCATCGTCGCACCAAGGCAGGCGTGGAACAGCGGCGGCTCCCACATAGGGCGCGCATGCGGAAGCTTGTCGGAGAGGGCAAGCGTTTGCGTAAGCAGGGCACTCATCTGGAGCACAAAGCCCAACGTCGTGCACAACGTAATGGACCGATTGGAGGGCGAGCCGCCAGGGTACGCATCGACAATCGCCTGCATTTCGGTCGGCGTCGCTTCCTTGCTCACCCGACGCGCAATGCAGGCAGAGTACACAGCCGCCTGGAGTTCGACCATCGACCAGTTGTGGCGCGTACGGTGGTGGCCCAGGCGCTGCTGGTTCGTCGTCAAGGTGTAGCGCAACGCGGCGGCAAACGCCTGAACGTCCGCGGGGAGCTGCTCAAGCGACGGGATGTTCGAGTAGTGCACGTAGCGCCACAAATCCATACGTACCGACTCGGAAAGCTCCGCCGCAAGCACGGGCTTCGGCTCAGCCTCCGGATCAGACAGCATCGCTTCGCCATACGCATCGACAATGCTCGTGAGCGACGAGGGGAGCGCCTTGGTGCGCGACATAGTCTCCAGCAGCACAGGGAGCGCCGGCACCGGCACCTCCTCTTTGCGCAAAGAGTACTCTGTGCGTGTATATTCCGTCACCGTGGTCAGTGGCGCAGGTCCCGTCTCTTCCGGCTCAGGCTCAGGCTCAGGCTCTTCGTCCTCATCCTCGTCCTCGCCCTCGGCCTCCTCGTCGTCCTCCGCGGCATCGTCGTCCACCTTCTCCTCCACGTCGACCTCGTCAAGTACCTCAGCCTCAGCCTCATCCTGGGCCACCTCCAGCGCATCGAGCGCTTCCTCGACCTTGACCTTCTCCTCAGGATGCGCTGTAAGCCATACAGAGAAAAGAAGCGACCACACCACTTGACGCATTGGGCGCACAATCACACGCTGGGCAGGCGGCTCCTCTGGCTCTTCCAGGTACACACGTGCAATGTAAAGGCGCTCCAGCATCGCTGACACGAGCGCTTGGTCAAAGTGGCCAGCCCAGTAGGCGTCCTGGTACGTCTTGAGCGCAGCCACGTCCGTCGCAGCCATGAACCGCTCCATCGCCTCGCTGCCATGTTCTGGAATGTACGACAGGGCCGCGGTATGCATGGCCTGTACAATCGACGTGCGCATTGCCCACGAAACAGGCAGTGGCGCACCACGACGCTTGCGGCCGTACGCCACAATGCTGTCGAAAGACGCAGCGAGCAAACGCGTAACAGGATCGGACATGTCAAGCGTAGCCGATTCATCGTGGTCGTCCGCCTCTTTATCCGTGGGCGCCTCCTCACTCGCCACCGGAGGCAAGGCTGTGCCCTCTTGAATGGCTGTGTACTGCTCGCTAAGCAACGACGCAATGACACTCATACGGTTCGAAACGCCATGGAAAACGCCATTGAACAGCTCCATCTGCTCCGATGTGCGGCTCTCTGTCCCCACCAACGCAGCAAACACAGGCAAGAGGGTCATGGGGATCTTGAGAAGCTCAGCACACTTGTACGATGAGAAGCAACGGAATCGCAGCGCGTTCTCGACCAACATCGACGACTGCGACGGAAGCACAGGCGCCGACAAGATCTGAGGCAGGTGCGCCTTCTTCGCTTGCTGAGCAGCTTTCTTGTTCCGCTTGCTAGTGCTCACTGTCATAAAGCCGTCGTCATCGGCCGGCGGCGCTTCCGGCGCAGCAGGGGCCGTCTCTTGCGCAATGAATTCCACAGACCCCAGCGAAATGTAGCCCTTGCACCGCGGCGCATTGCCACACAAAATCAAAAAGTCCGAGTCACGACTCAAGACGTATCCAGCACGCTCATCAGCCAGCTTGGCCACAATGGCATCCACTTCCGAGGCGCCCATCACGACTTCGACATCGCAGGCGTGGAGGATGCTGTATACGTACTCTGTGAGGCCACGCGGAAGCATACGAGCATGTTCAAACTCATGATCAGTACGCAACTTGGGGCCAGCGCGCATAAGCTTCGCGTTAAGACGCACGTAGTTCTGCGTCCGCGAGAGCAGCGTACCGATCTTTTGGTGCAGGCGGGGGCCGTCAAACACAACCACCAACTTGAAGTTGGCCGAGCGTAAGAGATCAATCCAGCGCTTCATAAGCACACGGAAATGCAAGAACGAACCACCTTGGTATACATTGGTGTTCATGGAATGCCACACATGGTGGATCCACGCCCATGCATCAATAACCAGCCAGTCGCCCTCGGGGTTCAACTCGATCTCCTCGCCGTTCTCCTGCGCCTTGCCAGCACTGCTGGGAATCGGTAGCGTAAACTCGCTCGAGACGAGGCGCTCCATCTCATTTGCCCATCGCGTCAGTCCGAGCACACCCATGGTGAGTATGAAGAGAAAGGGAGTGCGATCGACCGGCCACGTGATTCATATCTTGCACGGCACTATACGCCACGCGCGTGCGCGCGATCTCGCATGACCTTTGCTACATGCACCTACTAGACCAGCTAGCTATGCGTCGTCGTCTTCGTTGTAGTCTTCTTCCTCTTCTTCCTCTTCCTCGCTGTCCGTCTCATATACATCGCTAGCGTCAGAGTCTTCCTCTGCCTCTTCCTCTTCGTCCTCCTCCTCCTCTTCGTCCTCGTCTTCGCTGTCTTCTCGAGTTGGTTTGCGAGAGGCCGTCGACGCTGTATACCGAACAGGCTGCTTCCTTTGACGCTTTGCAGGTAGTGAGTCCAAAAAGTCGGGGCGCGGCAAACCATCGTCACCTTCGCCGTCGCTACGAGCCGCTTCCTCCTCGGCCTCCTCGTCCTCGACTACACCTTCGTCAGCCTTTCGCTTCTTCGTAGAGCGCGCTTTGGTTCCGGAAGAGACATCTTGCGAGCTTTCAGGCTCCTCTTTGTCTAGCAAGCAGGGTGTGACATCCTGTTCACGCACATGACCCAATGCAAAGGCGGCCTGCACCTTCTCTTGGTCTTCCGGCTCGAGATCCTCAAAGCCATCCAGCTCTTGCACGACATCCTCAATTTCCTTTCGCATATTGGCGAGAACTCTTGATGTGGTGCTGGTTTCGTTAGAATGAGCGTGGGTTGCGTACCATCCCCAATGACGCCATGCCATGCCCTGTCTGTCAGCACCGAAGGAAGTACATACCGTGTGTCCCTGGATCTCTGTCAATGTCCCAAGACGAAGTTCTCCTTTCAGAATTTTGGTCCCCGAACATGGTTTGGGTCCTTTGCACGTTGCACGTGCTGAAGAGGCGTACTCTACGCGGTAGGGCATCGTTCACTGGCAAGATCGACGGCCCATGCGTGGCACGCGACGCTCCTTAGACTCCCATGTTGCTGACTAATGGTGCAAGAAGCTACGAAGCAGCCGCCCCTTCATCGAGTAGTACATACTCGCGACTGCTGGCGGCAAATTGGCACGTATCGCCCGAACGAAGTTCATAGTACCTCGAGGAAGGCACATTCTCTCCATTTACGATGCAGCCATTGGCTGACTCTAAATCGATCAAGAAGGGTCTGATGTAAGTCTGTAACATATACGTACTGCACGTAACGCTTTTCATCACCAAACTCGTTTCGTTTGGTGACCTGCCGAAACTGTATCACAGCATGCTGCTTGGAGCATGAGGGATGCTCAATCGGTATGTCTACCACGGTCTTATCGCGTCCAAACAGATAGCAAGATTGCCTTCCAAGGACAAACATATCTGGCATGTCAGCGACATAGATACATACCCACTTCCTTACCATCCTTGAACACGAACAATCGCCATGATCGTTTCGGCTTCTTCGCTTCAGGTGGCTCATGGTATTTGAGTGCCACTCCATTCACACTATTGCTCTCCTTCGCGAGAAGGCCAGATCGCTCAAAGTTGGGTTGGGCACTCGGCTGTGCCGTACTTGGCCCTGCTTGGCTTGGCGTGCGCGAAGGCGACCGAGTAGGAGAGTCACGGTGGGTATTATAAGAAGATCGATCATCGTACGAATCACGATCGCGTGAGCGCCGGTGATGCTTGTCACGCTCACGACGTCGCTCACGATCATCGTCATAGTGGCGCCGATGCGAACGCTCCCGATCGCTACGGGAAGAGCGGTACGGAGACCGCTCACGCGACGAGCGATGCTCACGTTGATGGCTTCCGTGCGAACGGCGGGGCTCCTCTACATACCGGTCGGGCACCGAGCGCCCTGGACTTGCCTCCCTGGACATGGTTCGCTTTGAACCTATCGCTGACTCATCAGGACGCACTGACACGAATTTTTTTTGGTAAGGCTTTCTTGTTGCCATGCCACAGACTAAGCCGCCTACGGACGCATTTGTAGCAGGGCTTCATGTAGCTGCATCGCGCAGTGAAAAGCCTCTGATACGTTTCAAGCTCTTTGTGCTACCAGCCACAGAGCAGGATGCGGTAGAGCACCATATTTTGTCCTGGAAAGCCCAAGAATTTGCCTATCGTCAATTTACGCAAGACAGCGACGACCTTCCTACACTCGCCCGTGGCTTATTCACGGAGCGGGTGAGCAAAAATGGCGAGGAACATGAGCGAATTGTTGTGCGTGGCTATGATAAGTTCTTCAATATTGGTGAACTGCCTTGGACATCGACCGAATCAATCGCCGCGTACGCGAAAGGTCCTTTTGTGGTATCGCATAAGGAAAACGGCTGCATTATCTTTGTCGCAGCACTCTCTCCAACAAGACTCATTGTAACATCCAAACATGCACTGGGATCGCGACCCGAAGACGAGGGACCTAGCCACGCTGATATGGGATACGCATGGCTGAAGCAGCAGTTGGCTCAATGTGGCCGAACAGAAGAAGCTTTAGCAGCAGAATTGTGGAAGCGCAATGAAACGGCGGTTATGGAGCTATGCGATGACTCGTTTGAGGAACATGTTCTGGCATACCCACCAGAGCGGTCAGGCTTGTATCTTCACGGCCTGAACGCCAATGCAGCGGATTTTACTACACGTCCCATGCAAGAAGTGACAGATTTCGCTTTATCATGGGGCTTTTTCCCAGTGCAGTACCGTCTGTATGATACATGGGATGAGGTGGATGCCTTTGCAAAAGAGGTGGGTAAAACGGGCTCGTTTGATGGCCAGTCCATTGAAGGGTTTGTAGTCAGATGCCAAATGCCCGAGCAAGTGTCACCCGTGGAAGGTGTCAAGATTCCCCCTTACCATGCAGGGCAAACATGGTTCTTCAAGATCAAGTTCGATGAGCCTTATCTCATGTACCGCAGCTGGCGTGAGCTGACACGCACCATGCTACGTGACAAAGCGAAATGGGAAGAACAACAACAATTGCAAGAGAAGAATGACACATTGGATGAGACGATGGAGGGAATGTCTTTAAACGAAGAGGCACCCGCCGTCCCAGAGACCACCGAAGAAGGGGTCAGCAAAAAAGCCTTGAAACGTGCAAAAAAGCAGGCAGAAAAGCAGCACAAGGCGAAACTTGAGAAAGATCGCTCTACAGGCCGTGCACAACCTTTGCCGCCTACACCTCGCCCCATGCGACCTGAATCTCTGGTATATGTGCGATGGTGTTATGATTTGCTCTACGGCGATGAAGAACGCCACATTGCTGCAGACCCCGAACTCTTTGCCTCCTTCAGCCAAGGCAGGGGCATTATTGCTTTGCGAGAAAAATTCTTGGCGTATTTGTCGTCCGAAGAAGGTCAAAAAGTGCTGGCCCAGCAGCAGCGTCACAAGTCGGCAAATGTGCCACGCGACTTGCATGCAGATGATCGCCCTTTCTCCAAGACACTGATTGTACCAGTGGCCGTGCCTGGCTGTGGAAAAACGGCTTTATGTGTAGCCCTTTCGAATTTGTTCCACTGGGGGCATACACAAAGCGATGATGTGCAAAGCAAACGAACTGGACCTGCCTTTTTGAAGAATGTGGAAACGGAGCTCCTATCACATGATGTGGTTCTGGCAGATCGAAACAACCATCTTATGAAGCATCGCGAAGAACTAGTAGATGTGGTCCGACGTGTTAGCGACCCAGCGAAAGGCAAAGTGGGTCGTGTTCGCCTTGTGGCGTTGGCATGGCGTTTGGATGGTGTACCGCTCTCCAAGATTCAAAGCATTTGTGCTTCGCGCATGATGGATCGCGGCGATCGACACCAATGTCTCCGTGTGGAATCACGCAAACATTTTGCATACGACTCTATCCTTACACGGTTTATCAAGGACATGGAAGGATTCCGGAATACCCAGGCTGATCCGGAAACGCTGCACGCTTCAGATGCCCAGTTTGATGATGTGGTGTGGCTTGACATTGATGCATCGTTTGAGGATACACTGGCTCGGGCTATGGACAGACTATGCCCTATGTTGGCACTGCCGCAACCCTCGCAGACGGCTGTGGAAGCCAGTATGGCTAAAGCACTGCATTACTCACCACAAGTTCGCAAGCCGCTACCTAAACTGCCCACTGGCCCTCCTGTGGACAGAAACGCAGTATATCCCTCGTCCTACATTGGTGTGTTTGCTCATATGGATCTGAAAGGATTTGTGCTACAACTGCTTGATCATCTGCCTGATACCTCAGATACAGTAGCAGCTCGCCACGTTTTGCATACAATTATCCAGGCCAATCGCATGACAGAAAAACCCCATGTTACCATACTGCACAGACATGATGTGGACACGTGCCTAGTTGACGAAGCGACGTGGACCTCTTTGTATGCCAAAGCCACGGACCACACAAGCACTCAAAAGACCTGTTCTATTCGAATTTGTGGCCTGGCCTGGAATGAACGCGTGATGGCGTTAGAAGTCTCGGAAATTGTTGGTTTGGATGTATCATTCCTACAAGCCCGATCTGGACGTACGCCCCATGTTACGGTAGGAACAGCAGACCCTGCAGTGCTCGCTTACGAGGCCAACCAGCTGTGGGCGGAGAATACAGCCAGTAAAATTGAGGTCTCCCCATCGCGTGACGTGCCTGGCGTTCTTGCGTTCCACAGCAATCCAAAATAGTTTATAATCTCCACATTAGAGCACCCCACACATTGATACCACCACAATGATAACAGCAGAGAAGCCAGAGCTCTCGGCTGGAGAGAAGGATGTGGAAGGGAATCATGAGCTCCCAGTGCAGCAAAATCATGCTGGCGTACACGGCCATGAACTTTCCAATATGATTCCGGAGGATGCTATCACGGAAAAAGAGAAAAAGCACGTTCTTCGCAAAATTGATATGCTACTTTTGCCACTTGCCAGTGGTTGTGTTTTACGTACGTATCCCATCTTACTTACGCAGTCCAAATGCTTGATAAAACACTGCTCAATTATGCAGGTATTATGGACCTGCAAAAGGATTTGGGCCTGAAAGGGAGCGAGTTTAGTTGGCTTGGAAGTATCTTTTATTTCGGGTATTTGGCCGGAACTTTTGTCCATGCTTATTTCTTGCAGCGTGCACCGCTGAGTCCCTATATTTCAATTGTTGTGATCATTTGGGGTGTTGTTCTCACCTGTCACGCGTCGGCTCTGAGCTTTTCCTCGTTCATGGCAGTGCGTTTTTTCCTGGGAGTGTTTGAGGCGGCCATCAACCCAGGCTTTATTCTCTTGACTGGTCGCTTTTATACACGCAAAGAGCAAGTGGTAAGAACTGCCATTTGGTACTCGATGAATGGCTGGGCTATGATCGTGGGTGGTGCCATGACATATGGCATCCTCATTCATCCTGCCCCTATTTTGAACCGTTGGCAAGAAATGTTTGTGGGCGTGGGCGTTGTAACAATAGCCTTTGGCATTTTGTGTCTGTACGTATATGCGGTGCTAATCCCAGTTTCATTATGCCCTCTCTACCCGAAACGACAAGCTATCTAAAGCCACGTGAGCGGAGCGTAGCTGTCTTTCGTATCGCCGAAAACATGTCCGGCACACACGATAAGACTTTTAAGCCGTATCAAGTGAAGGAGGCGGTAAAGGATATCCGGCTTTATCTTTTCTTCTTGGCATTTGGTACGGTAAATGTGACCAATGGTGGTATCAGCATTTTCGCTACACAAATCATCAACGCGTTTGGATACGCCAAGCCCAAAGCAGCGCTTTTAGATATGACCAAAGGTGCCGCAGAGGTCGTGGGTGTCTTTATCGGTACGCTCATATTCATTTGGACAAAGCGAAGAGATGTCCCTTCGGTTTTTGGATACATTGTTGCAATTGTTGGTGGTGTGATGATGACCGTCTTGGACAATGACCACAAGATCTCGCGTGTGGCTGGCATCTGCTTGCTATATTTCTTCCCTATTTCATACCCTATGTTCTACAGCTGGATGAATGCCGCTGTTTCTGGAACTACCAAGCGCATCGTGTTTAATGCGAGTCTGCAGATTGCTTACTGTGTGGGTAACATTATCGGACCGCAATTTTACCCTTCGTCTGGGACAAGTGATTATACCGTGGCCACCACGGTGGATTATGTCATGTTTGCTGCCTCAGCTATCTTTGTGATCCTCTTGACCACGGTACACTATATTTGGAACCGTCGCAAGGAGCACCATCAAGAAGCAGCTATGTCGCAACTTACCCCTGAAATGGAACTAGAGATGGACCTGTCCGATCTGACCGACAAGGAACGACCGAAATACCGTTACCCTTACTAACTTTCACAATCTGGTCCGTGCATAGATATGCGTACATAATCATACATGCTAACTATGTAGCACACGAGATGGAATACACGCCCTTTCCTACCATGACCACGTCACAGCCTCACTACGTACACGGGTATCACCCAGATATTATTGCGGGACATAGTTGGAGAACAGCTGAAAACTCAGCATCGCTCTTGTTGCCATATCTAAAGAACACGGATCTACTCCTCGATGTGGGCTCAGGCGCCGGCACGATCACATGTGACTTGGCCACAAAGGTGAAGAAGGTTACTGCGCTGGAGCTTAACGACGAAGGTATGGAGAATACACGAAAAACTGCCAAGGCTCGACATGTTGACTTAGAGTACGTGGTGTGTAATGCCAATAAAATGCCATTTCCTGATAATACATTCGATGTAGTGCACGTGCACCAAGTTCTTCAACACGTACCTGATCCGAAATCTGTTCTGCAAGAAATCAAGCGCGTGTTGAAACCAGGAGGCATTGTAGGCGTAACAGAGAGCATTGCACAAGCATTTACATGGTTTCCTGAAAGCCGAATGCTGGATACGTGGATGAAAATCTACAATGATAATGCACGGGAGAATCATGGCGAACCTGATGCGGGAAAGATGCTATTGAACTGGTGTCAACATGTCGGTTTTGCAGAAGTACACGCAAATGCATCGTTATGGTGTTTTTCTACACCGGAGGAACGCGAATATTGGGGAGGTATGTGGTCAAAACGGATTCTCTCCTCCCACATGGCCACCCACGCTATGCAACGGGGTGTAACGAGAGAAACGTTGGAACAAATTTCCAAGGCTTGGAGAGAGTGGGTAGAAACCCCTTCTGGCTGGATGATGATTCCTCATGGGACTGTCGTTGCGAAGAAATAGAAGCTATATACTAAAGCACCACGATAATTTGCCCTGGCCCAATCGCTCATGGATGGTTACAGTGCGTCCGAAGATAGATGTCAACCATACGTTGACCTCATTCCGATCGAAGACAGTGCATGCTGTCCCACAAAAAGAAACCGGACTGTGATCAGACGAAGATGCGAAGATGCACCAATAAGGTGGTGGATATATCCAAACAGCGCACTTGCATGTAGACCACTTTATCTTGCACGTGGGCATAGCCTACCGCTGCGCTGCATCCTGGCACGTGTGGTGGTACCTGATGCAGGGAGAGGCAGAGCTTAGCGCCTCGCCATCATCACCATGGCGCTGAAGCCTAAGGTCGTGAGACGGCTCTTGCTACTCCTAGTCAGTACAGGAGTTCTGGGTCTTTTTGCTTGGGTTGCTCTTACAGATCCGGAGCTCTCGCGGGCTACACGGCAGCTGTGGGACGACAATGTATGGAGCCATGCCTTGAAAAGCACCAACACCCCTTTTGCGTCTTCCAAGAGTCCGATCGACATGGATCCCTCATATGTAAAAAGCGCAAGTCCCGTGGAGCGCCGTTTTGACTGGACGGTACAGCGTGAGATCAAAGCACCTGATGGTATTCCGAGATTGATGTACACCATTAATGGCCAATTTCCAGGCCCCACTATCGAAGTAACGGAAGGAGATACTGTGGTCGTCCATGTGGTAAACCATATCTTTGACGATTATCAAGTGCCTGAATTCTTGTTCGATAATAAACTGGAACACGTCCATCCAACAGGTACCGACAAGCGTTTCTCTATACATTGGCATGGCCTATCAATGCGTGGCATGCAGGTCATGGATGGCGCTGCGTCCTTTACATCTTGCCCTATTAGACCTGGAAATGAGACTACTTACAAGTTTGTCGTGCAGAAGGAGGATGTGGGTACGCATTGGTACCACTCGCATGTCGGTACGTCGCGTGCAGATGGATTGTGGGGTATGTTCATCGTGCATGCCCGCGACGATGAGCGTCAAGTGCTAGCTGAGCGTGCACCTTCGTTCCGTACTCACTGGGACGAAGAGATTACCATTGCACTAGGCGATCACTTCCACAAAATGAGTCCAGAAAGTCTGGGTCGATACGTCTCGCGCACACTCTCCAATGCGGAGCCTGTGCCTGAGAATGGTCTGATCAATGGCAAGAGCATCTTTTCGTGTGAGATGAGTAAATTGACTGGCGTTCCATGCCCAGCAGGGGATGACAAGGATGAAGTCGGTGAATATACAGAATTCCGTCTGGACCCTACGAAAACATATCGCCTGCGTCTTGTGAATGTTGGCTCGCTAGCGGATATGACTTTCAGCGTGGATGGTCACACTCTGACAGTTGTAGAGGCCGATGGAACGCTAGTCGAGCCTATGGAGGTACATCGTATACCCATTGCACCTGGTCAGCGTTACTCTGTGATCTTACATCGAGAGCCTTCAAACCGCGATAAGCGTGTGTGGATGCGATCAGATATGTCGGGCGAATGTTTCAAGTACATGAACCCAGTCCTATACCCCTTTATTCGTGCCATTGTGACCTATGATGAGCCTGACACCTGGACAGGTGTAGGTGGCTGGCTTTCGCCACTACGTCATCGCAGTAATCGCCGTGCCATGTCAGAGCGTGTGTATGAGCAACGAACCCGAGGCCTGTCACGCATGCTGCCATCAACGCGCCCATGGCTGCCTAATGTTACGGATGCAGGTATACCTACTGAGCCATGTCATGATCTGGAGCCAGGTACGCTGGTACCGTTGATTCCAGACCCAGCCCCGGCATTGGACTTTGCCAATGGCGACAGGCGCGAATACGTCACAATTGAAGTGCTAAACCGTCAAAAGTATCAAGTTCCCATGGCGTTTATGAACTTGACAACATGGCGTCCCTATGGTCGCCGTGGTGCTTCGCAGCAGCCGCTTTTGCACAGAATTTCGCACAGCAATGCTACAACACCGCAAGCATGGATCGAGCAAGGCTTGATCAACAAGGAGCATGAGCTTTTGGCTGTAACGCATCCGTCCAAGCCTGTCGTATTTGAACTCGTTTTGAGGAATTTGGACGACGGCCCGCACCCTTTCCACCTGCATGGCCACAAGTTCTGGGTCCTTCACACAGGAGAGATGGAACGTGTGCGTTTCCGGTACACGAAGGAGCTGGAAGACTCTCTAGATCTATCGCGCGCCATGAAACGCGACACAGTCGTCGTGCCCATGATGGGCCACGTGATTATTCGCTGGGTCGCAGACAATCCTGGTGTATGGGCCTTCCATTGTCACATGTTGGTCCACCTCGCGAGTGGAATGGCCATGGCGTTTGTGGAGCAGCCGAGTGTCCTCCAAGCGCATCCGCCTGTGCCCGCCGCCTGTCAGTAGGATTCTTCCTCCACATAACTGAACTCCTGCATGAACCACACGTGCGCTCCGTAGCCTACGAAGAGTGGCATGGGCCGCCAGCCGCATTTTGACTCACGAGGATGAGGACAACTCGGCCTAGGGGTGTGCTGAAGCAGCTCGTGTCTGTGCTGATCGGAACAGCCGCCTGCAGTCTCGTTCTATGGATATGGCTAACCACATCAGAGCATCAAGGGCCATGGCTCTTCCTGTGGGGCGACTTGCAACGCGTGACAGGTCCTGGCACGACTTTGGGCAGCGAGGCTGTAACGACGGGCCCCATCACCATGGACCCAAGCTATAACACGAACCAACCGCCTCAGGTCCGTATGTTTGACTGGACAGTGGAACGCAAAGACTTGGCGCCGGATGGTGTGACGCGCCTCATGTACACGATTAATGGCGAGTTTCCAGGCCCCACGATCGAGGCCACGGAAGGCGATACGGTTGTGGTACGTGTACGCAATCATATCTACGATGAATATACGGTGCCACCCGCCCGCATGTCCTCCAAGCTGGAGGATGTGCATCCCGAAGGAACAGACCGTAAGTTCTCTTTCCATTGGCATGGGCTATCGATGCGTGGCCAACAAGTGATGGACGGTGCCTCCGCCTTCACGTCGTGTGCACTGAAACCAGGTGACGAGAAAGAATACCGATTTCAAGTGACGAAGGAAGATGTGGGTACACATTGGTACCACTCGCATCTTGGTACGTCACGCGCGGATGGATTGTGGGGCATGCTCATTGTGCATGCCCGTAGTGATGAGCAAAGCACTATAAAAACGTATGTCCCTGCATCTTCAGTGACATGGGATGAGGATGTGGCGATTGCCTTGGGTGATCACTTTCACGATATGAGCCCTGTGAGCCTCGGTATGTACGTCTCGCGCTGGCTCCAAAAGGCAGAACCTGTCCCTGAGAATGCCCTGATCAATGGCAAGAATGTATTTTCGTGTATGCACGCGAACTTATCCGGCGTACCTTGCCCTGCTGGTGACAAAGACCAAGTCGGCTCGTACTCCCACTTCCATTTCGATGCGGACAAGACGTACCGTCTTCGCTTGGTCAATGTCGGCTCCCTGGCCGACATTACTTTTAGTGTGGACGAACATGTGATGACAGTCATTGAGGCGGACGGTACACTAGTAGAACCGATCCAGGTCCACCGCATTCCCATTGCTCCAGGCCAGCGTTACTCGGTAATCCTTCATCGGGCTTCAAAACGACCCTCTAAGAATGTATGGATGCGCGCCGTCATGTCAGCCGACTGTTTCCAGTACACCAACCCTGTGATGGAATTTGAAGGCAAAGCTATCGTGTCTTACGACCGTATACCTACGAAATGGAAAGGCGCTGGTGGATGGCTGGCACCGCTGCGACAGCGAAGCAACCGCCGAGCTCTTGCGGCGTATATGTACGACAAGCGAAAAGGGCCGCTCTCTTTGCCGACAACACGCGCATGGAGCCCGAATGTGACAGACGATGCGATCCCAACAGAGCCCTGCCATGATTTGGAATCAGACAAGCTTGTTCCCTTGATTCCTGATCCCGCGCCGCCACTGCGTCTAGACCAAGGCGATCGACGAGAGGTGGTGTATGTTACAGTGCCCATCCTGGAGAAGTACGGGATTGTGCCGATGGGCTTTATGAACAGCTCGACATGGCGCCCCTATGGCCAGCGTGGTCCTGGTCGTCAGCCGCTACTACACCGTTTATCGCATGCCAACTCCACGAGTCTCGAGGACTGGCAACGCTACGATGTGTACGACCCAGGCCATGAGCTTGTGGTGCCGACGCACCCTAGCAAGCCTGTCGTGTTTGAGCTGGTGATCAACAACCAGGACGACTCGCCACACCCTTTCCATCTGCATGGCCACAAGTTCTGGGTCATGCAAACAGGCGAAATGGATCCTCGCTTTGGTGGCTACGACTACTATGAAGATCTGGGTCAGCAGTACCAACTGGACCGGCTCATGAAGCGCGACACGGTAGTCGTCCCGATGATGGGCCATGCTGTCATCCGATGGGTGGCGGACAACCCTGGTGTATGGGCTTTCCACTGCCATATGCTGGTCCACCTCGCGAGCGGTATGGCCATGGCCATTGTCGAGCAGGCGGCAGTCCTCCAAGCACAACCTCCAGTACCGCTTACATGTACGTAATTTTGCTAGGGAAATCTTTCGATTGTAGAATAGCCTCTATATCATTGGACAATGAGAAACGCGTCGCGCATGTCGCCCTAATCGAACCAGCCTTGGCATGTAAAGCAAAAAAAACGCGGCAACACCCTGTAGAACGCTTCCCTACCCACTGTCACTCACTATGGTCCGCGTAGGTGCGTTGCTGACATCGGCGCTGGTGTTTTTGGCACTCCCTGCGCTTAGTGCAAGCCAGGACAAGCAGGATGATCTGCGCAAGATCAAGAAAGTAGTGCTGTTCATGCAAGAGAACCGTGCGTTTGACCACTACTTTGGCTCCATGGCGGGTGTGCGTGGTTTCCAGGACCCGAACGTACACATCTCAAGCAACACCGGGAAGAGCGTATTCCATCAGCCAGTTGACCACTCGATTATTGCGCCTGCACCTCCGCCCAACGTGCACGAAGTGCAGCCATTCTACCTGAACTGGCGTGGTGGTGACTGGAAGGAGAAGACACAGTGCTTGATTGCCGGTTTGAACGACTGGACGTTCAACCATGCCGCTTGGAACAAGGGAGAGAATGACCACTGGGCGCTTAAGAACTCGGTGTACAGTTTGGGCTACTTCCACGAGGATGAGATTCCTGTGCAGTGGAAACTCGCTGACACGTTCACGGTGGGTGACATGTACTACGAGTCGATTATCGCTTCTACAGACCCGAACCGTGTTGCATTTTTTGCCAGCACGATCAACCCGCCGCGTGGCAGCGAGGTGAACGGATCCAACTACAACATGGGTGGCCCTCAACTGAACAACCACATCGCCGACGGTTGCCAGACAGCGTCGAATGGCGGTCCTCTGTCGTGCATGCCGCTCAAGTGGAAGACAGTGCCAGAGTACCTGCAAGATGCCGGCATTTCGTGGCGGGTGTACCAGGATGAGGACAACTTCGGCGACGACCCGCTGGTGTTCTTCGAGCAGTACCAAAAGTCTGCGAAGAACAAGGGCGAATTGGCTCGTCGTGGTACGTCGTTCCCAGGCTTGCAAAAGTTTTACGATGATGCCCGCGATGGAAACTTGCCGGATGTGTCGTACATTGTGGCACCGGAGAACCTTTCTGAGCACCCGCCGTACATGCCGATGGACGGTGCGTGGATTCAGGCGAAGGTCGCGGAGGCGGTGATGAACGGAAAGGACTGGGACTCAACGGTCCTCATTTACTCGTACGATGAGTCGGGTGGCTGGGCGGATCACGTCATGGCACCGCACCCCCCACAGAGCGTTGAGAGCGAGTGGATGATTGATCCGTTTGACAAGAGCCAGGGCAACTCGCCAATCGGTCCAGGCTACCGCCTGCCCTTCTACATTGTGTCGCCATGGACACGTGGTGGTCATGTGTTCACGGAGCACTCGGCTCACGAGAGTCAGATCATGTTCCTGGAGGAGTGGGCCAAGGCGCACGGCAAGCCATTCTACGCGCAGGAAATCCCTTCGTGGCGCCGCGAGCACTTGAGCAACCTGGTGAATGCGTTTGACTTTAGCAGTGAGGATACGAGTGTAGCGTACGTGCCGCGTGTGCGTAAGCCCTCCCAGGACTTGATCAGCCACAAGTACAACGGTGGCCTGGTGTGTATGGCTGTGCACGCTGGTCTGGTATTCCCGCCTGTGCCGTATGGTCACCAGGACTCGGACAACTCGATGCAGGTGAACAAGGGCTACAAGCGTACGCGTGGTGACCTTACGGAAGGCCGTTACCTTACGTTTGAGTCGAACGGCCATGCACTCTCGCATGCCAATGCCAAGCTAGGCACGAGTGACACACGCAAGCAGCACGACGGTCACGACCAGCTGTTTGTGATCCACTGGCTGGGTAAGGAGCCCAACGACAACCGCTTCCACATTGAGTCTACGAGCAACCGCTACATTACGAAGTCGCTTGGGCTATCGAAGAGCAAGAGCGATGCCGCTACATTCTCACTGAAGGATCTCGGAAACGGCGCTGGCTACGCTATTAAGGAGCTCGAGTCGAACCAGAACCTGAAGATTGGTGACGATGGCAGCGTCTCATGGGACAAGAGCGCAACTGTGACGGTATTTAGTGTTACGATGTAATAGCAGTGGGCAAGGGCTACATTCCACGCAGGCACGTGTTGGTCCAACACGCTAGCCAGAGGGCGACGCGCTGATTTGGTATGGACAGCGAGTTCCGAAAACTCCTACTAAATTAGTGTCACATTGTGCCAATCACAAAGCCTCGATTACCTGCCTCTGTTTTTTTTGTTGCGCACGTGTAGTAGGCACTGACCATGCTACGCGTCTAGTACGACCTATATCTGCGGCGAGGGCCCAGCGCCATCCCGGGGCCCTCATCACAATGCGTGTTGCTTCGAGTGCCCTGGCCCTTGTGGCCGCAGCGGCTGCAATCTCGCCGGCACTGGCCGTGCATGAGGAACTGAAGAACATCAAGCATATTGTCTTGTTCATGCAGGAGAACCGTGCGTTTGACCACTATTTCGGTACGATGGCCGGTGTGCGTGGATTCCAGGACCCGAACGTGCATGTGTCGAAGAACACAGGCAAGGACGTGTTCCACCAACCCGTGAACAAGGACGGCATGTGGGATGGCGATGCCGACCCTGTCGCAGAGGGCTACTATCCACCTGACAATGTCAAGGAGCTCACGCCGTGGCACTTGCCGTGGCAAGGTGGTGACTACCATGAGCGTGTGCAGTGCATGGTTGCTGGTACCAACGACTGGCGCCAGAACCACCAGGCGTGGAACAACGGCTCGCTTGATCACTGGGCTCTGAACAACACCCCCTACAGTCTCGGCTACTTCCGCCGCGAAGACATCCCGACACAGTATGCTATTGCCGGCAACTTTACTGTGGCTGACAGCTACTATGAGTCGATTATTTCGTCGACAGACCCGAACCGTGTGTCCTTCTTCTCCGGTTCGATCAACGTGAACAACAGCGTCATTGGCGGTGGTGGTTTGAACATGGGCGGTCCTGTCATTGACAACAATGTCAACCCCTGGTGTCTGATCGCTGACAATGGCGACTTCTTCTCGTGCCGCCCTCTCCGCTGGAAGACGGTTCCAGAGTACCTGCAGGACGCTAACATCACCTTCCAGTTCTATCAGGACTTTGACAACTTTGGTGACGACACCCTCGTAGAGTGGGAGCAGTACCAGAAGGCCGCAAAGAACAAGGACGAGCTCGCTAAGCACTCAGTGTCGTACCCAGGCATCGCAAAGTTCGTGAAGGATGCGATGGATGGCAACCTGCCCGAAGTGTCTTACATTGTTGCGCCCATGCAGCTCTCGGAGCATCCGCCGTACACGCCCAAAGATGGTGCATGGATTCAGGCGAAAGTGGCCGACGCCGTCATGAAGGGAAAGAACTGGGCCTCGACCGCTCTCTTCTTCTCGTACGATGAGACGGGTGGCTGGGCTGACCATGTCATGTCTCCTCATCCGCCCAAGGACTCACCTGGTGAGTGGATGGTCGACCCCTATGACAAGTCGCTGGGCGAGGTGCCCACCGGTCCTGGTTTCCGCCTTCCCTTCTACGCAGTCTCCCCGTGGACGCGCAACGGTGGTGTATTCACGGAGCACGCATCGCACGAAAGCCAGATCATGTTCCTGGAAGAGTGGTCCAAGGCTGTGGGTAAGCCATTCGAGTCGAAGGAGATCAACCCCTGGCGCCGTGCGCAGATGAGCAACCTTGTCAACATGTTTGACTTTTCGAACCATGATGATAGCATTCTCGAGCTTGCGAACGTCACGATGGCCTCGCAGGACCCGATCACGCGCCAGTTCAACGGTGCCGACGTGTGCCAGCGCAAGTTCTGGGGCAACGTGCAGCCGGCTGTGCCTTACGGCAAGTTCAGTGATGAAGACAGCTTGCGCGTCGAGAAGGGCTACAAGCCTGTGCGTGGTGACCTTACAGTAGGCCGTTACCTTACCTTTGAGGCCAACGGCAAAGCTCTGAAGCACTCTGACAGCAAGGTCGGATCGACCGAGCCCCAGAAGTTCCATGATGCAGAAGAGCAGCGCTTCATTTTGCACTGGGACGGCTCGGATCCTAAGGACAACCGCTTCAAGATCTCGACACCAGCTTCGGCCGGCAAGAAGTACGTGACAGAGTCGCTTTCGTTGTCGTCGAAGAAACAGGACGGTGCCGAGTTTGCCATCGCTGATCTCGGTAATGGCAAGGGTCACTCGATCACGAACGTCAAGACCCACAAGCAGCTCTCTCTGGAGAAGGATGGATCCGTCTCCATGAAGGACCAAGCTTCTGAGGGCTTCAAGGTGTTTAGTGTTACTTTCTAATGATATAAATAGATTTGATCAGTCTCGGAATTTGAAGCGGTTTTATGTCGAGAAAGTGAGGTAGTTCATCTCTCAAGCCTCCTCCACACGTATACTGCGAACACTCATGCGGGATGCTGCACAGACCACCTGCACCTTGATAAAAATAAACAAAGTTACGTAAATGTCGGCCCGCTTCCGTTGTAACGATATCATAGCATCATGCGAACGATACAAGCCCGCTCCAACATCATATCCTCCAGCTGCAAAATATTAGCTGACGATAAAAAAAGGGTGAAAGTTCTTAGAGACTCTGTCATTGGCAATTACGTCAGTGAAGCAGATGTAATCGCGCACCTGACATTGCTGCACTGTTTTTCTCAACTGCAGAAAGAGGTCAGACAGGGTTATGCATATGAGCATCTTCCAGCATATTCAGCAACTGATAATGGTACACTCAAGAACGATCCTATTACACATGCAGAGCCGGATCACGCTTGGATGATCTTTCTGAATAAGGCCCTTCATCGTTTCGAGCTCTACGTAACAAACGTACTGCGTACATTACCACAACTCGCGCAATACAATCCACACTTTCAGGATCTTAGTTTGGAACGAGCTACTTCAAAGGACGTCATATGTATGCAACTTCCCTCTACACATCTTCCACCTCTTGATGTGGCTCTGATTTGGCACGCCTACTGTTTAAATCCCTCACGACTCTACGAAGACGCGCATAGGGTCCAGAAATACGCACCTCTAGCCCAAGTTGCCTTCCCTCTCGAATCACTCGTAAAGTTCATGGACAGCAATTCTCCGCGAGTGCTCTGTCCTGAAGCAGAGGCCACTTGGCAATCCTGCATAGTCCTGCCCTTCGACCCGATGCAGCCTGGACTGCAAAATGCTCCCATCTCGTGCCCATTCTGTCGGGCCCAGAATGAAGTTGCTTGGGGTCAGGTTACCTCGAAGCATTGGAAAGCGAAGTGCCAACACTGCATGGCGGCGTTCGGCCCAGAAGAGATCGCTGGACGGCTGTGGCTAGATGATGCCTCTGTATGGTGTGCGGGCGGCGACGACATTACAGGATTCAGACTTCGTGGTGCTGTGTTGTCGGCACATGACGACTGCTACTTCCCGAAAGACCCATATGCGCCCATACTTCTCCGCATCTTTGCAAATAACCGCACATCTACTTCGTTAAGCGCAGAAATTAATGCTCAGTTTGATCCTTCTAAAGATCTTTACGGTACGATCACACGAGGACAAGAAACACCACAGAGCCTTGCTCAGAAACTCGGCCTGAACATTGACAATTTGTCTAGCCAAATTTGGCAGCACGTGAAGGAAACAGGCATTTACTTGAAAGAGAATAAGACGGTCATTGGTTTATCAAGGAGAGAAGAAATAGACCACCGCATTAATTTGATGTTCAAATTCTACAAGGATGCTCATTCACTGAGCCAAACAAGTTTGGATTTGTGTGCAGCAGTGAATCGCCAATACAAATTTGTGGATGAAATGGAGAAACTTGGCTGGCTTGAGCGACCTGGCCTCGTTTCTTATCCACAACTTTGGGATAGGTACACAAAATGGCTTGGATTGGCTAGCTTGAAGCCAGGACCGATGGTACCTACATTGGATATTGACCTTGTTTGGCACACACACATGCTCAGTGCATCATATTACTGGGACTTGTACCATGCTATTGGGCTGTTCCTGGACCACAATGACAAAGTAGAGGGCAAAGACCTGACTCGTTTCACTCACTATTCAGAGGGTAGTTGGAAGCAGCTCTATAAAGAGAGCTACATGGAAAGTTCGAACAAGGCCTCAAGTTTTAAGAGCCTGTTTGGTAAAAGCAAGTCCAGTGAGCAGAGTGAACCGAGCATTGGAGCTAAGAAATTGAGCTTGATGAATAAGGTTCAAGTTTGTGACCAAGCATCTTTCGATAAGCTAAGTGACTACGCACAGAGTTTCTACGTTACGGGTGCCTCTGAAACAAGCGCTGGGAATTGCATGTCCGGTGGAGACACACGCGTAGGATATAGCTCATGTCTATCTGTGGATCTGGGCTATAAAACTATGGAGCAGGGTATACTTAGCCAATCTGTTCTTCGTTCTCGGTCCAGGGCGAAGTATCAAGACTCCTCAGTTTCCGCTATTGCAGGCGTATCCATGGGCTTCTGATAGAACCTGACTAATTTAAATAAAGCTCACCCGCCTTTTTCTTTTATCAATTATGCCCGTGTCCGGAAAGTGGAGCAGAGTCCCACGGGCCTCCCTAAACACCACGAACCTGACCACAATGGCGTTTCTAGAAGAATATTTTGACCGTATTGGATTTAAAACGGAGGAACGGCCTCCCCCTTCGCTAGACACATTGAAAGAACTTCATCACCTTCATCCTAAGTCTATCCCTTTCGAGAATATTGATGTTGTGGTGGGAAAACCTGTTTCAGTTGATCCTGAAGCTGTGAAAAAGAAACTTGTCTCAGAGAAGCGAGGTGGGTATTGTCTTGAGCAAAATGTATTATTCAATGAAGTGCTTCGTGAAATTGGATTCCAGACAAAAATTTATTTGGCCAGAGTAGTATGGGTGAATAAAGGACCAGACTACTTGCCACCTACACATGTGTTTTTGGGCGTCATTATTGATGGGGAAGAGTTTGTAGCAGATGTGGGCTTTGGTGGTCAAACACTTTCCGGCCCCCTTCTGCTAAAGACAGGTTTGGAGCAAAAGGTACCTAAAGGCTTGTTCCGCCTTACAAAATACGAAAACGCTGAACTTCCATATGATAAAATCATGCTTGAAGTAAAGTTGAAAGACGAATGGAAGTCTATCTACTGTTCTAATTTGTCACCTCAGCGTTTATCCGACTTGCAAGTACAAAACTGGTGGACTTCTGCAAATCCTAACTCACCCTTCTTGAAAAGGCTCATTTTAGCCAAGCATACAGAAACTGAATCTGTCAACTTATTGAATTTGGGCTTGACTATTTATCATCATGATACTGGTGAGAAGGAAACACATGCATTAACGTTGGAAAACATTCTCGAAGTTTTGGAGGAAAGGTTCACTATATCGGTTCCAGAATTGGAGACAGAATTGAAAGCATTCCTGTCCAGGATCAGCACATAGTTAATAGGTGCACCTTTTATTTCGCTTATTCATCAGTGAAACAACCGTTTGGATAGGGTTAATTTGTCTGATGTCGAAATGTGTCAAAATTGGTCCGACCTGTCAGAGTGGAGTGGGCTTCGAATGCCATCCTAACTTCGGGGGTAGCCGGCACTCTGGCTTAGTCACAGTGTCGGGAATATTATAGACGCCATCTTGGCGGGTCTTCTTTTTACAGACACTACTATACCGTCCCCCATGTCCATACTCTCATCTTATTTTACACGAATCGGCTTTTCGTGCAAAGGTATCCCTAAACCAACCCTCGACACACTCAGGGAACTTAACCGCCTCCATACGCAGACCATCCCATTTGAAAATCTAGATCCTTTTATGGGTCGCAGGGTGCCAATTGACCTTGAGTCTATTCGTAAGAAACTGGTGGACGGGAGCCGCGGCGGCTACTGCTATGAACAGAACAAGCTTTTCCGCCACGTTCTTGAGCAAATTGGATTTAATGTGTCGACTTACGCTGGGCGTGTTGTATGGGGCTTTGACGAGCCGCGATTTAATGCAACAACGCATATGCTTCTGGGGACAAAAATTGAAGGGAAGGAATATATTGTCGATGTAGGCTTTGGTGGTCAAACCTTATCAGGTCCAATCGCCCTGGAGACTGGGATCGAGCAGCAGCTTCCCCTAGGCACATACAGGATAACAGACATCAAGCATCGCGATGACCTGGGTGACTCGGACTTTATGCTCGATGTTAAATTAGGGTCAAATACGTGGAAATCAATATATACTTTTAACCAAAATGAGCTTTTTGATGTTGACCTTGAAGCTCCGAATTGGTATGTGTCCACCTACCCGAAATCTGTTTTCGTCAAGGGCCTGATGGTGGCCGCTCATGGTCCCGACTATTCACTTAGTCTGTTAAATCGCAGGTTGACGAAGCATCTAGTTTCGGGAGACAAAGACGTCACGGAACTGAAAGCATCGGAAATCCCTCAAGTTCTCAAAGACAAATTCGGCATTGAGATTCCCGGAAATCAGGAGGAGCTTGTTACTGCCATTGAACGTCTTCCTGACTCATTCGTCTAGCTTTTTGTTCTTATTTTTCTTTTTTTTTGCTAAGAGGCACCATAGCTTCGTACGCTGCATTTTGTTGCCACACACACAAAAATTGCAGACTATTCCCATTCTACTATAGATTTGTACTTCATGCATATTTTGCGTATGGAATGCCGATCACTTCGAATGGGGGATCTCCCAAGCGACTTTTCAAGGCGACTTTTTGCCGTAGTAAGACAAAAATGGAGCCAATCATTCTTTTCTTAGCAGCCCATGCACCCGCACCAGAGGGGTGTCTGCATTGGATCTCGCTAGTCATCATGCCAGGGGTAACCCCAATTAGGATCATCGGTAAGGTTTTATTGTCCCCACATTCATCTTAGTAAGCACACTGCAGCATTTCAAGAGGAAGAAGCAAGGGAGCTCTAAAGGTAGAACGTGAATCTAGTTTGGGCCAACCAGATCTATGGAGTCAAGCTCCCGTATCCTGGAATGTTAAGCAGCTTCCCAAATGGTGCTGGAAGCTCCCTGTTTTTGCTCACTATATATGGGAGAATGATCCCTATAGCCATTATCTAGGATCGTGCTATAACATGAAAACTTTGCTCTATACGACGCTCTCTCTTTTATTCTTCTGCTCAATCCAAGCGCTTGCCCTGGAAGTGCGTGCTTCTCTACCCTACCCTGCTGATGATCCATTTTACAGCCCCCCGGATGGCTGGAAGGACAAACCTCTGGGCACTATTCTCCGCAAGCGCAAAGTGGAAATTAACTCCTTTTTTGGCCTGAATCTTCAAGAAGCTTGGCAACTGCTTTATCGTACTAGCTATGTCACAAAGGATCAGCCTACGACTTCCGTTACCACGATCATGGTCCCATACAACGCCAAACGGAATAGACTTTTGGTGAGTGGTGAGTTCGAGGATGCGAACGGCCCACAATGTGCACCGAGCTATACCTATCGCGCAGGTGTTCAAAGTGATCCATCTGCTACAGTTAATATGGCGGCCACAATTCCTTACCTAAAAGAAGGATATATTGTCACTGTTCCTGACAAAGAAAGTCGTAAGGGCGCTTTTGCCTCTGGTCATGTGGAAGGCCATCAAACGCTGGACGCTACTCGAGCCACTTTAGCATTTGATCACTTGAATCTCACCAAGGATATTCGTATTGCAGGTCAAGGTTATTCTGGTGGTGCCATTCAAACTGGCTGGGCTGCCTCTCTCAAGCCGACATATGCCCCAGAGCTTCCCTTTGTGGGATGGTATGCTGGTGGTCCCCCCACAAACCTCACCAGTTTGATTCTGTCTATCAACAAAGGCATATTCTCCGCTTTCCTCCTTGGTGGTGTAGCTGGCCTATCTGATACATATCCTGAAATGAACGACTACATTGAAGAAGTCGCAACTCAGGAAATGAAGGATGCATTGGACTATATCCGCACACATTGCCTGGTTGACGACTTGCTGAAATACCCCTTCCAGGATATTTTCGACTACAAATGGACCACGAAAGGTCCACATGTTTTAGACGATCCTCGAATTCAGAAAGTACTCGCAGACTTGACAATGGGTGTGAAAGAAGAGCAAACACCTGATGCCCCTGTCTTGATCGTGTCGGGCAAAGTCGACGAAATCTCGCCTAATGAATCTGCCGAAAAGACTGCTCGTTCCTGGTGTAACTATGGTGGTTCTGTCGAGTTTGTCGACTATGATACTGATCTATCTGCGCACTTTATCACACAAGTCACAGCTACTACAAGGGCGTTTAAATGGGTCCGTGATCGTCTCGAGGGCAAACCGCTTCCAAAGCGCTGTATTTTCACAAAGAGCTATGATGTTATACTGGATGTGGAAGAATTGGGCGATCAGTATGTCGATATCCTGAAGATGATTGATGGCTTTGCTGGTGACAAGATTGGTCCTGGTGACAAGATCCTCATTTCGAAGCTTAAGAAGGGTCAACAGCGTGATCATAAGCGTCGTTATTATAAGGCATTGTAATGTTGAGTAAGAAAAATATAGTGCTAGTGATATCCCTAATTTTGATATTCTTACACGAAATCCTATAAATCTGATGCTCGGAAAATTTCCTCAATATTACAGGCCCTTAGCAGCCTTGCTCAGCGTGTTATTTTTGCGAAGTGCTTTATTCCAATAACTTACATAAAGGGTCCGTGTTAGCTCTACCGATACATCCGAAGCTATTCGAGTCATTAGGCGCGGCTACAATGAAGCGTTGCTGTCTATTGTACGTGCTTTCGTCTTTTCCTCAAAACAAAGTACATGCAATGTTGTGCAAAGTCAAAATATCTAAATGCTTATTCAACTCCTGGTATTAAGGATCTGCCAAAAACAGCAAATTACGAGTACAGATCATAACTTTATATTTTCAGACTATGCTCTGATACCTGATTGGTCCGTCAGTCTCCACAACCCCACTCAGGATAACGCGCCCAAGTGTCTACTTTCGAAGATCTGCACAAACTAGCGGTACGGGGTTGCCCGTCAATTGCTGCATGTTAGGAATGATCGACAGTCAAACGTCCATTTCTGCCTGCTCTGCCCTATTTTCAAAAAGTATTTGAAGAGCCGAATTCCCAGAAGACTCAGTCAGGTCGCTTGTCTTGTTGCTATGCGGGTTTGGATTTAGTCACTCTTTCTTATCAGCCTTTGCGCCATTCAATCTCTGGCGCCTCATAATTCGCCCGATGATCCTCCTTTCTCAGCTGATGATCCATTTTACTAACCTCCCAATGGATAGGAGGACAAACCCAAAGGATATATCTTCCGCTCCCGTAAGGTCCAGCTTACTGGTTTCGATACCACGCACCTCAAAAAGCCTGGCAATTGCGCTATCGCACTACCTATGTCACCGATAATCAACCTACCACCTCTGTGACTACCATCATGGTCCCTTATAATGCAAGCAAAGACCGTGTGCTGGTGTACGGTGACTTTCAAGACTCCAGTTCTGATCAATGTGCACCAAGCTATTCATTCCGTCTTGGCTTTGATGATGATTTTGCTGGCGTTATTACCAAGCTTTGACTTACCCTTAGCTGCAAGATGGTATGATTGTCACAGTGCCGGATAAGGAGGGTCGAAAAAATGCTTTTGCTTCTGGTCATGTTGAAGGTCGTCAAATTCTTGATGGAATTCGTGCTACGTTAGCATTTGACAAGCTCAATCTATTCATTGTAGTTGAAAATAATGAATTTTTTTTTTGGCTCTCTCACTATTTCTTTCTATGGCTGACGGTCTTGTCCCATGCGAGGTACGCGCCTTGCTGCGACAGTATTAAAAGACTAAGTCTACATAAAGCCAATCAATTCACTTTGTAACATGACCGGAGAAGAGCAGTTATTTTACGAGATAGCTTAAAACCAAATGAACATGTTTACATCAAACTCCTTATGAAGTACCATAAATATGCTAGAAAGAATGGGCGATGATTTAAACAAACTATTGGAAGTATTGTACATGATTTTTTTTTTTTTGGTTCAATGGACTAAATAAAAAAAATGCGTGCGACCATTTTCGTTTGTTGTCGTTGCAGTCGACTGAAGAACCAGTCAGGTATTAATTAAACAAGCAAACTATAATCAGACCAGAAATTCAAATCAGGCATAACCATCATTTTACTCGGGTTGCTCTGGGCATTAGGCAAGAAAGTATTCATAGGAAAAGTGGTGTTTTGCGGACTTGATATGACTGGCTGCTGTTGAAGTGGAACTTTCAAACTTTCAACCATATTGAAAGACGGAGATGGACTAGTGAGCTGCTCTGACCCAAAAGTCGCACTTGTAGGATCCGTATACAGATCACCAGCCATAGGCGATATCTGCATTACCGGCTGGATCAGACCAGTGTTAGCAAGCAAATTCTGCTGCAGCACAAAGTTGGTATTTAGGGCAGGGGTAGTGGGCGAAGTTTCTGCACTTGAAAGTATCGATGTAGCAGAATCCAAGAACGGAGAGTAAAGCGAGTCTTGAGGAGATGGCATAGCACAAGCTGGCGTGTCTGCTGCCAAATTAAGTGCAGCAGGCGGATCCTTCCTATCTGCCGAAGCAAAGCCTTGAACCTTGCTCCACGCATCCAAGAAATTCATAGTCTGCAAACTCTGATCCAACATGGGGTTCATATTGTCTTCACTGAACAAAGGTGTCGTCATGGGTTGCTGCTGCACACATCCCATATCGACACTAGGAGATTCTTGCTGGGATACAGGGTTAAAGTTAAACATTGCCGGTGGACGTGAGTTTGGCGAAGAAGAGAATGCCATACTATTGGGCGACATAACTCGCGAAGTAGGAGTGGTTGGTTTCTGTTGGGTCACAACATTCTTTTTCACACGGGAATGAGCATGGAGGCCAAGCAGCTTGCAGCACCGATTCCGGCATTGAAGAGCACGTCGATTATCGAAATGAGTCGAAATAATCTGCCAGCATGAACCATGCTTCTTGAAAAGTTCAACAAGAAGCTTGTCTTCAGCCTCTGTCCATGATGACTTATTGATCATTGGATCAAGTACTTCTCGCCAACGCTTGCTACATTGGTCACCAGAGCGGTTCCCCACATGCTCGGCGATTCTCGCCCAATCATTTCCAAGCTTGGCAACGCCGCTTCGAAGGCGCTCATCTTCTTCAACTGCCCAAGATCCTTTTTTGAGCCTGTCATTCAATCCATTCACCCAGCGCTTACGGCAGGCCTTAGCTGTACGTCCAGGTATACACGCCGCCACTTCCGTCCAACGAGTATCTTTTGAAAATTGGTACTTTTCCATAATACGCGTAAGAATAACGTCTTCTTCTGGTGTCCATTTCCGTCGATCTGTTGTTGTATTCTCTCCCTGAGATGCGCAAAGCATCGTATCTCCGCCCATTGCCAGAATGCGAAGATGGAAGAAATCAGATCAGCACGGGAAGCTTGGCGATGCGTTCTTGTACCCTTACCCGTCTTTGCCGGAATCAAAATGGCCCTCAATACCTCGCTTGTATCTTGATTTGCAGATTGGTTTTTATTCGTCAGGACTTAAGCTACCGTTGATTGTTTATCGTCACTCGCCAATCACATTCGTGGCTTATATAACCGTTTATCGTTCCCTCACATGTGCATTCTCAATTACTAACTGAGGTGACACGTGAGACCAAATGCAAGAGGGGGTTGGCTTTACTATCAAAATGCGACGCGAGATCATTAAAAATGTCCCTGAAATAGAAATATTCCATACAGCTTCTGAGATTGCTTTTAGCACTTGCAGTGATTATTAAGGGCAATTTCGTTGTTAGAATTGTCTCGCAAATATGAAATTCAACTACTCAAATCCATACTTTGCCTTTGAACGAAGGAAAGCACCGTATTTATTCAGGATGAAAGGAATAGGTAAGAGAAGCAGAGCAATAAATGCTAGCAAACAAGAGGCCCAGCGAGGGTTTAATTTGTCATACATTTGTGTCGCAAACTGGGTCGTTAGTTTTTGAGTAAGGTGCATACCAATGGGAAGCCAAAGCCGAAAGCTGACCGGACCATGGTGTTGGCCGACAGTGCACTCGCAGTCTGAGCACGATATGTGTCTGCCATGTAGGTAAACAAGCTAAAGAAGACGAAGAACATTGAAATACCAAAGAGAGATCCCGCCACAATAGGAGACCAGATAGAAACACCTTCATAGGAGGTCCATGCAAACCAAAAGAGACAAATGACCAAGATTGGCGCACCATATATGGCAGGTCGGAGGCGCTCTTCAGGTGCAAGATTCCCTGTGGGACTGGCTCTCATTTTCGTAACATAGCGTTTATTCTCAACGAGAGCATAAAAGGCACCAGCACTAATACAGCCAGCAAGGAAACCCTGGAATGTCAACCCACATTGGAGAGCGTTAAGACCATGGAGATTCATGAAAACGATCGGGTATGCTTCGAAAAAAAGGTAAAGGAGACCGTAGATAAAAGAAATATACATCGTGATAGCTTGAAGCATCGGTTCATAGATTAGCATCAAGATAGGAAGTAAGAGCCAACGCGTTACCAATTCTTTGAAGTCAATTTTACGAAGTTCGACAGGCGCTTTATAACGATCATCACCCGTTTCTTTACGAAGACGCTTGGCTTTTTTCTTAAGCGTCATATTTGGATTAGTCTCCCACAAAGTAAAGAAGCTTAATATTGTCATGAAGCCTGAGAAAATAGTAAGCGTCCAGAATCCCCATTGCCATGCAGCATGTTCTACAACAATCCAACCACCGATGAGAGGGCCAACAGCAGGACCAGCCATAGGTGACATGGCAAAAAGCGTCATGCCTAGCCCAATAAGTTCTTTTGTCCAGATATTTGCCATTGTACCACCACCAACCACAAAAGTACATGATCCAAATGTACCGGCGAGGAAACGAAACAGAATCAGGCCAGTAATGTTGGGAGAGAGAGCACATGCCATATTAAAGATGGTTGCACCCAGGGTAGAAATTATAAGTGGCCAGCGAATGCCATATACTTCAGAGATAGGGGCCCAAACTAATGGACCAACACAGTATCCCGCAACGAAAATAAAGAGAGCAACCTTCATCGTTTCTGACGACACGCCAAATTCCTTAACAAGTACGGGAATAAGCATAGATGGTAGTGAAGAGGCAATGGTAGAGCAAACTGTCAGTAAGCCAATAAGGACAGAACAATAGGCTCGTGCAGCCAAGGACCAGTTCGTACCCAGCTCCTTATCATCACCATCCCACTCAACGACGATAACGTCAGATACCATATTCTCATCATCTTCAGTTTGGTCTTCATCTCCAATATTGTAAGGCAAGCGAGCTCCCGTTTCAATGTCCGTTGTCCCATGTCCAATCATCACGTCAGGCATATCGGTGTTAGGGTCGTCATTGTAACTGAAATAAGTAAGACGGCGAACGCCAGTATCACCATCTTCACTTGCAACAACAGAAGCACGTCTTCCACGACTGTTTCGACTTGAGACTTGCCTCAGGGTATTACGGCTTGTTGTACGGGTAAGATTGGAACGCGAATTTCCAGAGCTGACGCGTCTCATTGGGTTGATCACTGGCGCGGCTTTGGAATCATGCTCCTTCGCAAAATTAATCCCGGGAGACGTCACCTTCTGCTTAAATTGGGGATCGTAGATGGGTATCACTACACCGCTGGGCAGAGTGTTTTTCGCATTCTAGCATTGTAAGTTTCTTTAGCGTGACCACATACCACCTCGGTAGGGCTCAACGGTCTCTCTCCCGTGCCAATGACGTCCGAGGATGAATGTTGCTGTGCAACATTCTTGACCTCAACGATTTCCTGGAATGTCAACTCATGTCTCGATGGTACTTACGATAGCCATAGGGAAGAGTGAGGTTAAGGGTAGCCAAGTGTTGAAAATTGGATTATGTCCAATTGCAACTAGTCCACCGCTATTTTCGAAGCACACGAAGCTGTCCAATGCGTTTTGGTATGTGCATTCAATGGATGTCTGGCCAATGGCGTATGAGATCGGACGTGCCCGAAACATTTTTTTTTTTTTCCATGATGATAATTTATTTAGCCAATGCATTCTAACTACTACAACTTGGTTCCAGGCAGATGGAATTCTTGTGCATATGTGAAGTACCATTGCATTAAACGCAGCATAGCAGGAGGTGGTTTCATAGCGACCAATATATTAGACACCTTGCTAAGACCTTCAATCTTAATGATTTTGAAGAGCTGCTTGGCAACAGCACTAGGATAAACACTGTCGCTGTACCAGCGATGGTTGTACGCCGTAAGATGCATCGCCATAGAAAGAGCCTGCTCTAGACTTCCTTTTTCAGTAAAGTACTCCAATAGACGTTGATATGCTTTGGGTCGGAAGTTCTGCAAAATGCACTGTAGGAATGCGTCATGCGCTTCCTCAGGGTGGTGAAGCCGTAGAGCTAGTTCACCTAGCAATTCCCAGTCTGTCGCAGAGCGCTTGATCGGCATGGCCTGGATATCATAATGTGCTTGCTCAGCACGCCAAATAGTATATACACGGAGGTCTTCATACAACACCATAAAGAGGTTATCAAGCCAGCGTTCGCACAGGCGTTTATCCGTAAAGGAAAGCCAATGCGCTTCTTCGGGTGTTTTCCTCATTGGTTTGCTTTGCTCTTCGTCATCCTTGGACGATGCACCATCATGGGGAAGTTGGTCTTGTTTACGGTACTCCTCTTCCATAACGAAGACTTCAGATCGGTATTTAAGAAGATCATCCCAGCCCACTTTATTCACAATCTTGGTAAGAATTGCATAGGCGCTTGCAAAAGTGCCACGAAGCGACGGAGCTGGCAACCGCAAAAGCGTGGAATCCACTTCACCTTGGTCCAAACTTTCATCCTCAAGCATTCGGCTCTGTGTGGCTAGCCGCGGGACTGGAAAATGTGTGCGAGCCGCTTGGGGAATACGGTGGAGATCGCGTTCACTATACGTAAACATCGGGCACGAGTTGAGTGTTAGAAGTGCTTCCGCCCAGTCTCCTGCTTCAATGTAACATTCTGCTAATTTTGCCCATGTAACAAACTCGCTTGGAGCACAGTTTATAGCCTGTTTTGCTAGCTTAATGGCCCACGCGTTCTGTCCTTTGGAGCGCATCAAGTCTGTTTGGACATGAAGGACGACATAGCTATGCGGATTTTGCTGGAGTGCCTGGTGCATGACCTGAACGGCTTTCACTTCTTCATTCATCCCAAGATACGCTCGCGCAACAAGGGCGGACACTTCAGGCTCCCTAGCCCACAACTTTTCAAAAAGGTTAGCTGCATGCTCATATCGTGAAGCCTCCCCGAAATATTTCAATATACCTGCGGAGAGGTGGTTGTGGACCAAGGTAGCGACCTGGATCTCTGGCTCGCTTCCAAGCTGCCATCCTTTGAAGAACAAGTTTTCGGCCGCTTGTAAGAATCGCACTTCGCTATCGCGATTAGGGATCGGATCTAATTTTCGATAGCCAAGGAGCGAGAAGTTTACATCATCCGAGTAAAGAATGGCACGCAAAATTGCGGATAGATACGTTTCTTGCCATAATTCAGGTGTAGGTTCCGATCGTTCTCCGCGTGCATTCACAACGTACGTCTGTACACTACCAGGAATGCACACTTCCACGCGTAAATCCACCCGTGAGAAGGCGTTATAGCAACAGTAAACACCGCCTCGAATTTTATAGTGAGACTTGGAACCAATCCATGCAGAGTTTGCATCTAATTCGTTTGACAAACTTGTAATGTATGTTGCCAGTGTAGCCGATGACGAAGCGTCGATGCCAGATACCAAGTGATAGGAACCATATTCCTTACGTCCGTTGGTTTTCAAGACATGGCATAGATCTGGCGGACCAAGCTCACGAAATGAGGGTAGAGATTCAGATCGAGATTGTATACATTCCCCAATCTCATTCTCGAAGAATTCTGGCAGCGACACGAAAGTGTCACCCATACTAGCTAACGAGTTTGTAAATGGGCTTGGGATCTGAGCTAGGCGCATCTGACTTGACACACGTGGCATCCATGTGCGCTACTTTCAAACCACCGGTCCGGTTCAAAGTGGGCCCGATACTTTAAATTCGCAATGTGTTTTTGACATTCCCCACTCGCACTTCCAACATGGCGGACGATCTCAGCGCTGAGAACATTGAACTGCAAGATGCTGGCACCAGCGTTGCCTCCTCTGTGAAGTCTTTCCTTTCGGGTGGCTTTGGTGGTGTGTGTGCTGTCCTTGTCGGCCACCCCTTCGATCTTATCAAGACTCGTCTCCAGACTGCCACGCCGGGCACCTACACAGGTTCCATGGACGTCATTCGCAAGACCATTGCGGCTGATGGTATCAAGGGTCTCTACCGCGGTATGGGTCCCCCTCTGGTCGGTGTGACCCCTATCTTTGCTCTGTCCTTCTTTTCGTACGATCTTGGTAAGAAGCTTGTGTATGCCATGACACCGAACCGTACGGATCAGCACCTTACCCTTTCTGAGCTTGGTTTCGCTGGCTTTTTCAGTGCCATTCCCACGGTCATGGTAGCTGGTCCTGCCGAGCGTATCAAAGTGTTGCTTCAGCTGCAGGGCCAGTCCAGCACCGGCCCTAAGTACAACGGTCCTGGTGACGTCGTGCGTCAGCTGTACAAGGAAGGCGGTCTCCGCTCCATCTTCAAGGGTACTGGTGGTACTCTTGCCCGTGATGGTCCTGGTAGTGCTGCTTACTTTGCTGCGTATGAGCTGGCTAAGCGTTACCTGACGCCGCCGGACTCTGACCCGAAGAACATCAACATTCTTACCACCATCACGGCTGGTGGTCTGGCTGGTATGGCTAACTGGGCTCTTGCTATCCCTCCGGATGTCATCAAGTCGCGCTACCAGGGTGCACCGGAAGGTACATACAAGAGCTTTATGGACTGTGCCCGCAAGACTGTGGCTGCTGATGGCGTTGGTGCGCTCTTCAAGGGCTTCGGCCCTGCCATGGCTCGTGCCTTCCCTGCTAACGCTGCTGTGTTCGTTGGTGTAGAGATGTCGCAGTCTTTCATGGACATGCTCTTTTAGATTCGATAGACCTACCATGAGATGCATGTATACATGATAATTGGCACTGCCCTTCCAACCTATGTGGAGGAATCGACTCGAGCGCCGCGGCCGCCCCAGTCTCTCACTTCCACGTCACCTGTTGCGTGTGACGTGCGGTTGTGGGTCGAAATGGACGCAGAAGAAGCGCGCAAGGCGCTAGATCTTGCGCGTAAGCATGATATGAATGGGAATACAGAGGCTGCACTAAAATGGGCGCGCAAGAGTGTGGCTATTTACTCTACTCCTGAGGCCATGGCCCTTTTCACTCGTTTGAAGGAGAAGGGTGCCCAAGGCGGCGGGGATGCCACTGGACCATCCTCCGCTGCTAAGCCAAGTATGGAAGAGTCGGAAAGTATTTACGCTTCGACCTCTACAAAAACCACTTCGGTGGATTCTGACGGTCATAAAAAGGAATATACAGAGAAGCAGGTTGACATCGTTCGACGCGTGAAGCGTGCCGGCGGCGATTTTTATGCCGTGCTGGATATCCAGAAAACTGCTACAGACTCTGAAGTGAAGAAATCTTACAGGAAGGTATGCTGTTTTTCTTTGTCTGACGTGTAGCTTGCGCTTCAGCTTCATCCTGATAAAAATAGGGCGCCTGGCGCAGATGAGGCGTTCAAACGTGCGTATAACCCTTCCTCACTCTTCAGTTGTTTCCAAAGCGTTCACAGTGCTCTCCGACAAGGATAAGCGTGCCTTGTATGATCGGTATGGTGGCGATCCAGACAGCCGCTTTGGTACCGCGCAGGCGTCCGGTGCTGCAAATCCGTTTAGCCAATTCCAAGGCGGCGCACGTATGCGGCCAGGTATGGGGACCGAAATCGACCCTGAGGATTTGTTCAACATGTTTTTCGGAGGTGGTATGGGCGGAGCCCAGTTTGGTGGTGGTCCCATGTTCTCTTTCGGAGGGCCTGGCTTTCGCACGCATTACTATCGGCCAGGGGCTAGCGCAAACGGCGCTCGCGCACGTCAAGCCGGCCAGCAACAGAATTCGAATCAAACGGCCATGTGGTTCCAGCTTCTGCCGATTGCAATTCTCCTTTTTTTCACGATCCTTTCCTATCTGCCCAACCTGTTTTCCGTGTCAGACCCTGATTTCCGCTGGCGCGCTACGTCCCTCCATCGTGCACAGCGCACTACGCATGACCGTGGTGTTTTGTACTATGTTGATCCGGTATCCTTTGCCAAGCATCCCTATGTAACCTCGTCCACGACATCATCGCGCAATGGTGGTAACGTGCAACGTTTTTCAAAAGAGAAGAGCAGTCCTGAATTGCGGGCATTTGAGCGTCGTGTAGAAGAGTCATGGATGAAGGAACTCTATCGACAGTGTGAGCATGCACAAGAATACAAGCGTAGGCGCATTGTTGATGCTCAAGGCTTCTTTGGTTTCGGTGTATGTACTACGCACAGACTAACAAACAGGGCGACCGTGAGAAAATAGCCAAGATCCAAGCGGAAGTGTACGAAAGCTGCGAGCAGCTCGAGCGGCTCTACGGCATCCGCCTCACATAGTTTGCATTCGTAGTGGAGGTGTGGTACACGTGACACTTTTTTCTTTTGTGCGGCATGGTGAGCGTCCTGTGCGTACGACCATGGCGGGGGCTTCATCGCTAGTGATTCCAGGTACGTAATGGCTGCCTATCTAATTCCACATAGACAAAATCGGATCTTTGCTGTTTTGCAGTGCATGTGGATCGCTACTGGATTTGCCAGACAACGATGATGTCATTACATGCACCCCTTGTGGAAGCACGCAGGATGCACGAAGTATGTTCTCACAATGCCCTCACACCTAGTTTATGACAATCTCTCTATTGTGACGCGCTCGCATCCCTCGGCCTTCCCATCGATCCTGCGCCAGAAGCGACAGCTTGTCAGCAACACAGGAGGTGATGCGGACATGGAGACGATGGAGCAGGCGACGATCAAGGAAAAGTGCCCAGGCTGTGGCAATGAGGAGATGAATTTCCATACCCTTCAGCTTCGCAGTGCGGACGAAGGTACTACCGTATTCTACGACTGTCCAAAATGTGGCTACAAATTCAGTCAAAACAACTAGCCGCCTCGCTACTCTTGACTCGGTAGTTGCCCTGTACGATAGCACGAAATTTGCGATGTCCTCCACATGCACACCTCAAAAGGGTGGGAAGTGGCGTCCGGGCTCGTTTTATTGATGCTCTCACGTCTACGCATCTCTACCCCGCCTCTTCGTTCGCCACTTCGAACATTTCAACGAAATATGCGGATTGTACCTGTACCTGTTCGTGATGACAACTATGCATACATTCTGATGTCGACGCCACAGAAAGCGCGCCCACAGGCCGTGTTTGTCGATGTGTACGATGTGCCTCGTGTGCAGAAGGTGGCTGCGCAACTTGGTCTCAAAGACGATAACATTCTTGGTGCTATTACGACGCATGGTCACCATGATCATGCCGGTGGCAACAAGGCGTTTGCATCGGCCTATCCAGGTCGCAAGATCTGGGGCGGTGCGTCGTCCGTGTCGAGTGTCACTGATCTTGTGCAGCATGGCGACTCATTTGAGCTGTTTGACGAGGCACCTGTCCATGTCAAGTGTCTTGCTACGCCATGCCACACACGCGACAGCATTTGCTTCTATGTAGAAGACACACGGAGTGAGTCTGCGTTGGCGCAGACGCCGAATGGTGTCAAAGAAGGGCCCGAGGGTGAGAAGAAGCGTGGTGTATTTACAGGGTATGTATGATACGACTTACACCGCAGTGATACGCTCTTTATTTCTGGGTGTGGCCGCTTCTTCGAAGGGTCTGCTGAGGATATGGACCGTGCGCTGAACGAGGTGCTGTCTACGCTACCGGAAGACACCCTCATCTACTGTGGCCATGGTACGTTTAGGAGAGCACTGACATTAGAATACACGAAATCGAATGCAGCGTTTAGTGCGGCTGTGCTGCCTTCCCGACCGGCTGTGCAGTCGTTGGTGGCGGATCTGCGTCGCGGACGCAACGGCGGTGTGACCACGGGGATTTACACATTGGGGGAGGAACGGCAACACAACCCATTCATGTTAGTCAGCGACCCCGAGGTGCTGCAGGTCACAGGGTCTCATGACAAGCTAGGCGCTATGCAGTATTTGCGCGAGGCTAAAAACCAAGGGCGTCTGCAAGCTGCCATCTAGGTGCTGATTATCTGACAATTGGCTGCCCAGCCGCTCCACGCATGATGACTAAGGCGTGATAAGAAGCACGGCCCGCACGGCCCGCACGGCCCTTAAGTCCCGCGAATTCCTACCCTGGGCCCTAGGCCTTTTTAGTAGTTTCTAAAAGAAGAAGCACTTCTATTCCTTCCCACGATAATGACTAGTTTCCTTCGTGCTGTTCCCAAGTCGCTGCTGCGTTCTGCCGCGGCCCCGTCGCTGCGTACTGCCCCGGTGCTGTCGGCCTCGCGTGCCTTTTCCATGACGGTGCCCTCGCACCTGTCGTACTGGAAGGCCAAGGAGATCCCCGACACGGACATTGATATGCCGATCAACCCCGGTGTCAACCCTGACCCGAAGAACATTGGTGTGAATGCTGTGCTCAAGCGTCGCCCTGAGACGATGGACAAGCATGTCACCACCATTTTTGCCGAGTTCTCCCTTCTGGAGAAAACTGCTGTGGTCACTGGTGGCAACCGTGGTCTTGGTCTCGAGATGGCTCTGGCGTTCGTTGAAGCGGGTGCCGAGGTATACGTCATTGATATGGCCGATGAGCCGAGTGAGGACTTCAAGAAGGTCGCCCAGCACTGCCGCAAGCTGGGCCGCCGCCTGACGTTCATTACGGCCGACGTGACGAACGAAAAGCAGATGAACGAGGCCATGGACTTCATCTTGGAAGATACGCCGACAAAGACGCTGGATGTGTGCATGGCCAACGCTGGTATCATGCAGACCTTCCCGGCTATCGACTACCCTGTGGACAAGTTCCGCAAGATGCTTGATGTGAACACCACGGGTGTATTCATCACGGCCAAGTCGGCTGCGCGGATCATGCGTAAGCGCCCTGATCTGAACACGTCGATCATCCTTACTGCCTCGATGTCGGGTACCGTTGTGAACCGTGACCAGCAGTGGGTTGCCTACAACACGTCGAAGGCTGCCGTGCTGCAGATGGGCCGCAACCTGGCTGCCGAGTGGGGTCCGCACAACATCCGTGTGAACACACTCTCGCCTGGTTACATCCGCACGAACCTGGTCTCGGACCAGCTCGACACTGACCCGGAGATGCTCGCTCGCTGGAGCGATGCCAACCCGCTGGGCCGCATCGGTCGCCCGCATGAGCTGCGTGGTGTGGTCGTGTGGCTTGCCAGCGCTGCGTCGTCGTTCTGCAACGGTGCTGACATTATCGTCAGCGGTGGTCACACCATTTGGTAAATACAAGCTCTTTCCTACTACCCTTCTAGTATAGTCCTTTTGCCCTTTCTCCATTTCCCAACCTATAGCTTATGTATGGTCCATGGAATATGGCTATTTCACTATGTTGTGAGTGCGCGAAGGAGGCCCGTGTACGACGACGCGAGGCTGGCCAAGGGCCCCTCGCGCATCACGTCCAGCACGGAGGCCAAGAGCGTGCGTTTGTCCCATCCCAGGACCGTCGGCTGCCAACTGGGCGTGCGTGGCTCGTAGTACACGGGCCCCAGCAGCGATTGCAGCAGGTCTTCGGCTTGGTTGCGGATCCCTTCCTGGGCCAGTCGCTGGGCGAGAGCTAGTAGTGCTTCGCGGTACTCGTCGGCACTTTCCAGCACGCACGCTGCCCGCATTCGCATTTCCCAATGCCGCAGCGTCGCAGCGACGATGCGCTGCGCAGGTAGGCCATGCTCGATATCTGCCGTTGTCAGTATGTCGTGCAGCTCCGCCTCGTAGTATCGTACGGGAGCCTCGTGACGTGCACTGCGTCCACGGCGTCGATCCCATGCCTCGCTATACCGTGCGATGGCGCCTTGGCCGACGCATACCAACGCGCCATGTTGCACATCGTACGCCCATACTTCTTCACGCTGCTTCAACACGACCACCGGCACGCCATTGGTGTGCACAGACAGCGACGCTACTTCGTCGCGTGGCACACGCACAGCATGCCCAAGCTCGGTGCCGGTCGTGGTATCCCACCGGCGCAGCTCGCCACGGAACGTCAAGGCCACGACGATGGCCTCGTGCACGGCCACATGTCCACAGGGCTCGACGTACAAGCTTTGCTGTCGGCTGCCGCGGGACGAGTACCAATGCATGGTACCGTCGGCCAGCGATACCGCTACGACTTGGCGACTGGCCGCGATGCTTACGACGGGGCTCGCGACAAAGTCGGCCCATTGGATGCGGTCTGCCGCGACGTATATCACGTCCGCATACGTCGTCGCGTTGTGGACGTCAATATGAGCCGCTTCCAGCGTGCACTGCAGCGTCGACTGCACGGGCATCGGCCAGCGCGACACGTCGTTGTCGATCTCGACATCCATAGGTACGCCGCGTGCAAGGGCCCGGACGGGGTGCTCGCCGCCCAGTGTACGAGCGTAAGGGTCGTACGCCGGCAGGCGCGCGAGAGGCGGCGGTGCGGACAGCTCTGTGCCGTGCGATATGGTATAGACAGGCGGTCGGCGCGGCTGCGGCTGCGGCTGCGGCTGCGGCTGCGTCGGCGAGGTAGCGGTGGTGGTAGCGGCAGCAGCTGCTAGGAAGGGGGATGGCGTCGACATGGCCGCGGTCGTTTGCATCAACGTAGGCCGGATGCGGCGCTTGCCATCGGCGTTGCGGGAGATGTGCTGCTGCAGTCGGTCTTGGCTCGCAGGCATCAACACCGCTGGCGCACGCGCCGTGGTCGTGGGGAGCGGCATGGGCGGCCTACGTGGCTTGGACGGCGCGACGTAGCCATACGCCGCACGGGCATCGAGCAACGTAGCCTCCGGCAACGCATGGCCGAGCTCCGTCTCGTCAAACGTGATCACGGCTACGGTGCCATCCGACGAACACGCATACAAGGAGTAGCCGTCGGCCGACCATACCAGATCCATAACGTGACGCTCAAAGAGGCTGCGTGCGACCATGAGCGGTCGCGAGGTGCCGGTAATCCATACGCTCACACTTTGATCCTGCGAGCCAAGGGCCACGACTGTGACGGGCCCCTTGGCGCCTTGGAACAGCCGAGGACTGCACGCCGCCACCGTCACGGCATTTTCATGGCCGACCAACGCAATGTCCGACGTCCATGCGTACCTGGGTATCACACTTGCGACGAACACGGGGCCATTCATCGCATTGGCAGCGAGAAGATGCGCGCCATCTGGCGACCACGACGGACGGTGGAAGAACGTCGTGCTGGGCGCGCCATGGAACGGGTCCGAGATTGAGGCCTCGAGGCCCCAATCGCTTGTCCGCCAGACCTTGAGCGTGCGATCGTCGCTGCTCGTCGCAAGAAACTGGTCGACGGGATCAAAGGCCACGCCCTTGACAAAGCCATGGTGGCCGCGAATCGTGCGAACACGCTCAAACGTGTCGCCCGACCATACGATGACCAGCGAATCGAGGCCCACCGTCGCAAGGTACGTGTCCGAGTCGCTCCACGCCACATCTGTCACGTCCGAGTCATGGCCGGGCAGGCGGCGGTGCGGTCGCCATTGTTCGACATTCGTCTCGGACGTGCCAAACGCCAGGCCACTGCTCGTCCCTGTCGTATCCAGCTCCCATACCAGGGCCACGGTATCGTCTGAGCCTGACGCCAAGTACTTGCCGGAATGCGACCACCGCACCGATAACACGGCGCCTGTATGCCGTGCCAACGTACTTAGCAAGCGCCGCTCCGACGACGTGTCGTCCAGCACGGGCGCGGTCGACCATACGCGGATCTTGGTATCCAGACCCCCGGTCGCCAATCGCGTCCCGTCCGGGTGCACATCCACACTGTAAATCGTCGATCGCTTCGCCCGTTCATCCGCGCGATGCACGAGCCAGTCGGGCACCGTGATGCGGACCATCGACGCGGCACGCGAACCTCGCGCGCGAGGCGTATGTGGAGGAGGTCAGGGTCGTGGCAGACTGTACAGAGGCTATGTGGGACTACAACAAAGGCACGCTACGACGTCGCATCCAACGGGTACGGCGTGATCCACGCCGTGAGATCGTCGTCCGAGGCTACCGGAGCCGAGTTCCATCGTGCGAAGGTCCGTCGTACGCGATCACGCAAATGCTCGCGATGCGCCCCATCGACGTCCACGGCGTCCGGTGGCAGCACAGGATGTTGCAGTAAGGAGAGTTGGTGGCGTAAGAACCGCTGCTCAAGCACAGATCCCTCGTCCGACGTGGCCTGCGCCTGTATCGCATGGCGTCGCGCCTCGAGCCATTCTTCCTGGCGTGCAATGAGCTGGCGCAGATCCCGTAGCGCCGGCGCTGTGCTCAGCTGCGGCGCGGAAAACAGCGATTGCGCCAGCGTGACGAGGTCCGTGGGCAGCGCTAGTGGGTGCGGTACGAGAGAGATCAGCGTCACACTCGCGTGGCGCTTCGTAACGTACGCCTGCAAGGCAGGCGCCTGTGTGATCGACGTGGGCTGCGCACTTAGCGCCAACATCACCATACATGGCGCGGCAAACGGCGCTAGGTCAGCGCGGTGGGGGATCATCATCGCCACATGCATATACAGCCTACCGCGGGCGGAACACACACGCGCATTGCCGTGCCATGCCATCGCTTGCAGTAGCACTTTCCACGAATACGCACGTAGCACGAAATACGGGCGGCCTTGGTCCAAGTCGATCGTGTGCGGGAAGTACACACTGTCCATCGCCGACGGCGTATGAGGCGCCATCGCCAGGTCCAGCGCGGGGTATAGAGCGACGCCCTGCGGCGTCCCAAGTTCCAAGGCGTACGGATGCATAGCCGTGCCGAACTGCACACCCCGCAACGCCGGCTGGCCATCCTGGTACTCGGGGGGGTAAGGCCGGGCCGCCGACTCGTCCGCCACGGCCGCGACCGCGGCCTCCGGCGCTGCAGGACTGGTCGGCGCCACAGGCACAGAGGCCTGCGTCGACGCCATCGACGGCGCTGCCGACGGGGGGCGTCTCGTCGGCGCTGCACTGTGGGACTCGACGCTCGCAGATGTCGGCTGCTGCGTGGGACTCGACGTCGCCGTGGACCGAATCGCACACTCGTACTTTGGTGGGGCTGCTAGTGGCTCGTCCGAAGGCGCAGACACAGTCTCGTTCCTTGCGTTGGCCGAGGCATGCGACGACGACGACGACGACGACGACGACGATGCATCCCATTCATCGCCCCCGTCGTCGTCCTCTTCGTACCGGCCAAACATTTGTTCATAGCGAGTCAGAGGCGCACGTGCCTGCGGGGTCGTTGCATCGTCGGTCGGTGTCGAGACCGACGTCGGCCCTGGCGCGGCCGCCCGCGCTGGCGAGGTACGCGGTGCGTCGGCCGCCGCTTCCGTCTCGGTTGGGAGGGGTGCGGGTATCGTCGCGGGTGCAGGAGGCTCGGCGTCCGTGTACGGATTGGGCATCACCGATTCGTACTGCGGCGGCGCATCCCACTCAGCGGCGGCGGCGGCAGCGGCGGTGGGGACCGAGGCGGCTTGGCTGCGCCCCCCACTCGACGAGGCGGAGACAGAGCCGCAATGCTGGAGCCATAGCAGCGATTCCATGTCCAAGTGGGCGCCCGTGTCGCTGGCGCTATCGCGCAAAGAGGGTGTATAGGCCCGCATATGCGCTTCATGTTCTCGGCGGCTCTGCTCCATAATCTCCATTTCCAGGAGCGCATGGCGCTGCCGCTCCGCCTCGCGCCGCCGCTGATCTCGATAGGCTTCCTGCTTCGACTGCACGAGAATCTCCTTTTCTTTCTTCTGGTGCTCGGCCCACGCACGCTGCTGCTGTGCATGATCTCGTTCACTCGCACGAATGGCTGCTTCCAACTCCGCTTGCTCCTCGGCCCATCGCCGCTGCTTCTCCGCTTCCTCTAATGCCAGCGATTCACGAAGAGCACGTGAGAGTTGCTCGTCTTCCGCGTCTACATTCGCACTCGGCGCAGGCGGCGTGGGGCCTGGCGGATCGTACGGGTTGGGAAACGCCTCGCTCATGGACGGCGGAGCGATCGTGGTGGGCTGTGGCCTCCACATGAAAAACGCACGCGCCGCCGCTCTCTGTGTCTCGTTCGATCCATGCGAAAGAAGGCCGTGCGTGCGGCTGCGGACGACGTGCCGAGCCCTCCCGCGGCGCCTTCGACGCTGGTAGAAAGGTATGTGGATCTTATCTCACAGCAGCGTCGTGTTTGACGAGTATGCCATTCGCGCTTGGTACGCCAGCCCCTACCCAATCTCTGCTGCACGGTTGTGGGTGTGTGCTGGGTGCTTCAAGTACATGACGTCCTCACACAGCCTGCATGTACACAAGCGTACATGCACCTACACACACCCGCCAGGCCGGAAAGTATACCAACGTGGCGCACACATCATCTGGGAGGTGGATGGCGCCGACGCCAAACTGTACGCACAGAATCTGTGCCTGTTTGGCAAACTGTTCATGGACCACAAGACCGTGTTTTACGACGTGTCGCCCTTTGTCTTCTACATCTTGACCGATGCGACGAGCCAGTTTGATCATGTGCTGGGCTTCTTCTCGAAGGAAAAAGTCTCGTACGATGACTACAATCTCGCTGTGATTATCGTATTTCCACCATACCAGCGAAAGGGGTACGGCACCTTGCTAATGGAGTACAGCTACTATTTATCACGCTGTGCCAACGTCGTAGGCACACCGGAACGACCCTTGTCTGAGCTGGGGTTAAAAGGGTATATTGCTTTCTGGTCCGCGCACTTGGTCCGTACGCTGCAAAAGGCGTACACGCCAGAGGGCGCCGACATTCGCGCCATCCTGGCCGGCACATCTACGACGCTAGCCACGCCCCAGCGGCCCATCGTCAAACGGCGGCGTGCCCAACGCGGATGGGCCGGCGAAGAACGCGCAGAAGTCGCGCAGCCCCCGCCTGCTCTGGCCGCCGACGTGCCCTGGCCGACCCATACAACGCTTGCCCGCCTCGCTACCGCCGCGGGCCTACGTACGGACGACACGACCTTGGCCTTGGCACATGCAGGGCTCTTGATCCAACAGGATGATACCTTTCTTTTGTCGCGCGATGCCGTGGGCGCTGCAGCACAGCGACTCGCCTTGCGGCCGCCGATCCTCGATGAGGCGTATTGTATTTAGGATAGATGAAACACCCGTTTCTGCCGCGCATGCATACGCACTTTGCGCTGACGCGGCATCGGCGCCGTTCGTAGCGCAATGAGACGAGGGTTGGGCGTGTACGGACTGAGAGTGTGATTCGCACGAAGCAGTTCGGCCAAGTGCGCCGACAAATCCAGACCCATGGGCATCGCTGGCGTCCGTGGTGTAGACGGCGTGCTCGTGCCCACCTTCATAGGCGTACGGACCCGCCCTGCCGTATGAATAGTGCGTCGTCGGATGGGCGTTGATGAGGCCGACGAGGAGGACGTTGTGGGCTCAATCAGATCTTTTAAGCCACGCGAGCTTTGCGATAGAGCCAGCCGCGTGAGACTAGGGACACTGGTAGGCAGCGCTGTATCGTCCAAGGACAACAGGCCAAGTGGGTCCTCAAGCCGCGACGCCTGCGCCCATGCATCGAGGGAGGGCATCGTATCTGCTTCCAAGTTGCGTTCAGTAGGCGGCGGCGCTGACGTCGCAGCAGGAGGGGCCGATGGCGGCGTATCCATGCTGGTACGAAGCCAATCCTGACTGAGCCGGTGAATAATAGTCGGAAGATCATCGCGAAACATCTCGCGAAGCTGTGTCTCGATCTCTTCTTGCAGATACTTTTGGATCACACCGACACTATCAAACGTGGAGCTCACTTTGACACTTTCCAGCGGATCGTTTTTGAATACCAACGTAATGCCTTTCGTACGTGAGACGACAAGCACCACAATCGCACGTAGTCGCACGTCGGACAGCTTGATCCGCATCGGGACGGTCAGAGGCCGCGCGGCAAAGAGCATGCCACGCGAGGTCGCAGGGCTCACAAACAAGCCCATGTCTTCAGTATTGCGCGCGAGCGGATTCGCTTGCACGCCAGTAGACATCTCCAGGTGCGCATCTCCCGCATAGACAAACCGGAAGATACCTCGAAAGCGATCGCGGCTCAAGTCGCCAATCTCGAGAATCTCTAGTTCGGGTGGGACCGTCCCCATATGAAGACTTTGCACAACAATGTCATCGACAATCGCCTTGGGCTTCTGCCCACGATTGAGGGCTGTATTGAGTGTCTGTATTGCATTCTCGTAAAACTCTGCCGAAAAGGCCGGCCATGAAAAGTTGAAGGACATGCACGTCGTATCACTCTACGACACAGTCTACTACTACCATCGCGCGGTGGGCCCCCGCATGTCACGTGCCGGTATACGGCGGGTGGGGGATGTAGGATCGGAGGATGGGTAGGGGCCTGCAGGGCGGTGTGACGAGCTCGTACTCTCTGATCTTGCAGGTGGACGAGTAACACTGGGCGCTGCGCGTACCAAGCTGGGCCGCGGTGGTCGCATCATTTGCCGTGTTCGCATCGCAAGGCCCGTTCGCGCTTTGGCCAGCATGGCTTGGCCTTTGGACTGAAGCGGTGTCAGAGGACCTGCACTGGGTATCATGCGTCGTCGCTTGGTCGGCATAGGTACATTGGCCACAAGAACACGTTTGGCGTCTTTCTGGGCACTGTGCTCTGCGTATCGCCCTTTGATCCGTTCACGCGCTTGTGCTCGTGCTTCATCCACCTGCTGCTGTTTCATCTGGGATCAGTGCTACGCCCACCTACCGCATACATGTCGCGCCAGCTCGTCGGCGTGGACAGTGTGCCTTCTTCCTCGGCTTTGCGAACGTCAGAGAAGTCGCGGACACAAGCTCGATGCCATAATTCTAACGTTAGATGGACAATATGACGTGCCTTCTGTATCTTCTAGCAAATGCTGCTGGTAAGTAGGCCTAGCACGTACCGGTGATGCCGCTTCAATGGCACGAAGCTGGTCGGGACGACACTGTTGCAGAAATGGCTTGGCCAGGCGATAGGGCATCTCCCCTACATCATACAAGGCTTTCGTCAGTGGACGTAGACATACCATGAATATGTCGAAATATAACTTGGCATTAGCACCCGGCTGCATCGGTACATACCTCGACGGCACAGCGCCGACAGAAGCGGCAGTTCTTCGTGCATGGTGGTAAGTGGAGGGAGGTGGCCTGTGCTTGGGCCAGCGTGAATGGCTGGCCCCACGCCCAAATTAGCACTACATCTATACAAAATAGGTGGTATGACTCCCCTCTTGTTCCATGCGTGACCATGTACGTCGATGATCGCCGATTATAGACTTGATCTTTGGGTCCTGTATCGCTCGATGCACCCACATCAAAAGGGCGTCATCACTTTCAGGGACCATCGATGCACTCAGTACTTCGTGCAAGTCGAAGGACGATGTACTCCTTGATAACTGTGCATCCAATGACCGAATCAATGCTGTCGCTACAATCAGCAGCACATCAAAGCCATGGAGGAAAAACGCATCCCATACACGGAGTTGCGTGTGGTACGGCAACACATTGTGAAAGAGTGTCATGAGCCACCCCGTAGCGTACGCACTGGGAGCCAGGCCATGTCGTTCGAGCTCCTTTGCTGCGCGAGGGCAACAATGCTTTAGAAGTGCTTGCAGTACATAAAACTCAGCACGCAGGCCAGGGAAGCCATGCCGGTAGACATCATGGAATCCATATACATCATGCAGACGGACCATCATCTCGAGGGCGTCGGCTGTCGGCATATGGAGGAGAAGCATAGCCGCTGTAGGGCCCATGCCCTGGCAATAGCCGCATTCCTTGCATATAAGGGACATGGAATGCAGCACCGTAAATAACGTGCACTGCCCTTCGCCGTAGCGTGTGTAGAATCGTTCATGGTATCGCATCGTCCGCGGCACATCCAAGTCAATCTGTACATCATGTTCCGAATCGAGCTCCATGAGTTCGGCCAAGGATAGATACGGCCTTGTCTCCTCGTCTCTGGACAATGCGAACCACACTTGTCCGCGCATTTCATCGGGAATGCCTTTGTACACACGTCGATGAAGGCGCGAGACATCCAGATCCTCTCGCAATTGGTGCTTGACAGATTTGGTATCTTCCGGCTGCTGGCCAAACTGGGCTTGTTCGCCATTCTCCTCGTCCTCGTCCTCGTCTTCGTTCTCCATCATCGCAATCCACTTATGTGTCCGACGCAGTTCCCGCGTCTCATCCAGAGGAAGCAAGCGATGGTCTTTCTTGAGAACCTGAGGGACAGAACGGGCCGCGGTCTTCTTTTTCGAAGAAAGCACAGGGGAGCGAGCATGCGGTCGAAGGTGCCATCCGCGTTTGACATACAAGGAAGCAGGCAAAACAAGCGAATTCCCCTGCTTGGCCATCGTGTCAAAAAACCCATACCTATCCACTGGCTGTTTCGCGCGTTGCTTCGACGCCGGCTGCTCGCTTTCCCAGGGCGGGCGAGCCTGCTTGATGCGCGTGTGCTCTATACCTTCTGCAAGTCCATCGTTTTGTACGCCTACGTGTTGATAGTATACATATACATCACGTATAAACGACGATTCAGGCATGAGCAAGCACACGCCGTGGGTATCGGCGCGCCGAACCAAATTCGATCTGACGCACTACGTCGTATAGGGATCCCTCCACCTCTTATCTGCGTGATCGGCCGAAGGTACGATCGTCTCCTCTTAGCTCTCCATGGTACGGCAGCGCCATGCACGAGGAGATGGGCGAAGAGCGTACGGCGTGAGCAGCCGTCCGCGTCTCTTCAATGAAGTATTTGTGCTATCGTTTTGCGTCCGTATGCATCATCGCCCTATGGAACGTTGACTATACTATAGCTAGTATGTATATACTTTGCCATGCAAGTAGCATCGTGTTGCCTAACAGATAGGCAGCAGATCTGTACATCGCAAATAGACTCCAGCTCTCGTCGGCTGCCTACGAGAAGGAGGCGCTGGGGTCCTCCCAGGACCGCCGGCAAAACCGTCCACGATGTCGGCGTTCTTGCTCGGCCGATACTTTTTTTAAATAGTTCCACGCCTTCCCCACCCCGATCTCTCGTACGATCACTCTCGGTCGCCAGGACACCACCTACTTCGGGACTTTTCTTCCCACAAAGAACCACTTTTACCAAAGGCAACTACTGCCGGGGGCACAAGAGGTAGGCAGCTCGGTTGTATTGTGACGGCTCTCGCTAGCTTGGCGGGTGAGGTAGCCAGTCTAGCGTGTGTCCGTATTCAACCAGCCTGCACCTTGCTCTCTTTTGGTTTTTGACATCATGACTATGCCAGCGGAGATCGCCTCCATCCCCGGTTACGTCAATGATGGCATGGGTTGTGCGCAAGAAAGTGTGCAGGCATATATTGGCTCCGCTCCGTACCCCACACAGCCATATTATGTATGCGCACCTCCGCCTGCGCCGCGACCGCAGGCAGCGCGTGTATATGCTCATCCTACGATGGCCTATATGTATACACATGCTGCCCCTCCCTCCATGGGTGGCTGGTATGCGGCATCGTCGATGCCTGTGCCAGCGTACCCAATGCCCATGCCGCTGCCACCGCCGACATGGGCACCCATACTTGTTCATCCGCCTGTGCGGGGCTATGCCCCGCCGCCGATGGGGGTACCATCCTGGCACCCTTCTGACTGGAATGCATGGGGGCATCAGCAGATGCGAAGACAGCCTGCTATGATGCCGCCCCCCGCAATGTATGGCCCTTGGACGCAGGATTCCATACCGTTGCGTCCCCCTGTATCGTCCGAGGAAGATGAAAATGCGCCGTTCGATCCGCATTCAAGGACGACGTCGTCCGATGCCACGGACGTGCCAGCGCCTATGGAGGAGACAGCTGTGCCTCTGGCTGCGTTTGGCGCCGATGCCATGTGGAAAGCCAGTGCCGAGATTGTAGGACTACGTCGGAAGACAATTCGAAGTGGCGCGCGTCTCTCGCCTACACGCTCTATATCTTTGCCGGATGAGACTGCACCGGATGAGAGTGTATCAGCGTCCTCTGTGAGCTCTATGAGCACGGCAGAACCTTCTACGCCTCCTTCAAGTACAGCTTTGGGTGAGCAGAGCCTTGTGAAGCCCATGCAGTCGCTGCGGTTTTCTCCTTCACTGGATGATCGGTCTGCGGATCTCCAACGACTTGTGCGTGCTATGGGGTCGTCACAACGGCCATTCCCATCGTTGGATCAGTGCTGCGTCCCTCATGTGCCTTCGACGCCTGTGCGCCGCGTTCGCACGCCAACGAAGCGCGAGCATTCCGCCTTGTTGGGCGAAGTGAGTCCTGCTTTCCGCCATTTCACGCATCAGGTCCTGGCACAAACATTATTGTCGCCGACGACGCTCTTCTTGGCTCTGCACTATGTGCACGTTTTGCAAGGGCTTCTGTGGCCTGATGATGGATCAGGCGATACTGGCAATGCTTTGGCATTGCTAGCCCAGCCACCTTCTACCACACCGTTCAAAGTACTTATCCTTGGACTTATGATGGCAAATAAGTTCATGGACGACAACACGTTTTTGAATAAAACATGGCATGAGGTAACAGGGATTCCGTTGGACGAACTCAACCGTATGGAGTCGTTTTTTCTGTGTCGCACGCAATTCCATCTGAGTGTATCGGATTCTGCATGGCGTCAGCATTTGCAAGCGATTCGTGCAGAAGCGTATAACGCGCAGTCGGAAAACGATACAGATCTCGATGTGTCCCGTGTCATTTCTACGCTGGACGAGATGCTTGCATCACACCATCGTCCAGGGCTCTGTGTTTGATTGCTTTAGTCTGGCATTGGTCCCCACCCTTTCTGCCTTTTTTTTGTTTTTTATTTTCTTTCTTAGTTGTGGAAAGAAGGGTGGCTAAGGTATAAAAGCGTAAAAATGTACAAAAAATGTGATGTTATTGGAATAGAGCTTGTTGCACAGCTAGAGCTACACGCGCCGCTTCCTCCTCGCGCTGTGGGCCAAGAGGTAGTGATTTGACATGTTCCATTTGCCTTCGTAGTGTTTCAAACAGCCAAGGGAATGGCTCCTCATTTTCCTCGGAGGCCATAGAGGGCGACGTCGGGGCTGCGAACCTCCCTGCTAATGATGGTATGTCGGCATCGCTTGACTCAGCGCGTTTCTCTGTGGCACCAGGCGCAGTTACAAAGGGGCCAAAGTCTGCGTGGTCCTCATCACTATCCAAAAATGCCTCCAAAGCATGCTGCATCGATACAGGTGCATTGGGCATTTTCGAGGGTGATATCGGCATGCTTTTGATCGATTGGTTCATCTGATCTAGCTGCGATAGTTCCTCTGGCACAGCGCCGTGACTTTGGGTCGGCCACATATGGACCATGAGGGCATTTCGAACACGCTCTGTCACTGCGGGCTCTGTCGCCAAATCAATGTATTCCCATCCTTCCATGGCGTACAGCTCTTCGACATCCAAAGGATCGACCCTTGCTTGGGTATCCGTGGGTATGCCCAGAATTAGAGGTATGGGGATCTCATGCCCAGGGCCTTGGCGATGGACCAACGCACGGTGCACATCGAGAGGCTATGTGTGAGTATAGCATATACGTACCGATGCCCTGTTGACAAAGAATACATGTGCGGGCACCGTTGATAGGTTTGTACCTGTATCTATCCACCTGTGCTCAACGTCTGCATCGTAGTAGGCGTTGGATATACTCCACGGCACTGGTTGCGAGGTCGTCAAAGCATGCCGTATGTCTGCCAAAGGCTCCTCAAGCAATTCTACAAGTTAGGCATACCCTACCTACCATGAAGAATCTTCTCACAAGCTTCTCGTGCCTGATCCTGCGAAAGGGTATCGTCCAGCACGCCCCAGGCAATGCATCGCGACGCCTCCATGGCGTACAAAAGTGAAGGCGACAGCCACACTGTCGCACTCGCATCGCCTCCACTTCTTGGTTTACGTCCCTTGTATCGATGAGCCGGTGGATGACGGCCTGGGCTGGCATGCACGCCGTCCATGCAGGTCGACTACTGCGTTCAGGCGGCTATAGGGCCTTTTTTGCACCAATGAAGCCGCCTGTACGTGCTTTCATGCCTTTGCCAGCTCATATCTGCCCCATATCTACGGGCGTGCCGCCACCGCCCAGCCCTGGATCGCCTACGTCGAGCAGCGGCATGACGCAGCTCTCGCCCAACATTCTTTTGCGATGCACTATTCTTGATTCTATGGGAACTATCAAGACGATTTCAGGTTTGTTTAAAAAGATGGAACTGTGCTCTCATCATGGCTTGGAACCGCGTGATCTTCGCAAGATCGACTCACGGGTCCCCAATTTGGTACCGACCATTCTTGCCCGTCGCAGCGGTATTCTCATTAATATTTTGCATATTCGTGCCATGATCAAATCCGATGCTGTGCTGTTGTTCGATAGTTACGGAACAACTGATACCCGTTTGCATTCGGCGTTTGTGTACAACTTGGAGCACAATTTGCGACAGAATATGTCATCGCTGCCCTATGAATTTCGGGCGTTGGAGTCCATTCTTGCGTCTGTGCTTGACGCACTACGTACTGAGCTCGGATGGCTCAAGATTGTCGTGGATGATCTACTGGAAGCGCTAGAGGATGATATTGATCGTGAGAAACTACGTATGCTTCTTCAAGTGTCTAGGAAGATCAGTGGGTTTCTCAGCCGTTCTCGAGGTGTAAAGAGCGCTGTGACAGAAGTACTAGAGAACGACGAAGATATGGCTCTTATGTACTTGACAGACGCCAAGAATGGGTATCCCAAAACGGAGCACGGCAACCTGGAGGAACTGGAGCTGCTTCTGGAGAGCTTTGAGAAGCAAGTCGAGGAAGTCCTGGCCGAAGTGGAACAAATCAACTCCAATGTCAACAATACCCAAGAGATTGTGGAGCTTATTTTGGACAGTACGTATGACTTTCACTTACACAGGCAACCGCAATCGCCTTTTGACGTTGGACTTGGGCACCAGTATCGTGACGCTTGGCATGTCGACTGCCACACTGTTTGTCGGCCTTTTTGGCATGAACTTGACATCGCATTTGGAAGAGCACCCGCAGGCTTTCTACATTATGAGCGCTGTCGCGTACGTGATGGCATTGGTCGTCACCGTGGCTGGTCTGCGTCGTCTTTCCAAGCTTCGCCGCATTGGCCTTTCCGTGGGCGGAACAGGTCCAGGCGTATTTGGTGTGAACAGTACACGCAAACCTGATGCACGCCATGTGTCTCACGCACGAGCGTGGTGGTGGCGTGAGAACCAATTCCAAGCGCTACGTCGTGAAAAGACGCAGCAGCATGCGCGAGATGCTATTTCAAATCCGCACAGCTCGACTACCATGCATGAGACGCCCTTGCATCCTGGCGCTCTGAACGCGTCGAACGTATCTCCACCGAGAGACCTGAAGAACTAGTTAGCTACGCGGTGTATACAGCTAAACAGGTAACATTATATTCTTTATACATGTATCCAACTACGGTGAGTCTGCTACATGCCAGGCTCCTCACATCTGCATCTCGATGATATCCTTGAGCGTCAAAGCATCTTCACCAAACTTGCGGATACCCTCGTGGAGCTTCTCGAAGCCCATAGGGTCCTCCAGCTGCGCCCAACGGAAGGCCGGCTCGTTGTCCACAAAGCTGACCTTCGGGATGGGCTCACTTGCCTTGGCCTTCTCCACAGAGAGCTTCTGCTCGAGGTCCGCCTGCGTGTTCTTGAGCTCCTCCAGCAGCTTCGGAGCAATCGTCAGGTAGTCAATACCCGCCAGTTCGATAACCTCGCTCGTGTTACGGAACGAAGCGCCCATAACAATCGTCTTGTAGCCATGCTGCTTGTAGTAGTTGTAAATGTGCTTCACCGACTTCACACCAGGGTCGTTCGCACCGCTGTAGTCAGCGTCCGGCTTGTTCTTCTTGTGCCAGTCCAGGATACGGCCCACAAACGGCGAAATCAGCGTAGCGTTGGCTTCAGCGCACGCCACAGCCTGGCAGAAGCTGAAGAGCAGGGTCAGGTTGCAGTGCACACCGTGCTTGGCCTCCAGCTCGCGGGCAGCCTGAATACCCTCCCATGTCGATGCGATCTTGATCAAGACACGGTCGCGCGAAATACCGACCGACTCGTAAAGCTTGATCAAGTGCAAGGCCTTCTTAATGGTACCTTCCTTGTCGAACGACAAGCTGGCATCCACCTCCGTCGACACACGGCCAGGGATGATCTTCAGGATCTCCTCACCAAACGAGACAAGAAGACGGTCAATGGCCAGCTCAACGATCTCGTCCTTGCTACCGCCCTTCGACTTGGCGTAGTCCAGAGCCGGGCCAATGAGCTTGGCATATTTCTCTTCCTTGACAGCCGCCAAGATCAGCGAAGGGTTCGTCGTAGCATCCTGAGGCTTGTACGCAGCAATGGACTCAAAATCACCCGAGTCCGATACTACAGTAGTGATCTTCTTCAGCGATTCAAGCGAAGACATTGTTGGTAGCAAGTTGATGGGGTGCAGAAAGTGGCGAGTCCGTGCACTCCCGCCTTTATGCGCCTAGGGTAGAATCACGTGCCGCGGTAGCCAGCGAAGCACCGCGAATCAGGGGCAACGCTAACGCCGAGTTGTCGGTGGGCCCCGTGGCTAACGCCTCGGCGATACGCTGCCAGGCCGCCTCACGTAGACGTAGCGTAGATAAGCTGTATGGCGTGCTGTGGGAGAGTGTGTGAGAGGGGCCCGCTACACCGGCTTCGCCTTGCAAGCGTGCTTGTGCTGTGGCTGGCGTCATAAGAGGCGGGAGTCGCGCTTGACGAAGTGCATGCGCGGCATGGCGTAGTGTAATTTGCACATCCTGCTGTGAGTAGAGTAAAAACGTACATTCAGTTTCGAGAACCATTCCTGCATGTGCTCATCAAAGGAGGAGGCTGCCTGGTCCGAAGCAGGTGCAAGTGTCAGCACCGCTTGCGATGCTGTGCTCAGCAGATCTGCTAGCTGCTCATCACAATGCAGGAGCTTCTCTAGCAGGTCATCTGCCGTACCGTCTGTCTCAGAGGAAGCAGCACTTTGCGCTGGAGAGCGCGCGGGGCTGGCCATCCTACTACCACCGCGCGTCTCGCGGCCAACAAGGCGTGGGTGCGGAGAACGGGCTGCAGGCTACGTACATACATAACGTCGGCCGAGGGGTATGTGGGAGGGACGCCAAATGACAATGACACGCCCATGTGCGCACGGCCTTACTTGGCTTTCGAATCGCTACGACGCTTCTTGCTAGGCGTGCCTGACTTCTTGGCATGGCGGTCCTGCTTCTGCGAGGCGGGTGGCTCCTCAGCTGGCCGCTTCGCGCGAATGCTAAACGTGGATGAGAAGGAGCGGCCTGTCGTATCGTCCTTCATCTTGCGAACACGCGCTTCAGCTTCTTGCCATACCGCTTCGTCGTCTTCCTGAATGGCATACTTGGACATTTCCTTGTCATTCAGCAAATCTTCTGTGAGGGCACGACGGCCAGCCTCAAGCTCCTCATCCGCATCCGAGTTCGCAGCGTCGCGCTGCAGAGCCTGACGACCCGCTTCCGCGAGCTCTTCTTCCAAGTTCTCAGTTAGCGGTGCAAACGCAGTGGTGCCGGCACGTGGGGCAGTCTCGTCCACTTCTGCGGCTAGGGACTGCTTCTCCAGGGCGCGAAGGTTCTTGACCATGTAGCGCACCGCCTTGCACAGCAATGTGTGGGCTTGGTTGAGAGGCAACTGCAGTTCCTGCGCAATATCATCCAACGGCCGGCGCTGCAAGCCGATCGCCAGAAGAAGGGCCGCTGAAAGACCGCTTACTTGCAATTCCATACCATGCTCACTCTCCTCCGTGTATACACGCAAACGACGGCCAAAGTAGAAGAAGGCGAGACTGGGCAAGAGATCAATGACGACCTGAAGTTCAATTAGATTGTTGCCATACGACTCGAGACGCTTCATATCGAAAGGTGTCAGCAGCATGCGAAGTTCATCCACATGGAGCGGCTTGGTATCTTGCGACGCCGCTGCAGACGCCGCTTCCAGTACACTCAAGGCCGTTACCGTACGTAACTCACGGAACTTGAACGAAAGAAGCGTGTTGAATCGCTTCCGGAAATCATCCGCAAAGGCCGACAGCCACGCTTGTTGGCCATGCAATGTCTTGAGTTGCACGGCGGAGTACTCGCCTGTGAGCTCATTCGGATTTTGACGAATATACAAGGGCGTATAGCCACTCTGCTTCCAGAATTTGAAAAGCTCGGACGTCAAGCCATACGATACACCGAGCCAATCCAGCGATTCAGGCTGACGTTCCGACAATCGCTCCAACAACGGCGGCAGCGTGGACGCGTCACGCAGACCCAGTTCATTGCTGCGCGAGGGCGCAGGACGTGCAGCTTCGCGCGCCCTTTTCTGCTCGTAGGCGTCGGGGTCGAGAAGCGAGCCTGTATAGAACGCTTCCATCTGCTCCAGCGCACGTGATCCATATCCCATCCGGGCGTATTCTGGGTGAACGGCAATACGGACAACACGCGCCCCCGACAAACTGGCAAAGTCAGCATCTTGGAACTGCTGCGTAATGAGCCACGGTACCAGATCGCCTGCATCGCGCGTACCGCGTGCTAGGCTATTCAGGATTGCTTGGCGGCTAATGTTACCTTCCAAGGCCACCTGCAGCACACACAATGGTTCCGGGAGACTGGAGCCTGTGAGTGGTGGCAAGAGCACGAACAGCGCATGGGCTGGCGCATCACTTAGCAGCTGCAGGTCATTTGGCGAATTTTTATAGTGACCAGCGACGTACAACGCCATGATGCGCTGCAAAAACAGTTCACTGGCCGGGTGGAAGCTGAACAGCGAGTCACGATTGACCATGTACAGCTCACAGGTACTGGGATGCGGGCATCCTTCGCGTGCCTTGGCTGGGAGCTTGGCCAGCGAGGCATCCAGACACAGCAGCTCATTGAGCCATGCTTCCACTTGGTCACCTGGCGTGTACCGAATCGGCTCCCGCAATTCCACCTCTTTCAGAGCACGGCCGCCAGTTTCATTGGCATTGGACCGAAGCTGCTGGAACAGCTTGAGGGAAAGACTACGTCCTGTACCTTCGTAGCCGTTGATGGTCGACGACAAAAATACAAGGTAGGGACCCATGAGACGACGTACCAATGGGAGAGGGATGGCAGCTGCTTCGTCAATCACGAGCAGTTCTGCCTGGCTAAGCACGGCGTGGTCTTGGGGCTGAATGTACTGTATGGTTTGGCGATGGCCACGGAACACATTGATACGCACAACCGTATCCTTCCACTCACCTGTACCGCGCTGCAAGTCCCAGTCCGCCACTTCTTCGTATCCTAGAGCATCCAGGCCTTTGAGTACAAACTCAAACAACGTCTTCAAATTCTCAGGGCTGGGCGATGTCACAAAGATGTTGCTGTATCCATGCGCAATCGCAGCAGCCAAGCACAGGCCCAAGGCCGCCGACTTACCACGACCACGGCCAGCAGTCAATGTGACGGTGGTGGACAGCGATGAGCTGGCCAGAACATCAAGAATGGTTAGCACTGCCGTCGCTTGGTCCATCGTCTTGGCATGCTTAATCACGTCGCCTACCACTTTGGTCTCTGCCACATCGGCACGAAGATCCGCCAGCTTGGCATCACGCTCACGCCATGCCTTGTCATGCTGCACAGCTGCACCAACACCACCCGTACTCTGAGAGCTCTGCGTCTCTGGAAGAGGCCGAATATCACGACCACGGCTGACGGGCAGCACGTTTAACTCATCATCCAAAAGCAGACAATCCTTGCAGGCACTCAGTGACAAGAGGAATCGTTCATTGAACCTAGCCACGGGTTCCTCGTCCGTAGATGCTGTGCGGTACCGACGGTGAGCATCCATAGAGAGGGAGTGCAGCTGACGAAGCGACGACATAGTTTGTAAAAGAAGCACAACAATGCCACCACCTTCTACTGTCTCGATTGTACGTGCCAGCAGGTTCGGCGTGATGGCCTCAAAGTCTTGCAGCACCAACATACCAAACGTGCGACCAAGAATTTTAGGCGTGTCTTTGTAGTAGCAGTACCTAATATCCGTCACGCCCACAAACAACTCAAACGGGTCCTGTGTATCCTGGTCACGCACACCACGCTTGATATCGCGCTTAATCTTCGCTTCGCGCTTCTTGCGGTGTGTTGTAAAGCCCAGGTCTTTCTTGTAGCACCACAACACATTAGGCCGCGACTCAACACGAGATTGAGACAAGAGGAAGTGCAAGTTCACAACCTGGTCACGGCCATGATCACCAACGATCACAAAGAAGGACCGATGCCCTGTAGCGACATTGTTTCGGATGAGCGTGGGGATCCGTGGATCCAACTGCTTCCGCATCGCCAGAGAGATCCGTGCAGAACAAAAAAAGAACGAAGACGTGCGTGACGAGTGGATTTTTTACAGCCCCCTTGACAAAAAAAAGCGGGCATCTGCTTGGTTGCCTACCTCCACTTTAGAATTGCCTACATAGTCTCCCAAGAGTAGGTCTGCTTATCCAGCTTCCAGCGAGCAGTACGGCGGAACAAAGGCGCACTTGCCTTCACATCGTCAGCCTGAGGCACTTCCAGATTGGCAGTAATATTATAAGATCGGCTCTCGTTTGCCTTGAAGTGCAATGTGCCAAGTACACGTTGACCCGCGTTGAGGGCCAATGGTTCCGGGAAGAGCATACGCACTTGCGCCCAGTGTGTGGCCGGAGCAAATGGACTAGTCGTCATCGTGTTTTGTTGCACGGTTATAGCATCTGCATCATCTTCGTCTTGCAGAAACGACAGATCGAACCATCCGCCAAGACCGTGCACGATCACAGGCTCATCAATGCAGTCGAACGCAAGCGGTACGTCAAATTCTTTCAGCTCCTCATTGGTAATCGTGCTAAAGTCGATCACATAGCGGCAAACGGCACTGTCCATGCCCAGTCCCTCCGGAGTAGTGCCAACAACATGTGTCGGCGAGAAACAGCCGACCACAGGACTCGAAAATGCCTCAGATCGAGCCGCATCCACAAACGGTGTCAAATCCACGCCGTAAAAGTTGGCCGTGTTCCACCATTCACCACGTGCCTTAACATCCTGGTACAAGCGTGAATCGTTCAAGAGAGAGAAGCATAGCGTGCCTGAATGCGGGTACACAGTGCCACCGGGCCGCAAGAAGCGATCACGCGCATCAATGAAGGACTCGCACATACGTTCATGGACCAGCAGTACACCGAGACATTCTGACACAATGGTGTCCACCTTCGATGCATCACCAGTGGGTTTCACAGGCGCACACTTCTTCAGTACATCCTCATTGACATCCTCCATACGTGAATGCACCACCGCGAATCTATTGTGGATCCACTCATTGACAGGCGTATCGCTGTGGGATGCCGCTTGTACGAGATGCTGAAGATTTTGAACCATGTTGGATGCCTCCACCGCGTACACAAGGCGGGCACCAGCCTGTAACGAGAAAAGAGATAGAATACCATTACCAGCACCCACATCCATCACGACTTTGTCTGACCATTAGATCCCGCAGTACATACTAGCGAAGTGGTTCGGACCATGCTGCATAATGCCCGTTTGGTAAGCCGAGGTGCGCACAGAGTCCTGTCATGAGTACGAACGAGGTACAAACCTGGAGCATCTGTGCCTGATGCGTCAGCATGGAGTAGTACGAAAAGTATGCCTCATCCTGACGATCGTACTTGCTCTCTTCCTCAGTCGGCTCACCCTTCGGTGCCATAATCGTGGAATGTTGGAAAGGAGGCCTCCACCTATGCTGACTCAGCTGTCGCACAACTAAGAGGGAGTACACTGTGACAGGGATTTGCGTTACGTAGCAAGCAGCCCAGCGCGATGACGCGCGAAGCGCCGCTCACGATGAGCGACCAGCTCCTCCTCGCGCAAATTGTATATCAGGATGGACAGGATCCACCCAACTGGGCGATCGTGTCCAAGAATATGCTTGCTCATCCGTGCATCTGTGACCCTGTACGCGTTCAAGCAGCCGAGGCTGCAGGTACGGCCTTGTCTGTGGCATGGAACGTGGATGCATGCGAAAAACAATGGATGGATCTGCGGAAAAAATACCTAGCTGATGACTATGAACGTACAGACCGTGCAGCTCAACTTGCTCTAGCACAACGGTTGTTTGCTGCACGGCTGGAGGAATTGCAGTCAGAGCTGAGAGCAGTGCAATCGGAATTCACGTACGTCTCTAGGCACTAACAAACAAGAGCACAGCAGGCAAAGATAGAAAAGTTACGCGCTGGTGGCTTCGATACCGATTTGGCGGCTGAGTTAGAAGAGTTGGAGGCCGCAGCTGCGAAGCAACGGGCTGCAGAGGCAGAGGCCGTTGCATCTCAGCATGAGTCGAAAGCAAAGGAAGAGGAAGCAGAGGTGGTATCCAAGAAGGACACCTCTGATGCTGCTAACATGGCAGTGGCGCCTTCGAAAGAAGGCCATGCTGACACAGAAACTACTGCTACCGTGCCTGACCGAAAGCGGCGAGGTTCGCGTGGCTCGATGGCGGCAGAAGTACCAGAACATGCCGATGCAACGGAAAGAGAACGCGCTCCGAAGCGAGCCAAGGCAGACGAGGCACCGGATGATGCGGACGACTTGCAAGTGGAACAGGATTTGCTGGGCGAATCTGTGGAATCGATTCGCACAAGAACATCGACACCAGCGGATGAGGAACGTCCCACGCGTGCCTCTGCGACAACGACATACAGTGGCCGGCAACGCCTTTCTCGTATGCGGGCATCGCGAGAGGAGGCGGTGTCCGCAACGCCGTCGCCGCCCACGTCTCCGCCTGCACGAGCTACTCGGTCCCAACAGAAAAATGTTCAAGAGACGACGGAGGACGAGAATAGCACGGCTTCTGATGTTGAGCGTGATAAGAGTCGTAAACGTATGGCTCAATTGTTATTGCTGCTTCACAACCAAGTTTCGAATCATACGCATGCGAATCTCTTCCATCAAGCCATTAAGGAGGTGGATGCACCTGACTACTACACACTCATCAAGCAGCCTATGGATTTAAAGATCATCAAGCAACGTATCAAGGAAGGCACCATTGCCTCTTCGTTGGATTTACGATGGGCGTTGTCGTTGATGTTTGCCAATGCGCTCATGTACAATAATCCCGGTACGGAGGTGCACCGTATGGCCAACGAGATGCGCATGGCTACAGAAGAGATTCTGGACGAGTTTGACCGTACGCCGTTAGGGACATAGAGGAATGTAGGTGGTCAGGGACCCTCTGCTATGCCCCCTCCACCTGGGAGGGACCAACGTAGGTAGATGGACCAGCGGGCACGCGCCGACAGCGTGACTTCTCGGCCGAGGCGTCGGAGCGAGGCGCCGGGGAGGCGGCTTGCTGGGCTTTCTCTCCTCGCTGGAGACCGCGAAACAAAGATGGTTGCGATGCTGCCCAGCACTCTGCGCATGGCGAGCATGCGTGCCGCTCGTGGTGCGATGCGCCCGAGTGTGCAGCTCTCGCGCACATTGACGCGTTCCATGGCGACGGAGGCGGAAAAGAACCCGTCCTTCTCGGCCACGACCGTCGAAGATCTGCAGGGCTACGATGCTCAGACGCTGCTCCGTGAGGAGGGTACACAGCAGGATGCGAACCTTCGCCACTTTACTGTGAACTTTGGTCCGCAGCACCCTGCCGCTCACGGTGTGCTTCGGCTGATTATGGAGCTAAATGGTGAAGAGATTTTGCGTGTTGACGTACGTATACTGTTTGACTTACCGTAGCCGCATGTGGGTCTGTTGCACCGTGGTACGGAAAAACTGATTGAGTACAAGACGTACACACAGGCGCTCCCGTACTTTGACCGTCTTGACTACAGTTCGATGATGACCAATGAGCTGTGCTTTGCTCGTGCTGTGGAAAAGCTGCTCAACATTGAAGTGCCGGAGCGTGCCAAGTGGATTCGTACCATGTTTGGTGAGCTTACGCGTATCTCGAACCACTGCATGGCTGTGCTGTCGCACGTCATGGACGTGGGTGGTCTCACGCCTTTCGTCTGGGGTCTGGAGGAGCGTGAAAAGATCATGGAGTTTTACGAGCGTGTGTCGGGTGCCCGTATGCACGCTGCGTATGTGCGCCCCGGTGGTGTGACGTACGATATCCCGCCGGGTCTGTTGGATGATATTTACCACTGGAGCACCCAGTTCTCTAGCCGTGTGGACGAGATTGAGGAGCTTGTGACAGCCAACCGTGTGTGGAAGGAGCGTACTATTGGTATTGGTAAGGTCACGGCCAAGGAGGCACTGGACTATGGCTTTAGCGGTGTTATGCTCCGTGGTAGCGGTATTCCGTGGGATATCCGTAAGGTGGCGCCGTACGATGCGTACGACCAGGTAGAGTTTGACGTGCCCGTCGGCAAGAACGGTGACTGCTACGACCGATTCATCTGCCGTATTGAGGAGTTCCGTCAGAGTCTCCGCATTATCCACCAGTGCTTGAACAAGATGCCTGCGGGCCAGATCAAGGTGGATGACCACAAGATTGCGCCGCCGTCGCGTGCGATGATGAAGGACAGCATGGAAAGTCTGATCCACCATTTCAAGATCTTCTCGGAGGGCTACGCTGTGCCGCCGGGTGAGACGTATAGCGCCATTGAAGCGCCCAAGGGTGAGATGGGTGTATACCTTGTCTCGAACGGTACCAACCGCCCCTACCGCTGCTCGATTTCCGCGCCTGGTTTCCGCCACCTGGCCGGTGCGGACTTTATGGCGCGTCACCACTACCTGCCCGACATGGTCGCCATTATCGGTACCATGGACTTGGTGTTCGGAGAGGTCGACAGGTAAATGTGATAGAAACATAGTACCCTACGATGTGTGCTAAAACGGATTGTATCTCTGAACGTTAACTATAACTGGTTGGATGCTATAAGAACAGAGGTGAACACAGTCGGTCATTACAACAGTTTTGCATCCAATCCCAAACCAGCAGTGTCCTCATCGTACGACGAGCTGCCGCCTAGCGTACGCCGTGAGCGGTATATCAGGCCATCGACGAGGCCGGCGATCGTCACAATACCACCGATCAACGCACAGAGATTAGAGATAAAGTGCCAGAACGAATGGCGCCACTCGGACTGCACCACACGCAGCGGGGATATCTCGTAGTTGAAGAAAATGCCAGGCACACCCTCAATGCTGTGCACGATGTGACCACTGCTCTGATCTGGTTTATCGCGATGCAGCGATGGGTCGTAGCCAAGGCGTCGCTCGTACGACGTAGCACTGTACTGATAAGTGCTCGCGTGGTAGCCATCAAGTCTGTGCACTTCCAGCGGCACAACCTTGAGGAAGTACTGGAACATGTAGTCACTGTCGTCTGTCACCGCGGACCGACCTTCCAGGGCATCGACCACCCCCAGACGCTGCTTTAGCGGCGCCTGACGACGGCCACGCGACGTCTTTTCGATCGCAAACTCATCTGGCGTACCAAAACTAAACTGGTGGATGGTGTGAGCAAAGTGGTGCACATCGTCACCCAACCCCTGCAGATACGGAACCAGATCGTGCGTGTGGATGCTGTTGCGCTGGAACGTACGGCCAGGGCTCAGGTGGAAGTTGCCTACCACCTTGTTCACATGGACCAAACCAGCCACATTGCATCCCTCCGAGTTTTGTTTACGGATGTTTTCCGACCAGTGCTCCTGGCGACATTGCTCAATTTCATCGGGCGTTGAGAAGGACCAGTTCTTGCGTGCATATGCCTCACGCACTTCATCACACGAATTGCAGCATCCGCTGTCCGGCGGCTGACCACCGTAGCACTCGCCACAATAGTTAGGCCCACGCTCTGCAGCAATACGATGCGCTTCACCCACAAGCTCCCGCTCCGCCTCGTACCCAAGCGGTTTGCCAAAGCGGTCCAGACGATGACGCTCAATCTCATGGTGAATATCCACTTGGTTGTCACCGACCACATCAACAATATCCAGCGAGAGAAGGTAACAAGGCACACGCGGGAACGTAATATTGAGTTTCACTGCCAGCTTCTCTCCGCGACTCAAATCTACCTCCAGGCGTGGCGACGTTTGGATACGGCGATAGTCCAAGTACTCACTGATCATCAGAATAAAGATGAGCAGCGCGCTCAGCAGCGTAAGGAACGCGCCCACATTGGTACGGATACGCACATCGTCGGATGTCTAATTGTAAGTCTAGTGCATACATACGCGTCCAAATGCATCAAGTCCACGAAGCGGGCCGAAAAACGAGCCAGGCCCCATACTTGTGTGGTAAGAGCAACAACGACGACACGGCGAGCGTTCGTGACCCACGGTGGAGCACGGTGCACGAAACACCCGCTGGACGGCCACATCACGTGCGTGCCTGGGCAGCAAGGGGGGTGGGTTTCTGTGGAGGGGATGCAGCTGGGAAGAGGGGTTGATAGGGCGCGGGCGAAACTATGGCGGTTGTCGTTCCTTTCGCCCCTCTCCCATTCCCTGTGGCGAGGCCGAGACCGATGGACAGTGGCGTGTCAACGCCTGCAACGGCAACACCTGCGAATGCAGGTGATGGGAATGGTGGACATACAAATCAGTCTCGAAAAACCACACCCCTTGCGCAGCTACTCACAGAGACAGCGCACGAGGCACAGCTGGAAACGCAGCGGAGCTTGAGTGGAGACAACGTCGGCCATAGCAAGGCACGTCGATCACTCTATGCTCGTAGGCAAGGCACACCCCTCTCGGCATCTTCTAAGCAAAGTCGGCCGCGTGTGCACAGCGAAATGCAGCATACCCTGCGTCGTGTCGTGTCCCCCCCGGCGTTGCAACCGCAACCTCCTCCTTCCACGTCGTCCAGCTTGTTTATGCCTCAAGAAGCGATGCTGGATGATTTGCTTGTAACCTACTCACTGACAGAAGCTGAGCCATATGAGGCGCTGACTCTAGAACAAGTCGCTGCGCTTCGCCAGCGTCAGGCAAAGCTTTATGCACATGTCAAGGAGCTGAAGGAGCGCATGGATTTGGAAGTCAAGATGCGCGCAGCTGCTCAGCGACTGCATACATCGTATCTGACATCGGCGCCCTCTACGCCGCAGAAAGGCGGGATAACCACGCCGCGCTCCTACGCATCGCCCGAAAAATCATGGTCTACGCCGCGACGCGATGCAGAATCTGTGGCATCGCAGCACGACGTTGATGAGGCCGTGCATCGTACAGACCAGATTATGGCACAGTACCAAAAAGCGGGAGAAGAGCTGCATTCGGTCCAAACGCAGCTTCTTCGGCACCACATTGCCGTGCTTCGCGACCATCTTCGTGAAGCGCGTCGATCAAACCAGACATTGCCCACGCTCTGGAATGCCACAGGACGGAACATGGCATCGATACCATTGCTTGCTACGTGGATACCTCCATCTCTGTCGGCCCAGCGTTCCCAGGATTATTCTATGCTCACGCCTGCGAAGGTGGGTCTAGGTGCGCTTACGACGCCTATTCGCTCCATATGCTCTTCGCTATCGCCTCAAGGCGAATGGGCCGTAGAGACTAAGGCTGCGACAGCCCCTGTCTCACCAGCAGCGGAGAAGAGTCCAGACGAGGACAAGGAGGATCACTATGTTTCGCGCTTGCTGCACGATGTGCAAGAATGGCACGAACGACGTCAAGACTTGACGCGTGAACTGAGCTCGGCTACAGAGCGCCAGCGCGCGTTGCAAAAACGTCTTTCTACATTGTGCCATGAGAATAGCGAAGTGGCAGAGCGACTGGCCGCCTTGGCATTGGACGACGATTTGGATGCACCTGCATCCAAATCGCCGGAAGAGACAGCACCGGATGCGACACTGTGGGATGCTACACTGCATATGACCAAAGCAGAGCACGCTGATGCTATGGCTTCCCTACAGGCGCAATGGGAGGAAGAGCGTCAGCGTCAACAGCAAGCGCACGATGACTTGGTGGCGACGTTGGCCTCTGCACGCACAGAGCATACGAGGGAAATGGAGCGCCTACAGTCAGAGCATGCGACGCTTGTCAAAGAGCTTCAAGACGAACATGCCCAACGCATGGAGTCGCTACAAACGGAGCATGCCTCGAGCTTGGCCGCTTTGCAGGACAAACACAAAGATTATGTAAATGCATTGCAAGAAGAGCATTCGTCGTCCACGCAGCAGCTTTCGACACGGTACACGGACTCCTGTACACAAATGGAATCGGAGCTGAACAAGTGGCAAGACAAGCACGCGTCGCTGGAGAAGGAGGTCGTATCTCTGCGTCAGCAGGCGAGTTCCCCGGGGCCATCTGCGTCGGAATCCAGTCCATCGCTGATGCCACGCAGCATTTCGCAGCGTCTGCAAAGCATGTTCCAGACGGACGAGACAGCCAAGTCGAAAGACCAAGGACTGGGTCTGCAGCTCGACGCGCGTAGTGTGTCTGACTCGCACAAATCGACGCTGGATGTCAAGCAGCTACAGCAGCAACTTGAGGCGGAGCGGTCGCAGAAAGAAATGATGGCACACCGTCTCGAAGAGGTAATGACGATGTACCGTGCCGCGGTCCAGTCGAAGGAGACGAAGCCTGATGTGGCGGCCAATACCACGTCGCTGCTCGACATGGACTCGCCGGCATCGCTCGAAGCGTCGGCCCTCCCGCCGGAGGATCCTGCGCCGGCACCATGGAAGCCATCGATGAAAGAGGAGAAGGCCACCACGTCGTCCCCCCCTGTGCCCTTGCCCGATCTCACACTGACCACTGCGACCCCGTTAGACACCAGTGCCAAAGCGAGGGAAACGGCCTCGACTGAATCCGACTCGGTGCCTCATACGCCCTTCGGTCTCCTATCGCCCACCGCGGAGGTGCCTACGACGCCACGTCGGCCTACGCGCGGTGTGGATATGTACATGGACAATGCCGAGACACCGACACACGTCCGCAGCGAGCGACGCAACGATGGCCGTGTGCGTTTCCTCGAGACGGAAGTCGATAAGCATCGCCGCGCTGCCGAACAATCCCGCATTGCGTATGACGAGTTGCGTCAGCAGTACGAAAGCGAAGTGCAGTCGTTCAAGCAGGATCACGATACGGTCCAGAAATGGACGGAAGAGTGGCGTAGACTGTGTGCGCGTCTGGAGCAGCAGCATGAGTTCTGCCAGCGTGTTCTCGGGAAGGCCGATGGCCGTGAAGAGATGGACGGCTTGCTGGACCAGATCAAGGCGACGTCCGCCAAACCTGCCTCGGCGCAGTCGCGCGACACGGTGGAAGAGGCCGCGACGCTGCTGGCTCAAGTGGAGGAGCACATTGGCGACATGGCCGAGGGCTTGGCGCGAGCAGGGGCGAGCGGTCTAGGAAGCAATGTTATTGCACAATTGGAAGATTACATTGAGGACCTGGAGACGCAGCTGGCACAGTACCGTGCCGCGTCGCAGTCGGGTCACGGCGAGCACAGTCATGAAGGTGCTCTTCCATGGAAGCTGAACGCGCAGCTGGATCTGTGCTTGTATGCCATCATGGTCATTAGCGCTATGCTGCCTGACAAAGAAGCGCTGGCGCATAGCATGTCGCTTCCTATGGAGCGACTTCGTGTGTTTTTTGCCTCGCCGACCCACCCAAGTGCAGCGACGTCGTCCGCGATGCAGGCAGCGTGGCAAGCCCAGGACCCGGCTGCGTGGTCCAAGATTCATGCCATCCTTGATACGTCGCATGCCGCACGCTCACGTACGGTGGACGATACATTTGCCGCGCGTGTCCATGCCCTGCTGGAGGCTGTGACGCAGGATCCAGAGCATCGTATGCATACCCTTCTTTCGGATGTAGTGTCGCGCATCGCCGGCACCCTGGATACCAGTGCCATGATCACCGAGCGGGCCATTGTGTTGGAGGATACGATGCATCGGTATACCGATATGTCCGCGCCTGTGACGCCCAACATTGACGATATGATCCCTGATACACTCTCATCTGCCCATGTGCCCTCTTTGCTGTAAAAGAGGGCGCTTCTAGCACGCCTTTTCTACCTTTTTTTTCCTGAAACCTACCTACACTTCCCATTCTTCTTCGGCATAGTCGCCCACTTGGACGTGAGCAGGCCGAACAAAGCCACCATACCGCGCGCGTGTAGTAAAGTAGCGCACACCATAGACACTTCCGTCATTCTTTCCCACAGGCTCATCGTAGGCCACACCGATCCAGGGGCCCGCGGCGAATTTCGTGTTGCCCACGTACTGAATCGTGCCGCGCCGAGGGAAGCCGTCGCCGGTATCTACTTCGCAGCGTGCGCCGACGACCATGTCTGGCGTAGGCGGCTCGTACGTAGGTCCTGGCGCTGCTGTCGCACTCGAAGGCGCAAAGCGGCCCAGCTGGTGCGCCTGCTTAAACGCACGAAGGGTATCGTGGCGAGCCGCGTACTGCTCGTCGGTCAGCTCAAATTTCTCGACCGTCTCATCGTCGACGTCCCATGTCACATTGCGTGTATCGTGCACACGAAGTTGCATACCATCCCGCGCCTGCCATGCGTCCAAGATGCAAAGATCGTCGTCCAGCGGCGTAGTCTCGGCCATGATGCCCTGTGTCCATGGCGCCTCCGCGCTAGCGCCGACGGGCAGCAATGCCAGCCGCTGCGCGGCCGGCGGGATCCCTGTAATCATCTCGAGCTTGTGACGTAATAGCGCGGTGGGCACATCACGTTCAAAGCGCTTTTCTGTAAAGATACGCGCGCTTGGCGCCGAGAGGTGCAGCGTGACAGCGGCCATGAGAAAGGGAACGCATCTTCGTTCCGCGCAGTGCCCTCCACCACGACGTGGCTGTTGTGTGGAGGCGAGACGCGCGCGCGCGTCGAGGAAGTGGCACGTCCATCCAAGCCACGATGCCGACAGAGCAGGCGCTGCAGCTCGTGCAAGAGGCCAAGCTAAGTATGGCTACAGGCTCGCTGCGTGCCTACAGCACAGAAATGGTGCGATTGGCCTTGCTCGAGACGCGGCAATTGCATGCAGAGTTGGCCCCGCTGGCCGAGGCAGCTCGCGCAGAGCAACAATCGCAGGGGGCGCGACCTGATCCTGCCTTGGCTGCGCAGCTAATTACGCACCATATCGAAGCGTACAGAAACAAGCGGTGCCTTCTTGCGTACCACCGCCAGCGTCTGCATTGGCTGCGGGATCGTATGTGGGACAAGGCAGGCGCCGTCGCCTTGGTGCTGGACGAGGAGGGCTCGTCTGGGGAAAGTGGGTCCCTTCGCTCTCTGCTGGATCCTACCGAATTGGACTGGCTGCGTGGCTATGCGTCACTTCTCAGCCTGTACAAAGAAGCCTACTTGGACGTGTTGGACGTCACGTTGCCTGTGTGCACTGGCGCGACCGCTGCGTCTGCGCGGACGGCGCGGAATGCCATGCGGGGTGGCTTTGATGCGCGTGCCGCGGCTGCGTACGCCACACCGGTCCTGCCGAACAGTATTCGCCCGCCAGATGACTTGATGATTTCCGTGGTGGTCACACGCAATGCGCACAGCGTCGAAACGGAGCGTGGCACACTGCATTTGCGCGCCGGTGAACGTCTGCACGTTCGGCGTGACGAGGTAGAGGCGCTCTTGCTACGTGGATGGCTCCGAGAAACGGATACATGATGATACCTTGGCTAACTATACATAGCTTCCTTTTTTGTGGATATAGACATGAGAAAATAAAATCGATACGATGGAATGATGGGACAGGGAGTCTATTCTCAACTCCCTGCAAAGTAAAATAGAGTTTTTCGACGGGCGCCACTGGCCCCGGAGCCTGTCGACGAAATGGATCCGGTGCGTGGCTTGGTGGAGAACGATGTGGAGACGCGACGCGACGCGGTCTCCGCCGGGGCTGCTGTACCGAGGGGCAGAGGCTGCTGATACGTGTCGTGGACAGGTGCGCCAGGCAATTGCATTAGCGGATACATTCGCATGCCTGGCAGACGATCGTAGCTCCACGTACGCATCGACGCGCTCATAGCCCGTGGATCCTGCGGAAGAGATCGAAGAGATCCACCGATATCGTCCTCCATCGACGCCGTGCGATTCATGGAACTAGACAGCTTCGTCGAGCTTGATGGCAAGGCACTCCAGCCCAGCCCGGCGCGACGTGGGCTCGTGCCTGGCTGACTATGCGCGGCACTGGTCGAGTAAAAAGAGTTGCGGCTGGGTAATAGGGGACTGGCTGAGTCCAAACGTGTCATGGAGCCACGGAGCGATGCAGGTCGTGCCTCTTCGTCCTTGGAGCGCGGCGGGCCAAACAAGGGCGGGAGATGCCGCACGTCGCGGGCGCGCCGTGATGCACCCCGCTCTGTACGCGCAGAGTGTGGTGTGCCATGCTCCATAGTCTCCAGCATGGCGTCGCCCTCACTCCCACGTCGAAGGGCTTGCAACGAGTGCCGTTGACTCAACAAACTCTCCGACGACGTCGAGCTCGGTGGTGCTGTGGTCGTGCGGGACGGCATATGCAGGGCAGAGGCACTGGGCAACGGCCCTTTCCCTCGGCCACTGGACAACGACGTGATCGATCCACGTCGAGGAGTAGGACGCGAGACATTCTCCATCGGCTCCGGACTATCCGCAAAGAGTTGCGCTTTCCGTAGCGCATCGGTCGCTGTACCATGGCGCTCCATTTGAGTGGATGCATCCCAGAGTGTATTGGTCGCATTCTCTTCCACCGCAGCAATCGGTTCGGTCCGAAGACCCGTGCCATGCGACATGAGGCTCAAGGGCGAGAACGACGCGGAGGGGTGGGAGGTAGGTGACGTTTTGGGCACAGCCGGAAGAGCCTCGGCACCAGTGGGCTCACCAAACATGACACTGGGCGGTGGCGTACCGGCAAAAAGGGCCGCTTCGTCGGTCGAGACAGGAGAAGAGGGATCGATAGACGCCGATGCCATGCTGGGCATGGTCGCAGCAGACAAGGGCGCCACCATAGCCTGCGTCCGCATCGCCAGCCGCGAGCGCGCGAGGTTGCTAGGGCCTTGCATCGAGCTCGTACGTGGTTTGTACCTTACCGTATTTTTCGCGAGGGGCCGATCGGCCAAGGTATCATGCGACACTTCGTCGTCCGTAGCTTGGTGCACCGTATGAGAACGCGACTCGGCACGAAGCAGCGACGTTGAGAGAGACGCAGAGACTGCGGGCTTTGCCGAGGCCAAGACGGAGGGCTCCTCCGGTGGCGAGTCAGGTTGCGTATCGGAATCTGCACCACGCAACGATTCAGCCTCGTGCCTTGCGGACAGCGAGGGAGACGAAGAGGACACATACTTCAGAAACTCGCCCATGCGTGCATTACTCTGCTTGTCAATTTTCCTGCATCGTTCCGAGCAAAACAGGGAGCCACCAGGACGTGCTTCGTCATGTCGATCTGTGTGTGGGGAAACCCCGCGTTGGGTCATGGGCTGTGCATGCCGACGCAAAGACGACATGGCCGCAGCCACCCACTCATCTTCGTCGACCTCGCTCTTGTCATCCCGCGTCTCCTGTACAGCCTGACTCGGCTCAATAAGACGGTCACAGACAGCGCAGTACGCATGATCCCACACCCCTTGTCCGTCTGCATCGATGGCGGCCTCTTCGTCTTCCTCATCTGAGGCCACCGCATCAGGATCAAAACTCAATGGGAGCTCATTGCGCGAGATACGAGATCGTGAGCGGGATGGCCCAGGTGGTTTTCCTTTGCTTCGGGCCATACACCGAGCAAACACGATGATTCAGAACGCAGCGTCCCAGTCCACCGGTTGGAAATACGGCTCGCCGACGCTGCTCGGTTCATTCGTAACACTCGCACGTGGCCTCCACGTCAAGTCACATTCACGCGTCGCGACCGCGTCTCGCTCTCTCGAACAAGCGAGGAAGCGCGCGAGGAAAGGGGAGCATGACCTCGATTCCGTTAGTGACACCGGCGGCGGATGAGACGTACGAGTACTGCGTAGTCGAAGTGCCGGCAGAATTAGAGGCTCATTTCGAAAAAGGAGATACATCCCTCCTGTTTAACGGCCGATTGAGTGACGAAGCGACCCTGGTCACGCAAGATGCGACCTACGCTGTGCGCCAAGTCTCACAAAGCAACAGTCTTCTTCTATGTGCCCTTGAAGATAATCCACAGGCAGACGGTGTGCACTTGCGCATGCGCCAGAATGCTACGGACCTTCTCGAGTTAGTACGTACGACACCGCGTCTGGATCGGCTGCCCTCGCTGTTTGAAGCCGATGCATACACAGGCCAAGCCACCGAGTCAGACGAAGCGCGGCACTATACACCGGCGGAAGTCCGATCCGTTGTACAGGCTAGCGAGTCTGAATTGGAAGTGGGACTGCGCGAGCATCATATTCTCGTGTTGGACGGTACGTATGTCGCGATACAAACTTACGTCTAGGCTATCTACGCCGTGTGGCTCCAAGCTTCCTGCAGGAGATATTGCTATCCCTTCTGGCTCATTTGGATATTCTTGCATGCGCACCCGACCGTGTCCCGTGGGAAGCGATGTGCGACGCCTTGACGACACGAGCACATCGCCACGTCGTCGAAGCGGTGCTCGGCGACTGGTTTTGTGCTGCGCCTTTGTCCATGCCACGACCCACCCATATACCATTAGCACGTGCAGACATTGTGCAATTTTTGGGCTTACAATTGCTACAGTCCCATAAGGTATGTATGCCTCTGACTCATGGCAGCGTATGCCACTCCTCGATTTCATAGCCGCATGGAAAAGCCATGTGGGCACCCTGGCAGCTGATGTGCATCTCTCTTTGCTCCAAGTATGTATTACAATTGCTATTTACATGAAAGGGACACTATCTTTTGTACCCACCTCCGGCTACCATGGCCACAGTAAGTACACATGCAGCCGTTTCGGCAGAGCCGCAAGCACATACCCTAGCTGCGCCCATTGCCATCCAATCGTTTTCGCATACGTCTTTGCCACTGATGCCAGCCCAGCGATGCCAGGAATTATTCACGATGCGTGAACAATGGGTGCGTGAAGAGATTACACCGTTTTTGGCGCCGATTGCATCTCGAGGTAATGCCACGGTAGAGAGCATGTTGCTCAAGTATGGGCGAGGCGTCCGTGCGAAATGGAGCAAAATGCATACGCAAGTCTTGCTGCATGGCGCATTGGACCAAGACCCTACGCGAGGCACAGACGAGTGCATGTTATACCAGGCCCGTGTCAAGTACACTTAGTGGATCTCTAGGCCAATATTGGTGAGCATCACACCCACATATGTGGCCCATTGTACCAAGCCAAGCCTCTTGCTTACCTGAAACTGATTGAATGGGATGACTAGAAGCATGGTCACCAGCATACCCAGCAAGGCGGTGCAGCTGACAATAAGCCCTGGTGTGAGCTTAATGTCGTAGGGCCCCAGGGAAGGGTGTATGAGCGACAGCCATGTAGCACTAAATCCGATACCCAGCAAGAGATTGGTAAGAGGGCTAGCAAAGCATGCCGTCAAGGCCATAAGGGGGTGACCCAATCTGGCAATGGAAAGATTGGTCACCACATCGCCCAACGAATTACCCAGCGCAAAGACCGTAAGGCCCAGAATCGCCTCACTCCAATGGAAGATGTAGCCAAAGGAGCGTAGGAGCGCAAGTAGGTGGTCCACGGTCCACACAATCCACAGCAGCCCGACCACAAAACCAGTCACACTGCGCAGAAGCAAGTGACGTTGAAGATGCTCCGGCTCGTCACGGTCGCTCCGTGCACGGTATGTGCGCCACAATTGGCCACCAAAAACGGCCCCTACGCATGCCACGAGGGCGAGGGGTGTCGTAGGCACATCACTCATCCAGCAAATAAAAGTAGGGACAAGGCAGCACTGTACACTCTGTAGCCAGTGATCGGCCGCCACACGTTCATGTGTATGTACAATAGGACCAGGCGTTTGAAGAACGGCGGCAGCTTCTTCTTGGATACTCTTCCACAGTGCGTCCTCTTCGGATTGTTGCTGCACAGCATTGAGCTTGCAAATGGCCTGATGCAAGTAATACTCATCCGCACTGATCAACGGGACAGTCAGGCGAAGGAGGAATAAAGCTGGCACATATAATACACTGACAATGCGATTGGAGAGAGATTTTGTCGACCATTGCAGCATTGAGGGGAAAAGAGCCACAGATAAGACACGAGGTGCTGTGAGAGGCTGTCGCGGTTGGTCCAATGGTGCAAGGGTATCATGCAAGGTGGCCAGCGAAGGTCGCTCCACAGTAATCTTGGGCAGTGTAGTCTCTCCCCCTCCTAAAGGAAGAGGGCTGTCTGATGGCGGTGCCAATGGGGACTGCGTATTGATGCAGAACGAAGGCTTATGCACCGACACGGTAGGCAACAAAGCATCTGGGTTTGTAAATGATATCCCAGGTTCCTCTTGCGTAGGCACTTGTGAGGGGGAAGGACACGAAGTATCTTTTGGCCTGTCCTCATTAAACACAATGCTAACGGAATCATAGCCGGAAGAGGGGTTTATCGAAGTGTTGGTGGGAATTGCAAGAGGTGATATTGTTGGTCGACGCTCTGAGAGCGGTTTGGACTGCCTCTGACTTCCATAACCGCCAGCAGGGATGGAAAGTGTTGCACTAGCCGACCTAAACATGGATGGACGATGCGAGTGGTCCTGCAAAGCATCTGCATAACTCTGATTTTGGGAGCCATGGAAGCTTTGACTCGACCATGATCGTGTGATAGGTCGATACAGGTGATGGTTACGCGCAGAGTATGCTGGGTCGATCATATTATGGACTAGATCGCTTGTTGCCGGTGAGTTGGATTCAGGGTGCAAGGATAGGTCGTGCACACGTACAGCCGACAAGAGGGAGTGTCGGGCAATTTGCGGTGTAGAGGGAGCTTCCATTTCCGAAGGTGTAGGTGACATGGACCACGGGCTAGGAAGCAAGGGCGCTGCTTCATCCACATCGGTATGTGGCACATTAGTAGGCCAGTACCAATCATGAATCAACACGATACCAATGTAGGTAACGTATAAAGCTAACATGCACAAACCTTCGACAAAGCCCAGTGCATGATCCAAAAGGAAATAGAGGACCATGGCCACAGCCAAGGCATATGTTCCTACATCACGTAGGAACACAAAGGGTGGTACAGAGAACGAATGGAATACCATAATTGAGCCACAGACCACTGAAATGGTACATACGGCGGCACCCATCAATTCACCTAAAGCCAACGCTCCCGCCTGCTTATCCATGGCACGAAAGGTGGATACCACATCCGGGGCACCATTGCCCAACGCTAGAAAGGTCACGCCCACGACGCTGTCACTCATACCCAAAGTTCCGGCAATGGACGACAAGTTGGGACAAAAAAAGTCACTGGCGACTAAACCCAGTGCGCTGAATAGGAAAAGCAGCCATACCATGAAGAAGAGAGTGACTCCCGCATGCACTGTACTTGGCGACATAGATGGCATATACGTAGGAAGACAATAGTAAGGTACCACGTATGGATACAACGAAGAGTTAGTGCACGCGTGTTTCACGAACGCACAGGCCTCCGCGGCGGAGAGACCGGGATGCACTACGGCACATGCATCAGATACAGCAGATACTGATATATTCCAGTTGATGGCAAGTACGGGACTAGCGCCGAGGAGGGTGGCTATAAAACCAGGCCACGCCATCATCGCCACTCTCCGCATGATCGCCTGTCAAGAGTGGCAAACGGGCGTTCGCATTAGGATAAACGAAGAGATCGCAATCGGGATACTAAATCGGGCACGGCCTTATTTCCCTAGATGCAACAGAGAAATATGGTGAGATGCACGTGGTCATTTCGACAACCGAGCAACCATCGCGTGAGGGGTGTGGGAGACTGTGCGCAAGGTGAACCAGCAACCCCTTTCTCCCTTGTGACCCTGTTCTTCCCACATAGAACAGAAGCTTACGCGGAATGTTCGCTCTGCAGAAGCGCGTAGTACCTCCAGCGTGGGCTTCGACGCGCACGTTCCTGTCATGGACTCAATCAACCACAACACCTAACAGGTCCGAGAAGCGCGAGACGGGCAAGCCTAACTCACCTAAAAATTCGGTGCCGGATGCCAGCCCTGGCAGTCGCTTGGATGAACTGATGCACCATCCGCTGCTTTTCGATCCGATTCGAAAGCCTCGCCTGCCCATTGTGCTCTGTCATGGCCTATATGGCTTTGACGTACGCGGCCCCTTTTTGGGACTAGAATACCATTACTGGTCTGCCACTTTAGATCTTCTTCGTAATCGTGTCGGAGCCAAGGTCTATGTACATGGTGTTCCACCTACAGGCTCCATCCAAGAGCGTGCAGAGTCCTTACATCAATTCCTCTGCAAGCAAGGATTCGAGCCTGGCCAGAAATTGAATCTAATTGCACATTCGATGGGCGGCTTGGATGCTCGTCATATTATTACTCATATTCAACCAAAAGAATACACAGTGGCCAGTCTTACTACGCTTTCTACACCACACCGCGGAAGTCCGTTCATGGACTGGTGTAATACCAACATCGGCGTTGGCCTCGATCTGATTGATGACATGATGAGCGATGTGACACCTTCGAAAACGATTGAAACACCGCCTGCGACAGCTGCGCCCTTCAGCTTGAAATCGCCGCTCTTTGTACGTGAAAAACCTGTGAAAGAAGCTGTGAAGAAGGAGGCGGAAAATGTCATTGTCAAGACACTTGGAAAAATGAGCAATTCCTTGTCGTCATACATTCTTTCGGTGTTTGATCAGCCGGCCTACGCCATGTTGTCCACACGGTACATGAATCACTTGTTCAACCCATCCACACCAGACATGCCGGGCGTGCGGTACTTTAGTATTGCCGCACGGACCCCCGAAATTTCAGTTTTACACCCATTGTGGCTGCCCAAACTTATTTTAGACAAAGCCGCAGAAACGGGGACCTGCGGTGGTGAATCCGATGGAAGTAGCAAGGCATTAGGCACGGAACTGGAAGGCAACGATGGTCTTGTGAGTGTGCCTAGTGCGCAATGGGGTGAGTTTTTGGGTGTGATGGAGAACTGGGATCACTGGGACATTCGTGGCCCGGGCGGACCGCACCGTATCCGTCTCGTCAACTCGGAGAAGGAAGAGTCGAACCTTGGGAAGAAATGGTCAGCACTCACGTCCACGGTCCTTTCTTGGTTCCCACAACGACGAAAACGGCGTTCCCCCCCGCAAGTGGACGAGAACTGGGACTGGCGTGATGCGATGCTGAGCCAGTATGAAGACTCGACGTCCAAGCAGGCTGAAAAACACGACGTGCCTGCCCATGCTGCGGCGTACGCATTGTCCTCTGGCTATGATCGATGTGTTGACCCAAAGGAAGAGTCACAAATTGCGGACCGGCTTGCCTCATGGATCTCGTCGCATTTGCCGGCGCGCGCGAAGGATGAAAAGCGCGAGGGTGACATGGCCCCAGCCGATGAGAAGCGTGACGAAACAGATTCGCGAATGCTTCTAGCGTACCTCACAATGGATCGTCCATCGACACCGGCGTTTGCCCCGGATGGATGGCTGGAGTCGCTGGGCGATAGTCGTGCAGCCAAGATGCTGCGCAAGCAAGTCCAAGCCACCAAGGAGATCTCGCGTATGGCGCGTTTCTCTTCCGCCGCATTGGAAATGTTCCCATTTCTCATTAATGCAGGGAATAAAGGCAAGATGCCATCGAAGGAGACCTTTGATCGGTTCTGGCTAGCTGTATGCCGCAATCTCTATGAAGAAGGCCTATAGACTGGTCGTATCTGATGACAATAGCTAGACACATGTGGAGGGTGTACATCCGCAGCGTGGCGCTGCGTCGCGTAGTGACGACGAGGATGACGAGGACCCCCATTATGGTATGGCGGGTGTGGACAGTTGTGCTGGCATGCGTGGTGCACGTCTATGCCTCTGTATGGGATGCAGAGGCCTTTGGTCGTGGACGTCTGCCACGCGATGATGATCGGATCCGTGCGCTGGAATGGGGTCAATTGCAAGTGCTGCATACGACCGATATTCATGGATGTGCGTAGAACGGAAGCTAGACTTACACATAGGGTACCAGGGCCACCAAAAACTATCGCCGCCCGAGCCAAACTACAGTGGTGATTGGGGTGACTGGATCTCGTTTGCGCACCATATGCGTCGCCAAGCGAGGAAGCGTGGTGTGGATTTGCTGTTGGTCGATACAGGCGATTTACGTATGTCACTTTTTCGTGGAAACGACTGACCGCAGACGACGGCAATGGCTTATCAGATGCCTTTCCGGCCAGCTCGCCAAGTGACCCGGCGTTCAAGTACGCTGTGAATGGTCATGTCAGTAATGAAATCTTTGCGATGGCCGACTATGATCTGCTGACGATCGGCAATCATGAACTGTATAATTTCAGTGTCGCGCAGGATGTGTATGAAAACTTTGCTCCGCATTGTACGTACCGCCAAACTAACTGATCATAGGGGGCGATCGCTACCTTACTTCGAATGTCAACATTACACTGCCCGACGACGATGGTACGCTACGTTCGCGTCCAATTGGCCAGCGATACACGCGTTTCCGTACGCCGATGCAGCGCCTGCAAATCCAAGCGTATGGTGTGCTCTTCCATTTCCAGCTGGGGGCAGCAGGGATCACGGTGCAGGACCCCGTGGAGATGGTCCGTGAGCCATGGTTCCAGGCCTCGTTGCGGGAGCCCAGTCATGTCGACGCGTTTGTCATTGCAGGGCACATGCCGGTGACTGGGCATGATGGATGGGACGCAGTGCATGCGGCGATCCGCGAAGTGTGGCCAACGACGCCGATTCTCATGCTGGCAGGCCACACGCACGTACGTGACTGTCGTATGATGGACGAGTACTCGATGGTGCTGGAGAGTGGGCGGTACATGGAAACGATTGGATGGATGAGTGTCTCGAATGTATCAGCAACACCTCCCACATGGTCGCGACGCTACATTGATGCGAATCCACGCAACTACGTACGTACCAACCGATCTGACACCTAGGCTGTGCATGCGCAGGTCGGTCATGCCGGCCGGCTATCGACCCAGCGTGGACGCTTTGCGCGTGCGGCGATGGATGCTGTGGCTGCTGCCTGGAACTTGACGCAGCTCTATGGCCTAGTCCCCCGCGACTATTTCCTGGACCGTGTGCCGTATGGCGACAAAGAAGCGCTGCTGACCCTGCTGGGCGAGCAGGTGCTACCGATGGTCGTTCGTCCTGCGAACCCACGTCATAAGCATACCCCGACGTTGGTCCTCATCAATAGTGGCAGTCAGCGCTTTGATGTGCTGGCTGGCCCCTTTACGAAGAACGATCAGTGTACGTGGCATAGAGACTTACGCCAGACATTGTCAGCCCCTTCCGCGACGACTTTTTGTTTATCAAGAATGTGCCATGGCGCGCCGCCAAGCAGCTGGTCGGTGGTCTGAATCAGCGAGGAGCGGAGCACAACGAACAGCCAGGCGCGATGCATCCAGCGCAAGGCGCTGTAGACTCCATCTTTCATCGGTACATTGGCCGCCAATTCACGACGTACTGGACGCGGATCCTCGGCGCGGCGAGTGAGACGAGCACATCGCCACCGCCTGTAGCCAGTGGACGCCCGGAAGCGGCGCGACGCCTGGAAGATATGCTCAGCGAGATTGCAGCGCACCCTGAGCTGGCTGATACGCTGCCGTACCTGCAGCACGATCCAGCGCGGGGGCGTGTGCCGAGTCTTGGGTACGTCACGGTGGATTCGTGCCCTGGCATAGGCGACGATACCGAGCACACGCCTGTGCCGTACAGTGCGGCGCAGCCAGACTACATTGCGTCGGAGCCGGCGCCTCTGCCAAGCGACGAGGAGACCTTGGTCGATGTCGTCTTTGTCGACTTTATTCTGAAGCCAGTGGTGCACTTGCTGTCGATGTGGGATCCCTCGCGAACGTATACCGTGGACGAGGCACAGCGGTGGGGCGATGTATCGACGCAATGGCTGTACCCGGACTACGCAGACGTCGCATGGCACCCTGCATCGTGGGACGAGGCGTGGGCCGCGATGGACGAGGCAGCGACGCGCGATGGCTATCCGCCTCTGGCCCAGTTTGACGCGTACGAAGGCGATCCATATGCGCCCGTCGTCGCCGCCCGACATGCAGCGTCACTGGTGTTCCAAGGCACGCCATAGTCTACGATCTACAAAAAGCGGCGGCAGGCCGGTGAGCCACACAGGCAGGGGATGGCATCCTCCTCATCGCCCGTCGCTTGGACTGCATGTAAGTACGTAGCAAAGGAGGACATACACTTGTAATCGTACGTAAGCTCTTGGCCAGGTAGGATGGCCTGCTTGGCACTGCGAGGCGTCAGTCAAGGTGGTAAGTAAGTACGCACAACAACACAATTCGTTTCTCGCCTTGGACCGTCAAGATTTTCGCTGTGCAGTTGGGTGTACAGCAGTGCTGCCATGTGAGGCGCTGTTCAACGTACATTCATCAGGCGGGCAATGTTGCCTTTGTGTGTCGCATCGACCACAACATCATCGTCCACGCGGAACAAGTAGGTACTGAAGTTGCCCTGTCATGAGTCCCACACAGCCACGTACCGCTCGCTCGTACATTTTTTCGCGGTGGTCCGCCACTTGCTGCCGCACAATCTCACCGACATACTCAATCACCATATCCCCTGCGGGAATCAGCTCCATAGCGTACAGCCCCCAGTCGTGGATGGGGCTCTTGGCGAAACGCAGCTGCTTCTTGCGGGCTTGCAACTGATTAATATTGAGCAGGTCCGTCGCAGCCAGGGTCTCGCGTCGATGTTGCTCCAAATCCAGGGCCAGACGACGTGAATCAGCTCGTGTATTGCGTGCCGACGCCAATGCCAACGCGCTCGACGCCTCATTGCCTGCCACTGCGCGATTGCGATCAGGGACGTGCGCGGCCTTCTCACTCGCAGGAATGCGGTAGTAGCCCTGTGCACGCGCACTCCCGGCGTCGTGCGCCGACGTAGGCGTGTCGCCGACAGGCTCCTCGCCGCAGGCCTCGCGAGCAAGAAGCTGCGTCAAGTACATGGCCTCCTCTGCATCCTGCACTATGCCATGCGCAATGGGGTCAATAGGTTCAGTGCTCTCAGCAGGCACAGGCGTCGCAGCCCCTGACGATGAGTCGGCAGTCGCCACCGTCGGTGTAGGCCCATCCGCCTGCGGCGTTGCACTGGCACTCCGCTTCGGCGTCGCCTTTTTCACAGGAATCGAGGCGCCAGGCCGTAAAGGAATGGAATCCAGCTGCCTCGACGCTGCCTTGGTCGCTAAGGTCGCTGGCGCACGAGCCATCGCGTCGGCTTTGTACTGCGCTAAGCGCAGACCGCCCGGCGCGTCAGGCCGAAGGAACTGCGTCACAAGGGGTGTAATCATGCGTGTCTTGATATCGCGCGCCAGCATCGCAGTAAGATCACGGACCAACGTAGCCGACGCCTGGTCCAGCAGCTCGTCTTTGCTCCGTGGCCGAGGCGCCGGCGTCGATACCGGCTTGGAGGCCGGGCCCCGCATTTTCTCTGTCCGGGCCGCACGCTCACTTACTCTTGGCGCAGGGCGTACGTCCATACGTAGGCTATACCCTTGCAAGGTCCCAGGGCCCAGCACCATACGGCACCGCCCAGCCGCATCCGCACGATCAAAGCCAATGTACCAGCCGGCCTCATCACGATCGACCAACGCCGGTTGAAAGGGGGCGACGTGCTCGCGAATCGCCTCTGTATCGATGGCCTTGGCCTGCACACGCGGAATAAACACGTAGTCATGCCCCAACGCTGCTAAGCGACGCACCACCGATGGCATCGGCGCCCGTGGCGGCGAAGGACGACGCGGCGTGGTGCGCCATGAGGAAGATCGCGCACGTTCCTGCGCCTCTGCATTCGCTTGCGCTGCTGCGCGATCTCGTGCCTTGCGTCGCTCTTCGCGTTGGCGCTCATACCGCTCGCCCAGCAGTTGACGATATTGACGCACATACGTCGCTCGATCGTGATCGGTCATGACTCGCACTGTTTCAGTCCCGATCTTTGTGCCATGCAGCGATGCTCGGGCTGTTTTCGCAGCGTCAGCGGGGTCGGTAGTACCTTGGGGCCCGAATGAAATCCACATGATCCCGATACTTTGCCCTGTTTGCGGATCGACTTTAAGTTCACTAGCATCGATGGCGCCAAAGCCACGGCAATGCTGCAGGACTTGGGCCGGCGTCGTGAGGGGCGATAAACCGGTAATGACAATTTCATGTGGCGGTGGGGGGCCGACAGAGTGCGAGTCGTACTTGTATTGTACAGAGTCCAAGTGACGACGTGGACGCTGCTTCGTCCACTTGGGCTTCGGTACGCGAAGACGCGGATCAGTCGCACGTAAACGTGGCTCCACCTCGTACCGCCTCCGCATCTCGGGCGTGGATATCAGCTGGGGATCGTGTGTGGTTTGGTAATTCCGTGAGGTGCTGGGCAAGTCGCATGGCAAGGCCACGAGGGGCGGTTTCGACGACGACGCGACGTGTGACCGACCAGCCCCTCCGGGCCGCCTAGGTGGCGGTCCTGGCGGGGGGCCTGGCGGCGCACCAGGTGGCGGTACCAAGGGACGCGATGCCGCGTCCATCGTACTCGGCGCAGTGTCCCTCACCGTAGAGGAAGAATTGTCGAATCGTCTGCGCCTCTCACCACACGACGCGACGACGCGCCGCGCCGCCTCCACGCGTGTCCATGTGGAGGGAAGAAGGTCGAGAAAAAATAGGGTGACATGAGGTACGGTACTATACACTATCGGTGGTCGGATCCAGAATGAGCTCCGGAATGGAAGACAGACTTCTTGGCCGTGGGCGTGCATGTGGATCCAAGAGAATCTGGTGCAAGAGAAAGTTGGCGAGCGATGCACTAGTCCAGTAGCTCATATGAGAGCGGAACATGTCAAAGTACTGGGAAATCTGTCTGTCAGGCACACACGCAACGTACCGACATGCCCATGCTCGCATCAAGCACATAGTCGATGCATCCATTCGGATTCAGTGCACGGAAACGGCGTTCTCCACGCAGCATGTCTTCGAGCGGCACAGGCATGGATCGTGGCGTCCCCGGCGCCGATCGCACCTCGGGGGACGTGCCTTGGTCAGCCGGCCGTTCTGTTACTACACGCTTGAGAATGGAGCCCATGTTCAGTCGCGGCTCTTCTAGCGCATCTGGAATGTGCGCAGCGTCGCGTGGTAAGTTTACAGGGCGCATCATACGCGCGTACGGCGCATCAGCCGTGGCGGAGAGTTGCAGACTCACAGGGTCAGTCGAGGTATAGATCTGGTAGGTGAGTGGGGTTTGTACATACGTTGTAGATGCCCTCGGTAGCTAAGCATCCATCGTGACCAACCACATCCGACGTTATGTCCTTGTCATGGTCCTCCTTGGTCCGCGTCGGATCGCGTCGAGCTGTAAGACGTGCACCGCTTAAGTACAAAGCGAGCGATAGCGGGGAGCCAATGCAGAAAAAGTACCGCACATTAAAGAGAAGATGCGGTGACGTACGATGCAAGCCTTTTTCATCCCGCCCTTGCAAGGGAGGCATATACGTCGGCTGTCGCTTTAAAATGTCAGCGGAGAGCATCGAGCCTAACGAGTGCGCTAAGATAGATACACGTCCACCGTCACTCTCAAACGTGGGATTGCGCTGGAGGAACAGACGATACAATCGATTCATTTCATGGAGTACACGATGCTCCATCGCATCATGATGCCGTGAGAAATAAAAGGGAATGTCCAGCAACGCTTTCAGGACAGGCAGGCGCAGAGCAGATACAGCAGTATCACTGACCAAGTCCTGGAATGTGTAGTGTTTGTCCTCAGGATCAAAGTCCATCCCTCGACGCCAGCAGATCGGAATAAGCTTGATACGACCGCCATTGGTCATCGACCTCAAATCCGGATCTTGCATCTGTGTACGCATGACCGTTCGAAGCCTATCGATATCATGCACAAAGTGCATGGACGCATAGTCCTCCGACAGCTTCTGTCCAATACCGTGAACACAAAACAGAAGCTCAGGAGGTTGATCGGATGTACTGGGCATGCCACGATCGTCGTCAAACACGTCGTCCACAGACGACATATCAGGCGCCTCGTCGGAGGAGGAGGACTGCTCGTCGTCCTTCTGTGCATCCACCTTGGCACGGGGCAAGAGATTAGGTGAGAGAAACCAACGCTTCGACAAGAACGCTTCACTCAGTGCCACCCATGGCATCGGCGATGCGGTGGGATCGGATTCATCGCGCTCGCCAATCGTTCCCGCAACAGACTCGGACTCGTCCGTCGCGCTGTTCACCCGATCCGCGTTCTCCACAGTCACAGCCGGCGACTTGTCCGAGGATGACGTATCCGATGGCTCCTGCTTACGCTGCTGCCAGGCCGATAATCGAGAACTGGTCTGCAAGCGCTCGCTTAGAGAACGGGCATGATCAAAACCACGCACAATGTACGTTTCACGTGCAAAAGGAAGCAACTTGCTACCAAAGCTCTGCAATTGGACACGGGCCGTGCACGCGGACTCAAACTGGACTTTCGCTCCACCGACCACGCTGGGTAAGTCAAAGTACATTGGCTCTTCCCCTCGCGTCTTATTGAGTGTCCCCTTGAGTCGCTCCGACAATCTCCAAGGCGACGCGGCTTCGTATGCTTGAAGAATATCACTTTCCAGCACCGTGCCCGTTTGGATGGGCGAGGTGGACCCATCGCCTGCCACATAGAACCACGTAGCACGGACCACCATCTGATCATAACCAGCCCACAACGCAGGGTACATCTTCAGTTAGAGTAGCCAGCATACGTACAATCATGCGAGATAAGTCCACATCAAACAAGTGATCTTCCAGGACTGGTACACGGAACCGGCGCTCCGATGCAGGTTCATCCGGATCCAAAATACGATACGTGGGCACAGCCTGCTTCTCCGTCGGGACCGGAGGCGGGGGTGGCGGTGGGAGAACAGACCCTGTTTCCGTCATTTTGTAGCTCCACCACGACTGAGGAAGCCACCCTTTCTGCGATTTATCCTCCATAGGAGGGTCCTGGACCTTGGCAGGCATGTCGTTTTTGACAGATTGCCATGCTTCCTCCAAAGCAACATTGTCTGACTCCGGAAAGGGAACCCAAATACGGCCATGAGAATGGAACCATACTGGTACCACGGGGATCTCCTCGTGCGTAGAGCGCGAAGAGGGTGGGCTCACACCAACCGACCGGTTCATCCCTTGGCGCACGGGCTGCTGCAACGGGTGGCGTGAAGCCAAACTACGGGGACGTGAAAGTGTTCTTTCATGTGGAGGAAAGTCCATGACACGCATGGATCGCACTATGGTACACAGGGCGCAAAGTGCGCATTGGGTAGGGTCCAGGTGGGCACACCAACAAGAAGAAGACTGAGAATTACACCACAGCTCCAGGACACAAAGAGGTAAGCGAAAGAAGTACGAAGAGGTCGGAGGGCCACGGCTTCGCTGATGAATGTGCTCACGGTGCTAAGCGACCCAGCAAAGCCATCTTGAAGACCTTGCAAGACACCACACGGAAGCGCGGTAATATGGCCATATTGTTGCCCAATGAGTGCACCGCAAAGCACCATAGTTCCAAGGATATTCGCAAGAAAAGTGCCGATCGGCCATGATAGAACATGATGCATGGGAATTTTCTTATCCACGGACGGCGGCGTGTGTAGACGCGCTAACTGCCAGCGCAGCCACGCACCAAGGGGACAAAAGACGAGGGACCACGTAACGTGTCGGAACGGTGCATACAGTCCACACAAGAGGGCCGCACCGACCCACGTAAGTACGCCTGCTAGCAAGGAAAGCAGAAGCGAATATCGCTTGGGTACATGCAGACGTAGCCATCGATCCGCGGGAAAAGAGTCGCCCACGGCGCGTCCAGCCCAAAAACTAGCGATGCCTATACCGAGCGTAGCTGCTGTTTGCGTTAAGGCGTCCATCACATTGTGTAGACCATGTCGATCGAAATGCTCTGTATTGGCAAAAGCTTCAAATACTTGAAGGACCCATGACGAAAAAGACGTACAACATCCAGCAAAGCCTGTGGTAAGCATAGGAAAAGCCGGTGCAAAGCTTGCCTCGATCGCAGCTTTCGTCGTCTTGTGCGACGCCCAACCCATGACCAGACATCCTACACCTTGCGCCCAGATCAAAGGCGCAATACTTTGTCCATCGTACTGGTTTAACGCGACCAGACCCAACCGTGCCAAGGTACCCCACACGCCGCCTACCAAAATGAGCGACGCCGGGGCGAGCCATGACATGGTGTGGAGAGGAAGCCAAGTACATCACGTGCGAAGGAGCCTCCATTAGCGTATTACGACGCGTCGCGTCGCGCGTGAACGCTTCACGCAGCTTTCGTGTCGTGGCGGCCTATGCGGGATACGCAGGGGCAAAGAAGTACACATATAGAAGAAGAGGATGCATCCTCGTCTCCATCTGCAGCACAGGAGGAGGAGGAAGATGTTCGCTCGGACTTCTTTGCCGATTTTGATCAGCAGGCGTTCCTTGCTCAGCTAGATGAATTTAACGCGAGCCTTCAGCAGCAGGCTAGGGCGGCCACACCTGCTGTGCAGAGACAAACTGCCACGGAATCTACACCTCACCAATCAAGCACAAAGGCACCGCCGTCCCTACAGCAGCAGTCACAGCAGCAGCCTGAGTCGTCCGAATTTTATGGGACAGCCATTCAAATTCTGACGCATATTCTTGGAAGCTCAACGCCGTACCCTTGGCTTACCGATGCCACACCCCGTGCCGAGGACAGTCACACACCACGCTGGGATTTACCACCGTCAAGCCCAATGTCGGTCCCCTCTTCGAAAGTGGACATGCAGGTATGTACACGACGTTATGCCTAACCTTCACAGCAGCTGATCAATACGCTGGTACAGCGATTAGGCGGTCCATCCTCGTCGTCCCATCGCGTACGTGAACAGGATTTGACCCAACTCTTGCAAACTCTGCTCGCCCAACAGCCGCCGTCGCAAACGCCATCGCAGGCATCGCACACGCAGCCTGTATCTGCCACTCAACAGAACCGGCCATTGAAGTACACATACCCGGCATCGTCCATGTCAGTGCTGCCAGCCTCGTCAGATCTAAATGCTGTAATGACACAGGCCCCTAGCTCGCCCAACAATGCCGCATCGACGTATCCGATACCCACAGAAGCACATTTTGCTGATCTCACATTCCCCGACGACGAGGATGACGATCCTGATTTCTTGCCTGCGTCCAATGAGGCAGACGATATACCCCCTGTGCCAAGTGCGTCGGCTTGGTCGCTTGCGATGGAAGAAGTAGCGCCTGCCCATGGAACGCGGGCTCGACGACGTGAAGCTTCGCTGTCGCCTATGAAGACGAAACGTGGACGTCCACGGCAATTCACGGCAGAAGAAGCTATGGAACGCAAGCGTGGCAGAAACCGCGAGTATATGGCACGTCAACGTGAGAAGAAGCTTGGCAGCAAAGGCCCAGTGCCTTTGCCAACTGCCGAACCACGGGACAATGACAAAGATAGATTGGTCCTTGAAGCTGAGAACAGGTTTCTACGAGCTGAATTGGAGCGATTGCGCGAAGAAAATGCACAGTTACGTGGCCGAGAAGAAATGCGGGCGTATGCAGCCCGAATGGGTTTAGAGGGACATGTAGGTCGATAGAGAGATTGGGCCCGATAGCATAGTAAAGAAGAGTGTACGCATGAAAGGGGGAACAGAACTAGCAATTACAATATCATACAAAGGTCAGTACATGGGATCGCTTCGGGATGCCTAATCAAAGCCCTCGGCAGGGTCAAAGGTGGTACGTCGCGACTCCACCAGCGCATGCGAGTGCGTGTGTGTCGGTGGACTAAGCGCACCACCTTGAGAGTAGGCAGCGCGATGCTGTGCACGATGGCGATGCGAACGAGCACGGGTTGACGGGTGGGAAACGAGCACGTCGGCTTCGTGGCGTGCAAGAGACCTGCCTTCGCTGCGCGATTGGAAATAGGACGAGTCGTCATCACCGAGTGCAGCATATCGCAGCTCATCCCATGCGTCTTGGGCTGCAAGTTGTTCATTTTCTTCCGGTGAGAGATATGGATGGAAACGACTCATGGCACCATGACCTGCATAGTGCATGTGTTCACGCGAATCCGAGTGTGCATCGCTGTCCACATCATACGATGGCTCAGGCGCATAAGGGTCCTGGTAATAGTAGGCACGTTCATCCATGTCGTCCTGACTCGTTGTACGAACAAGCGCCTTGCTTGACTCAGACGGACCCTCCGTTACGTAAGTGTCAGATGCTTCACTGTGCTTGTCAGACAGAGCCATCGATGTGTCACCTGTATCCTGTGTCGAGTAGGCTACCGCAGGCATGATGATAGGTGTCTGCGCATACATGTCGTGCGCCGCAGGGGGAGACAACGAAGAGGGCGCAGCATAGGCAACGTTCTGCGAAACGGGCGCGCTGGGATACGTGATCATAGCAGGAGCCGCTTGCGTCGGCATGGTGGAGGGTGCATACGATGACACAGGGCGCGACGAGAGAGACTGTTGCTGTTGCTGTTGCAACTGTTGCCGCTGCCACTCTGCCTTCGTCTTCTGGGCTTTCTTCTTGCGGTATAAGTAGAAAAGCGCGATCCCAAGAATGCCTAGTACAATAGCACCTCCAATGGCCACAGGGATACCAATCTTGATACCATTGGACACACCCGAGCTCGGCGCCGTGGTGTTGGTGGGCGTACTTTGACGGCCAGCACCACCCGTAAACATGTTGGGCTTGGGTCCTTGTGGCGAGGCACCTGGATAACCTGGTATACCAGGCTTTCCATCCTGCGTGGGGTTAGGCAGCAGCTGGATATTATCGCGCGACAAGGCAAATTCGGGTTCCTGTGAGGATTGACTGTACTTTCCTGTGTAGTAATAGGCCACAGGCTGAGCACCGACTCCAGTAAGGGACACATTCGACAACTTTAGGTCAGGACAGTTAATAGTGACATGACTCAGCTCCTGCGCGAAATAGCCCCGATCTTGGTAGCCTTTGTCCTGGTAGGAAAGGATACCGTTGGCCCAGTCCTTCTCCTGCTTCGAGGAGCCGGAAGAGGTGCCATACAGAGCAAACACTACGCGAGAAGGCGAGCGTGGGAACATGTTTCCTGCATTCTGGCGCTGTAGTGTACGAATTATTTGGTTGTCCACGGCCCAAGACACATTGGATGGCGTCCAGTCAATGGTGTAGTTGTGAAATTCATTCACATTGAAGCCCTTGGTCGTTTCATCCAGACCCAGCAAAGAGGGCGACTTGTCCAAGGCGCCAAAGTTGGTCGAGATACGCGTCACATTGGTACCTCCAAGACGGAACTCAATTGTATCACCCACATCAGACTGGGTACGGAACGAGGAAACGAGACCTGCAGCAGTGGTATGGCGCATACGGGCTGTAACGCGGCCGTAAAGCATGTACCGTGACGTAGAAATACGCGATTCATGTGCACTAGTCATTTCGAAGAGGACACCTTCCTGGCCTTGACCAAGATAGCCTGATTCAAACACGAAAGGTGACTGATTCGCATCGCCATTGTATTGTAGCAGCGGGCGGAACGAATTGACGTCGTTGAACGAAGAAGGAGGGATCTGCGTGTCCATGTTATTGCAAATAGCATTGGAGACACAAGAGGTAGGTGAGAAGCTATAACCGGCCTGACAGCCAGTGGTGCATTGCGAAGCGCCCCCGCCGCACACACCATTCGAAGAACAACATGGAGCGTCAGAAGGACACTTGTTCTTAGGTCCGCATTGTATACCCCATACGCCGGTAGCGGCATAGAGTGCTGCGCTTAGCAGCCATAAAGGTCGCATTGCGTGTAGGCCAGCGTAACGGTCGAGGAAGGATAAGGTAGTCCAACAACGAAGGGTCTATTCGTAGGGGAAGATGATACTTGGACAGGGGGATCTTATGTAACTTCTACCGTACGCACGCTTGCATGGAGTGGAGGGAGATGCTAAAATGTCATTCGAGATGATTAAGGCACACAAGGCGGTGCGACAGGGCAGGTGGAGGCAAGTGTCGTGAAGGGCCCTGCGCCTAATTACCTTCAAGCTCGCTCTGCCGCCAACGTTGTCGACGTAGAGACCCGACGTGGGCGACCAGTAGCAGGACGTGGTAAACGCGAGGCTGTGGTGGATGTCGTCGTTCGAGGACGCGTCTCCGTCTTGGGCCGTACAGGCCGGTCACCCGAGGCGGAGGCCGTCTGTGTTGGCGTGAAAGGCCCAGTAGCCCAGTGCCAAAAGCGCGATACAACAGAATGGGACGAGGGGGAAGGTTTGGTCCGCTTTGTCGCAGGGGTAAGGCTCTCCTTCTGTGCGGAAGCAGGGGCTTGCGAAGGCACAGGTTCGGGTGCCTCTTCCTCTTCTTCACGAGGCCGCTTGCGGGGAGTTGTCAGTAGATGGAACGACTTTTCCAACAATGGTTGTGTCGCATCCTGCTCCCACTCACGAAGGAATCGAGCTTGAAGAGCGGGTACACGTGCATAAAGACGTGTCAGCGCCCAATCTCCCTGCAAGTCGTCTGGCTCGAGGTGGGCATCCTCTAAAAATTGCAGGATGACTTGGTCCACATCGACATGCATCACACTGTTGACAATATCCTCGTCCTCCAAAGAGATCAGAGTGCGGAAATGGCGATCCAGCTCAGCCCATGCATGCTCTGACCATTGGCCAGCCAGCGCCTGGGGTCGGAGAGAGGCGGCCGATAACGTGGGGACACTCTCGGCGCGTGGCGTGCGTAGGAAAGCGCCAGGCACATGAGGCGTGCGCATGGATGGAGTTGTGGGTCGCTTTTGAAGCTCAGATTCAGCGGCATGAAACAAGTCAGGTAGAGATGGCATCGTTGAGGCACCTGGCAAGGATGGGTAGTCCATATCGGAATCGCCGAGCCAGCCTTCTTGTATGTACTTGTGATGCACTTTAAGAAGCGCAGCGGCACGGGCGGCTGCTTGGGAGTCCAAGCTGGAGATCTCGACGCATGACGTGGGGCGTGGACGTGAGAGCATCATAGCTCGCGAGTGCGAGGAAGCAGACAAACTAGCACTCAAATCAGCTAACGACGTGTCGTCGTCCACGTCGTGATCCGCCTCCGCGGGCGCTTGCAAAGGTAGAGACCATACGACCAGGTCATCGGACCGCATAGAGGGGGGATCGAGAGGCGCAGGCGCATCGACAGGATCGGTATGGGGCGTGGCGTCGTGGACAATGTCTGGCTCTGGCCCAGGCGTTGGTGGCGCAGGGAGAAATGGCGATGGGGGCACGACACGACTCGCACGTGGGCTTTTGAAGGGCGAAAGCGATCGGCGAAGATGCGCACCTGCCGCTGACACATCGCGTACAGGGGAAAGAGATACCCGACGGATCGGCGAGGATAGGAGTTGTTCGCTTTGATCATCCGCCTCACGGACCATAGGAGCAGGTGGTGGAAGAGAGACCGCTTCCTCGGGCACAGAGACGATCTTGGCCACCGCTTCACTATGTAGTGTAGGAGGGGGCTCCATCACTGACGAAATACTGGCAGACCCATCGCCAACCTCGTTTATGCCAGGTACTTCGATCACGGAGGGAACAGCGCTGGTATGCGCCAAGTGTGGGGGGGATACAGGTGGGTCTACCTCCGCCTCAATCACCAATGGTTCCGTCTCGGGCGCATCGGGATGTGGCACTTCCAGCCCAGGATCTTTGGAGTCGTGTGGCACCGTTTCTGCCTTGCTTAGCACGGACTGCAAAGGATCTTGGCGCCAGGGTGACATGGTAGGCCTAGGCAGAATCTCCATCATATCTTGAGCAAGCACATCATCAGTGTCTTCCGATACGTGATGCGTAGCAGCAGTGCGAATATTCTTGGCAATGGGGTCATCATCCAGGATTTCCACAGGCGAGTCCGGATGAGTCGCATGATCCAGCAGCCCAAAGTCAGTGGTATCGGCGGGCGCTGGGGGGGTAAGTGCTCTGGGTGACATTGGCCGTGTCGGCGATGGATGGAGTGATGCAGCCGGTGACGGGACGTGCGAAGATGTTAAGGGCGATGCCGCCCCTGATTGTCTAGGCGAGGTAGTCGGCTTGCGTGGTGATGGCACAGGCTTGGAAGGCGACACCGTCAAACTTGCAGCAGTCGAGGATAGTTCCCTCATTGTACGTTCGTCTGCCAAACTACGCTTCACAGGTGAAGTGTGCGCAGATCGCTGCTGCTTGCGAGCCGACGCGGCGATCGAGGGCGATTGGCGCCATTCCGCCATAGGCGTTCGTGACTGGCCCTGCACGGTGGATGTCGATGTAGCACGCGGGGTATAGGACGTCGACGTGGGCTGTGAGGGATTTGTCCGTTCGAACCAGCTGGTATCGTGATCGTCGCGTCGCCGCGATGGAGGTCGCACAATACGCGGTGCTCCTGCCTCCCTTGTAAAAGGTAAATCGATATCGGCAGGGTCATCGTCAGGGGCATGAAGGAAATCAATGTACACTGGTTCATGGGACGATGAAGTTTTGCTGGGCGGAGTCTTTTCCGTAGGCCCTGGTGGGGTAGGAAACGAGGGTACAGCCGGCTCCAGCTCGGGCAGTGCGTCCGTAGGTGGAGGCGAGGACATGCGTTTGGATGCCTTGGTGGGCGAGCGAAGCAGTGCCACACGTTCATGGATGCTCAAAGAACGATCATACAAGCTAGGTGTAGGTTTCTGAACAGGCTGTACCCGCATGGGTGAGACTTTGGGCGTAGGCATGTCACGGCGTGTAGATAAAGCTCGCTTGGGCGTAGGTACGACATCGGTAAGACCTAGATCCTCTCGCTCAAAGCGACGCACCATTTCCAAGAGGCTTGCATCGCCTTGCGCAGCCCGCATAGACATGTTCGACATGACAGGTTCATGCAGAAGTAAGGGATCATCTGTGGAGCTGGCAGGGGATGCCGGTCGCTGCGCCAAGGCCACATCAGGGGCAGCGGCGGTGGCAGGAACGTCGCCAGGGCGCCTTCGAGGCACAAACGGGGCTCGTGAAGATGCACTGGGCCCAGGCGCCTCGACAAAGTCACGCGCAAACGAGGTAGTAGGCGCATCGTCCTCTAGAATGGACATGGGCTGGTGTCGGCGCTGTTTGGAGGGGGAGGGGGTACCAGCGAGGCGCGACTTGCTGGACGACCAATTCGGCGCCGGGTACTCGGAGTAAGGCCGAAGAGATCGACGCGGCGTGCTAGGCGTCAGGCTCGCAGATACATCCTGCGAGAATGCTTGTGGCCGAGCCTGGAAAGGTGTGGAAGATTGCGCAGTCCGCTCCCGCGATGGCGGCGGAAACCCGCCGGCCGCCAAAACATGTTGCAACGCTTGCGCACGATCCACACTAGTCCCAGCGGGAGACATGGTCTGCGATACTTGAGAAGAATCGGCCTCTAGTAGAGACGCGCGCGATTTGCGCGGCAACGCAAACGACATGGCTGACGCTACGCTGGGATGCGCGCTGCCGTGCAGCGTGTCCGACGAAGCAACGCGGTGTGGAGAGCGGCGGCGCTCTCAAGGCACGCGCGTGGGTAGGTGGCCGCGGCGTGGTCGCGCACGCGTAGTTCTCCACTTGACCGAAGCGCTTATGCATTGCTTAGACGAATACCTCCACCCTCGCATTAAAACTATATACACGTGATTGTTCACGTGAGAAGACAGACATAAGGGTGGACAAGGTTGACCCAGCACGGCTTCTTCCATACCGTCACCAAGACCAAGATGACGAAGAAGAGGAGGAATGGAGGGTATGTGAGATCCTTGCTGTAATGGATAGCTAACTGTGCTAGACGTAACAAGCACGGCCGTGGCCACGTTAACTTCGTGCGCTGCTCGAACTGCGCTCGTGCTGTCCCCAAGGACAAGGCCATCAAGCGCTTCACTGTCCGCAACATTGTTGAGGCGGCCGCTGTCCGTGACCTGAGCGAGGCTAGCGTGTACGATGGTATGTATCATTAGCAAAATCACTAACTGGCTCAGAGTACGTGCTGCCCAAGCTCTACATTAAGCTGGCCTACTGTGTGTCGTGCGCCATCCACGCCAAGGTGGTGCGTGTCCGTTCGGTTGAGGGCCGTCGCAACCGTGCTCCGCCGCGCTTGCGCTTCAACCGTGACAACCGCAAGTCGAACCCGGCCGCCGCCCAGGCCGCTGGTGGTGCGCGTAACTAAGCCAAAAGCTGGCCCATAGCTGCTAGCCACTAAATGACCTATTTACCATGATGTTGTGGCGCGTACGAAACAATGACTTGTACGAAAGCGAAGGTACATAGAGAGCGACACTACCAATGCGGCTGTAAATGCACAAGACAGCGCAGAACATCGTCGGCGATGACGCCCCCTGTGCGGGGACTCAGGTCGCGAACCAAGTCCAAGAGCTTAGGGCGCGACATGCATTCGGAGGTATGCAGCAGGGTGCCGTCGAGAATGCCCTTCGCAAGGGGCCGGGAGGTGCGATCATTCCATACGGCACGGAAAGCACGTGGATGAAGCCCGGCCGTATGGCGCACCGTGCGGACCAACTGGCTCTGGAAGAGCTGCAGCGTAGGGAAGATGCGTTCGTTGACAGGCACGAGAATATCCAGCGCGCCATTGTGCTTTGCGAGCAAGATTTCCGAGGTGAAGCATTCGCCCAACGAAGCGAGACGAGGGCCATGGAGGACCAGCGTCTGTGCCACTTCCCCCGCGGTATGGTATTCGCATCGCACCAGCAAGCGCTGACCACCTAAGCTGGTCGGGTTCGAGGGTTGGTAGTCCAGGAGCCGAATGCACCCGGTAGGGTCGCAAGTGACCAGCGCAAGCTTTGAGCGATCGATGAGCAAGGCACCTTGCAGGGCACATGTAGGCACATACTCGCGGCCCAAGAACACAAGGCGCGCTGGATCTTCCTGGAACGCGACAAAGTAGGCGCCTTTGTGGTAGTCGGTCAGCAGCAAAAAGTTCTTCACACGCTGGATGTCGGTCGTGTAGAAGGCTGTGTCCATAAATGCGATCGTCACGAGCCACTCGCTATACTCCAACGAGCGGATCAGCAGTTTCTGGCCGACTGACGCTACAAGGAAGCCATGCATATCATGCAAAGCCGTCACAGGCGCCCGCATTTCCTCGCGGCAGAGCAGACGGAGCCGCATGGCATCGCCAGGCGCACTGGTCGCTGTCGGCACGCTCTCCACTACGTCAAAGACGTACATGTGGCCGCGCGTGGTGCGGTCCTCACCGTACCACGACATGGTACCCACCGCGACCATAGCTCGTCGACCCGTCCCACGATCCAAGCAGTCCAACGGCGCCATGTGCAAGGCCAACACCACTTCGTTGGCCTCAAATTCGTAGCCATGCACGGGCGGCTCGCCCAGACGCGCAAAGAGCTCCAGCGCGCCTTGGCCTGTGTACGTAGGCGTAGGATCCAAGGCGGGGTCCTGCACAGGCACATCTTCGTCGTTGTACAGCACAAACGCCGTAGGCTGGACAGACGCAGCTACCAAGCACGCTGTTTCGTCGTGCACACCCACATGCGTGTACGGCCGCCCAGTGGACCAGCGCGTGTACGGCACAGGAGCATCCATCTGGCACGCATGCCACGTGACGAGCACGGCGTAGCCGTCGTCTACGAGGATCGAGACGGCGGCCTCGGTGGGATGCGCACAGAGGGAGGCAAAGGGCATGTCAGCTTCCCACTGGAGCACCGGCGACAAGCGATCGCGGAGAAGAAGCATGGCATCGGCCCCTGCTACGGCTAGCCCACGATGACCGTCCCTACTTCGCCACGGGAGGAGTGCATGCGCCGGCGCACTAAGCATGCGTGCATCCACACGCACAAAGTCCCATGTCGAGGTAGAGAGACGCGCCTCGTAGACGGCCAGTTGTCCATTGGTATATTGCACCGTCAACATAGGCACATCGCCCATCTCACACAGCGCGATGTGCGCAACATGAAGAGGCTCCTGTGTCGCCACGCCGCCGTCGTCAAGACGCGAAGGCAAGACACCCAACGACGTACAGGTCCATTGCGGTTCACACGCCGGCAGCGAAGAAAGCGTCAGATGCCCATCCTGCGACACGGTAGCGAGCCATGCAGCATGGCCCCATGTTTGCGTAGGATCCATCCACAGGACAGCATGCGTCGCCTGCCTATCGGCGAGGTGCGTCCAGGCAGAGGCATACTGCCACACAGACGCAAGCCCATCGGAGCCTACAAGCACCGCATAGGCCTCCATGACGTGGGCCGATACAATCGTCACGCCGTCGCGCGCGCCAAACGTAGACACAATCGCGCCTTGCCTCGATAGCACTTGCGCCTCGCGTGTCGTGACACGGACCAGCCCACCTGTGGTGGTGCCGCAGTGCACAGTGCGATCGGTCAGCTGCGCGAGGAACCGCGGCGTAGGCGCTTCTAGGGCATACACCAGCGTGTCTTCGTCGTCAGACGCGATGAGCAGCAGAGGCAAAGAATCGGCAGCCAGACCACTCCATACATCCTGCGCCGGCGCAATCGTATGTAGACGGCGATAGCGTACACGTGGCTCGTACGTCACAAGGCCCTGCTGCGTAGCGACAATTGTATGCACCTGGACATGGCCCATAGCGTCACGTAGCGACCCAGTAGCAATACCGTGGACAGGCGCCAGAGTAGGAATCGCATCGCAAACACGAAGGCGCATCAAGGCCGTTCGGCGATGCGTCGTCGTAAGGGCCGGCGCAGCCAACGACTCGCCATACAGATCCAATTCGTCCTCGTCCATGGGGGGTTCAGATACAGGCAGAGGCGCCTCGTCGCTAAGCACAGTCTCCAAGGTATACAAACACGTATCTTGTTGGACGGATCCACACAGGAGGTAGCCGCCTGGCATCGATGTGACAAACGACGCACTCGCCTGCCGCTCTCCCGCGACGCGCGTAAGCGAGAGCGAGGTCACTGTTCGGCCTTCCACAGCACATTGAAAGGCATACACATCGCCTGAGGCCAAAAGAAGAAGACCTTGCGTTGCGTCGGTAAATGTCAACGTAGACCCTTGTAAATCCACGTCCTCCAAATCAGGATCGTGGCGTAGAGGCGTGTCGCATGTCTTTTCGGACCATGCACTGGTACTTAAGCCGACCATACGTGCCGTTTGGTCCATATGCCAAAGCGCAAAAGGCGTCACAATCATCACACCGCCCAAGGATTCAGGGCAGGCGACCAGGTATAGGGCATGGTAGGGCAACCATTCACTTGTGACGGTCACGGTATACATAGTGCTAGCCACATCCAGCGTCACAAGGCTCACACGCATCGTCTTTTTGGCGCGCGATAAGCTACCGGTCCACGTTAATTGCGGCTCGTACAACACGGCCAATGTCGGTTTCTGGAAGCCGGGAAGAAAGACCATGTCACGTATATTGCGAATCGACGCATCCACGTCCTCGGTCACGGAAATAATGAACGAGGGCGCGTACGGAATCTGCGAGAGAAGCGACGCATCCTGCCCTTCTTCCACGCCCAGTTCAGCAGGGTCTTGGTACAGAGGTACAAGGGCAATGGCATCGTGAGGGAGCAAAAGCGCAGCACAACGGCTCGCAGGATCCACTTGCAGGGATGGGACAAACATCGACGGAAGCCCAGCAGAAAGTTGCTCCGCACGCTCAAACGTATGTAGCGATACGGCATTCAAGTCGCCGTAAGCGTCGTCCCATTCCATAAGTGCCATTTTCGCATCGCGGAAAGAAAGGAGAACCCGGTCTCGTCCATCCACCAACGACGCAATCGTACGTACAGTACGTATCCCTGTCACCTCACCAAAGAGGCGGTGCATACGTACTTGGACCAACTGCGGCGAGCTTTCAGTGGCCGACGTCGATGGCACACGGACCTCAAACACGCGAAGCACATCGTCGCGTGCCAGGACCGCATGGTATAGCAAACGGCCCCGCGTGGTAGGCCAGCACGCATGTGCCTCCTTCTCGCCATGCCGCACGAAGCAAGCTGCCACACCATGCGTAAAGCCACTGGCAGGCACCCTCTGGTGGTGCACTGCGTAGGCCATCGTGATGGGGGTGAGAGAGATGCTTAGTCAGCGTGATGGAAGTCATACAAGGGAAGTGTATCTATACAAAGCCAGCACTACCGATTTTCTTCGCAGTGCCGCTACGTGCCTTTCGTTTGCGGAATAGATTGGTATCAGATGCAGGCGTCTCTTCTTCGTTGATAGGTGGCGGCGTAGATAGGCGAGGAAGGGGCACAGTCTCGTCCTCCTCTTTTTTTACCGGCTCCATGGGCTGAGTGCGAGGTCGCTTGAGCACAATGGGCGCTTCGTCCTCTTCGTCTTCTTCATCCTCCGCCAACGTCTTTTCCGTAAGCTCAAAATGGCGCTTCTCATCTCGATCTGATGTCACACTAGGCCCAGCTGTGGACACGGATGACAGCGAAGACGTAGTGGCAGACGTAGGTGTATACGTCTCCCACTCACCAATGTGCACTGTTTCTTTCTTTTTCGCACGCTTCGCGAGCCATTGAGCATCTTCATCTCCAGACACACCTAGAGATTCGGCTGTGGTATAAGATGCCATGTTGTTCGTGGGCGTCCACGCACTAGGACGTGATAAGGTTGGCGGGTGGCTGGCCGTCGATGAGGAGCCACGATCATGCTTCCTATGATCTCGCGAAGCAGCCTGGACGTAAGAAGGGCGATAGACGTACCTTTTCAATCCTCAGTAGCTCCATGTGGGCTTGTACCTCTGCGCGTCGCTTCGCATCATTTTCCTTGTGTAGTGCTCGCAAAGCACGCTCTACATTGTGTTTGTGACGCAAGCCATTCTCATGGTGCCTTCGTGATGGTATGTCATCGTTGATCGTCACATTGCAGTATTTGCAAGTCCATCGTTTCCGGGAAATCCACACGTCCGCCATAGTGCATGGCCCTGGCGTGCGTGCGCCGTACGACGTACACGCAGCAAGTGTGCCACCACGTGACGAGAATGTGGATGGGCGCAAAGGCGTTCCAACCGAACGCAAAAGCCATCGTCCCAGGAAAGAGCATAGAACGATCGTATGGTGTCTATAAAGAAAGGTATCAGTAGAACAGGGCCACCACGCGGTAAATGTAGTAGAAGAGAAAAAAAGCAGTGGAAGAGATATAGTACCTTTAGGTGGTCTTCGAAGTGTCATGGGAGGAAGAAGCAGCATTTGGGGACGTAGACGTCCCTGCTGCAGTACTCGGCGTAGTATTCGTAGGAATGGTCGGTGTATTAGGTCCAGTGCCCGAACTAGGAGACGTCGCGAGTTGCTCCGATGTGATAGTAGGCTGGCCGAACAACATTGGCATACTCTGCATTAGATTATCATTCATGGAAGACATGGGCATCATGGCATTAGGATGGTAATATTGGGCTGGTAGTTCAGGGGACGGGCCCATCCACATGCCGGGCATAGACACAGATAGATTGGGCTGGGTGCGACGGCGCTTCAGGGCGGCTACCGGAGAGGGCTCCACGCCATCCACACGCTTGCTTGAACCCACGGCGCCAGGCGTCTGTGCACCCCATCCCGGATTGAAAAGAGGAGCTGTGGCGTGAGGGAATACAGGGCCATCGCCGACGGGCGTAGCACCAATAGCCTGAGCTGTAAAGCCAGCATCAGCGCGGCTTGGGTCCATGCCGATCGCATCTTCATCCTCATCTTCATCTTCATCTCCTTCTTCTTCGTTATCAACATAATCCTCTTTCATGATGGGCATGGAAGAAGGACCAGGCATGTTCGCGCCACCTGCCGATGGCTTCACAGGATCAGGCGCGTTCAGGCACTCTTGAATCAGGTTCCGACCTTCAGGCTCCTTCACAACGGCTTCTAGCTTGGGCGTAGTAAATGTGTAAACCAACCCGGTTTGTGATACCACCAAAAGCAGCACCTGCGTACCAGTCAAGGTAGCAAGTTCATACGCCTTCTTCATGATACCAGCCTTTCGCTTGCTAAAGGTGATATGGCGGCGTGAGTCGTCGTCAATAAACTCAATTTTAATCTTGCGACGACCTGTCTTGCTATCCTTCTCACCCTTGGCAGGGGTGCGCCTCTTGGCGTTGGCACGCGCTGAGGAAGGGCCCATGTTCACAGACATGGGCGTCGAACCGGTCATGGAATTGTCTGCCGAGTCAGGAACAGGTGTAGCTGGTGTAGACCCACCCATATCCGAGGGAACCTTGATGTTTCCCCGAGGTGTGCGTGCAGGGGTATGGGTCATAGGCTGCGATACATGGCGAATGGAAGGTGTATGTCCCGTCGCTGAAAAAGAGGTAGAGGCAGAACGCTGCTCATTCATGGACCTCTGCATCATGGAAGGGTTGGACGCGGTCCGATTTGGCATCGGGGTATTCGCTGGCGCTGGCGAGGAAAGAGGGTGTGCCATGGACGACGATGGGCCGGCAGGCGAAAAGTTGGAGAAGTCAGTTGGCATACCCATCATGCCATTGGGACCTGGCGGCATCGGAGCGCCCTGACCACCTTGCATCGATGCAAGATGAAACGGCCAGCCGCCGTGCTGCATGGTATCAAATGTTTGCCCCATCGGTATCGACCCATGAGGCATCTGATACAACGATGGAAAGGATGCAGACTGGTCCTGTGACATAGGACTGCTCAGATACCCATTCATATCCACATTCGACGCGTCGAACGAGTTCAATCGCGTTTGATTTGACATTGTCGCGACTGCAGGTCCCTGTCGTAGAAAAGTGTTTCCTAAACGGGAGTTGCTCAAAAAAAAGACGCGGTACCAAAACGGGAGGGAAATTCCCCTTGGCCCCAAGGGCCATCTGCTGGTGCTCACGCACTTGGCACGTGGGACACGCATGTGCCTGGAAAACACGCCAATCATTTCGATGAGCTAAGCCCACGGAGCTGTACTGTCCAGGAGGAAAGCCATACTGGCAGACGGACATACATATCATGGACTCATGCATTGGATTATGGCCAACTAGATATCATACTACACGGATCGCCCATCTAGAGACAATCGGCTACGACAACCAACGAGAAAGGTCGTTTAGTACTCTTCCATGTCAAGACCATCCTCGTCACCCATAGCCGTCTCCATACCGACCTCTTCGTAGTCCTTCTCCAGCGCAGCGAGATCCTCACGCGCTTCACTGAACTCGCCTTCCTCCATACCTTCACCCACGTACCAGTGGACGAAGGCACGCTTCGAGTAGAGAAGGTCGAACTTGCGGTCCAGACGGCTCCAGGCAGTGGCAATGGCCGTCGTGTTGGCCAGCATACACAGCGAACGCGACACCTTCGCCAAGTCACCGCCCGGCACAAGCGCCGGCGGCTCGTTGCAAATACCGATCTTGAAACCAGTCGGGCACCAGTCCACGAACTGGATGGTACGCTTGGTCTTGATCAGGCTCACAGCTGAGTTGACATCCTTCGGCACAACATCACCACGGTACAACAGACAGCAGGCCATGAACTTGCCGTCACGTGGGTCACACTTGACCATCTGGTTGCCCTTCTCGAAGCTCGAGGTGGTCATCTCAGCCACACTGTTCTGCTCGTGGAAGGCCTTGTCCGCCGAAATAATCGGGGCGTACGTAGCCAGAGGGAAGTGGATACGCGGGTACGGCACCAAGTTGGTCTGGAACTCGTTCAGGTCAACGTTGAGCGAGCCATCAAAACGCAGTGAAGCAGTGATCGACGACACAACCTGTGCAATCAGACGGTTCAGGTTGGTGTAGCTCGGAGCACTGATACCCAAGTTGCGCTTGCAAATGTCATAGATGGCCTCGTTGTCCACCATGAACGAGCAGTCCGAGTTCTCCAGCGTCGTGTGGGTCGTCAGCACGGAATTGTAAGGCTCCACCACCGAGCTGCTCATCATAGGAGCGGGGTACACAGAGAACTCAAGCTTGGCCTTCTTGCCGTAGTCCTGGGCAAGGCGCTCCAAGAGCAGCGAACCGAAACCGGAACCCGTACCACCACCAAACGAGTGGAAAACGAAGAAGCCCTGAAGACCAGAGCAAGCATCAGCGAGCTTACGCACACGGTCCATGGTCTGGTCGATCAGCTCCTTACCCACCGTGTAGTGACCACGAGCGTAGTTGTTAGCAGCGTCCTCCTTACCCGTGACGAGCGTCTCCGGGTGGAAAAGACTCTTGTACTGTCCATTACGGACATCATCAACCACATTGGGCTCAAGGTCGACGTAGATGGAGCGCGGCACGTACTTACCGCTGCCCGTCTCGCTGAAAAAGGTAGAGAAGCCGTCATCATTCTTAGACTTGCTCTCCTCCGTCAGGCGGCCATCCGGCGTCAGGCCGTGCTCCTGCAGGTACAGCTCCCAGCAAGCATTACCGATCTGAATACCTGCTTGACCAACGTGAAGCGAAAGAACTTCCCTCATGGCGGAAAATGTGGTGTCAAAGGCTCAAAAAGTGACGTAGAGCGTGGCGACAGGGAAAAACCACACACGGTCGGGGCCGCGCCTGGGTGTGGACAGCGCGAGGCATATTGCACAAATACCCCTCAGGACCACATCAACACGCGTCTTGATCACGTGATGGGGACTAGGTACACACAACTTCGTCTATGTGCGTTTCCGAACAAAGGAGACGGAGAGGACAGGGCAAGCATGCCCAACTCCAAGCATGAGGCGAAGGAGTAAAGGATGAGAAGACGAGCTAGAGAGCGCGTCTAGGGTGAAGACGGACACATACCATCTCAATACGATCAATATGGGGTCTCCCACATTCTATCTAGTCCATAGAAAACGGAGCAAAAAGTGTACCGCTATAGAGCTAGAGTGCCTATGACACTCTACAGCCCACTTATAGCGAACAGTAGAGGACCACAGAGGCCTCCTACATCTTCGTATCGCGACTGTTGTGAGATGGTTGCGATGTCATTATGTGAGCCGGAGTAATCGAATCCAACAAGACGCTTAGTCAAAAATTTGGTAAGGCCGCCCATCCCAAGGGAAAAACGTCTCCCGGAGCCCTGCATCGCTGAGCAACAGCGGTCAGCGCGTAACGCTACACAACTCGATACCGTACGCACACATTGTTAACAACAATGCTAACATGGACAGTGGCAGTATAAGTGCACCCAGTGTAATGGATGCACGCGCCTCCTCGTCTGACCAGCATGTCGACGAAACAAACAGCGCCGCGACTACACCAGTGACCCTACCCATGCCAACACTCCAAGCACCGTCACGCACCCCCATGGACCCGCCTCCGCAGCCACGGGCAGAGAGGTATCTGAGCTACGAAGAGTTCCGTGAACAAGAGCCGCCGCAAGCGCGGCTTTTACGTTTGCGTGGTCTTTTTGAGTTGCTTGTTGATCAGGACAGCAGCTCGGCCCTGGCGGGTGGACGTGCCAAGCAGATGTGGCGTGCGCGTGCGAGTCGCGCGCGGTACGGTGCTGGTGGCGCTTTGGCTACAGGCAGTCTAGTGGACCAGAAGGAACCTGTGCATGCAGCCAAGGCAGCGCACCAGCGCGAATGGCTTGCCCTTGTACGTCGGAACCGCTATGCCAGCGAACTGCTTGCCGAGTGCCGCAAGCGGCACGCAGAGCTTGAGAAGCAACAACGGGAAGCTCAGGGACATGGCGATCAACACTCGCTGCAAGATACACTATGGAGCAAATGGCATAGCGTAGTGAGCCTGGTGCATGAAGAACTCAGTGTGGAAGACAAACCATCGATATGGGCATCAATTCAAAACCTTCTGAGCTCTGATATGCCATCTATGCTAATGAGTCGCGAGTCTGGTTGGACTGGCTCGCGTGTTTGGGGCCTGCAGGCTCGTGAAAACGGCTCCCATGGCCACGATACCCCTACACCAACATGCACGGCAACATCATCCAATGACAAAGAACGAGCGAGGCAGCGCCAAATTGAATGGGAAGGATTCGTTGCTTACGCAGAGTTCCAAGAACGCGCCTTATACAGCCTGTTTGGCGAGATTGATACCAATAAGGACGGCATGTTGGATGAAGAAGATATCCAAGCGGCCTTTGATAAAGCCGGCATACGTATGACCCATGTGGTGTTGGACGATTTTATTGCGAGCATAGCGTCCTCGGGCGTCCAGGATGTGAAAGAATTGCATGCCCGGGACCTGTATGTGACGTTCCCCGAGTTCCGTGACTACTTGCTTCTTTTGCCTCGCAAACCTACTGTGCCGGAAATTTTCCGTTTCTACCAGGTACGGAAGGCAGTAGGTCTGTTTGGCACCGAAGGCATTTTTGCTGAACTTGGGGCGGCCATGGGAAAGACTGCCCGGGGTGTGACGCATGTGAACTTCGACGGTGATATGACGTACTCTGGCGAGTTGGACAGAGATGAGAAGAAGCAAGGAAAAGAGACAGATGGATGTGTGGAGGAAGAGGAGGCATCGACCAAGGACAATGAACCGTCGGAGGATGCAAAGCCGAAGTCGGATATGATTCAGTTCGACGTGGCAGCCAAGTTTCTGCTGGCGGGTGGCCTGGCAGGGGCCGTGAGTCGTACAGCTACTGCGCCATTCGATCGATTAAAGATTTTCTTGATGACATCGCGAGCCTCGTTGAGTCCTGCGGCGATGGGCCAAGGGGCCACGACGACCAAGTCGGGCTTTGGTGCGCTGGCCCAGGGTATGATTACCATTTATCAAGAGGGCGGCCTCCGTGGGTTCTGGCTTGGTAACGGTTTGAACTGCATGAAGATCATTCCCGAGTCGGCCATCAAATTTTTCACGTATGAATACATGAAACGGTTCTTTGCGAAGTACGTGGATGGCGTCTCAGATTCGCGGGATATTAGCGGAATGAGTCGCTTTGTGAGTGGCGGTGTGGGTGGTATCACGTCGCAACTCTCCATCTATCCCATTGAGACGCTGAAAACTCGTTTAATGTCCAGCATGAACAACCAGGGTCATGTGCGTGGTATGGCCTTGCTGTGCCAAACGGCCCGAGAGATGTGGCAACGTGGTCGATTCCGAGCGTACTATCGGGGCTTGGGAGCTGGATTGTTGGGCGTATTCCCCTATTCTGCCATTGACATGTCCACCTTTGAAGGCACGAAGCTGTTCTACTTGCGCTACACAGGCAAGGACGAGCCAGGTGTATTGGCCTTGCTAGCCTTTGGGAGCTTTTCTGGTAGCGTGGGTGCGGCAACAGTGTACCCTCTTAACCTGGTTCGAACGCGGCTGCAGGCCTCAGGCACACCTGCCCATCCATTTATCTACAAAAGTCTCTGGGATGCCACCTACCAAACATTCCAACGTGAAGGTATTCTAGGTTTCTACCGTGGCCTGATTCCTACGCTGGCCAAGGTGGTACCTGCTGTATCGATTAGCTATGTGGTGTACGACCGGGCCAAGAAGACGCTGGGCGTTGCCTAATGAAAGCAGTCCGCTGTAGGGTGTTATGCATTTTCGTAGTGTTCACACAATGTACTTGGTTCTAATGACCGATGGATCGTGCATCCTGGCCCAGGCCCAAAGCGGCCTCGTGTGAGACGAGCCCAGCGCCTGGACGACACATGCGCAGCACGCAGACTCTCCCCGCGAGACAGCTGCGCCAAGGCAAGCTCTTCTTCGTCTGTCCGTGCATACCAAGCAGCCGATCGTCGATCGAGGCACATTTCAGCTATTTCACCCCGCACACCTTATGCATTCGAACATTGGTCACGGTCAACTTCCAGCCGTAATTTCGAGGCCGAGATGGTAATCCGAAAAGCCGGCAGCCAATCATGTGGCAATATAGGCCGGCCAACCGGCGACCGGGGACTGCGTCTTTAAATTGCACCAATCCGCGTGCACGGTTCACTCAGCCGACCGGTGCGCGGAGACCGGCAAAGAGATGGGCAGCACAGGATAAAATGCAGAGAACCCCGCAGTGCCAGTTTGCCTTAACAACTACTACAAGATGGCGAAGGCTAATCTAACTATGGAAACCTTGGCCAAGGAGCGGCTCAACCCGCCCTTTGACTTGCATGCTATGGCTGTTGCCAACCACGGCTCCGAGACACGTCTTCAATTCAAGCGCCGTGTCATGCTCGAGCTGGAGCGCAACAACGCTTTCTTCAACGATGACTTTTACGACCTGACGGAGCACGAGCTCCGTGAGCGTACCTTCATTAAGATCGGCAGCATCGTGAACTGGCTCCAGAACGAGCCACTCGATGTGTTCCGTCAGCGCCTGGAGGTCATTTCGGTGGCCGACCCCGGCTTCTGGACGCGTTTCGGTGTGCACTTGGGTCTGTTCACCAACTGTGTTCGCTCGGGTTCGACCTCGGGTCAGTTTGCCTACTGGGTGAACAAGGGCATGCTCTCGTGCCGCAACTTCTACGGTTGTTTCGGTATGACCGAGATCTGCCATGGTTCGAACGTCCAGGGTATCGAGACGACGGCCACCTTCGACGAGGACACGGATGAGTTCATTATCCACACCCCGCACCTGGGTGCCACCAAGTGGTGGATCGGTGGTGCTGCCCACTCGGCCACCCACTGTGCTGTGTTTGCCCGGCTGATCGTGAAAGGCAAGGACTACGGTACGAAGACCTTTGTGGTGCCTCTGCGTAACGTGGACACCTACGACACGCTCCCGGGTGTCACGATCGGTGACATTGGTATGAAGATGGGCCGTAACGGTATCGACAACGGTTATATCCAGTTCACCTACGTCCGTGTGCCTCGTGCGTACATGCTCATGCGCCACTGCCAGGTCACTCGCGAGGGTCAGGTGTTCGAGCCGCCGATGCAGCAGCTCGCCTACGGTGCTCTGCTCACTGGTCGTGTGATGATGGCCGTGGACTCGGGTAACATCGGTAAGAAGGCGATTACCATTGCCGGCCGCTATGCCGCTGTGCGTCGCCAGTTCAAGAGCGACCCGAACCAGGAGTACGAGACTGTTCTGCTCGACTACCCGATTCACCAGCGCCGCCTGATGCCGCTGCTGGCCCAGGCTGTGGCCTTCCAGTACACTGGTCAGCAGCTGACCCACATGCTTAACAGCACCACGGAGGCCCTGGATGCTCTGGAGCCTGGTGACCCTAAGCTGGAGGAGGTCCTTGAGCTGCTCAAGTCGACCCACGCCTCGAGCTCGGGTCTCAAGGCCTTCTGCACGTGGGCTACGCTCTCGGCCATCGAGGTGTGCCGTCAGTCGCTGGGTGGTCACGGTTACTCGGCCTACACGGGTCTCGCTCCTCTGTACAACGACTTTGCCGTCCACTGCACGTGGGAGGGTGACAACACGATCCTGGCTCTCCAGCTCGGTCGCGCTCTCATGTCGGCCTACGAGGAGGCTAAGCAGGGCAAGCACCAGGGTGAGGCTCTCTCGTACCTGAACAACATTGACCAGGTGCTTGGTGCCCGCTGTGGCTCGGAGGAGGAGCTCGACACGCTCGAGGGTATTGAGGCTGGTTGGCTCACGGCTTCGGCGCACTTTGTCAAGGTCGCCAGCGACGAGTTTGAGCGCCTCATCCAGGCTGGCCACACGCGTGAGCAGGCGGCTGAGAAGTGCTCGCAGCTCCGCTTCGTGGCTGCTAGCGTGCACACCAGTGGCTTCATCTTCCGTCAGTTCCGTGCTGCTGTGAACGAGCACAAGGACGGCAGCGATGGTGTCAAGAAGACCATGGCTACGCTGGCCAAGCTCTACGGTCTCTGGCAGATGGAGGAGAAGTCGGGCTTCCTGCTCCGCTCGGGCTGGCTCAAGCCGGAACAGTTCGACTACGTCTCGCGCCGTGTCACTGAGCTCTGTGCTGAGGTCCGCTCGTTCGCGATCCCTCTCATCGACTCGTTCGAGTACAGCGACTTTGTCATCAACTCGCCGTTCGGTCGCTACGATGGCAACATCTACCAGGAGTACTTCAACATGGTCCGCCGCAACAACCCTGTGCTCAAGCCTCACCCGTACTTTGAGCGCTTGATCAAGCCTCTGATCTCGCGCCGTGTGCCCGAGCCGGAGGATGCGACGGAGCTCATGGGTCTCGATGATGACATCGAGGAGATCCAGGCGGAGGCCAAGGAGGCTCTGGAGAACGCGCGGAAGTAAGTGTGTGTGGCCCAGTATATCCAGACCCTAGGGGTAAGAGTATGCTACGCACGTCTAGTTCCCGCTCTGTATTATGCCTGACTTTATCGTTAATCCGACCTTTTTATAGCCATTTATTTACCCCTAAGGGTAAGAATACGAATACCTCTCTCGTACTCTCTTTCTGTGTGTTGAGAGGCCTTGTGGCGTGGCATTCTTTGCAGTGGGGCTTGGCGTTGTCTGCCATGTGGAGGAAGCGGCCACAGCCCACACAACAAGTCCTTCATAAATTGGGCCGTTTTTCCAGTGCTACGGTGCTATCATTGATGCATTGGACACGGGGAAGGAGTAGTGCCTCGTCGTCAGCCCTCATGAAAGCCTCCAAATCATCACGCCGTCGGCATCGTAGACTTATACGAAGATCTTCCAACAGAATACCATCTACACCTATCTCTGCCTTTGCAGAGCCGCCCAGACCTATCGCTTGGCGAACCTCGCCTTTTCTTCTCGTGCTGGATCTGAATGGGACACTTGTATGCCGCCGAAAGAACAAAGAAGGGCGTGCGATCCCAGGAAAAAGTGCTACGCCACGGCCCTATATCCAGTCGTTCCTGCAGTACTGTCTCGGGCCTTTATATACCATATCATCGCCTAAGGAGTTAAATACGGCATGGCCCGAAGATGAGCGTGTATCCATTGCGACACATGCACAACCAACGGGTGCATTTTACTGGACCCGGCATACAGGGACGCATGTATGGTGTGCACCACGTACGCCGATCCAGGTCATGATCTGGTCGAGTGCTACACGTGAAAACGTGTGCAAGATGGTGGAGACTGTGATGACTTCGAGCATGCAACGTGCGCTTCTTCAACGTGTATGGGCACGCGAGACGCTTGTGACACCGCGCGATTTTGGCCGCAAAGTTTCCACGACGAAGGATTTGAGCATTGTGTGGGATGAGCTGAATGAATGGGACAAGTATCTTCGCACTCGTCCCTCACCTGATGCCAGCATGCGATGGTCTAGCCGGGCCTCAGCGGAAGGCCGACTCTTTGAGATTCGCCACTGGGCACGGCAGACTATCTCACGAAAAGAGGAGGTGCCCAGATTTTCCTCCATTGCCGACGAATTGCAAGCGGAAGCGGAGATCCGGCGGACGCAGCCTGAGCTGCTTCACCGTGCACCGCTCGAGACACACCCCTATGGTCCGCACAACACCATCCTTGTCGACGACAGCGTCGACAAAGCCAAATGTCAGCCGGACAATCATATCTGTATTCCTGACTACGGGGAGAAGCAGGCGGCTTTGTACAAAGAATACCGAAAAGCCACAAACGAGTCGGAACAGGACGTAAATGCGCTTGATGACTACCTTCTACAACTGGTGGGTGTACTTGACACCATGGCGGACCAGTCGGATGTATCGACGTGGATTCGGAATGGCGGTGTACGAACCTTCTCCAGCGAGCAAACGCCGGAAGATCGTGCACTATGGGTCGAACGTGGAAAAAAAGCGCTGTCAAGGTACAAGATTCCTCTTATTGTATAGACTATGTAGGGTCATTAGCTAGCACGAGGATGCGTGGTACGCGTGGATTTAGCCCTCTTCGCCGAAGGATGTAACGCGAGAGATGTGGAGACATCCACGTGGCAAGACGTAGTCTGGTCCCCGCCGTCCCCTCTCGTTGGCGCAGCGCTCGTGGCGAGGCTGTGAAGGGGTTATTGTTGGCTCTTCGATTACGTCTTCGGCGTGTTTCAGTGCCGCTTACCCACATCCTTTCTGGCAAGTATTGCAACGGAGCATGACACCGCTGGACGGTGTGAATAGCCCTCCGAATCCCGTGCGCCCACCGGGGATGCACGAACACTCACCGCTGCGGCCCAGAGCGGACGAAGATGTGTCCCTATCGCAGGAGCGACTGGTGCGCACGCAGCTCCAACAGCTGGGACTCGAGGCAGTTGATGATCTGCCGAGTCCCTACCGAGAGGATCGCCACCCCGTGCATACCAACAATCTCATGCAGAGTCCTTCTGTTGCCATCACGTCGGCGCCACGCATGTCAGGCACACCCTCAACATCCATGTCGCCGATGCAACAGCGTTGGGCGTCACGAGGCGCATGGGCCCCATCAATGGACACAGTGGATGTCCAAAGCTCCCCTAGTCGTGGCGGTGTATCCTCGTCGCCCTGGGATGCCAACCCACCGACGCTTGGGCCTGCCATGTCTGCATCACGTCCGCTCGGCATGGCCAGCGGCGCCAGTACAGCGTCGTCGGCCTCAGCGAATGCTATGCGGCTGCATCCGATGCCTAGTGGTGATCTCAATGTCTCGTTCCGTTTCCCATCCTCTACACCTACCTATGTCCCAGCCACCGAGGAGCCTGTGTTGTCTGATCCTGCCCAACTTGGCCGTGAGTCCCTGCGATGGGGATCGTCGGCCATGCCATTGCTCCCGCCCCTCCCGCCCCTTTCGTTTGGCGGTCTGGATCCGAGGCGCAGCGATCAGGGCGTGTCGCACCGGCGCATTCACTCTGACACGGGAGCATTCCAAGCCGGTCCTCGAACGCCATGGTCCCCGCCCTCCGGCCCTGCGTCATCGCGTCCGGCTGGAGGCATGACTGCGGGGCAAGATCGATCGGTACAACTGGCCCCGAATTTCTCGTTTCCACCGCGCCATGCGCAGGAGAGCACAGGCCCTGCGCTCGTGCCTCCGGCTACGACTGCGCAAAGCAGCCATGGCACTGGCAGCCATGCTGCCATCACGCCGCGCCCCCTTCGTAGCGCAAGTGCGCACAGGGCGCCGTCGCATACTCGGCATGCATCGTACCAGCTTTCTACCGAGTTGTCGCCTGAGTTCCTCATGGCCGGTGGCGGTATTGTGAACCTCGCCACGCTGGGCTTGAGTCATGCGTGGACTGACAATGTCGAGACCATGGAATCGAACGATCGTCAGCCTGCCTCGCGGCAGCAACACCATCGATCGAGCAGCATGTCGAGTACGCCATGGCCTATCCCGACGCAGGACGAGCTCATGGCTGGTCTTCCACAGGCGCAAGCGCAGCTGGCCGCGCTGCATCGAAGTCGGCAGCAATTGGGTCCTGCGATGCATCATCGTGCAGCGTCGCATGGCCGTTCAGCGAGCATGGGCTCACAGTCGGGCCTTGGTGCATCGGGTGGCGCACAGCGTCGTGCGCTGTTTGGCAGCTATCTTCCGCAATCGAGTTTGCCCTACCTGCTGTTGGCCGGTAAGTTGGTCGTGGGTGTCTTGCGGATCAACCAACGCAACCGCAGCGATGCGTGGGTCACGACAGAAGTGCTGGGCTGTGACATCTTTATTAGCGGCTCGAAAGATCGCAATCGTGCCCTGGAAGGCGACTTGGTCGCGGTGGAGCTGCTGGATCCGAAAGAGGTATGGCAGACCAAGCGCGACAAGGTCGACAAGAAGAAGCGGAAGGAGCATTCACATGGCGCGTCGTCCACGACGTTGATGGCGCCCATTGCTAGCCGCCGAGCGGACAAGGCACGCGATGATATCGACGTCGAAGGCGCGCGGCTGGACCTCATTGACGATGAGGAGGAGAGTGAGTCCGCGCCGCCGGCCTTGGCTGGCCATGTCGTGGCGATTGTCGAGCGTATACCAGGCCAGATGTTCCCTGGCACGCTGGGTCTGCTTCGTCCTAGCAGTGCTGCGACCAAGGAGAAACAGCAGGCCGAGCGAGGGGGCGACGATGACGAGTCGTCGACTGCGAGTCCTACGCGGCCGAAGATTGTGTGGTTCCGTCCGTCGGACAAGCGTGTGCCGCTGATTGCCATTCCCGCCGACCAAGCACCCAATGATTTCTGGAGCGAGGCGAAGCAGGAAGAGTACAGTCGCTGCCTGTTTGTCGCCTGCATCAAGCGATGGCCGATCACGTCGTTGCATCCGTTTGGCTCGTTGGTTGATCGCCTTGGCCCTATCCATTCCTTGCAGGCGGAATCGCAGGCGCTCCTGCGTACACACTGCCACAATGTCACAGTACCATGGACCGAGGCGGCGCTTCGTGTAGCGCCACCTACGTCCATCACCAGCACCGAGCGCGCTGCGCGACGTGCGTTCGAGGCTGTGGCGTTGATGCCTTCGCGTGGGCCGTGCGAGGCTGCCTACTCCGTGGTGTGGTCGGACGAGGCGTGTGCGTGGGAAGTGGGCATTCATACCACTGACGTTGTGGCTTTGTGCCCGCCTGGCTCGGCGCTGGATCGGGAAGTGCGGCAGCGTGCGGCTGCCGTGTCGCTCGTCGAAGAGGAGTATGCCATGTGGCCTGACTCGATCCTGGCGTGTGCGTCTATGGAGACACAACGTGAGACACGCACCTTCTCGGTCGTCTTCACGCTCCGACAAGGTGCGTGCGTGGACGTGTGGGTCGGCCGAAGTCTTGTGCAGATCACACAGACTGTGTCTTCGCCGGCCGCCTGGCTTGCGTCACTCTCTGATCAGGCCCGTGCGTGTGTGGATGCGTTTGCCTGCACGCATCGCGAGGCGCGCTTGGTCCGCGGAGCGCTATGCCTGCCGCCGCTGGCGCACCTATCGTTCACGCTGGATGCTAAGAATGAGCCGGACGATGTATACGCGGTGTGTGATACGTCGCATGCAGCGATGGTTCTGGACGAATGGCGTATCCAGGCGAACACCGCCGTAGCTCATACGCTGGCTGTGGCGCTGCCAGACACAGCTTTGCTTGTGCAGCAGGCGCTGCCCAGTGAACGTGCGATGGCCGAGTTGACGGCGGCATGGGCTTCGCTTTGCCCAGCGCGTCCCTTGGACACGTATTCCCTCGCAGACGCATGGGCCTACGTACGCACGCAAGGCACCGACGCGATGCAAGAGGTCGGTGCGGCTCTGCTACGCAAGGCCTTGCCGCCGCCCAAGCTGTTCTGCCCGACCTTGGTCGACATGGCCAAGTTCTTGCATGTGGGCACTGCGGAACCCATCTATACCGACTATTTACATCCACTACGTCGGTACTCGGATGTGTGCATACAGCGACAGCTGGACGCTGTATGCCAGCACCGTGTCGCTGATCTTGGCGAGCCCGCGGAGATGCTGGCCAAGGCTGCGCAGCAATGCTATTCGAAGAACCGTGCTGCATGGACGGCCATGCGGCAAAGTGAGCACTTATTCCTGTGCCGATACCTACAAAACGATGTGGCCCGCCAGCTCGTTCCACGCCGTGCCCTCGTGATGACCGTAAGCGAGGCTTCGTTCGATATTATAATTCCTTCTTTGACGGTCCAAAAACGCATGCATCTTGACTGCCTCCCGCTCGAGCATGTACAGTACGATGCATCACAGTCCTCGCTCTCCCTGCAGTGGCGTCGCGAGACGCACCCGCTGACGTGGCTTGCGCAGTCGATTGACGATGCACAATGTGCTGCGCTATGGGAGACGTACAAGGACCAGCTGCCATGGCCGCCTGCGTCGCTTCACACGCACATTCAGCCTTTGGCGGAGCTGCGTGTGTTGGTCCTCTCAGATATGGAGAAGAGTCCCTCGATTCTCAAGGTGGTCATGGCTGCGTAATCGCCCTCGTTTGCATGCACGCTTGCCTGTCTACATAGCCCTCATTTTTTTTTATTCGTTCCCTAGTTTCCCCCTACGACAATGAGACGTTGTGCTTCTGCATCGCTTCGTGCAACGGGGTCGCGAGCTCACCTGGTAGTGACGAGAGCAGGCCGCTTACGACGCCTGGGCGCGCCGTACTGGCATGTTGCAGCTGGCGTACCAAGTACGCCCATGCATCGGTCCCTGCCCACGCCTCGCAGTGCGCTGACGCGCGCTGCGGCGCCGAGGAGGCCAGCTGCGAGAAGCTCGCTTGGAAGCCCTGCTCATCCAACTCTGCCTCCTCATCGCCCGCCTCGTCTGGCGCAGGAGTCGTTTGGACCAGCAAGCGAAGGACCGACGTCAAGAGCGTAGACCAAGCTTGGGTATGTATGCTCAACATACTCTCGCTCTCCGTGAGCAAGCGAATGAGGCCCATGGCCGTACTAAAGCGCTGCTTCGCTGCGAGTTTCTGCACATCAGGGGCCACGACATTCTCGGCAATCTGTGCAAACAGGCCCGCCTGCACGCTATCGAACGCCTTGACCACCTGCTCCGGGTACCCGGGCTGCTGCACGCCGGCAAAGAAACCCACAAACGCAGTAAATTGCTGTGAGAACTTTTCGGTCTTGCTTGACTGCAGACGCACCAGCATCAGCGTCAGGACCGGCTGCATATATGGCGCCATGACATCGGTCGAGAGCTGCGTCAGCATCGCGCGGAGCAAATCAAAGCCATAGGTATCGTTCAAGCGGCTTGAAATCAGCTTCTGGTAAATGCCCAAGCACGACTCAACATGTCCATGCTGCACCAGGTACGCAGGCGCCTGCTGCAGGTACGCCTGCAACAGACGTACCAGCGCAGGGACATTGCCTTTCTGTTCCCACAGCGCCGGCATAAGCAGCGGTGGGAGCAACGATGCATACGCGTCCGGCAGCGTACGCTCCTTGTCCAGCATCGCATGCGCCTCAAGAAGCTGCGCCATGATCTGGAACACGTACGGAATGTACTCTGCCACATCCGCCTGCAGCACCTCTGTAAATACAGGGAACAAGTGCTCTTCCATCGCTGCCACCTGCGCAGCCGACGACGTGCCAGCCGCCTTGACAAGCGCCGAGATAGACTCAAATAAGAACTGCGTAAACCGCGGGTTGCTCGGGTTCCGTGCCGTCACACGCACAATTGAGGCCAGGTGCGACAGCAAGTCCGGGGCGTACGCCGCCACCTTGTCCTTCGCGGTGAGCAGCACCCGCATCACACATTTCATCACGTGGTCGTTCTCTGCTACTTTCTCCGGCGTGTCGTGCTGCTCGACCGCAGCAAAGAGAGCCTCAAGCATGTTTTGGCATAGCGGCGCAATGTCGTCCGAGGTAAACATGCGCTGGCCGTGGGTACGAAGGAACAAAATCCGCTCGATCGAAATGGCCGCGTACGTGCATGCGACATAGTTTGTCGTGCTGAGGTGGTGTACCAACAACGGAAGCACCGACAACAACTGCTCCTTCGTCAGCTGGTTGCGGAACGTATACAGGTACTTGATGGCGTCCACCTGCAAGATGGGCTGCGCCTTGACCACAGCGTTGTCTGGCTGCAAGTCCTGCAGAATATGGTCCGAAAAGAACTGCACCACATCCACGAGCGCATTCGTCGAAGAGACACCGTGCTGCATGGTAGAGCCTTGCGCGGCAATCGACGTAAGCAAATAGATCGCGGCATCCTTGCGCTTCCACTGCCCAGCAGGGTCTTTTTGGTACTCGGCCAAGTAGGCCTGGATATGACGCGAGGCAATCGCAGTAATCTGCTCTGCAAACTGCTCGAGCAGCGCACGCACGAACTCACTCGCAGCGCGACGACGTGTATCCACCTCAATGCTCTGCTCCAGATCGCGTCGAATATACTCCATAGGGTTGTCTTCAAACATCTCTTCGTCCACATCCCGCAGCTGAATGTTCGGCAAAATAATCGCCGTGCAGAACTGCTCCAACGTGGCATCCGCCTGGAAGAGCTCACGCTGGTTGCCCATTCGGACTACCGCAGAGAGGAACCCAATGGCCTTGCTCACAATGACATCGTACTTTTCCGAGGGACCATACGTGCTGAGCATGTCCCATACAGCTTGCACGTACTCGGGCAGCTGCGGAAGGACATCCAAGTACCGCTTCGCATACAGCTCAAAAATCTCACACACGCTGCTTCGAATCTTGTCCAATGGGCTGGGCGCCACGTCGTCCTCCTCGCCCACCAACTCAGGCCGCGAGAAGGACAGCAAGCTCGTAAACATCGGCGAAAGAGTCGGGATTGCATCTTCAAATTGCGGCGGCAAGTCCTGGGCCGACAGGTCGTAAAACAGCTGCAGAAGTAACATGAGACATAGCGCCAACGGCTGCATCGTACTGCTGGGGGTCGACGCATCGACAAGCATGGCATGCATACGGTGCAGCAACTCCAACAACGGGTTCGCCATCTTGCCAAGGACCAAGTTGATTTCCGTGTATAGTGCATCGGAGCGGAATTGGTGACGCCAGCGCTTGAATATCGCATGCGACGTGGCTAAGACGGAGAGCAACACATGGTGGTTGTCTGTCGATAACTGGGCCACCAGCTCATCGATCAATGCAGGCCATGCGTCAGGAAAGTCCGATGCAGCCACTAAGGCGATACTCTCATTCATCTGCGACATAATCGCCTGGCTGGGCGTCTGCACACTCGCCAGCGAGATCAACACTGGCACAAGCTGCTGACGAATCGCATCCTTCTCCTCGTCGCTCACCGCGCCAATGACTGGGTCCTCATTCTCGCTATCCACGACCCACCGTGTCTTGCACATGTTCTTGAACTGGATTGCTGCGGCCAGACGAATGGCATTCGAGGCTGTGTCTAACTGAATCAACGCGAGAAGTAAGAACGAGAACCGCGGCTGGACTTGCAGTTGGGCCAGCTGCTCCTCCGCCGCCTTCCGCTGCGAAGGGTTCAGCGTCTGCTGGAAGAGTGTCGCAAGTGACGCAAGCTGTTGCGGGTCAGATGGGTCCATGCTGAATCCAACGCCGCTCACGAACGAACAAGCACGAACAGCGGTCGGGCCCCAAGCGAGAAAAAAAACCAACACGCGCCAGGTCACGTGGAGACTCTGTGGCCTCGCGCGGTGGGTGGGCGTGGGCAGCGAGCGAAGCCGTAGCGGCGACGCCTGATTTGCGTGGGGCTGGCTGGCTGGCTGGCTGGAAGTCTCCACCTTCGAGCTTTTCACAGACCCCTGACCAGCATGACTCAGCCTGTATCGCCTGCGAGCGATGCACCATGGATCGTGCAGAAATATGGCGGTACGAGTGTGGGAAAATTCATCGCGACCATTGTCGACACGATTGCCCCGTTCTATCTGCTGAACAACCGCCTCGTCATTGTATGCTCAGCTCGTTCAGGCAAAACCAAGGCGCTGGGAACGACGAATCTGCTCCTGCAGGCAAGTCGTGAAGCCGTGTCGCGCTCCTCGCCTCAGTCCAGTGCGGCACCGACACCTCTTTCATCGTCGTTCCATGGCAGCACGTCTGGCTCTTTGTCAAGCTCGCAACTGACGGCGCGTTTGGAGACCAAGGCTGCCTTCCATGATACCGTGGACAAACTGCTGGAAGACCACTTAGAAGCGGCTCGTATTGCCGTGCCCAACAACCCCGACATGCTGGAGCAGCTTGAAAAGGAAATTACGGATGAATGTGATGGATTGCGCGAGTTCTTGCAGGCTGCGCAAATTATCCACGAAGTCTCCTCCCGTTCGCGCGACATGATCATGGGTCTTGGCGAGCGTTTGGCTTGCCGACTGGTATCCACGGCCTTGAAGGCACGCGGTATCGAGTCGACTCTTGTGACACTCGAAACTATTGTAGATGAGCTGGACGACGAGGTGGTGCGTCCACCTCAAAACTCGTATGAATCTACCAGCTACCTGGGTCAGCCGTTCTACGATGCCCTCTCCGAGGCGCTGGCCGCCCGTATTAAAAATTGCAAGGGTGTGCCTGTCGTCACAGGCTACTTTGGCAATGTCCCTGGCTCGCTGTTGAGCCAGGTTGGTCGTGGCTATTCGGATTTATGTGCGGCTCTTTGCGCGGTGGGTCTGCAGGCCACAGAGTTGCAAATTTGGAAGGAGGTCGACGGCGTGTTCACAGCTGATCCCCGCAAAGTCCCCACGGCACGTCTTGTGCCTGCTATTACCCCAGAAGAGGCAGCGGAGCTGACTTACTACGGTAGCGAGGTCATTCATCCATTCACGATGGAGCAGGCCATCAAGAAATCTGTACCTATCCGCATCAAAAATGTTGAAAACCCCACCGGGGCTGGCACAGTTATTTTCCCTGACCACACGACGCAGTCGAAGGAAGACGATATTATTCGCGATCCGTTTATGGATGGCCACGTGAATCAGCCGGAGCCGCCTAAGTCCGGCATGGCTACGCCCGTGGGCAACAACCCCAAGGACAGCCGGAAGATGCCCACAGCCGTGACCATTAAGGACAATATTATTGTACTCAACGTGCACAGTAACCGCAAGACCATCAGTCACAGCTTCTTTGCCCGTATTTTCGGCACGTTGAATCGGTATGGTGTCGTTGTGGACTTGATCTCCACTTCAGAGGTGCATGTATCCATGGCCATGACTGCGGAAATTAGCGCACGCACATTAGAGCGTTTGAGTGCTGACCTGGAGCATGTCGGTACTGTGAGTGTTCTTCGCGATATGGTCATTCTCAGCCTGGTCGGAAAGGAAATGCGTCACATGGTGGGTGTGGCCGGCCGCATGTTCAGTACTCTGGCTGAAGGCAACGTGAATATCGAAATGATCAGTCAAGGCGCAAATGAGATCAACATCTCGTGTGTGATTCATGAGGGCTCGGCTCTGAAGGCATTGAATCTCATTCATTATTCGATCCTGGAGCTTTCCCCTAAGCCCGCCAACATGGAGGGTGGCACATTCGGCAGGTCTTTTTTTTAAGGTAGAGAGCTCACGATTTTTTTTATATCTAGCCGCTATAATCTACTCGTCGTCCTTGCTGGGCCATAGACGCAACAGTAACTTGCCCGTCGTAGCGCGGCTTGTCAACTCGCGCTGAGCCGCTTGCACGCCCTCCGCACTGAGCAGGTACTCACGCCAGATATTCGTCTGGATCTGGCCTTTGCTCATAAAGTCCCAAAGAATGCTAGCGTAGTGCTCCATCTCCTCCTGCGTGGTAAGATAGGAGAAAACACCTGGGCGAAGTACTTTGAGATTCTTGTCCGTCAACCGACGCAGCAGCAAAGGCTCCGGCATACCACTCGATTGGCCGAACGACACAATAGTACCCAGACGAGCGACAAGGTCAAAGTTCATGTCGAACGTCGTCTTGCCGACCGAATCGTACACTACCTGGACACCATTACCGTCGGTAAGCTCCTTTACACGCGCCACAATGTCATCTTCGTACATGAAGACGTGCTCAGCGCCATTTGCCTTGGCCAACTTGGCCTTCTCTGCCGTGGATGTAGTACCAATCACATGCGCACCAAGCGCCTTGCAGATCTGTGCGAGAACCAGACCCACACCGCCCGACACAGCATGCACCAGCACCCAATCGCCCGATTTCACTTCATACGAAGCATGCGTCAGCGTCACAGCGGTTAGGCCCTGCAGAAGAATGGCGGTCGCCGAGCGCAAATCGACTTCCTCTGGCAACTTCACGACACGGTAGCGGTCGGCCACCACGCGCTCTGCAAAAGACGAAGAAGTCATAGCAATCACTATGTCACCTTTCTTCAAGTCCTTCACATTTTCACCGACCTCGCCTATTTCACCACCGCATTCTTGGCCCAGCGTGAAGGGGAATTGCACTGGGTACAAACCCGAGCGGAAATACGTGTCGATGTAGTTCACCCCTGCAATCGATGGCTTGATTACGACTTGGTCAGGACCAGGTTTCGGTGCAGGCACTGTATCGAACTGGATTACGTCCAGGTCACCTGCTTTATGGATGCGAATGGCTTTCATGGTGGCTCTATGGGAAGCCGGTCGGTCATTTTGACTGGCCGCGTTGGCTACCGTGTGGAGAACCCCACATTCCGGCCTCGTCTTGTCATGAATCCGCCCCGAGTACGAACGTAAGAAAAAACAAATTAGAGGGGTACAGTTTTACGTGTATACCTAAGGGTGTATGGATGAAGCAAGTTAAAGGTCCTTCAGCTTGTTGATGGCTTTGCCCAGGAAGCCGCCCGGACGGTCGCCCTTCGATTCGCCAGTAGCACAGCAGCAGCAGTCCGCCGACGGGTGGAAGTCAGTGGCATTCAGGCACATGACGCGCGCCTTGCGGTTGTCCCAGCCGTCGTCCACGTTGGACGTGCAGTGGAAGACACAAAGAACGCGGCCGTCCTGCGTCGGCACGAACGAAGCGTGACCAGGGCCATAAGGACCACCCTTGCTGCGGTCGCTCATAAGCAGCGGGGACGAGCGCTTTTTCCACGACTGCGGGTCCAGTGGGTTGTCACCCACCAGCTGAAGCAGGCCCAGCTTGTAGTCGCAAGTCCAGCTACCATGCGCACTGTACACGATACCCGTGACGTCGGAGAACTGCACAAACGTCGGACCCTCGTTGATACCGCGCTTACCACCGTCAGGGCGCTCCCACTTCTCCGTAGGCTTCGAAATCGTGACAAGCGTATCCGGAATCGCTTGCTCGGGCGACGCAAGCTGGACCAAGAACAGGTCCTGCTCCGTGTCCGAGTTGTCGCCGAGAGGCCAGCCCGAGTAGCAGCAGTACAGCTGCTGCTTGTGCACGAAGACGGTAGCATCAATAGCCCAATGGTCAGGCACACCCTGAAGAGGACCGACAAACTGCCAGCCGTTGGGGTCCATGGGGTCCTGCGATTGGGAGCGCAGAATCAAGGTGCGGTGCGAAGCCGGACCTTCGCCTGGCTTCTCACCACTGAAGTATACATACCACACACCGTTGATGTTGTGCAGCTCGGGGGCCCAGATACCAGGCGCCCAGCCGGAACCCTCAGGACGCCAGATGAGACTCTTCTTGGCGTTATCGAAATCTTCCATGTTATTGGATGCCCAAATCTCAAGGCGGTCGCCAAGGGTGAACATCAAATAATAGACGCCGTTCCATGGGAAGACCCATGGATCAGGCATGTCAACACTAGCAATAGGACGGCACGACATTGTGGAATGGAGTGAAGGTACGGTAAGGCTCGTGCTCCCCGTCTTCCGCGCTCGAGCCAACAGTCATCGGAGCTTTGTCTCTAGCGGGCAAACCGCACTTGAAAAAAAATATGATTGGACCCACCCGGAATAGACCCTGTCTCGTTGCTTAGCTATACACCCGCCCCTGCTTTGGACAGGTCCCACTTTCACACATGGAGCAATAGTCTTATTCGCATTCTACGCTACGTAAGACACGAGGCAGTTTTCTTGTATCGCACATGCCCTCATACACTTAGATAATTTTATATTCACATTTCATTTTAGGTGGAGCGTTTGCCGATAACCTCACCCTCAACAATCTCAAGCTTGTCGTAGGCCTTGATGGCCTCATAGGCAGCCTTCTGACCACTGGCCAGCATACCGCCGAACGAGGCACCCATGCGGGGATGACCATCCAACTCGCTGAGCTCCATACCACCCACAACCACACCTGGGAAGATCTCACGCGTGTTGTTCACAATCAGGCCCTCGGACTGATTCATATCCATGGGGTGCATGTCGCCGAGGTTGAGCAGACCAGCACCAGCCAGACGCTTCACCGTGAAAGCACCAAACGGACCGTCATGACCGGCAAAAGAGCACAAGACAGGAGCTGTGATTGTCTGCGGGTCCATGCAGCTTTGAAGACCGTGGGCCATGGTCACCAGAGTGTAGTTGGTGACCACACCGTTCACGCGCTGCGTACCCTCATTGTCCTTCTTGATGATCAAGTCCTCACAGCACGTGGCATTGAAGAGTTTCACGTTCGGCATCATCAGCAGCTTCGAGAGAATGGTCGACGTGAACATGGCGGCGTGCTTGACAACCACATAAGCGCCCTCGTCATCAAACGGCACACCAAGCTCCTCCAGCAAAGTGTGTGCAGGCTTGCGGATGACCATGGCCGACATGAGCTGGCCACCGAGCCAAGCACCACCACCCGGAGCCACACCAGCCTCCAAGACAGTGATGCGAAGGTCAGGACGGTTCTTGGCAAGCGTGTAGGCACACGTAAGACCAGCGCTGCCTGCGCCGATAACGACCACATCGGAGACAGCGGCGTCCATCATGTCCTTGTAGTAGCGAGCCGTCATGGCACGGCTAGTGTGAGACTCCTTGATGTCGGCAAAAACATAGTTGCCCTCGTAGTCCTCCACGGGCTCCTTACCGGCAACGATAGGGACATGCTGCTTGTATGGAGCTACATTGGCGCCCTTCAGGGCAGTTTGTCCGTTCTGCTGCGCAGCGATATGCTGCTTCAACGAGTCAGTAGGCCACAGCGAAGCGCTTGTGGAATGAGTAGCGTTTGCAAGAGTACCAGGCGCCATTGTCAGTATAGAGGACATTTGACTCATTTTTGCTTATATATACTCTCTCGATTTTCTTGCCACCATCCCGCCCAACATGCTTGGGGTCCCGCCTGCATAGGCCTAAGTAGAGTCTCACATGGTTTATTGGCTCTTCTTTTATCACTCCATATTACTTGTGCACAGCTACACTTAGTATGACTCCACATTTATGTAATGAAATGTCATAGGTTTCTGTTTTGATAGTTTCAAACGGACCCTGAGTGGGCAGAGAGAGAGGAACGGGGAGTCTCCACTTCACGTGCGTCTCCAGTCAAGCAGGTACCATACAGGCAAAATGGCCAACGACGACACTGTTTATTGACTCATGGAATATCATTGAAGCGTATCTACTGAAATCTGATACGGGATGCATAATTTGCAACCACAATAATCCCCATGAACTTGCGAGGACGGGCGGGAAAGGTCTCGCCACAGGCTTTATAAATGGAGAGAAATATGTGAACGCCCTTTACTCTGAATTCATCATGTCGACAGACAAAGTTACCTTTCTCTTGAACTGGCACGCCACGCCTTACCATGCTCCCATATTCCTGGCCCATCACAAAGGCTTTTTCCAGGAGGAGGGCATCAAGGTCGCCATCCTGGAACCCAATGACCCGTCCGATGTGACTGAAATTATCGGTTCCGGAAAGGTGGATATGGGTGCGAAGGCCATGATCCACACCATTGCTGGATCTGCTCGTGGCTTTCCCATTGAGTCCATCGGCACCCTGATGGACGAGCCTTTTACGGGTGTCGTGTATCTTGAGAGCTCGGGTATCAAGGACTTCCAGAGTCTGCGTGGCAAACGTATTGGTTATGTGGGCGAGTTTGGCAAGATTCAAATCGATGAGCTTGCTGCTCATTTTGGTATGCTGCCATCTGATTACACCGCTGTCCGCGTGGGAATGAATGTCGCTGATGCTATTAAGCGTGGTGACATTGATGCCGGTATCGGCCTTGAGAATGTACAGATGGTAGAGCTTGAAGAGTGGTGCAAAGAAACGGGCCGCTCACCCAGCGAAGTCAAGATGCTTCGCATCGATGAGCTTGCCGAGTTGGGCTGCTGCTGCTTCTGCTCAATTTTGTACATTGCCAATAAGCCTTTCCTCGAAGCACACCCTGACAAGGTCCGTGCCTTTATGCGCGCTGTGAAGCGTGCCACGGATTATTTGTGCTCGCACCCAGTCGAAGCCTGGAACGAGTACAAGCTGTACAAGAAAACCATGAACACACCTTTGAACGAAAAGATCTTTGAGCGTTCCTTTGTGTACATGAGCCGTGACTGTGCCAATGTACCTCGCGATTGGACTAAAGTGACCAATTATTGCAAGCGCCTTGGCATCGTAGACCACGACTTCAAGCCGAACATGTCGAACTCGTACTTGTCATGGAACCTCTTGCCTGACGTGGAAGACCCTGCTGCTAAACAAATCACGGTCGCACAGTATCAGCAAAATATCACCAAGAATGGAGGTGTACTGACCGGCAAAGTGTCGGTCGTATAATCGTCTTGGATATGGTCGAGAAAGTGGTCGGTAATCCCGTGTAGCTGCTGGTCTCTTCACACGTCCGATGTCTTCATTCTTATGCTGCAAATATACGAAGTGGTAGTCAGATTAGACAATATGAAACTTTGATTTCCACATCAGTATTTAGGCGAAGTTTGGTATAGTCGGTATTTTTTTCTGTTCCAATAACTCTTTCCTACTGGCTTGAGACGGCAGCGTAGTATCGAGCGATTTCACGTCTTGAGTGCCAAAATTTTATTACCTAAGACATGCATTTCCCCACATATACGCCTTATCAATGTCCAGAGGGGCCTCTTGCGACACTTTCATGAGCACATCACGGTCCTATCTGTACAAACATGAGAGATCTGATGTACTGCATGTGTTTCGCATGGATTCACTCATGAAGAAAAATGTCAAGGATGATTGGGAGAAGATACCGGCTCTAGCATCGTCGCGTGAGATGCACTTGCATTTGCGTCTTTTGCGTGCTTTCCAGAGCTTGCGACATCAAGTCATGGCAGGGTCGAGTCAGCAACATGCCCCTCCCTCTTATCATGATACAGCGCATCCTATGCCTAGAGAGTCTTCTTCCAGACCTACAGCTGACGCTGATTTGGCATGGTCTTCCTTCCTGCATCGAGCTCTCTACCGTTTTGAAGAATACATGCATCATGTGTTGGCATCTATCGGAGATATTCATCTCTATCATACACACTTCCGAAGCTTATGCTTTTGGCCTCGTTCCCAAGCTATGCTACAAGAAAAAAAACCGCATGTTCTGCAAGTGCCTGTGTCGCATCTCCCTCCTTTGGATGTGGCTTTGATATGGCGTACGTACTGTATTTCTCTAACCGCAGACACATACCGTTTAAATCCTTCTCGACTCTATGAAGATACATACCGGCAACCTAACCGCATTGCTCTCGCTCTATTTGATTTCCCTTTGCAACAGCTAGTGCATGCCCTTGGTGATAACGGTGATATCGAATACCCGGCCATGGCACAAGAAACTTGGGAAAGATGTACCGGTCTCCCATTTAACCCATTCACACCCCATTTTATTGCGTCGGATGGACGAGAAAGCGTGTGGGCCCCATGCCCCCAATGTCACCAGCCATGCCCCATTGCATGCAATGATATGGTATACCCCTTATGGAAAACCGCTTGTGAAAGCTGCAGTTTCTCCTTTGGCCGAGACGAGTTGATTGGTGCACGTTTTCTGCGTGATCTTCGCCTATGGTGCGCAGGCGGCACCGATGCAGAAGGGTACAGAATGCGCGGTGGTATTTTTTCCATGCATGATAGCACGTTCTTTTTAAAAGATCCCTTCTCTCCCATTCTTCAACGCTGTTTTGTCAACGCCCGTGAGCACCCTTCGGGATCTGAGGATATATATGGAACATTGATTCATGGGACAAACACCCCCGATTTATTAGCGGAACAATCGAAATACAGCTTGGAGAAAATCATCGAATTGATATGGGCATGGGTTGAACAAACGGATACCTATCGTCAGGTAGACTGGCGTCGAAGTGACTATTGGCAACGTGCAAGCCATTTATTTTATTATTACCATGACAGTCACCCACTTAGTGATGCAAGTTTCAATTTGGTCGATGCTACACTCAGGCAATTTCGATTCATTGAAGAGGTAGACACCCTTGGCTGGCTAGCTCGCCCTGATCCGACCGACCTGGAGAATGCGGAGAAGCGGTATCGTGCCTGGCTAGCTCTTATGCGTACACGACCGGACAAAATTTGCCCAACTCTGGATATTGATCTTGCATGGCATACGCATATGCTGTATGTCCAATATTACTGGGACTGCTACAAGTGGACTACTCTTTTCATTGATCATTACGACAAAGTGGAAGAACAAGTTATGGAGGAAGCCATGAAGAATACAGAACGCATATGGGAATATATTTATGATCAACCATATATGCATCGATCACAACACAAGGTCTGGGAGAATATACACCCGTTTTGGATTGCATCGAAGCGGTCTAACAAAAATTTTCGGGTAAAAAAGGGTATACCCATCTCACGCAGTCCATCTGTTGTCCGTACCGAATCACAGGCTAGAGTCATAAATATCCAGCCTTTTACTATCACCGGAAGCATACCCGGCCGACCAGGTCATTGTTTAAATGGGCCAGGAGGGAAAATGGGTTTAGGTGCATGCCTCGCTGTGGACTTGTTCCCACGGATGTCAGAGTACGGCATCTTCAGCGAGTATTATCGAGCACGTCGCTCTGCCAACCCTGCTGTGGCTAGTCAAACGCTAACCATGTATAGGATTCAACTTGGGGAGCCTAATAGCTCCACATCCTCGTGACCCAGACATCCTAACGTTGAAAGCATATCAAACATGCTTCGTCTAAGATCGACTTAAATTTTTGCGAGTCGCAGACCATGTCTGGAAACTCGGGACCCAATCAAGAAGAGAGTGCCAACAATAAAGACAACGCAACCAAACGTCTGTGCGGCTTCGAAGGAGCCGTTTTTATTCTGGACAAGCTTGCCTGCAATTGGGCTGCCGCTTAAAGCGGGCAAGCTTAAAATGGTGAAAGCCATACCCATCCGAATGCCCAGCTTGGAGAGATCATCCGTAAGGCTGGACAATGCCGACGGGACAAGTCCCATAACACCAGACGAGAAGAAGCCATACACAATCGTGAACGCCCATTCACCTTGCAGCTTATCTACTGCCATCCATGTTCCCATGACAATACCCGAAAGCAAAGCCGCCGGGATAAGGGTATTGACAGGCCCAAGGTATCGGTCGGCAATAATTGCGGGAATAATCCGACCAGGGTATCCAATCGCATTCATAACCAGTAAAAGCTCAAAAGAAGTATCGCTGGACGTATGAAGAATATTGCGAGCAAATGATCGATTCTTCTTGTCAGTGAGGCATCAACGTACGTAGAAATAGACAACAAAGTTTCCCCAGATACAGAAGAAGGCACCTGCGACATACAATGTATACACAGGATCTAGGAATGCCTTCCATTCCACGAATGGTCCGCCCTTTCGGGGAGGCACTCGCGGTCGGAGTAGGAGAAGAATTATAATGGCATTAAACAGCATAACAAATCCCATCACGCGAATCATCCAGCCAAAACCCGTGGTATTTAGCAGTCGCTCGGCAATAGCAGGAAAAATCATACCACCAGTTGATGTACCTGTTGTCACAATAGCTAATGCAAACATTCGCTTTGTAGTGAAATAGGATGCTGCTGTCGAGAGCACCGGAGTGAATAAGCAACCACAGCCTAAACCTAAGCAGAGGCCTTGAGCCAGCATAAATTGCCAGTATTTGTCGGCTGCAGACATTGTAAATACACCGATCAATTGCAAGGCAAGACCAGTGCTAACAACCACATGTATATAGCCAGCATCAGCAAGGCGACCTGAAATTGTTCCCGCAAAGAAAAGCAAGAATACGTTGATGGAACCGATCCATGAAATATTTGACTCTGTTTGCTGTAGCCACTCTACGTATAGAGGCTGGAAGATACCAAATGAAAGCATCAAACCCCACGTATTGCAGAGCGCCAAATGGCCGGCAAGAACTTGGCTCCATGCTTTGAGGCCACCGTTGGGAGGCGGGTCCGACAACATCCAGTCTTCCGCCTCTTTGGTTCTGATTGATTCCACATCAATATCTCCTTCTAGAGCGGGCTGTTCACTATTATCGCTCGGTATGGCACTTGTGGCCATACTGGCAGAGAGATCCATGCGATGATACTAGTATCAGGCATCTTGAGGACCTCTTACCCCCAAGCGAATTTATCTTCGAATTTTTGACAATTGGCCAATGAATGTCCTGTGACTATGAATTTAATGCATGAACTAAGAAAATGGTCATAGGATTTGGTTCCTTGAGATCGGGGTCTGACGGCTTACCAAGCGAAATATGAGATTTTGGCGTATGATTATGTGTCTTCAGGATCAAAAATCTTATAAATCGATCCAATACCCGAGCTTAGAATATAGGACTTCGATTATTTCATGCAAGTAAATGACATAGCTGTTGCTGGCAATGAGACTAAATGAATGAAAGAGACGTAATGCGGTGAAGTGTAGATTTTGTCATCACTATAAGGCTTGACAGGATAGCATTTTTTCCAAGACATAAGGTCTACATCTTTTTCAATGCAAACCTCACTTTCGAGAACCTTGCAGCTAGCACAAACATAGATGAACAGAGGAATGTTACACAACCAAAAATTTGTGTTCCCGTGTAGTCACCATGCCAATTTTGAACAAGTTTTCCTGCAATGGGTGTTCCGCTCAAACCTGCCAAGCCAATGATGGCCATCGTCATTCCAATACGAATACCATTCTTACTGGGATCAGGACTGAGGCTCGGAAGAGCAGCTGGAACCAAGCCCATGCATGCAGCTGAGAAAAACCCATAAAATGCAGCAAAAACCCATGTACCCGACATGTCTGAAACTCCCATCCATGAGCCCATGATAACACCAGTAATAATCGTCATAGGAATGACCGTGTTCACAACACCGAATTTATCGGCAATTATAGCGGGTATAAGTCGACCTAGGATGCCGATTCCGTTCAAAACCAAAAGCAAGTCAAAAGAAGTTTCCTCCGAAATGTGGTAATATGTCTCAGCGTAAGGGCGAATATAATAGTATGCCACAAAATTGGCCCAGAAAGTTAGAAATGCACCGATTGCATACAGCGCGTATGTTGGTTCTTTGAAGGCAGGAAGATCCAAAAGTTGGCCATCCCGTCTTGGAGAAATATGAGGTCTGACTAGGACAAGAATCAAAACAGCATTAAAAACCATTACAAATCCAATGACACGAACAGTCCAACCAAAACCAATATCAGGAAGCAAAGTTCTGGCGATAGCGGGAAAGATCAAGCCACCCGTTGAAGTACCACAAGAAACAATACACAAAGCTAGAATGCGCTTTTTCTTGAAATAGGTTGATACAGTGGCATATACAGACATAAAAGAAAGTCCATTCCCCAATCCTGTACATATTCCTTGTGAAAGGATCAGCTGCCAATACTCTTTACAAGCAGAAGTAGTGAAGACAGCGAGAAGCTGCAGCACCAAACCCATCGTGACAACCTGTCGCGTATAACCCGCATCTGCAGCACGACCAGCAAACATGCCAGCAAGAAACATTAGAAAAACTTGGATAGATCCAACCCAAGAGATGTTTGATGGTGATTTATTGAGTTTTTCGACGTAGTAAGGCTGGAAAATGCCAAAAGAAGTAATATAACCCCATGAATTTATAACAGCCAAGTGCCCTGCTATCACTTGAAGCCAAGCCGTAAGGCCACCATCTGGTATAGTGTACATTCCTGTTTCTTGCACAACATTTTTAAAAGACTCTCCGCTCTTTTCACTCAACGACTCTTGATCCTCTTCAATTTCCATATACTTGACGTACGAAGGTATTACAAAATGACTAGGAACTTCGCGCCAAGACCGACTTTTTATTTTATGCTTATTAAGTCTCGTCATATATCGCATAATCGAGCTCTCTCTTTAGACAATACCAAAAACAGGACCTAGCTATGGAGAAACAAGTGCCTACGTTAAATATACAACGCTATGACTCTGACAGGGTTGCTTTTGTGAAAGAACTTGGAGAGGCTTACAAAGAATTTGGATTCTGTTGTATTACGGGGCACGGCATTTCTACGAGAGATATCAGCAATGCTTATGACGCCTTTCGTCGCTTTTTCGCTCTGCCGCAAGAGGTTAAGCAAAAGTACCACATCCCAGGCTGTGGCGGCGCTCGAGGATATACTCCTTATATGGTAGAGACTGCTAAGGGCTCTGAATATGCGGACCTCAAGGAATTTTGGCACGTTGGACGAGAAATTTCTCGAGATTCCAAATATTGTGACGTGATGCAGCCAAACATTTGGCCTTCAGAGGTACCAGACTTCCAGGAAAAGAGCTATAAACTGTTTGAGGAGCTTGATAAACTGGGAGTGCGGATCTTACGTGCATTAGCACTGCACATTAACCTACCAGAAACTTTCTTTGACAATCTCATTGACTCAGGAAATTCCATTCTACGACCTATCTACTATCCTCCCATCCAGGATGGAAATGCACCCAATGTCCGTGCTGGGGCGCATGAAGATATTAACTTCATCACCTTATTGGTTGGCGCGAGCGCTGAGGGACTTGAGGTGTTGACCAAAGAAGGAGCTTGGCTTCCCATTACCACACACGATGATGCTATTGTCGTTAATATCGGTGATATGCTACAACGGCTTACAAATAATGTGTATCCATCGACAACGCATCGGGTTGTAAACCCGACAAATGAGAACGCATCGAAACCTCGGTACTCTGTTCCTTATTTCTTACACCCCAATCCGGATGTTCTCTTGGATCCATTGCCCTCCTGTATTACCCCTGGCAATCCCAATCATTACCCAGACTCGTTGACATCACATGAATTTCTTCAGCAACGTCTTCGTGAAATCAAGCTCATATAGGATGCTGTATTTCTTGAATTCTAGTGGGAAGGTGATTTAAAAGTGTCTCTCCACTTAAGATGAAAAAATAAATCCTGACATGTAAGGTTAACCTCAATTGTCACAATACCTGTCCATAGAAATGGTAAATATTGCCATTCTTGGGCCAACACTCCGTATATTGGATAATCCAGCACTACATTTTTCAGCAAGCGAGAGCATCTCTAGCAATAAAGCAGGACCAACTCTTGCCCTTTACGTGGAAGATCCAACACAGCGGTTACCTGGAGCGGCTTACACATGGTGGACGCGTCAGTCACTGCCCCTATTAAGAAGGAAACTACATAAGCTCAACATCCCCTTACTGTGTTTGCGTGCATCTTATCCTACTATCGCCAAGGTACTAACGACATGGAATTATGACACAGATGAAGATATGTCTGTGCACAACGTTTATGTTAATATGCGATGGGGTGGTTCGACTGGGGAGGAGGATGCCACATTTTCTGATATTATGGCTAAAAGCAAGATCCATGTACACACCTATCTGGCACAAACTATTCATGAACCATGGAGTTTAAAAACTGGGCAAGGCGGGTACTACCGCAAGTACACGCCCTTCCAGTCTCGATTTACGTCTCTACATCCCACACTTCATGAAGCACCCCCTTCTTTTAACGACAACTCGCGAGCAGATAAAGTCTTTGATTCACTGCAGAAGCACTTTACTGCTTATGATCATGTGAATGTTCTGGATTGGGCCAACCCATCAGAAGACTATCAACCAGCATGGGCCTCTCAATTTTCATGGCAACCTGGGGAAGACCAAGCCCATGAGGTTTTGCGAGCCTTTTTGCAGGAGCGCGTATCCCAGTATCAAGAAGCTAGGGATATTCCATTCGAGTCTGGAACATCTCAGCTTTCCCCATACTTGGCTCACGGAGAAATAAGTCCCAACAGAGTATTGAGCGAGGCCTCAAAGCTGAGATCAAAATTGAAAGAATCTAAGGATAAACTAGCCATGACATCTCTCGATACTTTTGTTAAGGAGCTTGTCTGGCGAGAGTTTAACTACCATCTATTGTACCATGAACCTCATCTCTCCACTCAAAATCACAATTCTGCCTTTGATTCTTTTTCATGGTCAGAGATTGCTGGAAAGGACCTTGTTGAGCAAGCCATATTACAAGGTCTGCCAACATCTAACCAAAATGACATGCAATCTCTCAATGCATTAGCGTCGTTTGAGTGCTGGAAGTCTGGGCATACAGGCTTCCCATTAATTGATGCGGGTATGCGACAGCTCTGGAAATCAGGCTGGATGCATAATCGCATTCGAATGGTGGTTGCTTCCTTTCTTACCAAGAATTTACAGATTCACTGGACGCTAGGCGAAGAATGGTTCTGGGATACACTTGTTGATGCAGATCCAGCAAACAACCCCGGGAACTGGCAATGGGTGGCTGGCACAGGCGCAGACGCGGCTCCCTACTTTCGAATTTTCAGTCCATTGCGTCAAGCTGAACGCTTTGATGAAAGATGCGCTTATGTACGAAAATGGGTGCCTGAGCTCAAGAGCGCTGCAACTCGCGACATTTTAAAGCTCTATGATAGCAACGAGGCTTTGGACTCTGACTACACAGACAGAGCTTTAAAAGCGCCCTCTCCAGCCAGTACCTGGATCGGTATGATCAATGCAGGGTCACGGAAAGCTTCTGACACTTCGCTTGAATCACACAATTGGTTTCGTGCAAGCCTCATATCTGTTGAGGAAAAACAATATCATGGTGAAATTACAAGTTTGAAACAAAGTAGGGATGTCGCTTTGAACCGATACAAGCGCAAGGCCACTTCCGGGCAGACACCAAATCAGACGGGAGAGACATCCACAAAAAAGATAAAGTCATAAAGTCATAGCATACTCTATAGGCACAATGTTTGAATCACCTTGAGGTGATATGTTTTCCTCTCGTCTGTTGCATAAAGCTGGGCATATGGCACAGCCTCAAGCTTGGCCGTGAGCTTTATGCTTAATTTGGAAACTAGGCTCAGAAGTAAAAAAAAAAAAAAAAAAA